ACATTATCTTTTGGTTCTGGACCTGTCGAAACCTTTGACATGTCGTTCTTGACGCATTCGTACAGGTCCGCAGATATTGCGTAAACTCCCTTAGCTCCTTTGATAGATTCCTCAGACAGGCAAGTGTCAGGTAGCCTATTCCCTTTTGACTTTTCCTCAGATGGGTGGGAATACAGCTTAGAGTTTGACTTTGAACACGAGATCCTTGTGGGTAAACATCCTACCTGGCATAGGCAGTTAATTTTAAGTTGTTTTTGTAATTTGGTAATGGAAAAAGATGGGGAAACCAAGCAAATTTGAACCTGGGGACCCACCCCCTCCAAAAGCCAAAGGTCTGGAGGAAGGACCATGGCCACCAGGGCAGGTTCCGCAGCTTCACTTTTGTGGGAAAGAGTGTTGGCAGGTACCTGGAGGCAACTGGCCTGCCAGGAAAAACAAATGGGATAGGACTGCACAGTGGCAGCCCATTGAGCTTGATGGGGTGTGAGCTGTTGAGGCTCACAGTAATATTCTAGATTTTTATGGTCAGTAAAGACCACTGTTGGTTTGACTGGGGATAGGAGATACGGCTGAAAGGCTTTTAAGGCATGGATTACAGCGAGCATTTCCAAGTTGTAAACCTGGTAACGCTGTTTGGCACCTACCAGGGACTGCAAAAGATAGGAACAAGGGTGCCACTCATTGTCTGCTCCTTTTTGTGCAAGGACCGCACCAGTTCCGAGCTTTGAAGCATCCATGAACAGAGCAAAGGGCTTTGAAAAGTCCGGGATAGTGAGGACCGGAGAGGAGCATAACAAAGATTTTAACTTTTCGAATGTGGCATCACATTCCAGAGTCCACTGGTAGGATACCCCTTTCTTTGTGAGGTCATGAAGGGGTCGAGCGATGCTTGAGAAGGAAGGGATGAATCTCCGATAGAAGTTACAGAATCTGAGGAATCTGTGAAGCCCGGTAAGGCTATCAGGGGCTTCCCAGGTACTAATGGTGTCAGTCTTCGTCGGTGAAGTTTCCATATGCCCTTTTCCTATGATCATTCCAAGGAATTTGATTTCTTCGGCCTCAAAGACACATTTGCTAATTTTGAGGCGTAACCCTTCTTTTTCACAGATCTTCAGGAATTCATGAACCCTAATCCGAAGTTCTTCCGTTGTCTTGGCGTGAATTGCCACATCGTCCATGTACCCCACCTGTTTGCCTCGTTGGGAGTCAAAGGTTTGGTCCATGTACCTTTGAAAGGAGGGGGGTGAATTGCACTGCCCGAAGAACATTACCATTGGTTCAAACAACCCCCTAGGTGTTATAAATGCCCCTTTCCACTCATCACCTTCTTTTACGCATAAATTAGTAAAACCCCAACGAATGTCAAACTTGGCATAGTATTTTGACTCAACCAATTCGTCAAAGAGGGCTTGCACATTTGGTAACGGATGAGCATCTGGGATAGTAAAGGAGTTGAGGTAGTGGTAATCTTGAATGAGGTGCTTCTTCCCATCCTTCTTTGCTACAAAGAAAACCGGAGCCGCTTGGGGCAACGTTGATGGCCAGATTTTCTTACACTTGAGGTTTTCTTCAAGGAATTCATCCAATACCTTCAATTTGTCTGGAGACATCAGATACATGGTTGCCTTCTTAGGTCTGAAGTCATCTTTTAACTGAATTTCGTGGTTGAGACCAGGACGATGTTGTGGCAACGGGATGTCTTCTTCAGAGAACACCCAGCTGAATTCTTGATATTCCTTCAGGAGTTTTACTTCCTCCTTAGTTGAGGATAAGGCAGCCTTGAGTTCTGTTGACAGAGTGGTTTTGTTAATATCTACTGATTCTCATACCAAACCATCATCATTGAATTTTACCGCATATCCTTCATAGGATGGAACCTGGTCTTTTATGTAAATGTCAGTTTCCCTTGTGGGTACAAACCTGTCATCCCAGCAAGTAATCTTGCTAGTTTCCCAGTTTATTCTTGGTTTGAACTCCCTAAGGAAAGGCATCCCTAAAAGGATGTGCTCCTTTCCTACAAGCGGTCCAATGTAACACTTGATGCAGATGACACGGTTTTTGACAATAACCCAAATGGAAGCCTTTCTTGTGACCCATTCGACATCCTTTCCGGTAAAGGAAGTGGTCTTGAACTTGGACTTGATGCAGTACGTTGGTATCTGGAGTCACTGGATAATTCATTCCAAGATGAGTGACACCTCAGCACCTGAGTCGATACAGGCCATTATTGTTGCTCCATAGTCTGGCAGTACTACTCTTCCCAGTGGCGATCCAATGCGCATATTTGATTCATCACCTATAGTACATTTAGCAGACAAAATTGACACGGGACCTCCCTTAGGAGCTTCGGTAGTCCCATCTAAAAATCTACTCCATGAGCTTTTCTTTCTTCGGCCGTTGCCAGTCAGTCTCCCATATATGCTGTCTTAGTTCTGTCTTCTGAAAGGACGACACAAATACCGGGGAGTTGTTTGCCCTTGGGGGATTTGCAGTCACATTTGTAGTGACCCTTTTCTCCACATTCGAAGCAAGTAATTTCAGAGTTTGAATGTCTAACGTTCCGTTTGCGTTTGTCAACGTCCATCGCATCAGGATCTCAGAAACCTCCATGGTAATGAACAAACTTGCATTCATACCAGGATTCCTTTCCTTCGAGGATGTGTCTCGTAGTGATCGTGGTTCTGGCTTCTCCCACGCACTGTATCCACTCAATAACTGTGGAAGGGGCACGTCCTGAATTTAGAACCCAATCACAATATTCCTTGTTCAATCCTTTTCTGAAGAAGATCCCTGCTTCATGTGATTCTTCTTTGAGCTGAGCCTTGTTGACAAGTCCTGTAAACTCAGCAATATATGACTTGAGTTCCCATTTCCCTTGAGTGATACCAGAAAGACTCAGGATTGTGAGAGCAGTTTGATCGCTGGATTCAAAGGTAGCTTTGAGACATTCCACAAACCTCTGAAAGGTGTCCATGTAGTAGATTGTACTGTCGAGAAGCTTGTTTTCATTTTGATAATTTTCTGCGAAGGAGACCGCAGCACCTTTCGTCATATAGGTGAGGGCAAATGAAATCTTGAGTGACTCCGTGTTATAGACATGTTTATTCAGGTTCAGGTATCCTTCGACCTGCGTGACCCAGGTCTGGAGCCCATTATGGCTCCCATTGTATTCACTGGGATGCCCAACATTAAACTCCCATCCTCCATTGGGTGGGCAGCCATTGTACGAGTCGTCAGGATCGGCAGGGGTCCTACCCTTACTGGACCCACCAACAGGGACCTCTGGGGGAATTACCTTTCTGAAGTTCCTGGTGTACCAACCTCGCAATGCCAAGTCTGTAGGCGTTCCTGTTGGAAATGGATTGCTTGACTGTCCACCAGCTATCTTACGCCAGTCTTCCACCAAGGAGCATCTCTGTTCTTCCAACCTTTCTTTCAGCTCCACTTTGTAGAAAACCTTCATCGGCATCTCAGGGGCTGACTCTCCATGACCAAGTGTCATGGACATAATGGGTGATTTGCATTCTTGTTCTTCCTTGAGGACTGATCTGAAAGAAGTATCAGACTTCTGATCATCTTCTTCTTCTGAACTAAGCATGACTTCCGAATCCCTAAACCAGGATAAGTATGATAACTGAGGATTTGTTGACATAACCGAGGGTCCTGATCTTCCCAAAGGGATGGGTGGCAGTGGGGGATTTCTACCAAGCCCTAGTGGATTTGTGCGAGGAGGGACAGGAGGTCTTGACTTCTGTGGGTTAGACACTTTAATGAGAAGTGATAACAAAGGCTAAGGGAGGATTTATTTCTTGAAAGAAACCTGTCAGTGTAGAGAGCAGTGATTGTGCACAAGTGAGTTTACACGTAGGGACACACAAGCACTGACTCTAGGGAGGCGATCTATTAAAGCCTAATGGCTGCCTGTAGAGCGGTGGATTTGATTAAGGGTAGCAGGATGCTTCTCAATGTTGTTATCAACTTTGACGGAGTAAGAAATGGTTTGTTGAAGTTCAGTAACCAGGGACAAGTAGACTTTCATGAAGAGGTCGACAAGTCCCAAAAGCTGCGTGGAGTTTTTTGATTTTGTTATGCCTGAGCGTGGTGACTTCTTCAAATGGAATAGGCACAAAGCGCACAAGGTAGGAGACTATGGGCCAAACTTGTCATAACCCCTATGGCTGAGTTATCGCGATGATCCAACAGAGGTTCTGTCTACTGGCAACTCCCTAAGGTTGTTTGCATGGAGAGAGAACAAGGATTAAAGCAAAGGGATGAAGCTCAGTTGCAAGCTATCGAAAAACTGCAGATACAGGACAAATACATAGGATTATATACCCCTGAGTACGAGTACTGTAGCAGTCACAAACAACACGTATCCGCAGTAGTCAACAATCCCATCAATCAAATAAGTAAGAGTCATACAGTGTCAAAGATGGGGGTAGGGAAGCAACGAAGGCTATACCAGCCAGCACAATCAATGTGCAGTGAGGAGCCTGACACCGGAACTATAGTACAACATGTGAGCAACATAACCGAGTCAGAAACGAGTCACAAAGGTAAGAAATGAACAAGTTGTCCATCAGAGAGGGCAGTGGAATACCGGATTACAGGGGCCGTGTGGTCTTGACAGGTATTGGAAACATCATGACAGTGGGAGACCCAAGCATCCCTTGGAGCATTCGAGCCCCCAAGATGGCGACGACTACAAGCAATGCGACGAGGCACGTGACACATGTGACTGTGAGGAGCCAAAAAAGGAAGGACCCCTGGCGGAAGCGTAACAGTAACCACCAACGATGACCCAGATGTCTGTGCCCAGTACTGTGGTTAAAGTCACTATTTTGCGCAATGTAAAGGCTATGCGCATGTCATTCGAACAAAGGGAACCAGGTCCTATTGTAAGTAATAGCTATAACATTGCCTGTGATGAGTATCCTAACATGTTTTTTACTGTAGACCCTTGAAATATTCAACAAAGATGTCGTCCAGCCAACTCCACCTCACCCAACTTTGGAACAAGTGCCGTCATCTGATCCTGATGAAACAGAGTCAGAGGAAGAGCTGCTGTAATCACTGTCAGGAAGTTTGCCCTTGCCTGTTTGCTGGTGCCAAGTCTACAATGCAATAAGTGAATTGATTAGGACACCATTCAGTAATCTCTGATACTGTCTCATCATCCCAGATACACTGAGCAACCTCCTGTATGAATTTGGCATTCTGGGCATCATCTACTTGGCCAAGGAAGTTTGGGTGCCACACACAAGTCTTCTGGTCGATCTGCTCAAATGGCTCACATGTGTCCAAAGGCTTAACACATGCATCAGAGTGAGCGCTCTCGCACCATGCTCAAGACTTCTTTTGATGCCACAAAGATCAGCAAATAAAGGGTGTATGTATAGCTGTAAATGGTATGATACATAGTTCTGTTCATGAACGAGCTGACGAACCTTGAGTGTGGAGTGCTCGTTCAAACTCACTTTCATTGCTCTCCTCCCTCTACTTGATTCCAGACGATCATCTTGCTGTGTTTCCATCCATGCATGGAGAATAGCAACCTCTTCCTCAACAGTTTGAAGGTGAGTCGTGAGTTTTTCTATAGTTACTGATTGCTGGCCCACAGTCTCAGAAAGTGCTCTCAACTCAGAGCTGCCATTTTGAATGCCAGCCATATCTGGAGTCGGTGTGCCATATTGAAGTGAACCGGAACTCACAGATCTACTAGTAGAGGTCTGTCCATGTGGCATCAATTGTGATTGGTATGGTGTCCAATTCTTTTGCTGCCAGCTTGACTGAAATTCTTCAAAGGGAGGCCCTGATTCTGAGTGTGGCATGTTCCCATGGTGTTCAAAGCTCCCTTGTTGCAATGGAGCCCCCCTTGAGTCTGTATACATTGGCGTTGTTGGATGGAAGCTAGTGTTCTTAGGGCATCCATGGGAAAAGGTGATGCCTTGATGGAAGTCTGAGAATTCTGAGCTGCTGTCATCAAGGAGTGAAGGCTGGCTAGGAAGCTGGGTAGAATTTGAGAACATGAAATTGTTCTTGAACAGCTGGTAAAGTAAGTGCTAATTGTTCGTGGTCATACTTCATCCTGCCTACCCCTGAACTCGTTCCTGTTGTAGGAGGAACACCCCCATACGTGTGGAGCTGTCATGGACGCATGAAAGCCTCATCGCAGCTCTCTATTCATTCGGGTTACTGTGTATATGCAGGTTTGAGTGGGATCGTACATACCCCCATTATCATTCGTATTATGCGTATTGAATCCAGGGTGATTTGCAGGGCCAGATGGTTGTCTCTGTGGTGTCGAGGATGGATACATGTGTGCTGGGTGTGCTGGAGGGAAGGGGGGGAGGAGGGGGAGGAGGGAAGGAAAGGATTAGTAGCTACTGGGCAGGTGGGCAGGCATGCATGCATGCACAACATACAGCTACTAGGCATGCAAATCCAATGCAAATCAGATTTGTTTTGATTCCGAAAACAGGTCTGATTAGAAAAATAAATCATCTATTCCGAGGTAAAACAGAACACCGTATACTGCTAGTCCGATGATAAACAGACTTAGAATTGTGTATCTGTATCTGAGCTCGCCCTGTGTTTCCTAGCAACACCAACTTCGATTTTGGTTCGTTTTGGTCACCTTTTGCGACTATAGGCCAACCGACCATATCAGCTGGGCCGAGTTCGCCTTCACCTAGGTTTAGGGACCTTTTCTGACCATAAACGGATCTGCACCATTTTTTGTTTCCGCAGTGATTGCAGTGTCTACTAAAACGCGATTCCCAATTCGGCCACACCAACCAAACACATACCCTCATTTTCTCAGTCTGCCTTGTCGTCGTCTGCAATGTCAAAGAGACCCACGCCCCCCTCTGGCGATGGCGCACTCGTCAAGAGGTCCCGCTCAGATTCACCTCCACGAAATGAAATGGTCATCTCCACCTCGGGGGACGATCGTCAAAAAGGGTTGGTCCGTAGTGTAAAACGGACAAGTAACCTCGAAGCTCCCATTATCAGTCTGAGCGGCGCACACTCTGTGAGTCTTTGAGCGAGGATGATATGAAAAGAGTCGCTGATCCCATAATGTGGCAAAGGGCGAAATTGTGAGCTGTAGATTCGACCCCACAGGACAGAACATTGCTGCATGTTCGGCGGATAGGAGCGTCTGTAGGTATTTGCGAGCAAGTTTATATGCTCAACTAATACTTCTTGGCGAAATAGCTTTCTGGAGGACTTATCCTCCCAACACGAACTATGGTCTCCTGTCGAGTCTCCACAAGGCACCGATCCTGGACTTGCAGTGGTCGCTATATTCGCCGATTCTTTACACAGTCGGCGCAGACCACATCTTGAATATGGCGAACGTTACCACTGGCCAGCGTATCAGGAAAATACGCGCACACCGCGGGATCATTAACACTCTCGACCGGACGATGGCTGGTGGCGCTGGCGTGGAGTTGGTCGCGACAGGTTCCGACGACGGGACGGTTAAGATATGGGAGGGCGGTGAGGAAGGCAGAAAGACTAGCGTTGCGGTCTTCGAGATAGGATGCCCCGTGACATCCGTTTGTTGGAGCGCTGATGGTCAGAACGTGTACATTGGGGCACTGGACAACGAAATTCACGTATGCCACTTCGTGTCATTTAGTTGTTCGGTCGCAGCTAACAACTTACGCCGTTCCTTTAGGTTTATGATTTGCGAAAATGCGAGCAGGTCTACTCGCTCGCGGGTCACACGGATACACCGACCTCCCTGACACTATCACCCAACGGGTCGTATCTCCTCTCGCCGTCATTCTCATCGCAAGTTATCATTCATGACGTGCGGCCTTTCTCGCCAGCTCCATCCCGCATACACCGTATCCTTCACGGCGCACCTGCAGGCTTCGAGAACACGCTCTTAAAAGGCGCGTGGAGCAAAGATGACGGCGGACGGCGTGTCGCTGTCGGTGGCGCAGACAGAATGGTTTGTATCTGGGATGTGGAGAGCGGAAGAGTATTGTACAAGGTACAAGAGTTACTCTTATTGCTTACCCTACCACTGACTTAACTCGGGCTTAGCTTCCTGGACACAAAGGCACGGTAACAGCTGTCGATTTCCATCCGAAGGAGCCAATCAGTGAGTTCGCTACGTTCCAATCCCGTGGGGCCTTGGGTAATTAATGATGACTTGAAAATAGTCCTTACCGGCAGCAAGGACGGTACGATGTTAATGGGAGAACTGAAGCCAGGGGTGGTTATTTAGGTATACAGTGACTTTGTACTTCGTTACATTCTTCCGCAAAGTTGTGACGTTATTACTTGGAAACCTTGGTACTGATATTAAGCCTGCAGTGTAGTCAGCTGATACTATCGCATCTCTTACGGTTTGATAAAATTCCAGAAAAAAAAAATGAAATGAAAAAGATATGACCACCGCAGGGGTCGAACCTGCAATCTCCTGATTCGTAGTCAGACGCGATGCCATTTCGCCAGGCGGCCGTTATAACACTGGCAAACATTCCCCCTCATCACGACATCGAGTCCCTGCAGGTTGTGATCCTTTTGCGAGTCTCATCGGATGGAATATTAGATTTCGCGCGACAAAAAAAGGGTAAACTACTGATTGTTAACAAGACAAAGGGAAAAGAAAAAAAACATGATGCCGTAGGATGCGTGCCTACTCGTACATGAAGATGATGTCGACGCGTGTGCAACCCCTCTACGCTGCATGAGACATTAGAAAGGACATGTTATAATGTCCATCTTTTCCTGGGGTAATTTGCAGTAGCAGCTCATACAATAGTGCTGCTTCAGATCCAGAGAAACAAACAAAATCACTGCTCCTGTTTTTGGTTCTGGCCCGCCGACTTCCCAAAGGTAAACGTATTTCCAGACGTGGCACCAAAGCCAAATGCAGACGGTGTCGTCCCCGATGGTTTCCCGAACACGGACTGTGACTGTGTCGTCGGCTCTGTCGTCCCGGGTGTGCTGGGAGTCAAAGATTGGCCACCAAAAATAGAGGATGAGGTGGCAGATGGTGCGCCGAACACCGGGTTGGTCGTCGACGACGAACTAGTACCTGTTGGATTAAACGGGAACGTCGGCTTGGGTGCAAATTCGCCGCCAGGAGCTGAACCGAATGCAGATGTAGCGTTGCTGCTCTGTGAGCCAGTAAAGGAAAAAGTAGATTTTGGTGCTTCACTAGCGGTCGTCGTGGGGGGCAGGTTGCTCGAACCGACGGAGCCGGGTGCGGCCACCGACGCGGCACCGTTCGTTGGAGCCCCAAACGTGAGCGCCGGTTTGGTTGGTGCACTACTTGATGCCGTGTTACTAGCAGAAGAAGAGAGTTGGCTAGAGGCAGACGTAGTATTACTCGGGTTGGCGGTAAACGAGAATGTAGGCTTCGATGATGCGTCGTTGCCCGCCGCCGAAGCTTCCTTCGTCGTCGACGATGAACGCTGGCCAAACATGGATATAGCGCCACCTGATGAGGGAGCAAACGAGAACGTGGGCTTGGAAGTAGTGGCCGACGATGAGGTTGTCGCATTGCTCTCCCCAGAAGCAGGCTGGCCGAACGCGGGCGTGTTGCCTGACGGCGCAAACGAAGACTTCGTTGTTGTTCCATTGCTAGCCGCAACTGTTGATCCCGAGGTGTCATCCTTCTTTCCAAACGGGAATGGAGACATAGAGCCTGACGAGCCAAACCGACTGTTACCGAACGAAGATGCAGCCTTCAAAGGGGTCGCACTGTTCCCAAACAGGATTGTGTTATTTGCGGGGGTTGTGTTGCTGGTGGAGGGAGAAATGGTGGCTGTGGTCGGGAATGTATTCGTGGACGTCCCTGTTCCAAAAACTGGCTTGGGAGCGGCATTCGACGAGCCGCTGACGTCGGCAGCTGTCGTGGATGCTCCAGCCTCCGTCTGCTTTCCGAAGGCACTCGTAAAGGATGGAGTGCCAAATGTAGAACCACCTCCAAAAGCAGGTGCTTTCGCGCCCACGGCCCCTGAAAACGTAGAGGAAGGCGCCGGCTCCTTGGTTTCACCAGCGGCGGAAGCACTACTTGAAGTGGTAGGTGCACCAAAAGTGAACTTTGGCTTACTATCAGGAATGGTCGGAGTAGCAGTGGAGAACGCTGGGCTAGCGGATGGCTGCCCGAACGATAACTTCGAAGGTGCAGCAGGGCTCGTGGTAGTTGCTGATGGAGTGGTCAGGAAGGAGAAACCAGATGTTGATGGCTTCGACCCCGGCGGTGCCGTCGTGGACGGCGCCGAACCCGCAGTTTGCCAAGTGGAAGGTGTTAACATAAACCCAGACGTTGCTGGAGGTGCAGTTGTCGCTGGTGTAGAGGATGAAGGAGTGGTGGCTGCCTGGGATGCCATGGCTGGCACATTGGGCTTGGCGAACGAGAAGGCAGGAGCTTTGGGTGCTTCTGTGGTTAGGGTGGTAGTTCCAGATGAAGGCTGGGTTTGAGTCGGTGCAAGGAACGAGAAGGACGGGGTCGTTGGGAGAGCAGATGTCGCAGCAGAAGAGGAAGGTGCAGTAGTCTTCGATAAGAAATTTGATAGGGAGGTGGAGGTGGAGGGCGTCGTAGCCGCCGTGGGCACAGTAGTGGTCGATGGTTGCGCCGGAGGTGCAAAGGAGAAGGAAGGGGTAGACGAAGGGACTGCACTTGTGCTGAGTTGGGGAACACTTGGAATCGCAGGTGTAGCACTTGGCAACACGGAGAAACCAGACGTGGTAGCCGTGCCGGGAGCAGAGGTGGTTCCTTCGGTCTTGGCGGCAGAAGGTGGCTGAAAGGAGATTGAAGGTGCAGACTTGACTTCAGTCATCAGCGGCTTTCCTTCCACTGGCGAGGGTGAGGCAGGAGTTAAAGTAATAGCAGGAACTGTCAGGGTCTGTGCACACGAGCCGGGAGCAATTGTACTTGTTGGCACCTCGCTGCTCTTCATAGCTTCACTCTTCTTCTGCTCCTGCATTTTGGCGCGTATTTTAGCCATAGCCTCCGCTTCACGGTCTTGTTTTTCCCACTTCGAGAATCCACGGAAACCGGGTCGCGTAGGGCTCTCGGTGGCACCCACCAGGTGAGGAGATACAGAAGCACTGGGTGAACCAATGCGGCGACTTAGATTTGGTTGACTCTGAGATTGTTGGAAAGGATTTATCCGCATGGTAGTATTGGCTGTGAGAGATTGACGGAACGGACGGCGAGAGACAGGGCTGCTAGTGACAGAATCCCACAAAAGATCTTTACCCTTCTTCGAAGGTGATTCAGGGGGATGAGGAGATGCAGATTCCGTCGAAGGTCGCACATCCTGCGGAACGACATCCTGTCGCTCTTCTGCTTGCTTGTACTGCTCCTCTGTCATCCATGTTTCAACGTAGATTTCGAGAGCCGCAGCGCGGTCCGGATGCTGAGAGTCCTCAGGCTGCGAAGTTCCACGTCAGTAGGAGTAATCTCATAACACGGCTATAACATACCATGTGGTATTTATTCCGAGCCTTCTTAACCAAAGCAAGGCGTAGTCGCTCTCCTTTGTCGCCGACCTTGTACCGGACATCACCTGCTTCCCATTCTTCACCGATCTTACGACCACCACAGAGAGGGTCCTTGGATACCCGAGCATCCTCCACAGAGGTATCCATCTTGGTTTCGTCAGACGTAGCTCTCTTCCCCTTCCTCTTCTTTGATGTGCGCTGACTATCCCTCTTCAGGCTCTCCGTAACAGCACCTTCACCTTCACTCTCAGGGAACTCCATCTCCCGATCTCTCTTCTTCCCCCTGGGATGTGTTTCTGATTTCCGCTTAGACACTGATCGACGTTTCCGATGGCGGTTTGGTTTCTCAGTGTGAACGTCATCTTCATCGTCGGCGCCAAACGTGGATCCGGCTTCTGCACGGTCACGTTTCTTGCCACGAGGTATGGATGGCAACTCGGCAAATTCATCATCAAGATCCTCCATAATTTCATCGACGGGTTCGTCGGCCTCGTGTCCATATGATTGACCATTGAGAGAGACACGAGACGAAGACGCCACAGGCTGGGACCGTGAGCCGGTATATTGAGTGTACCAATCTGCTTCCTCGTCTCCGTCAATAAGGTCTTCGCCATCTATGCGTGTCTTTTTCATGTAACCGTCCGGCTCATCATCGCTTTCAGCAGCATACGACCGCTTCCGAGGGGCTTCTGCAGCATCGTGGTCGATGTGGTGAACCTTCCTGCTAATGCGTCTGGAAGCAGGCCTTCTGATCGGGGGGAGGGCTCCACGAGCTGGTTCGGGTAGTTGACGAGAGTGGCGGGTATTGGGGTTGTATCGTTCCGCAAAATTCGGTGGGTCAACGTCCGGGCGCTTGAAGTCCTGCACCTGTGCGCGTTTTGCTATGCCGGGAAATTTCTGGAAAGGCGATGGTCCACGCGCATCTTGATACCCCATGATGAATACAAAGTGTGATCAGATCAGCCACGTTTGTCTCGCAAATTGGCTTCTGCCAAGGCTTACCGGTTGATTCGGGCAGCCGTCTCCTGAGCTGATGCTCACCATGTGACGCACCCACTAGTGGAATGCGATGCTGACTGTCACCAGGCTGGAGATTGTCCGATCCCGATGGGACATGACTTGCGAGACTGTTACGTCCCCTGGCCTCGCGTTCTGTGCGCGCACGGTTGGCTGCTGCGTAGGCAACTGCAAAAGGTCGACAGTCTGAGTCGGGAATGCCGTGTTTTCTGCGCATCGCTCTGGAAGGAGAGTCCTGTAAGCAGGTAGGAAGACGGTCAAAGATGTCAACTAAAACATACTTTCTGTAGCTGAGGTCGCGATTTCTTCGAATGTATTCACGAAGGTGTACGAAGGTCGCCCATGCTAATAAACCAAGAAAGACGGCCGCTGCACCCTTGAAAGCGGCCAAGCATTGTATTAGCATTCCAAAGAGATCATTTTGTGGTTTTTGTAGTAAAGGGCCGCCGAGAATGTCGGCCTGCTCGTCGTTGAGGGCCATATTGTTGGTGGGAATGACGAGTCGAGGGCGACCGTGGGCAGTGCGACACCAGGTTGGAAAGACTTGGCGGTGCATCGGGCCATGAACTATTCGAGCGGAGTTTGGTTGTTGTATATATTGTTTCAACTTCCGACGCACAACAACACTTGCCTGTTCAACGTTCTTTCAAGCTGAAGTTGTGTTGATCTGAGGCTCGCTTTTGTGTCGCTGTTGTGATCATCATCCTGTTGGATAGCTCCACTCGCCTTTGCCTAGGGACACAGCTCAGAAGTGCTTTCGTTTCTTACTGGTGCAAGTGGGAGATCGACCGACGCTTGGTCCACGCTTGAATGTCCAATACTTTTGTATTATATTCCGTGGTCATTCGAGTACTAAACCTTGCGGACATGCTCCCGTGTAATAAAATATACTGTTTTCCTGGCCAGACATTGTGATCAACTTGTGAAACCGTGTTAGAGCCCGCCGCTTGATGGTGGGAATCTGGGCTAGTGACCAGTGGTTTTTATACCCCCCTCTGTTTTTCGCTCGCTTCCCGAATTTTCTCTCCTCCTCCATGGTCAAGGTTATTACCCTCGAAGAGTTCCAGGCTCACAATACCAGGGACTCTCTCTACGTCCTTGTCCACGAAAAGGGTGTGTATAGGCCTTAACGTGATTTTGCCGCTCACGCCATATGTTGCCTCGGTAGTGTACGATGTCACAAAGTTCATCGACGAGGTACAACTGTGTCTACTGGCTACCTGTATATAACTGCTCACAGGCGGAATCTAGCATCCGGGAGGTGACGAGGTCATTCTAACCGAGGCTGGTGCGTCGCGCGCTCATCGAAGAAATTCCGAGTCCAACGTTGCTGACGTGTCAACTTAGGCAAGGACGCAACGGACGCCTTCGAGGACGTCGGTCATTCCGATGAGGCCCGTGAGCTACTACCGGGCATGCTCATTGGCGAGTTGGACAAGGACGGTGTAAGCCCCCTTAACCCCTCTTCTACAGCTCCTTTCCAAACGTGATGCTTTGACAGTTGCTCAAACTCAAGTCGCCCAAACCTGCACCCATCCCAGTAGTTCACGACGCAGTTGAAAAGGGATCCAAGTATGCATTCCTGTCTCCCCGGTGTTGTCAATTATCTTACAACCCGTCTTCCGTAGCATGATGTACTTCCTTCCATTGGGGTTGCTGGGAGCCTACTTTGCATGGCGTCTCTACGGTGCATAGGGGTGCAATGAACTACGGCTCGTCCTGGTTTTGTTTATGATATTATTCAATCTACCCTTCCCTGCACTTGCTCGTGCTGCTCTAACATACCTCAAACCCTCCCGGTATACATGGAAACTTCTTTCATTCAATTGTTCCGTCGACCAGGCAGTGCACTCTATGTGCCTGTACCATTAGACTGAATGACGAGTGTTAATCCGGAATATAAGACATGAACCCTGCTTGAAAACTAAGGCGCAGGGTACGAATAGAACTGTGGCCAATGAAATGTATTGCATTACTACAAGTCACTTTCAATGGAAGAAAGCGAGTGCAAGACTGATCATAGCATTTCCAGTCATCCAAGGAATCATGATCGTTGCACTGTACACGAAATACATTTATCCTGCCACATTCTACAGCTGATACCACGATACATTACAGTACACTACAACACGCTAAGCCATGATAGGGATCCGGTGAGACTTGATCCGAAACCAAGTCTCAGGTTTGGCTTGGTCTTCATATCACAGCTCTGACTTTGCGCTGCTGATCATCCAACTGTGTAGCAACCGGTGTCAGAAACGCAATCCTGAATGGTTGGAACGTCCAACAAGCACTTACCACGTCTTCCCAGGAATGATCGCCGCGCTATCATACATCATTCACATCGAAACACAATCAGCTCTCCATACGAGATGATAAATCTGTCTTACCTTGCGCATCTGCGCCGCTTTAGCATGCTGAGAGTGGGTTAATGCACCGGTGGCAATAATAACTCCTAAAGTTAGCCCCTGGGCCCACACGCGCGCCTGAACCACCTGAGACACCACCCAGATAAGCATCAAAGATAAGTTCCAATTTAGGATCTTTCACGTACCTTGTGTCGAACGGGAAGATGCCTACCCGACCGCACCGCCAAGTGGCAAGCAAGTCGAAACAGTTAATGAGGCATTCCACAGAGAAGAAGAGGTGGGCATACGGGTCACGCATGATGATCGCCCCTGAAACTGCCATAGCAAGGGCCCAGCTTCCAACGACGTAGCTCAACTGGTGTCGAGCTGTCCAGTCTGCGAACTTGTCTTTCACACTGAGAGAGTCCCACCGGAGGCGCTCCTCATGCGCACGGCGCTCGACAGCGTACTTATCTTTACTGTCCCTGCCGACGGTACATGTCAAACAAGGACGATCAACGGGTGGACACGAGACGCAACCAGCATCAAGGGAATTGATGTGGACATACCAGTGCGAACGCTCGTAATCAATCATACGATGTTCTGCTCTGATCGCAGTCGTTGGAAGAATTATAATGATGGCAGCCAGTGTCTTGAGTTGCAATGGCAGCGAACGAAAGTACGGCCATTGGCGGTTCAAGATGTAGAAACTTGGGAGGGTTACCGCTGCGCCCATGACGGTGCCCTCAACGGCACCCCTAATTGCTGCTCCCTCCGCATCGAGTGCGTTATCAAAACGTCGCATCTGAAAAACTAGGTGGGCCTGCTTTGGCTGAAGGAGCTTTTCCTTACCTCCATCATCACTTCTGTTGGGATAAAAGCAAGACCGACGCTTAAGTGCTTCGAACTAAGTTGGATATACAACTTTGCGGTCAGACCAGCCTATGACGTCACAACCTCCTGTCCCACTACACGAGCAATGAGATATCATTATCCAAGGACTAACTACATACATGCGTATTTGTACCTACGTGCTAAGACTAAATGGCATGAACAACAGAATTATCCACTTTTTTGCACTGACGTATCACTCCGTATGACCCACGAGAGCAAGGATGGAAATAGGGTGATATAGGACGAAGAAAAACGAACAACGGTACTCAAAAATGGTCGACCGTGAACGTCCATTTCCCTTCCTTGATGTCGAAGCTTTCAAATTGTGTGTCCTTCATCGACTTTAAACGCTTCAAGTGCTTCACGTGTCTTGGATCCTTTTCGTCCTTGATTGGCTCTCTCGTTGCCTTGTCCAATGACCAGCATCGCACAAGCACTATGCGAGCGCGCACATTCAATCCAGACCCAGGAGTGGGTTTGTCTGCGTCATCACCATCTGGGTACACGCAACACTCCTTGTCGTCAAACCGAACAAGTTCCCCGAGGAGTGCCCCGAGTTTCGGCAATCCCGTGAGGTCGACGGGATCCAAGAAGTGAATCTCTCCGAAGTCAACCCGGCCGACCATCAGATCTTTGAAAGAGAGTAGCTGGTCATATGACGAATTCTTCAGTGTTTCCAGATCTGGCTTCACCCAGTAGTCACCGTGTTGGAGTGGTGCAGGCCCACTGTTCGGTGCTGCTTTGCCCTTTCCTGTTGGCGACGGCTGACCCAGGATGACAGTGCTGGTATGAGCAGTGAAGCGATTGGGAGCTTTTGAAGATGCCTCCTTCGGTGGAGAGGAAGCAGCGGCGGATGCAACTTCCTTCTCCCGCGCAACTTCTGTCTGTCGTGCAGCTTGGCTAAGTGCAGGACTGAAGGTTACCCTCCCAGGGCTTCCGCGACCTGACTTGCTAAACAGATCTGCAGGTTCCACTTTCTTGTCTAAAATCAACTTCTTCACGCTTTGTCTTGCACCACTTCCCAACGCCGGACTTGCGCTACGCAGGAATGCATCCGCCGCCGTAGAGGTGCGAAGAGCACTCTGGCAGTCGACCCGGCTCAGCGACAAGGAACCTGTCTTCCCGTTGGTCAGCGACAGGGAGAGAGGGCTTGTTCCGTTTTCTGTTGCACTAAACCCGCGCAATTTCGATGCAGCAGGCGTGTACCCCAGCTGGATTCGAGGTACCGGCGAGCGTATAGGCATGTCCATAAAGAAGCCAGGTTTCTTTTTTGGTTTTGATTCAATGGTGACAGCCCTCGGGCCCGGAGGAAGCATAGAGAATATGGGTAGATTGCTGGCAATGGGCTCAGCGATAGACGCTGTGAACGTGCCCTGCGCGTTCGGAGCTGTGGTCGACGGAGCCAGGGTGCTCGTGTTTCCAAATAACGAGGTGCCAAGACTGCCAGTAGAAGTAGAAGTGTTGATGGCTGGAGCAGTTGGCTTGGGTTGGCCAAATAGAGAAGTACCAAAGCCACCTGTACCCGTAGTTGGCTGGTTCGTTGTGCTTTGTCCCAGCGGCTGGCCAAAGGTACCAGTGTGTTGAGCGCCTGTACCGGTAGCCGCTGTGCCTATTTGTCCAAAAGTGGTACCACCACCGAACAGACCAGTGCCCGTCGTTGTCGCAGGTTTGGCGGCACCAAAGAGACCACCGGTCTGTGCAGGTTGTTGTCCTTGGGTTTGAGTGTTTCCAAACAAGCTGGTACCAGTACCTGCGGTATTACCCCAGAGGCCACCGGACGGTTGAGTAGGAGTAGTGCCGAATACTGTTGCAGGATATAAAGCGACAAAACTAAAACTATTCAAAACACTACTTACAACCACCACTTTGAGGTTGTTGCTGATTTGGCTGCACTTGCCCGAAAGGATTGGTGCCAGGGGTGCTCCCTGTAGTCCCGAACAGCCCGGTAGTTGGTTGTGATTGCTGGCCCGGTTGCTGTGGCTGAGCCTGCTGCTGGTTTCCAAACAAACTAAAGCCGGTCCCCGTCGTACCTGTTGTCTGGGCGGGCTGGCCAAATATCGATGGTTTTGCAGCAGTTGCAACTCCTGCCAGAGGAAGGTGTTGGTTTACACCCGCACATATTGCCTTGTGAAACTTACCGAACCCGCCGAACGTCGTACTAGGTTGATTCTGTTGTGGTTGTTGCGGCTGCTGCTGCTGGGGCTGACCAAACAGACCCGTAGTTGTACCAGTTGCTGGCTGGGTTCCAGGTTGACCAAATACGCCAGTGCCTGTTGTACCGAACGAACTTCCAGCTGCACAAACCATCTAGTTAACCAAAAACAATTATCCATACGTGGTGCACTTACTTGTCCCTAACCCAAAGCCAGTTGTGGGCTTGTTTTGCCCAAACCCTCCACCGCCACCGAAGATACCGCCGCCTGTGTTTGGTTGTTGTTGGGTTTGTTGTCCGAATGCCCCAAATGCGGATGGCTGCTGCTGCTGCGGTTGTTGAGGCTGTTGTTGAGGCTGACCGAAAGCAGATGTGCCACCGAAAAGACCAGTTCCAGTACCACCGCCAGGCTGGCTTGGCTGGCCGAACCCACCAAAAGTACCTGTTCCGGCTTGCTGTGAAGTGCCAGTCCCAAAAGCACCAGTCGTGCCACCACCAAAAATGGACGAAGTAGCAGGTTGCTGAGTGGTTGCACCGAATATGCTGGTCGGTTGAGCGGCGGGTGTTCCGAAGGATGTTTGGCCGAATGCTCCCGCTGTTTTTCGGCCCTGCTGATAGTCTTGCATGCGCAACTCCTAGGATGTATAGTGAGATGATCGGGGATGAACAAACTAAGACTGTGTAAAACGCACCTCTAATGATGTACCCCGGTAAGCTGGCATTGCGGTGATGGTCTGGTACTGGAGAGTAACGGAACTCGAAGGGTCTTTCTCACTGTAGACATTGTACGGTGGCGAAGCGGTGCCAGTGGTGACTGCTGTTGCTACTGCACCATCCTGACCAGTGGCTGTTGGCGACAGCGGCAATGAGTTTGACTCGGATACAGCACTAGTATTCAGCTCACCTGGCGTTGTTCCGAAAGCAGTCGATGGGGATTTGTTTTGACCAAAGAGCCCTCCACCAGCGCCGAATGCGCCACCAGTGTTGGTGGATCCGAAGATACCCGTGCCCGTTGCGGGGGCCGTAGTGGTAGAACCGAAGGTACTTGTGCCATTACCGAACGCAGTTGAACCACCACCAAATGCACCAAAGCCCGCTGTAGGCTTGGGAGCACCGAAGGCAGAGGTTGCCGTTGTGGGTTGTGTCGTGTTTTGGCCAAATCCGCCTGTAAAGAGATGGTTAGATGGGAGGAACAAAGATCATGGCGAACGCACCGAACGTAGATGTGCCAGTGCTAGGGGCCCCTAGGTTCCCGAACATTGGGTTTGCTGCCTGCGGCTGCTGGGGTTGTCCAAAGGCACCGGGTGAGCTAAAAGCTGTTTCAGAATGATTTATAGGTTCAAATGGGAGTCAGACTCGTGAAAGTTTATGGCTTGTGCTTACCTCCTCCGGTCCCGAAGGTACTTGGTTGGCCAAAAGGTGAACCTTGCGGCTGCTGTGGCTGTTGCTGCTGCTGCTGGTTCTGCTGCTGGTTTGACCACAACGACTGGACTGGATTCGTCCCAAACATTGTTGCAGTCGTCCTCGTCGTTGCAGGCGTTCTCAACGATGGCAACAGGTTGACAAAGCGCGGACCTTTAATTTTCAAACACCGACATTGCGTGTATTAGGAAGGTGGGTCTCACGGCTATACGGCAGTACCGCAAAATTTCGAGTGTATGGTGTGGACGAGAGATGCCAGACATGCAGGAGGAGTGTTCAGAGAGACCAAAGCGAAAACCAACGTTTAATACCCTCGAACGCGAAGAGAAATTCAGGCATCCTCCACAAAACGCGTCGACGTACCCGATTTTCAACGAGTTCGTCACACCGCACATAGAATCCTTCAATGCACTTTTCGACGACTCTGGGTTGCCCAAGGGGGATGGTAACGGTCGGGGGTTACTGTCACTAGGTTTAAAGGAGATTGGAGAACGTGTCGTATTTGATGGGAATGGGCAGGTGGGCACAGAGAGCGGTCAGACTGGCTGGGGTAACCGCATGAGCTGTGAGTGAATGTATATTCCAGAACGAGCCTCAGTTTATGCAGCGGATCGTCAGTGTGGATTGAAGAAGTGTCAATAGCACCCCCGAGGTTGCCAGATCGTGACACTTGGAGTACGGAACGAAAAGTGTTCCCGTCCGAGGTGTGTCCTCCTTGCGTGCACCGATTCACTCCACTGCACACTGAGCACGAACTTATATAAGTTGATCTGACACACTTGCAGGCTCGCGAGCGTTTAACCTCATATAGGGGTCGAATGCAAGCCAAAGTCTGCTGGAGGATCAATGGTGAAGATGGTGTAGAACAGAGCCTGACACGCGATTGCGGCTTGGTGCCCATCATGGTCAGAGTACGTGCGGTGCTCCCTCCAGTGTGGTTCATGATCGATTGAGCTTCATAGTCCGTACGCTGTAATCTTCGTAACCTCTCCTCCGCAGAGCTCGTACGAAGACACGAAGAACCGGAAGAATTTGGCGGATACTTCATTATCAACGGAAACGAGAGACTAATTCGGTACCTCATCCTGCCTCGCAGAAACCACGTCATTTCCGTCATTCGCCCATCTTTCGTGAATCGAGGTCCTTCGTATACCCAACACGCGGTTCAGATTCGATGCGTTCGCCCTGACCAATCGAGCATAACAAATACCCTTCATTACCTCTCTAATGGCAGCGCAATGTTGCGATTTAGTTGGCGCAAGCAGGAATATGTTATTCCTATCATGCTTATACTGAAAGCCCTCATTGGTGCATCTGATCAGGAAATATTTGAACACGTCATGATGCAAGACTATGAAGATACATTCCTGACTGACCGCGTAGAACTTCTTTTGCGCAGTTTCGAAAAGGTACGACCTACATACGGGTGAACGATGTCTGGAGTACTTGGGCGACAAGTTTCGTGTAGTACTCGGGGTGCCAGAAGATTGGAACAACCGAGCGATTGGGGCATGGTTGATTCAAAAAATGGTCTTGGTTCACGTTGAAGAACCGCGCGACAAATTTCGTCTGCTGGTGTAGGTGCCTAACCTTTGCTCTTTTTGGTTGTCCACTAACAAAGTTCCACCAAGATTCATGTTACGGAAGCTATACAGCCTACTGTCTGGATCGTCCTGCGCAGACAACCCGGATTCGCCACAACACCAAGAAGTTCTCCTTCCAGGCTACCTGTATAGCATGATTATCAAAGAACGCCTAGAGGAGGCACTCAATCAAGTTCGCAATCAAATAACCATTGACGTACGGAGGGCCGAACCTCCGCCGGACTTCTTTGACAGTCAGTGTCTGCTGTCCATTCATGGAAGACAACGTGTCATGGTTTTACAGAACGATACATCCAGAAAGTGATCAACAAAGTTAACTGGGAGATTGGTGCAAAAATGTCCAATTTTCTGGCAACTGGAAACCTTGTTTCTTCCTCCGGTCTCGACTTACAACAAGCCTCAGGTTTCACGATTGTTGCGGAGAAGCTCAACTGGCTGCGGTATATAAGTCATTTTCGATGTATTCACAGGGGTGCATTTTTCGCGGAATTAAAAACGACAACTGTCCGGAAACTCCTTCCTGAAGCATGGGGTATGCGCTCGAGCCATTCGAGATGTGTCGTGCTGACATTTTGCAAGGTTTCCTGTGCCCCGTGCACACCCCTGATGGTACTCCTTGTGGTCTGCTCAACCATCTTTCGCGGTCGTGCCGCATCGTTACGGCTCCCCGAGCGGTCGCTCACATCCCGTCCCTACTGCTCGCTCACGGCATGTCACAACCATTCTCATCCTCGATCGACGGTCGCAAGAACTTATGCGTCCAACTTGACGGGCGCGTTATCGGTTGGGCCCGACCGGGATTGGCTAAGCAGCTTGCTGAGGGCTTGCGAATATGGAAGACCGAAGGACTACACAGGATACCCCTTGACCTCGAGATCGGTTTCGTACCCGAGAGCAAGGGAGGCCAGCACCCCGGACTGTTCTTATTCTCAACTCCAGCAAGGATGATGCGTCCGGTGAAGTTGCTTGCTAACGGGAGGGACGACCTGGTGGGACCCTTCGAACAAGTCTACCTGAATATAGCTGTGAAACCAGGTGAAGTTGAGATGGGCGTTTCTACACATGTGGAACATGCACCTACAAATTTCCTTTCCATCCTTGCCAATTTGACGCCTTTTTCTGATTTCAACCAAGTGAGTAGTGGCCCTCGTCAGTACAAACATATCTAAACCATTGTAACAGAGTCCACGTAACATCTACCAATGTCAGGTAAATCATCCGGGCAACCTTTCAGACAGCTTCCTGACTATTTCACAAGATGGGTAAACAAACTATGGGGACACCATCAACCACGTTACAGCATCGGACCGATAACAAGCTTTACCATCTCCAGACTGGACAAACCCCAGTGGTTCGACCTCGTCTGCATGATACATATGGTATGGACGCATTCCCGAATGGAACGAACGCAATTGTTGCAGTTATTTCCTATACGGGGTATGATATGGAGGATGCCATGATCCTTAACAAATCTGCTCATGAACGTGGATTTGCGTACGGTACAGTCTACAAATCCGAGGTGATAGACTTACAGGAAATGCGTGGAGCGTCGAAATCCTCATCGGCACCGACCCTGCATTTTGGATTAGGGGATGACATCCACACTGAGGCAGGCGATCGACAACACACCTGCATGGGTTTCTTGGACACGGACGGGCTTCCCAGTATTGGGGTCAAACTGGAGGCTGGAGACCCCATTGCCGCCTACGTCGATGACACCACGGGTCGAACTAGATTCGTCAAGTACAAAAGCGACGAGGCTGGTATTGTGGATAAGGTTCGGCTGCTCGGTATGTATTTCTTTCTTCCTTTCGTGTAAGATGATGGATGGTGCCGCAGGCTCAGATGCAGGGGACACCGAGCTCCAAAAACTTCAAGTAACCTTGCGAATCACGCGCTCTCCCGTCATCGGAGACAAGTTCTCTTCCCGTCATGGCCAGAAAGGGGTCTGCTCCCAAAAGTGGCCTGCAGTCGACATGCCATTCTCCGAGAGCGGGATGCAACCAGACGTCATCATCAACCCGCATGCTTTCCCTAGTCGAATGACCATCGGAATGTTGGTAGAGAGCATGGCTGGCAAAGCCGGTGCAATGCATGGGCTAGCTCAGGATGCCACCCCATTCGAGTACGCCCCCCTGCTGCCGTCATCCACATGGTACTGATCTTGCCCTAGATTCTCGGAGGAAGATACGGCAATCGATTACTTTGGCGAGCAGCTCGTGGCCGCAGGATTTAATTACTATGGTAACGAGCCGATGTATTCTGGCATCACTGGCCAAGAATTCGCGGCGGATATCTACATCGGTGTCGTCTACTACCAGCGACTGCGTCACATGGTATTGGACAAGTTCCAAGTGCGAACGACGGGTCCAGTGGACCCGGTGACACGCCAACCTGTCAAGGCACGTATCTTCACGTGTCATCTCGCTGCCCACTGTTGACAGGCTTGATTTTTTCACAGGGTCGCAAACGTGCAGGAGGTATCCGTTTCGGAGAGATGGAACGCGATGCCCTCATAGCGCACGGCACGTCGTTCCTCTTGCAAGATAGGTTAATGAACTGTTCGGACTATTCCACGGCATGGGTGTGCCGGACATGTGGCAGTCTCATATCGCTGGGATACGACGACGTCAGTCTAGGTGAGGTTTTGTCGGGAGTTATAAGACCGTCGGGCCCTGGTGGCGAGTATTGCAGGGTTTGCCGCGCAGCTGCTGAACAAGATGATGAGAGGGCGAGACAAACGCTGGCGACAGGTCACAATCTAGACAGGGGTCCCCAGCCGGAGATATCTGTCGCGATACCGTCGTCCCATGTCTTGGGTTCGACGAAAAAAGGTGGCGATATGGAAGTGGTGGCAATCCCATACGTGTTCCGCTATCTCTGTGCCGAGTTGGCTGCCATGGGTATAGCAGTTTCGTTGGAGGTGCAGTAGGTTATGAACATACCTCGACCGCTTTGTTGTTACCACTATCATTTGCATACGTTGTTTGTTGCGTGCACCGCGAGCTTTCCCAACAGATGGTCGAATACATAACTCGCTGAAATTACAGCTGGAGATACCAGAGTGTACTGATATAGGGTGTGTTGGAAGCCTGAAACCTGCATAGCACTACTGTTGTAAGAGTAAGAATACGATAGATAGTAAATATGGATGAAGATCGAATGAACCTGCAACCAGAAATGTAGTAATCCTCAATAAGCAGGGGGGGTATCGAATCGGTTCTAGAGAGCGTAGCTATAGCTCGGCATGTCCGTTGGAAAAGGAAGTGGGGGCTCTAGTTCTAGTGTCGTATTCCACAGAACCATCACTGTCGCCCAAGAAAAGACCAACGAGCGTCTGCTCTATCATCGTGTTCAGCTCTCGCGTAGCAGGATCTGGGGGTGGCGCTGTAGCCAACGCCCGCAGTTCTGCAGGGTCAGAGACCAGCTTAGAGCGAACCAGGAACATATCGACGAGCAGCCGACACTCGTCGGCATTCATCGCATGCGCCAGCGCTCTGCGCATATCACGAGTCTGTTCGGCAAGTGATATAGGGATTACTGGAGCCGAAGATGAGCTCTGGGGAGGTGCTACAGCAACTTTGGTGGATTTAGAAGACACCCGGGGAGGAACGTGCGCTCGTGGTGCAAATTCCATCTGCATCGGGGAAGATGAAAGTGAGGGCGCTAAGGAGGCGGGTGCCGATGAAGGGACTGGAGACGTGGGCGCAACGCTGCCAACCCACCCCGGAGTTGATGACGACTGGTGGGGCGGTGGTTTTACATCATTGTCAAGAGCTGAGTCTGAAAGCCTTTCAGATACCGCAGCTGGCGAGTGGCAGAGCTCCTCCCCAGGAACAATGATAGGAATGGGAGGGACGGGCAGCTGCTCCTTGTTCGCCGCTGTGCCAGTTTCACGAGGTATGACTTTCCGCGAAGCAGATTGCGAACGCCGGCGCGCATTGGGAGTTTCCCGGTCTTCGGAACCACGATCTGACGAAGCCGCCGAAGAAGGACCAGGAGTGGGATACCGTGGAGGGATAGGTCGATTTGCAAGTGGACTTAGGTTGCTTGATGATTTGTTGTGAGGTACGACGACCTCTTGTATGCTCCCTTTCCGCGAGGACTTGCTCGACTGGCTTGAGCCGGAAAGTGTAATCCTCGATATCATCTTTTGCAAACGTCCCGACTTCTTTGGTGTAAGAGAGAGGAAGCTGTCGTTAGACGGTGATGGTGTCGCCAGAGGCTCTGGAGGGCCCTCAGCAAGAAAATCGATCAGATCCCTGGTATTTGTTGAGATTCCCTTATGTTTCTCTTGCGGCCGCGAAATCTTTCGCCCCGGGCTCACTGGAGTCTCTTCATCCGAGTAGCCCATCACATCGTCTAGATCAAGGGATTCTCTATTTCGACCGGGTCGCCTAACTGGTGCTTTCACAGCGTTCATATTGAGCTCTTTTGGAGGCGCCTTGGGTCTCGGTACAGACTCAGCAGCAGAACTTGGAGGCGTGGGGAGAACCGTTGATTCGGAGGGTTGCGTCTGCTTGGAAGAGGCAGCAAGGGGTTGTGCAACTAAAGAGTCGGAGGTAGACGCAGACCTGATCCTCATAAACGACGTAGGACGGTAACTCGCAGCAGCAACCCCAGCAGCGCTAAGTTGCCGAGGTCGTGATGTAGGAGGGTTTAAAGCCATGGCGTCTTCGTCGTCTTCAATGATAGACTCGACGGGCTGCAATGGTGACCTGGTGGAACGGGCTGATGGGGGGGCAGAGAGAGGTTCGGAAACGCTCGCTCTGTCGGTTTTAGTTAACCCTTTCTGACGTCCGGGGGGTCGCGATCTTTCCTTGTTTAGCACCTGTCAGATCAGACATCAGTCTCCTTGGGAAAATATTGGACACGTATAAGGATGGACGTACTTCCATCGTGCGAAGCCGATCGGGAGTAAGCGAAACTCTCACTGTTGAACCCGAACGCATCATGTCGTCGAACTCTTGCGAGCGAGTATCCTGGTGAGTTCCATAAGGTTAGCGACAAGGGACGACCCATGCAGTAAAGATGGGCTTACACTAAATGTGGTGGACACGGGAGACTTATCGGTGCTACTACGAATGGACTGCTTGGCATTGGCACTTGCGAAGGACTCTGACTTTTGGTGACCGTGTTCGCTTGCATGCGGCGATCCCTTGTTGTTAAAATTTTTGATACCCCGCGATTTGTCAAAGGATGACCGAGAAGATTGGTGATTGGCATTGACAATAATACTAGGAGGAATACCGGAAGAGTCCGATGACATGCGCTGACGGGGAGAACTGCGTGGGTCGTGTTTCCGGAATGATTCAGATGTTGGGGATGCAGCTCCCGTCAGCCTCTCGCGAGAGAAGGATTTGCTGAGGCTGCGTCTTCCATTCGGGAGTTTCGAGAGGGATTCGATTTCCTCGTAAACTGCAGGAGAGTGACGTGGCGAGTGAAGTATCACTGATCAGCTGAACGCCAAACAGCCCACAAAATTACATTTCACTGACTCTTCATGCTTTTAAAAAGGCCGTAAATTGTGTTGTCTTCGCAAAGCGCGACGAAGAGATCTTGCGAATTGGCTGTCGCGCGACTGCTGTCACGAGCCACGACGCGGCTAACGTTCGACAGGACATGTCTAAGCGAAAATTTTTCAGTAGCCAACTGTGGAAGCTAACAGTACGACATACTCGCAGATTGACCTAAAATAGTCTGTTTCAACACAACGTTGTGTGAGAGATACGTGATACTACTCACTCGATAATAGCAGTTAAATAGAGGGAAGCCGGAGCAAGGAGTGATTGCTTAGGAATGGAGGTCCCTTCAGTGTTCATGCGTTCCGTGAGACGAACTTCTGCATCTGGATCTTCATCCGTATCGCTCAGCGTTGAATAGGCTTCACACTTGAGACGGAGGAGCTGGACAGGAGCAACCGAATAAGTGTTAAGGGAAGTCTGCCGCAGCGGAGCGTCATGCTCACCTCGAATACCCATGGTAGGTTGAAGCTGCCATCATCCGGTACGACCTGAGATGAACCATTGCCCGAAGTCCCAGATGTACGATCCCAGTATGCCCGGAGTTCTAGTTCGGCTTCTAGGACAGCTTCTTTGCCTAGCGTTGTCGGCAGGATCCTGTGTAGACCAGCCCTTAGTTGGGCAGTATTTAGGGCGCGAGCAGCATCAAGAATATTGTAGAGAAGCTCGTCAAGGAGAGCATTGGTGGCATGGAGAGCGTCGTCTGCGAGCCTCGTCGGACGAACATCGGATAGAATGACATCTGCTGAACGCGCCGAGATGTAAGTGGGTGGTCCCAAGTAACCCACTTGGCTTGCCATTTCACTGTCACTGAGGCTCAGACGAGTTGGACAGGGTGGACGACGAGCGCGACGACGGCAACGGGAGTTTTGTACGATGATGATACACGTAACCGGGTAATACGCAGTGCTAAATGGCCTCCCAAGCGACGAATTGTCACCGGTGTGGACCACGTTTCAAGTGAAATCAAAAAATGTACCCGTCCCTGATACGGGCTGATCGAATTTCAACAAGCAACCAGTCCGATTTGCAATGAAAACAAAAGATACGATCGACGGTGTGAATGGGAGTGTGTCGTAAAGGCATTATGCACATGCTTCTATCAAATAAGCGCTCAGCCATCCAAGATCCCATAGCAAACTCCCACACATTGCATCCAATATACAACCGCGGTCATTGAGTCTCTCAGTCTCAGCTGATCAACCCCATCAGGAACACCTTTCAAAAGCTTAAAGAAACTGGCTGTTTGGCGGGGTCCTTGTCAAAATGTCAGCATCTTTGCCGGACTTTCTTTCTCAGCGGCATCTGCCGCAGGTGCTCGGCCCTGCCCCCCTGAGTCCACGGACATATGAATTACCGCAGCCTCTGCCTCTCGTCGATCCACGGCCGCCGGGGACTCCGACACCTTCAGGGATTCCGAAGAAACAGAGTCGTCACCTGGCGTGGCGACCACGCCCATTGCTCCTCCCCATAGCGTTAACCCACGCGCAACCGTTCGTGTCACCTCCGACGAGTGCAACTCGTCGAGTGGCGTAACGCGTGACGAACCAGCGGACAGGGGTAGCAGAAAATCGTATTCATCCCGGTTCGCGTCCGCCTTTGCTCCGCCTTTGTCGGCTGCAATACGACCGCGGATTGACACATTCTGCTTCTTCGTGTTCAACTGGACAGGACCAAATATATTCCAAAGTACCTAACGATAGCGTGAGCACCAAAGTTCAATATGTGGAATGCAACCTACCCAAGGACCGACGACAGCATGTCGATCGGCGCTGATTCGCGCTTTGTGTACGCGTCGGGGTACGACGCGATACGAGGGTAGTCGGGGTGGAAGACGTCCTACTGTGGCGGGGATGGCTGGCGGGTACGGCAGCCTAGGCGGCTGAGCGGGTGATTGTTGACCACCGTGTTCTCGGTCTTTATGGTTAAATGCTTCGGTCGAATCAAAGAAGGATTGATCACATCCTAGGAAGCTAGTCGGCGTCGGAACAAAATCTCGGAAAGCGATACCCACCTGCATAAGCACATGGTATGGGGAATATACCGTGAACCTTGAAATGCTCGTGGCGATCATCGTTTGTACGGAATTTCTTTCCGCATCCTTTCCACCGACATCGAAATGGCATTCGCTGCTGGCCCATCAGTCCAACCGCGAAAGACCGTCATGTCCTCGTACCTGCGGATCGTCTTGTCCGTGCTTCTCTAAGTGAGCAAACAAGTTCACTCCACAGTTGAGAACGGCATCACAGTCTCGCCATTTACAAGGCCTCTCAGCAAATCGACAGGTGCCGTCTTTGACCACTAACCGTTCATGCTCGATAAATTGAATTGTCTCAGGCTGACTATATTGGACTGCAATAAGTGAGCCACTAAATGGCTGAAGCGAAGAACGTTCCCGTACTTCTTGAGCGCGAGTCGCCCTCATCCGTAGTTTCCCCATCTGCCCGTGCAACTCCCTCTTTCCGCCTGGATCCCTTAATCTTCTTGACGTACCGGGGTGGAGGAGGAACAAGTACGTATGGACGTTTCTTTCGTTTCTTTTTCACCACGACTACGGATGAATCTGTGTCGATGGCTTCTCCGTCTTCGCGTTCAGTCGAGTATCGTTTACGCGACAGAGGTAGACTACCAGCATCATCAAGTACAAAGCCATCATCATCTGTATCAGGAGGTGGAGGGGCAGAAGACCGATCTGCCGTAAGAGAGGCAGGTGGGGATGGCAGGAACAGAGGCAACCCGCCAAGTGCGAGATTCTGGTCCTCGGTCGGTGAAGGTGACCTGAGTTTTTCAGAAGTTGACGGCCCAGCAACAGGCGCCACCTTCACGGTTTCGGCATCCGGTGGCGTAACATGCTCTGTTTCAGCACGCAATGAAGGCGGGGAAGCCATACGTATGTCTCCCGCTTGAGCATTGGCGAGGGGTTCTACATGGCGTTCTTCCAGATAGAGGTTCTGGAGTTGGTGAGTTGGGACCGGATGCTCAGTATTCAACCGAGAGTTGGAAGGTATTGGCGAGGGGACTTCAGGCGGGGTTTCGTGCGATACAGTAGCTGTCGGCCCCATTTCGTCCAATGTCAGATCAATTACCATTGGTGCGCCACTTAAAACCTGTGGCTTTTGGTCGTCCAGATGTGCTGGTTGGTCTGCGGACACTGACGGTACAGTGATATTGACTTGACCAGGTAGCTGCCGAGTGGGAGATGGAGCAGTAGTAGGCTGTAGCGGGGGTTGTGTCGCCATGACTGGTGGGGCGGTTGGACTTGGGATGACCAACGGGGTGACTGGCATCGTGATGACTGGCGGAGCAACCGGTGTCGTGATAGCCGGTGGGCCAGCTGGCATCGTGGTGACCGGTAGGGCAACTGGCGTGGTGATGGGCGACGGGGCAGCCGGCGTCGTGATGACCGGTGGGACAACTGGTGTCGTCATGACCGGCGGGGCAGCTGGCGTCGTGAGGACTGGTTGGGACTCTGTAGCGTGGTCCACGGCAAGTACTGCGTGGGAAGATGCCTGTTCGGCTGCCTGCTCATTTTCTTGACTACCTGTTAAAGTTGGTGGGAATTCTGCAGTGGGACCCCCCACCGGTCTAGGCGACGGAGCAGGTCGCCGGCTTGCTTCCTTGCTCTTCGCCACATTCTTTGCGTCAGAGGTAGGGACCGGTCGCCCAAGCGAACGCAAAATATCGAACGCCAGCCGCTTTTTATCTGCTTGCCGTGGTGTGCGGGCGGTTGGTTGGCGCAATTCCACCTGCAATTTAGGCGTAACGGGAAGATCTGTAGCAGGCACTCTCGCTGCCACCGAAGGTGAAGGGACCCTGGGAGCATGCAGCGGAATAGGAGCGGGTTCCTTGGGGATTGTGATATGGGGTACTGTCACGGGCTGGGAAGCAGGAGCCTGGGGCGCAGATCCATCGGTCTGTACTCCGGTTAAACCTGTCTGTACCGGTGATACACTCTCAGTGATATCCGTGGTAATAGATTCAGGTATTTGAGAAGTCAAGGCAGTGGTCGAAGGTCCCGACGCCGATGGTGATGTTGCACTCCGCGGCCGTAAATCTGGAGGTAAGTGCTGCAAGAACTCCGGAAAAACTGCCTTCCGCTGTTGCTCGGAAAGCGAACGAAGCGCGAGTTCAAACCAGTGCAGACCAACGCCTGCACGATGCAATTTCGTAACAAAGGTCGCGGTTTGTTCAGGACCAGACTGGTAGGTCTTGATCAGCATTGGAATCTCTATTGTAAGAACAAGTCCATCATCACCTGTACAGCCTGCTGGAAAGCACGAAGGAAACTCTCGCTCGCTTCTTGGGCTTGAGCTTGTGAACTTCTTGGATGCTGTTGCTGTTGCTGCGGGGCCGGTTGAGTTGCCGAGACAGACGGCAAGGTATGCTGCTGTGGTTTGTGGTGGTGCGCTCCAAGGTGTTGTACATTCTGTTGCAGAGGTGTTTCTGACCCCGCGGATGAAGGTGGCCGCGCTGTGATCTGAGATTGATGATGAACGGGCTGAGTAGGATGCGCTGCCCGAGGCTGAGCCAAAGAAGGAGCTGTGGGTGGTACCACAGTCGAAATCCGTTGGGCGGATCCAGGATGCTGAGCATAAACTGTTGGTTGGGGCTGAGCATGCATTCTCTGAGGTTGTGAAATGGCCTGTGTTGAGACAGCCGCTGCTGGGTAATGGCTAGTAGTAACACCAGCGAACCCCGTCGTCCCTGTTCTCTGGGCACTCCGGGTTTGTTCAGATCGTTGAGTCCCTGCAATACATGACGTAAGTTGCCAAGGGCTATTTGTTGAGACGCACCATAATGTTCACCGAGATTTTGCTGGTTAAACGCGGAGACAAGAGGATAACGTGCCGAATAGTCCGTCCTGTAATAAGGGGAGTGATGGCTGTAACCGTCGGCGTCTGGACGAAAATTGATTTGCCCCTGCCGCGCTGTGGGGGGTTGGTCGGGTTGAGTTGGCACATAGGGGTGATAGGAATATTGTGCAGGGTACGGAGGGCTGTATTGAGCCTGAGCAGCACACGAAGCAGATGATTGTTGCAGTGGAGGCTGAGGAGGCTGAAACTGTTGAGGGCGCTGGTATGCCTGTGGAGTCCGGTGATGGGTGGTTGGTTGTGCAGGTGGCTAGGAGAGTGCAGGTCAGTCAAATCGGTGTACGACGGGAAGACTGGATTTACCAGGGACGTCGAGGGGTGTTCCGGGACCTCAACGAGGGTAGCAGTGCTGGGGAGTATATTAGAATGGTTATCGGTGCCGGGATGACCACCAGTTTTCAATGCCAGGGGTCTAGCAACACCGCCCGTTAACACAGCGCAAACAATACACGAATCCCTCTCACAATTGACTCGAGCTTTGAAGTTTTTGAAGCATTTGCCTACCTTCAGTGAGTCGCGACGCGGACACGGAGAGAACCATTGACCACTTACTCAGCCTCGCGACCTTCCTGCACCCGTCGTTCTAGTTGATCCATCAGAAAGTTCTTGTGGGCCTGATCATTATTGACCTCCAATCTGCGGACGATATCCTTCATCTCCTTGATGCGCCTTAAGTTGGCCTGATACATTTCAGTGGGAATTAAGTCGGTAGGGTTGACCATTGAGGAGGCCGCTAACGCGACGGTCGTTCTTGAAGGATCATTTGACGAACTCCCTTGCGGTGCATTTTCCATTACCCTGCCTATCCAATGAAATGACTGCGACAACACAGCAGACTCTCGTGGGCTACCGGGTTTTCACTTGAGAGTCAGCTAAGAACTTGCGGGCACGTAAGACTGCTTTGACCGTAACGCCACTGTGACATCCAATGTGACATGTGACACCCTAGACACTATAGTCTATGGATGCTTTTCAATCATCATTCAAAGGTAGTCTACTGCTTGGAGTCTTGTCTAGTTTACATATTACTTAGCTTTGAACTTTAAGACCGAGGCGGTGTATGGGCGTGACACGATATGTTGCAGCCGCCTACTCTCCCACGACGGGTATGATTTCTACTTTCCTTTGGCGGAACGCATCCGCGTACGGCAGTCGGGTTGTTCGTAGGTTTGCCTCTCAGTCGTCGTCGTTTGAAACGCCACGGGTCGGGGTCTACAAAGTGTTTGATCGTGAGGCGAAACGATTGCAAAAAGATTTCGCCGCGAGGAGAGACGGAGGAGAACGGAGTAGGACCGTTGACTACCTCCGGGACGAAGTTGCAGAAAGATTGATGGAACGTTTCTTAGTGAGATCTTCTAAGCTCTCAGACGGATCCTTCGTGCATCTTAACGCGTCATAGGACATCAAGAGGAAATTTGATACCATCATCGACCTCGGATGTGGCCCTGGCCATTTTTCCAAGCTTTTAGAGCCTAACAAGACACGGAAGGTAGTAATGATCGATTCAAGCAGTTAGTATTGCGTGCATATGTGTTCTTCATGATTTCAGACCCAGGTAACACAGGAGCGTCATTATATCGTGACCCCGATGAAGAATTTGACGGTCGGTCTTCACACTTCAAGGTCGCCATACGTTTCACCAAAATTCATTGAAAAGTGGAAATCGAGCGCATACATGCGGACGAGGAGAGCCTTCTTAATATCCTTCCAAGACAATCTCAGGAGGCAGTGGTCTCCTGTCTCAGTCTCCACTGGATTAACGATCTCCCTGGTTCGGTAGTGGCGATTTCGTCGTAACGGACAATCTCATTTACCTGTTCTCTCCTAGGTGTGCTCGTACAAGTCAAGGAGGCTTTGAAGCCAGACGGTCTCTTCCTTGGCGCGATGTTTGGTGGCGACACCTTGTTTGAATTACGGTAGGTCTGTAGTGGGAACTAAGACTGTCAGCTTAAATACCTCAGGACGGCACTTCAGCTGGCAGAACTTGACCGTGAAGGAGGTATTTCTCCACATGTTTCACCTATGACAGGTCCGTACCGGTGAAATCACGACGAACTTGTTGTGTTGAACTATCGCTGAGTGACGACCGAACAGATACTAGGGATGTTTCAAATCTCCTTGGGCGAGCAGGGTTTACCCTATTGACGGTGGACACTGACGAAGTTCGTGTTGGATACCCCTCAATGTGGGAACTCCTAGAAGACCTGAAGCATATGGGCGAGGGAAATGCGATCTTTGGAAGGTGAACTTGACTAATGATAGGAGCTCGCCGGAGATTCACCATGATTGCAGGCGACACTTCATCCACCGCAACACTCTGGCAGCTGCGTCCGCTATCTACAAAGGTTGTGTGATGTCGTTCCATCGAGCCAGCATGCTGTGCTAATGAGATAACTTAGAAATGCATGGCACAGAAGATGGCACGGTACCTGCGACTTTCCAGGTAATATACATGGTGCGTTTCTGCGTAAATCGGTGTGGCCGACTGTCATACCTACCAATTGGTGTACAGATTGGGTGGAAGCCCTCTCCAACACAACGTCAACCTCTCGAGCGTGGAAGCGCAGAGATGAGTTTGAAGGATGTCCTTTGAACCTCCATCGCCGCCGCACAATTCTTGAGCAGAGAACTATCTTCACAGCTCAGCGAACAATTAGATTGCAGTTTGCACACGTGCGCACTTCTAGGCGCTGTCAAATACACCTTCGCGAAGTTTGATCAGGGATGGCTGACACTTTTCACATTCCCTTCTTGTCGTGTTCTGGTGGCTGCTCCAGGACTTCTGTAGAGAATAAAATAACTAAATTCATCACTCCAGAGACATGTGACCCTCCCGGCGCCTAGGCTTCCGACGAATCTCTCCAATTCAACGGTGTCCAATCGTATAACGTCGAACACTTCAGCAGTTGTACAGACACTAGTGCTAGTGGAGGTCTATGTCGGCATCCCTGGACCAACATAGCAAGAACGCACCCGAACGTCAAACAATTGCTTCGATGTGCGCAGCTAGCGCGTGTTTAGGCACTTCTGGCGCCTTCCTATTGCTACGCAGTCATATCACAACATCGACGTATTTTTACGACTTGCGTCGATTCCTTGTTTGATTAGTCAGGTGGGCAAACTGGTTCGTGCAGGCGGCGAGATGCATGCCATCTGCGTGGACGCCAGGCAAAGGCGTGTCTGGTGCAGTCGGCCTCCGTTATCTGTTCATCGTTTTCCGCTTGCATCGTACCGGAACCTCGGTCCTTGCTGCGTACAGTACACAAGACACAACGTTCCATAAAATCTGATAGTGTATGGTGCTTATAGAATGTGGATGCCATATACGCATACTGCGCACATGGAAACTCTAAAGCGCACTGCAACCGCCATGGTTTTCGACGTGTCTTCTTAACTCATCCCGTAATGATTTCACTTTGGGGACAACGGAGTCGTCTGTAATATGGCTTGAGCTGCACCAACGCAACACTGTGGTATGCGCGACGCCCCATCCTATCCCCGTTTTCTTTGGTGGCTGTTTCCAGTTAGCAGAAGGGTAGCCGTAAAGTTAGGGTTCTGGAACTCAGTAACCTTCGGCGAAAATTCTCTGGTTTGCACGGAAGAGAAGTTGAAAAAACCAGCTTTCAGCACTCCCGGACTACCGAAATGTCCCCTAGTAGCGCTTGGCCTTCCTTTGTTCTTCGCTGGTCGAAACCGTTGGTGGGCCAACCTGTGAAATGTACGTGTTCGGATCATTGGATGGCCACTGACTATCTCATCTTAGTCCCGCGGCCCCCAACTGCATTTCACAGGCCCTACAGCCAGGAAGGCGATCTGTTCTGGCACTTGGAAATGGGTGAAATATGCTCAGAGTGTGGCCAAAAAAATTGTACGCGTGGTTTATCCTCGTCCCCCCCCCCCCCCCCCCCCCCCGACGGAATGTGAAAAACCGCTGTCAAATAATGATAACCTAGTATTTTCTCGGAGCTCGAACTACGCTCCGTTGGGTACTCAGATCCAAAGATCCCAAACCGCTCTTCTCCCAGGGTACCTACGACCAGCAACGACCTCTCCTTATCAAGCATGTATCAGATGGTCCAGTGAATCTTTCCGTTTCTGTTTCGGTTCTCAAAGGTCGTTGGCAGGCTTTAAACATGAAAAAGTACGCCATACCCGTTTCCGACAAGCCCGTTTCCTTTTCACCACTATCGCATCTCCCGGCTGATATCCCCGCCCCCATTTCAACCGTCACGACCCTGAAACCATGTAATCCTGGAGAAATCCTGTGCAGCTATCTACTGGTCGCCTGTATCTCCACTCTAGCCACGGGAGGACGTCCCATATACGGCTGCGTTCGCCGAAATTAAAACGGCATGCGGAATATACTCCTCACACAACGTGTCCCAGGTTCCTTTTGTCCTACGTGGCTTCATCCACGGAGCTTTTTCTTCCAATGCCCCCGAAGTGAGGTGACCTGCAGGTGTCGAAGGTTCTTTCTTCTGACAGATCCTCCTGCAAACCATGTTGCAAATGATCATACCCTTACCGGGTGTGTTCTCCGATCGGCGGGCAAGATTAAACTCCAGGATTTCATATTTTCATATTTAGTGCCAAATCATAATCGGAGGGTACTTGGCAGTCACCGAGGCAGTGGAAAATGATGTCACATGTCATCGATCTCTTCCGCCCCGCACAACCTGGTTTTCTGGGAGAAAAACCGTCCTGCGACTGCCGATTCAAGCTGCATCGTGGACTCACGCACGTCAACCAATCATGACCAATCACGCAAGGACTTGCCATGTCACCACAGCCTGGCCTCATCCATTCTTAGGAACCCGAGACTAACCTTTTCTCGATCATATCTAGCCCCCGTGACGATTGATGTGGGATAGAGAAAGATATGGTAACCGTTCCTTGTCACGGCGCGATGGAAACTTCCAGTTCACGCCGCGCAGCGTGGCCGCGCTTGGGATGGCACGGAACTGCGGATATCAAAAAATACGATTTCTTCCATGAGGCGGTGCAGGTATCACCCTGTCCAACACAAGCAAAGGAATACTCTCACCACAAGTCAAAATTAAGCTGGGATTCGCCGTAATAAGCTGATTTACTGTCGTCACAATGCAAACGAGACTAATATTCGTGGTAGTGAAATGCATAGCATACAGTGCAAACCTGAAAGCGCGTAATGTAGATTGTAGGTAGCGGGGGAAAAGCGGTCAAGCAGGATGCTCCCCATAGACTGACAAGGCTCCTAGGGCACAACACGTTTCAAGAATCCCGCCAAGTCCCTCAACTCCCGTGGACACACAGAATGTCCCCCAGCCTTGTAGCTTCTAAAACGCAAGCCAGGAGAGCCTGGTCCTCCCTCGACGTCGGAAGCTTGGGGCAAGGCGGATGTACAACGGGCGTTGTGCTCCGTGCCCAATGTAAGACTCTCAACCATAGGTATTCCACACGAGGTAGTAAGTTTCTTCGTGAAGGCCTCTGCAACTTTGTGCCGGACGACGTTATCGTCCGTTCCATGGCCCCAGAAAATAGGTATTTGCGCTGCGCGAGCAGATAGCACCTATGGTTGGAAGTTTAGCAACTTGCATCGCGAGGTTAGATTTTGTGCTGACCTGTTGGAAGCTACTTTGCAGGGGAAGCCAGCCGCTGAGAATGACTAGCCCTCCGAGTTTCCAGCCCTCCTTACCCCCAGCCAAACCATCCTCTGGGCGACTGGTAAGACCTGCTAGGAGCGCCACTGCCGCCCCTTGACTGAACCCGCCTATAACAACCCGCTCAGGGGGCACACCCGCATCAACCTCTCTTTGAATCAATTCGTCAGTCATACGAGCGGCCATCATGATTTCGGCACGATTTTCCGCTGCACTCTCAAAATTGTAGGCAATTATATCAAACCAACGGGGCATAGATTTCTTGTTGTGGGCTGTGACCTCGCCGGTAGGTGCATGAGGAAGTACCCACTTCACATGCGGCAGGTCTCTGGACAGCGAATCAGTAATCGGGCACCACCCCTTGCCGGTGTCGCCGAGCCCCTGAGATAGAAAGTAGGGTTACGTTCAGCAGGTAGCTGAGCGGCTTTGGGTTGGACCTACATGTAAAAAGATAACAGATGCTGTATGATTCCCTGTCGGGGGGATGATAAGAGGTGGTTTAGGCGTCGACGTCGACATGCCCAGTTTCCCGTGCCAATTGGTGTCAAGGGACTATAATCGAGGTGGAAACAAAAACGAGGGGACCGTTAAAAGACGGGGAATAAATACAGAGATGCTGAAATTTCAAGCTTCAAGAACAAGTTTCGTAAGGTCTTCATGGGGTGATTAATGAGATTTCGATTTCGATTTCATTCCAGAAACCACAGACGGGTGGTGCCCGTGCGTCGGCGCGATCGGGCCGTACACACTCCGAGCGGATATTGGCCAATCGCAGCCTTCCTTAAGTGGTTCATTCATGGAGACGGAAGATATACGAACGAAACCTGAGGAAGAGCGGGTCACACCCTCTCAGGGTCTATCAAAAAAAGCACAGAAGCGTGCTGCAAAGGCTGCGAGGCTCCATGAACTTAAGCTTGAGCGCAGGGCACGCGAAAGGGAGACAAAAAAACGAAAGCAGGCAGGAGCGCGCCCGGGCTGTCGCAAACGGCGAGTGTGATGTCAACGCAACTCGCAAGCGACCCAAAACCGACGCGGCTGGTGGAAGGCAGTCCATTTAACGCAAGACTGGTTATCGATCTCGGGTTCGATGAGCTGATGACAGACAAGGTGATTTTCTCATTTTTTCCCTCCTGCACTCTTACACGTGGTAACGACCACGGCCTCACAGGAAATCAATTCTCTCACTTCACAACTGGCATATACGTACAGCACTAACAGGCGCGCACCACACGCCTTTTCATCCTTGCTTTTCACGTCTATCAATGGCAGGACTAAGGAGCGCCTTGACGCCATGAACGATGCCGGATACAGAAGGTGGTCAAACACAGAATGGTGGGAGGAAAGCTATGAGCGCATATGGACACGATCTTTGTCCCCGTCTCAATCTCCCTCTTGTGAGCCTACTGATGCGCCAGCCGCCGACTCCACCAGCACTGAGACCGACACCACGGCCGACGCGGATGAGCTCCGCAAAAGTGTAGTTTATTTCACTGCGGATTCGGAGAACGAGATCCTGGAGCTCAAGGAAGGGGAGACGTACGTTATCGGTGGAATATGTGATCACAATCGATACAAGGTTGGCTGTACCATGGCTTATCTGCGGGCTAATATCGATAACATGCGGGTGCAGAACCTATGCCTGAACAAGGCTAACGCGTCCCAGATCCGCCATGCTCGCCTTCCGATCGGCCGTTACATTGCCCTTGCGACACGAAAGGTGCTGACTGTCAACCAGGTACGTTCGATTGGAGGCCGTCACCGATTATGTGATAGGGGTCACTATTTGCTGTGGCTTGCTGGGAACCTCATGCAATTCATGTTTTATTTTTACCAACCGTATCAAGAGGGCAGTGACTCATCTTTCGACACTAGGTGGTTGAGATCCTGCTGAAATGGGTCGAAACACGCGATTGGGAAGAGGCGTTTTGGGCTGTCATCCCGAAACGGAAATTTCAGGGTATTGAACGTGTCAGCCCCAAGGATGATGATAGCACAACCAATGAAGTGAGGGATGGAAGTGAGCCGAGCGGTCATGCAAAGAAGGAATCGTCAGCTGGTTTGGAGGGACATAGTAGTGCCCCTGTGGGCGAAGGTGGTGGGGACTTTGTGTCAGACAGTGGGGGAGAAGGATAAACGCCGAGGAAAGACATGCAGTCCTGAGCAGGCACTGAGGTACTTTGATCATTTGTGCCTACGACGAAGTTGCCGTGCTAAATGCTTCTTATGGACGAGAAGTGTTAGCATATTTAAGTGCCCCATGGCTGAGTTGGTTACAGCGTCCGACTGTTATCAACATAACATCGGAAGGTCGTGAGTTCGAGCCTCACTGGGGCAGTTCTTTTTGTTTTGTTACTGTCTGAAATACAAATCCACCCGCATCTCTTCGAATTAGATACATGGCACACAATCTATGCCATTTTCCATGGATATTTTGCGAAGTTCTATTGTAAAAACATGCGTAGAGATACAAACTCGACGCGATACAACTGTAGTATGTCACCCGAAGTGTTTCTGTAATAACTCAAGAGGTTTAGTAAAATTTGCCCGCTAGCAACAGTCAACCCGTATCCCCATCCTTGGCGGCTGCTTCTGAAGGGACTGGCGACGACGGCTGTTGCGTTATGGCAATGCTCAAAGGACGGAACATAACCTTGATTCGTTTCGGTGGGTCATCACCTTGCTTGGCGGGAGGTTTTGCGCGACCGCTAACGGTATCATCATCCTTGTGAGTACCCACGTCCGTCCGCTTGGGTTTACTTGCCAGGCGCTCAAGAAGCCCTTCCTCGTCATCGTCTTCTCTTCGCCGCTTCTCACCAATCCGTGGGAACTGTAACGAGGGTTTTGGGGACGATGTGCTGGCGTCCGCAGGCAGCGATGCAGTCCCGGGCTTTGTCCGCGTTATTGATTCGAGAAGGTTCTCATCTTCCTCCAGTGACCGCCGACGGGGGATGTTGGAAGGACGTGATATCTGTCGATGAGCTAACCGTGGACTGGGGGGAATGTCCGAACCGGATAAGGGCGAGCTCTCGCGGGTGGAGGCGACGACGGATTCTTGAGCGGACTCAGCATCCTCGTCTTCGTCGCCATAGTCCACGAGAGCGGATAACTGTGGAGTACGGGGTAAGACAAAATTTTGGGGCCGAAGAGATATTTTTGAGGCGACCAACGCCCCTCTCCGCTTACGCCTAAGCGCGCCCAGCACAGCAGATGAACGGGATCCATGACTAGATGAACTGATGAATGGTGGGGGTTGGTCGGAATCATCATCATCCTCATTAAAGTAGTTTTCTTCCTCTGCGTCGATGGCGCGGCCCATTCGACGAGAATCTCTAATGTCCCTGTCTCGGAATTAGCGGGTTTAAAAGCCTATCGCAGGGCTGTGGCATACCGGTCGGGCTGAGTCTCTTCCTTCGGTGGCGGCTCAATGTTAATCTCCCATCGGCGAATGAAGGCGCTGAATCTTGCGCCCCCAGTTGGCGTAGTAGCAAGTTGACGAACTATGGTCTCGTGCTTTGTCATGCAGTGGTTGACAAGGTCCTTTATGTTTTCCTAATGCGACGTCGTAAAAATCATTCACTTGAACAAATGTGAACGTGTGAACGTACCCTGCGCATGTGCTCGAAAAACTCCTGACAAGATGCGCTCAGCAGACTATCTCGACACGACTCTTGCAGCGCCAGATCCAGGATAGGCTTGAAGACGTCCAACTTCGTAAGGTGATTCAAGAAATTCTTGTTATTAAGCTTGAGGCATATTCGAAAGAAACGGAACGCTGCTGCAAGGGTATCAGATGTCTGTTTCGAAGAGCGACAAGAGGGACGCTACTCACATAATCGCAGATGCTTGTCCCGAGCACTTAGCAGCGCGGCCACGCGAGTAGAGATGTTGGATGAAAGCATGTAGAAGTGACTCCGGAATGTGTGTTGCTGCGCAAAAATGCATAGTAGGTCGCATAAGTAGAGGAAAAGGTTAGTTTTCTCTCGCGATAGCTTCAAAATAGGTTCTGCATCTAGACGTTGTCATTCAAGGGTGCTTGATAGGTAAGGCAAAAGTCTTACTTGTCTGCTTTCTGAAGTCTGGTATATCTCCATATGGCTTGAATAAGACTTCTATGCAGTGCTTGTAAAAGTAATCCAAAAACTTCTCAGTTCCCGGATCGTCTTTGGGACGAGCTGAAAACTTCGCACCGAGCGCGGACTGCAAAAGTCATAGGTAAGAAGTAGGTTAATAACAACGTTGCACTTACCGGAGTTGTCCCGGGACCAATGGCGTTTTGTGAAATGTCGAGCAGCGCCTTCAGTGCGTCTCCGATCTGACATTGCACTGCTAAATCACGACTCTGAGTAATGATCCGGCACATCAGCTTCAACAGCGTTTCAGCCTTGTCAGCACCGATCCGTTCTGCTTCCCTCTCCCGCTCGATAGCCATAGCCTGCTTAAAGACGTGGCTGCGGATACCATGGAGATCATGGTCCAGTAGAGCAGACATTATTTCGCTCGCCGCATTTATGACGATCTTTGATGTGCTCTCCCTCTCATTGAGTCCGAATGCCCATTGCACCGCGAACAATATCCCCCGGTCCACAAGCGTTCGGAAAAGCGCCATTCGCGCAGGAAGCTGGATGTTCTTTCCCATCACACATAGTTGCTGGATGAGGAGGACCACTTCGCCGCGAAATGCATTGTCGCTCTCTGTCAGGGGTCCCGGTGGGTCGAAGGAGAAGGGTGCCATTTGTGATGGGTGTCGTCCATTTGCCACAGCACCATTAGGCGATCCTGTAGCATCAGTTTCTTCGCCATCTTTCCGGGGTCCAGCGAGCACTTCTTCGCTCACGTACAGTCTCACAATCTCCTGCAGAAAGACAGGGTCTTGCTGGACATGATTGATGATGTCAATTTGGTTGAAAATGATGCAAGAGTTGAGGACGTTGAAAGTTGAGTCGTCGAGTATGCGGGCGAGAACCACGTCCTTAAGAAATTGGAGGCGAAACGTGTGGTGAACTTTCTTGCGAATAGTTTCATCCTGAATGACGATAGGTTGGTGGAAACGAGTGTTGTTATGGAGGAAATCCCGGTAATTTGCTTTATGCGTAGGAAATTCCGGATCATCTGCACCACACTATAAGTAAAGGAACAACATTGCCGACTGGCGAAGACCCACATTCAAGCATCCCAACCACTCCAAAAAAGATATCGTCTTCGAGGATGTGCTCATAAATGCTGTGGTCGTTCATCATTACTGCAAGTAGCCGTGAGCAGCACCAACACAAGGTGTGAGGCGGGGACGTTACAAATAGTTTGCATGAGGCTACACAGCGCATGGAGATTATCGAGGCTTTCCAAGTCCTCCGCCATAGTCATGACGTCGATAAGTGCCTTGATGTATCCCTGGCATTGCGTTTCGGTAATATTAGTAGCAGAGACATGATGAGTTTCGTCTCCACTCACCTCGCGTTGGATGTACTCGCATATTCTCTCTTTGATAGTTTGGGTTCGAGCAAGTGCTTTGATGGCGCCTTCGATATCTTGGATATTACCTAATTGCGGAGAGGGCAAGTGACCAGTGCGGATGATGGTTGCAGTAGTAGCAGAATGATCTCCGGCAGGGGATGAAGAACCGAGACCTTGATCTTCTGACCAAAAACACATTGCGGATAGGTGAGTGTCAAAGCGACGAAAAGGCACGCGTCGAGCATGGTAGGCTGTGGGCTGAGGCAACACTCACCGGCATTCAAGTGGCGTTGCACTTCGATAATAAAATTCCAGACCTCTGCACATCCATCTGCATCCTGGAAGCTTAATGCATAGTCTGCTCCATCGGGTTCTGTCCACACAATTAAACTATCTGCGAGTTGGTGAGTACACGAAACACGCTATAGCGACCCATTTCCAACGGCATATAAGGGAAAGCACGCGGACGGAAGGAATCGCACCTTGTTGGCGTTGGTAGACGTCATTGGAGCGGATGGCTGTGGAGAGGATAATTTTGTCAAAGTCCGCTTCGGAGCGCGCGATGAGGAAGGCTTGATTGCTCTCATCGAGCTGACCAAAGCAATAGGCTGTGCCTTGATCGACCCATCGCGAGCCGATGAGTTCGTAGACCTTTGCGAAACAGGGCAGGTGCGGGTTAGAGTGTGCCCAAGTTGAAGTCATGCAAATGACGGAGACAAAGAGAAACGCGTTCGCCACAAGGTCGGAAAAAATGTGTGACATCGGACAGGGTTCAACAAGTTGCATGACATCAACGGTGAACCACCGGAACACGGGTATCTCGCACGACTGTTGTGGAAGGTGAGATAGAGCTCACCTTTACGCGTTTTAACTCCTGTGAAGACTCAGGGGATTGCTGCGAGTCTGACGCGGGGTCTACGGTCTCGGCCATGTTGATGCTGTCTTCTTCCTTGGCATGGTCTCCAACGTGTTCAATGTTGCCAAAAAGCAAGTCACGAGAGTCACCCAGGGACAAGGGATTCGTGGGCGAGGGGTTCAATGCGGTTTCTGGTTCGGTAAGACAGTCGAGGTCGAGTTCCAGGGCAGCGTCATTGGCTGCAGCTGTGAGTAAGTCGTGTGGGGCGGCTGATATTGAACCGTGCCGTATGTCGACAGGATCGTCGCCCGGCGTGAAAGATGTTGTTTCCTGGTCCGTCCTGCTCATGACAGACGTCGTTCTGCAACAGTATTAAGCCCAACGTCGCCCTCTGACACACCAACGAGCGAAGACCAGTCACTGGGGCTGCTGTGAACGATGGAGACAACTAAGCAAAAACACCGTGGGAACGCTGCTTCGGGCGAACTAAACACACAAGACAGCCTCGCCATCGTCGTAGAACAGCTTCGGGCGTCGTCGTGGGCGGTCATCTCAAACAGTATCATCAGCCGCAAGTAGCTCAAAAGGGACATCCTTTATGTCGGGCATTATGGTCACCCTTGTCAAGTGACATTACTCTGTGGAACGTGTCTCATGTGTGCATGTCAGTTGATCGGCGTCAAGATTCTTCAACACCCAAAGCAAGCAATATTGCGCTTGTCCGCGGGTCCGTCCGCTAGTATCTACTGATATCCTTTGGTCGCCGCTCACTGGAGCCACTCAAGGCACCCCTCGACCAATCATCATCGAAAACCTCCACAGTGATCGCTTTGGATTTGGTTGCAACGTCGGCAGCTTTCTAGGCTCGTCAGATTGCCAGGGAGCCCACGTTGGAGGGGGAATATAGGTGTACTTCGGCCCCGGATCAGCTCACTTTACCGTGAGTGATAAGCCAAGTTCTACCATCCCTGTCCCCGTCGTAGCTCAAGAAGGGCATCGCCATGATGAGAGCCCAAACCATCAAGTCCAGCAGTATACATGGGTATAGCTTTACATAGCTTTACAATGTTTATATAAAGCCATTACAATGGTGGACCCAAGCAAGGCCAATGGAAAATCAAGGAACACCAAGGTATGGGGCCAGTAGTGGTGACAATGCTTTGACCTTTCCCGCCGGACCTCCCCCACCGCCAATTCATGAACAAGCCATTCCATTATCCGTGATCACGTAAGCAGATGCTTTTTGTCTGGCATATCTCCCGGTCATTTCCCCTGAAAATATAGACCTACCAACCACAAAGGTGGGCATTATACAGCACGTTTAGCCGACCAGGCGATGTCAATTTGCGTTTCTGGCCAAGTAAGGTAGGGAGGTGCGTAGCAAAGCTACCGCCGCTTTGGCCTTCTACGCTTTGGCAGGCCCATGCTGCGGATTCAAAGCGTACCGGAGATGTTTTGCTATTTATCCGCCCTCTGGGCGTACTCGAAGATCACCGCATTAGTTGACGTCGCATCCCCGTCGTTCCACCATGAGATCCAAACGACTCTTCTCCCACTCCACCATCGGACTCAAACGTCTCATCTCCCGTGTTATCGGCAAACTCAAGAATACGGAACGTCACAAAGCCGATTTTACCACTACTAGTCACGCAAACCCCGTCGATACTCCACAGCTGATATTTACAGAGACGCCCGAACTTTCAGGACCTGCAGTCCACCTTGATGTGTCCTCTCCAGCTATTGTCGAGCCCGACGCCGCTTTGATGCAGGTTGTCTTGTGGCAACCACCAGTTCCACCTGTTGTTCCTACTCCCCGCATTGTCTCTTCTCATAGCATCCTCTTCCCCCCTCTCGTCCGCACAGCCGCAGCTCTTGCGTTGGGATGTCCACCTACAATCGCAGCACAACCTCTTGCTTGCCTTCTTTCACCTCTACGCTACGGCAACCGTTTGGAACACGATCTGATGCTTCAAATACTCCAGCAGTCTGCCCACATACCCACCGCCATGCGTAGCATGGAGGTCGGTGAGCCCACTCCAGACGAGAATCGCAGTTCCACTACCCCAGAAATTCGCTATCTCGTGGCTGACCCTACCCTTGCTCACCTCGCTCCCATGCAGAAGATTCCGCCTGGTGCTTACGGACCTTGCCAACTGCCTCCTCCGAAAGCTTTCGTGAACCCACAAACTCGCTCAAGAAGAGACGGTGAAAGTTCACACCGTGACCCGGAAATTCGTTGTCTCGCCGCTGATCCTGCTTTCGGCGCCTTTGCCCCCACGCAGGTTGTCCCTGCTGGTGCATACGAAGCTCGTCACATGGCTAACCCTGCCGTTGGCGTGCCGTCGCTCGCATGGAGTGGTCAAACCGCAGGAACATTGGAGATCAGCACCTCAGAAGTCCCTCGCCCCAACCTTGGTGCGCTTCCCAAGAAGATCCCCCGTTATCCTCCGGGTCTTGGTTACCCGGAAGGTGACGTCGCGGTTCCCGTCACCGGCACGGCCGAAGTGGCATATGTACCTACACCTATTTCGCAACCCACTCTGCCCTGTCTTCCCAATCTGCCTAATTCGGATTCCGTACCTGCCAAATACCTTGCATCTGCTGTAGCTACTGCTACTGCTAGTCGCTCAACTGGTCTCCAGCAGGAGGTCACAACCAGGCAGAACGGTGAATCTACTGCCGCCTGCAAAGCTCGCTATGAAAAGTATAAGATTCAGACGAGCGTTGTCCGCATGAAGGCTGGGATGTATAGGTACAAGTTCACTCGCCCCATCGGACGCGGAGCAAATGGCACTGTGTGGTTTGGCGAAGGCACCCGAGACGATGGGCCTGCGATGGATGTCGCTGCTAAAGTCATTAATCGGCAAGCATTTTTCAGCACTTTCGTATCAGACAAGGACCTAGCGCAGATATCTACTGCGAAGGGGAAGAAATATCTAGAAGACAGAGCAGTGTACGCTGCAGATTGCGTCCACAACGAATTTGGTGCCTGGCTCGCGGCGACGTACGAGTGCCACCCATTCTTAACTCCTCTTATCGACTGTTTCTCCGACGACAAGAATATATACTTCATCATGGTACCTCATTATGTCTTTGTTCCTCATTCCAGGTTCTCATCATGGCGCTGCTCCTACAGAGGTACTATCCCGAGAACCTTCGCCAAAGGGCTTTGAATAAGGCTTGTCCTTTGCAACTCTGGCAAATCCGCCTCATTGCTGCTGAACTGGTAGATGACGGATGTTTCTTCGCATTCGAAAGACTCATTTGTCGATTTTCAGGCGCTCGGTCTTGAAAAGCTGCATGACATACGTATCATGCACAATGATTTGAAGCTCGAAAATATCTTGGTTACTCCGAATGGACACGTCACGGTCTGCGACTTCGGCCATGCAAGTACTTTCTCTCTGGACATCGCTGAGGACGAGTGGAATGGAAAGATTATGAGTGGTAAGGCAGGCACAGATGGGTATCTGGCGCCTGAGCAGTTCGTCGGCGACAGCGCACACAACTACAAGGCCGATATATACGCATTCGGCTTGATGATTTTAGATCTCTTTATGCCAGGCGGCGCTGTGAGTGTAGTGGTCTGCACTGTTTGACGGACCTGTTGACAATCAAATCTAGCCCTGGTATGAACATGTACCTAACTTAGACCTCGGGGACGGCAGCGACGATATTGATCGAAGTCTCTTTGACCATGGACAACCAGACCCAAGGCAAGGTCCCGTAATGGACAGAGTTTACGACCACTTGGCCGAGGATCTCCTCATGCAGGTGTGTGCCTCTCGCATAAGTACCGGCCTCTTCGATCTGACATCGTGGTGTGAGATCCTCCACCCCAACCCTGCCAAGAGACCTGGGTGGAATGAAATCAAGAGACATCCATTCTTTACAAATTACCTTGACTGGACGCGTGTCCTTGCACGCGATTATGATCGTGAGTTCCCCCCATCAGAGTTAATCTAACATCCATGCTCATCTGCTCTGTTAGCCTGCTACCGTGCCTGCAGCAGGAAGCAAAAAGTTAAGCCGATCATCCGGCCCTCGTGCTGGGTTCGTCAACATCGGGACACACGTGCTGCCAATGCAATACACACACTCCTCCAGAGGACTTCCGATGCGGATAGCATTGGCGCTTTGAGCATCCAGGCTCCTCGAGGACTAGGGTGGATTGACAAGCGGCATGGGGTCGCTTGTCGTGGCAGGCGAGATCGCTGTGTATGTGACTTCCCTCTGATGTAAAGCATGGCGCCACGAACTGTGGCGTGTTCCAGTCGAGGCTTGTGAGACATGGACTCTCCTGTGTATTTATTGCCGGTTTTCATTGTGATGCAATGTACTACATAGTATGATCGGGTTATTGTCAACGGGAACTTTTCCTCCCTCGGTTGACATCGGTGAGGGGGGTGGAACCCTCACATTACGTAAGTTGGTGTCGTCTGCCTTGAAATTTCAGTGGCAGCTTTACACTTCTCGCATCCAACTCGCGACATTCCGTAACACAACCAAGAAAAAAAACATGACGAAGACGACGACGATGCTCGCTGTCGCCGGCATTGCCGTTGGCAGCCTGGTTGCATATGCAGTCTACTTCGACTACAAGCGGAGAACGGACGCCAATTTCCGCAAGCAGCTTCGTACGTGTCCCCGGTGTTTGTGCGCGTTCCTCAGTTGTATTGAATCGTTTGCAGGAAAGGACAAAAAGCGTGTTGCAAAGAACCAGGCATCGTCGGAGGCGTCTGCGAGTTCTAGCGGAGTTGACGTGGACGAACTGAAGCATGCGCTGGAGACAGTGAGGCAAGAAGAAGTCCCGACAACTCCTGAGGAGAAGGAAAAGTACTTCATGGCACAGGTCGGCATGGGAGAACAGCTTTGCGCAAAGGGTTTGTTTGAGGCGTCGCATCAATCGGAAGAACGGGGATTAATTCTGTGGTGTACCCAGGTCCTACGTTCAACCTCGCTGCAGCGTTGTGCTTCTACCGTGCTCTCCGTGTCTATCCGTCACCGGTAGAACTGATTGTGATCTACGAAAGGACGGTCCCTCCGCCCGTATTCCAGGTTCGTCTTAGCATTGTTTCTCATTGGGGTTTATCCGGGCAACGTGGACTGACGAACCTGACGTAGATTGTCATGCAATTGACTAACATGGATGTAAGTTCACCTTCTTCGCCTCCAGGCAAGGGTAGCGCACAGCTATCGGATGACGACGACGAGTTGGGTGCTACTCGGCCTCCGTCGGAGGCATCCTCGCAGGAGTGGGACAAGGTCACTGATCCTGGCAGTCAAACACCTGCCCTATGACTATGAGTCACTGTAACCCACAGTCATTAACACACACGCTGTATGCTGTGTAGTTGTCATGCTTTCTTGTACCACGCAATCCGACCACCCACACACTCACGTGTCACGTCTCTCATTGGAATCTAATCTGTTCTTGCTTTCTTCATTTTGCCGGCATGACGTTCTGATGTGAATACTTTCTCTTTTCTTTTTCCGGTCCTTGACTATGTGCCGCCGTGAATTCCCTTTTTCTGCCGCTGCCCGCAGGTCAAGGAACGCGTCGAAGGTGCGCACTGTCGACTTTGAGGACCTTGCGGGTGAGCTTGAGCTGAGAGGTGCGATAACATAGGTTACTATGATTGCTTCCCACCGAAAGCGATGAATGTAGCGGTTAAGACAATCGAAGTTCCCGTGAAAGATCAGCCGGAGGCTTTCACGAAAAAGAAAATCCTCGTTTGCACGAAAGACATCGAAGCTGGTGAACTTATCTACAAGGTAAGTCGTCTTTTCACCTTTGAAACGCAGACACGTTCACATGGCCGTAGGAAGAGGCCATTGTCACTGCTCTGGATTCGGACCTACAAGGAAAAGGAACGCACTGCAATCACTGCTTACGCAGTCTTGACCCTTCTAATGCTGTCCGCCCCGAATCTGACCGTCTCGACTCCGCCTACTGCTCCACAGAATGCCTGGATAAAGCGAAAACCCAGTCTCAAAGTCTTCTATTCTCCCTCGATTCACCTCTGCCTGCTCTCCTAGCGCCCGCAATCCCGCCTGCGGCTAGGACAGCTCGCGACGAGGCACAACAGGCATTCGCTGACTACCTGAAAAAACATGGCAAAGCCGCCCCACAACTTGTTGCGCGATTCATCGCACGGCAAGTCTCGGCAGAGACTGCCAAGATGATCCCGCCTGGACTTAGCGGTATGAAGGGGGCAGAACCCGTTCTTACGGATGGCGGAGACTACACGCTGTATGATCACCTCGAGAGGCTGCGTTACTTGGACGTGACCCCATCGGAGGAGGAGACGAAGATATTGAGGGAGGTATTGCAACATGCCTTACCTGGGCTCGAGCAGTTTGTGACGGAGGAGAGGCACGCAACGTATCTCGGTGGAATGAGTTATAATGCGTTTGGAGTGTACTTCGGTGAAGGGAGGGACGACAAGGTGCGTGTTCGCCTCTGGTATCGTGGCACGTGTTTATGGTGCATCTTTCTCTCTATTTTTGTATCAATAGCCTGAGCCTACCGAACGTCCGGAGGACGTTGAGAAGTCGCGGACGCCGTTAGGCACTCAGAAGCAAGTTGGTGTTGGGTTCTATGCTGTGTCATCTTACGTATGTTTTTCATGAAATTCCTGTGTTCTCACCCGTTTCTTGACTTTTTTTGCGTAGCTCAATCACTCATGTATGCCTTCCGCTCGTCCCTCATTCGACGAAGGCACCGCTGAGTTGCATCTCATTGCCAACCGCCCCTTGAAAGCTGGGGATGAGGTCACGGTAGCCTACGTTGACGTAACCCAAAAGGAGGGTGAGAGCGTCGATGAGGCACGCCGAAGGAGGCGTATCGAGCTCGTTCGAGGCTGGAGGTTTGCGTGCACGTGCGAGCGATGCGCGCAGGAGTCGAATGGAATCGATGAGTCAGCGAAGGACGAGTCCAAGGTGTCCGATGCAGTGAAAAGGGTAGAGGGTGCGTAGTACGTTTGGGTAGGTGCTTGAGGCTGTCGACCGGAGATGTGGGTGGTACCTACCATTTAGTGCTCTTTTAATGATCGGTTTGATTCTATCGATACGTATATGTATGTCCTCGCCACTCACTGCACTCCAACTTGAATCTAGCTATGTCTATACATAGAAGTCTGCAATCTGCACTGCATCGTCGTTTTATATGCGTGTGACAACGTGTGCGTGAGTTTCGAAGTCGAAGTCGAAGTCGAAGTCGGGTCTAGATTATCTCTCAAGGGTCTCCGCCGAAAAAAGGTGCAAAAATATGTCCCAGGGAGGATTCGAACCTCCGGCTTCACGGTTTTGTGCAGGCCACAACGTGATGATTTGACCACTAATCGACAAGGACGATCTTAGCAACCTACTTTTCCGTCGCTTGTCAACCGGCCGTTCACAAATGAAATGCTTAGGAGCGATGACGGCTACCTTCTTCATTGAAATATCTTGAATATGGCCCTACTGAGGGATAGTCGAAATTCCCGATTAACATCCCCAAGTTGAGGCGATTATGTTGGTTACCAGTTCCATCACGACTGACCCTAGATAGGGAAGCCTTTTCTAGCCCTTGGTCTCGAGGGCTCAGCCAACAAGTTGGGCGCAGGCGCCATAAAGCATAACGAGGACGGGTCCACTGCTGTGCTGGCCAATGTCCGACATACATATATCACGCCGCCTGGAGAGGGGTTTTTACCGCGTGATACGGCCCAGCATCATCGCGAATGGGCGATCAAAGTGATAAAGGATGCCGTTTCGCAGGCTGGCATCTCCATGCACGATCTAGATTGTATCTGCTACACCAAAGGCACGCCCAGTACTCCCTTCGAGATATATTACCCTGGTGATCACCTGCCGTCAAGGTCCTGGGATGGGTGCACCTTTGCAGTCTGTCGCCCTTGTTGCCCGAACGTTGGCGATTATGTTTAACAAACCTCTGGTGGCCGTGAATCATTGTGTGGGACGTAGGAAACGTTCTTCCTCTGCACCCACCGCTATCTGATGAATATCCGCAGATATTGAAATGGGTCGTGAGATCACTGGTGCTCAGAACCCTGTGGTGCTATACGTCTCAGGCGGAAACACACAAGTCATAGCCTACTCGAGACAGTGCTACAGAATATTTGGCGAAACCCTCGATATAGCCGTAGGAAATTGTCTTGACCGGTTTGCAAGGGTCATCAACCTTAGCAACGCCCCGAGTCCAGGATACAATATTGAGCAAGAGGCCAAAAAGTCTGGTTTCGTGTTTTCTTCAGGCAAATTGGTTCTGATGGACGTTTATAGGGGCAAACGACTTGTCCCCCTTCCTTACACAACGAAGGGAATGGATGTCAGTTTATCTGGGATTTTGACGTCTGTCGAAGCCTACACCGCGGATGAGCGCTTTAGGCCCACCGGTGCCCCTTATAACCCGAAAGACGATGTTATTACGCCTGCGGATCTGTGCTATTCATTACAGGAAACCGTGTTTGCCATGCTTGTAGAAATCACGGAGAGGGCCATGGCTCACATTGGAAGTACAGAAGTTCTCATTGTCGGTGGTGTGGGTTGTATGTCTTTATTACACCCCCTCCCGGAGCCCTCAGATGCTCACCACTGTCCATGAAGGCAACGAGAGGTTGCAGGAGATGATGGGCATCATGGCTCAAGAGCGCGGGGGTCGAGTTTTTGCGACGGACGAACGGTGAGATAAAAATTTTGTGCGGTCAGCCGAGTTTCCTGAACGTGCCCGAAATTTAGTTTTTGCATTGACAATGGGATTATGATCGCGCATGCCGGACTCCTTAGCTATCGGACGGGGTATGATACTCCTTTGGAGAAGAGCACTTGCACACAACGGTAAGTGGTTATGTTTTATGGTTTTCCACGGATATCGAACGGTTCCAAGGTTCCGGACGGATGAGGTCCGTGTGACATGGAGGCTATAACTTCGTAGAGGTTATTGAACCCCCGGGGTAACAAGCCGTTTGCGGTTCGTGATGGGGCCGTGTACGTTGGTGTCGTCGAATGTTTTATCGAGAGGCCGTCCGCCGAGTTCGTCGCAGCCTAACATCTGTGATGTGTCAAGTTACAAACCATCTCTCAATCGATTTTGCTTGCTTAAGTCCCATAAATCAAGGACCTGTCATTTGGGTATTCAGCACTGACCAACGAAGTTGTGTTCTGCCAGTCAGTGGACATCCTCTGGATCGGCGTGAATGAACTTCGTGGTGGGTTATTTACACATCACTGTGTCGAAGTATAATAACATGGGCTTATAGAGTATCGGGGGCTGCCTGACTGCATGCTTTATGGGATCACATTACTAGTGCTGTAAGTTGGCATGATCTGTGGTTAGTCAAGGTAGACTGGAGAAGAGGAAGAGCAGGATACTGCTGTCCTAGTCACGAGGCAATACCAGTGAAAAAGTCGAACATCCAACCTCTCCTCCCTAAGTTTCGCGGACAACACGACCCTCAAACTCGTCTCAATGACCTTTCTCAAGCTTGGTGCCACCACCCCCTGCAAGCATGGGTCGTTGTCCGTCTCCCGAATAAGCTCTGCCAGTGATCTTCCGTCGGCAAACTTTCCAGCCAGGTCCTCGAACCTCACGACGGGCATTCACTAGTGCATGTGAAGGGACTGCAAGTAGCAAGTTAGTGGGTCTTTGATGTATAAATCGGCCGCAGATTCAAACACTAGCTAGTACACATAATGTCAACTGACAGCTTCGACTAACATAATTCAAATAACGAGGATATAATAATAAGGACGGGATTCAGTGGGCACGGACAGGCATGAAATGGGCGTAATTAAAAGATGTGCCGCCACTGAACGGGAACAAAGAGGTGAAGTAATTTCGGCAGGGAGTCTTGGGAAGAGGTTTATTGATGTCGGCACACCCTTGCAGCACCGGTAACGTGCGCGAACTCGTCGTGTTGTAGTGATGAGGTGACCAGAAGTTGGCTCTCATCGGGCGCGAATTGTCATGGAGTGGGCATATTCTGGGGGTGGTCAGAGAGCTGACGATCTGGGAAATCACTAGCTGATGCAGAAGGAGCTCATAGCCCGCAACGTCAAGTCTGCGATCCAATGCACCGATAAACTCTAGCTCCAATTCTTCAACTTGCACTCTGTTGAACAATAGGCTCGCCTTTGCCCAATCGCAACTCGTCGTCGAATCACCAGGGTATATATGCTGTGAGTGGAAAATATAGTTCAAGACTAGCAGGCATATGAAGGTTGGGAAGACGTACTTTCAACGCTAAGATGAGAGCTCCTATGAACAAACGTTCATAAATTGCTTCCTTATAGTTTGTAAGCAGTTCCTCCCGCTTCAGGCGGTCGATATAGACCAGAGAAACTGCGATTCCATAGACAGAGATACCAGATTTCTTTATCATCCTCGTCACAAACTGTTTGAGGAGTGCAAACTCTGGTAGTTGCGAGGGGGGGCAGCAGCGATGAGGGAATAAATTTCCTCTCGAGAACTCTACTGCGTTGACTACGCAATCAACAACGTAGTCTGTGAAAAGATTATGAGAATGAGATCATTTAAATCATTAGGTGACTAGATGAGGACACACCGTGAAGACGGCTCTCGACGTGATGAGTGAGGTTGGGCAAGTACTTCAGGTTGATAGTGTTGGCCATTGTGGTCGAAGATCAGAATACAGTGGGAGAAGAAGAAACTGGAGGGAACCCATTTTATAGGCATAGTAAAGGGGAAGTTTGAGGGGGTAATTTGTAATGCTCGAGGGGAACTTGACTGCGTAGTAATTTGAAATGTACTCCTTAACTCGGCAAGTGCCGACCAGCATCACCGACTATTCTGGGGTGCTATTACAGAGGTACTGAAAAGTTTGTGCGACAGGAATAGGCAGCTTTTAGGATCCCAGTAGTACATATGGGGACTGCAGGTAACAAGGAAGCGAGTTGCTTGTGTGCATCATGCTCTCCGTTAACACAATCACTATCAAATATATCCAGGTAACTTAGATTCAAGCATTAACTTAACTACATAACAAACAGGCATAGTAAATGTAACGTGAAAGAAAGGTGTGCCAAAGCTAGGTTATTTTCCACTAGCGACGAGGGTAGGGTAATTTACCCCACACGATCATCAAATCGACCCGCCTAATGTGCGGGAATGCGAGTGCGTCGTAGCCACCTCCACAAAGCACGGAAGCTCTTCCCCCGGGAGGTGGCAAGGGTTCCACCAATGTCTCTGCGACCACCGGATTCTGCTAACGTTTGCGAGCTACCAGACGCCGCGTAATGGTGTGGGGGATAGTATTGTGCGTTCATTGGGCGTGAAGGGCTGTGATCTGGACAATACCACGGTTGTCGAAGAGAGGAAAGGATCTCGACAATCGAAAGCGAGTGCTCCAGCAGTTCATCATGCGAGACCTGCAGGTCGTGTTCCAAAGCATCAAGAAAATAAAGGTCCATTTGGTCAATCTCCTTTCGGCTGAAGGGCAAGCCGAAGGTACTCCAGTCCCCATTCATAAGCGGGTCGTCGCTCTGGTGCTGTTAAAGTAAACAATCAGTCACGTCACTTAACTGTGGACTGTCAGGCACACGCACTTTACTAGCCAACATAAGGGCTCCGAAAACTAGGCGTTCACGGGCTGCGTTACCAAGGACGAAGCGATCCGTGGGTATCAAACGATCGATATAAACCAAGGCAACTGCAATAGAGTGGACCAAAGGGTGCGACAGTGTGACGAGGAGGATAACAAACTTTCTCAGACAGGCGTATTCAGGTTGATTGGATGGAGGGCAGCAGTAATTTTGTGGGCATCCCCTTGCGAAGTCGACTGCGTCAACTACACAGTCGACGATATAGTCTGGAATGAGAATGTGAGGAGCGATGAATAGTAGAGGATTGCGAGAAGACATACCACAAAGACGATGGCGTGCGTTGTTGGAAATGTCGACGAATTGTTCGAGATCAATGGTGGTAGACATTTTGTGTCAAGAGGAATACTGAGGGGGAGACCTATTTTGTAGGTTGAGTATAGGGGAAATGCCTCTTTTTGGTCGAGAAAGTGATTGCGTAATCACAGCCACTGGACCTATCAAGTCGTAGAAACTGGGCGACGAGTGGCGCTGCGCCTGTGCACATCGCGGACAGGAAAGGAATCCCTTGCGGGTTGTAGCCCATCTTATCGATGATTGCTTGAATTACGCCGGGCTCCAGTCGCCCGAGTTCGACTATGGAAGAGGCACCATTGCAGTGACCACTACGATGTAGAAATATTGATTGAATGCAACCTAATGCAATGCGGTCAGCGTTGACGGGCGTAAGTTACCATGTTTTTAAGATCGTTGGGGACTAAGCTTCTCGCGAAGGTAGTCTTTTCTAGCTCTTCCCCGAACACCGGTCGTGTGCCGAAACAACAACTTGGTAAACCATTAGATACGTATAAATCTTTGTGCTCAGGTTTGCATACTTCGGAATCACACAGGGTACCATTACCAGTGTTACTGTAGCTCGGCAGATCCAGGTTCAGTCGAAGTAGACCGGAGAAGAGGAACTGGCTCCTCCACAACACCAACCCATTCAGGCACAACCCTCCGCCATTTTATCGAGTCGTACACGTGCGAGTCATTGACGACTTTGAAATCCATTCAAGTTCCCGGAAGATTTCTTCCTGCAAGCCGTAGCGCTGGATTTACATGTGACTCGCCAGTGACAGAACGTTCCAGTCATCCACCCCAACAGGTCGAGCCTCCGCTTGACCCTCCCAGTCTTGGGGCAATACCAGTGAAAACGTCAAACAACACCTAACCTCTGATCTTCGAGTTTGGAGAACAACGCGACCCTCATATCCATCTCGATGACATTTCTTTTGTGCTTCGTGCTGAAATCTCGGGCTTTGGACCTGACGCTACAAATCACTACAGTGAATCGTGGAATAGTATAAATTGCTCGTCATGCTCTCTGCTAATAGGATCATGACCAAATATTTCCCAAGCTAACTACAACTGACTTACTATGCATGCTTGTTAACTAATGTCAACAGAGATACTCGACGGGTAGACATAGCAGATCGTGCCAACACCAGGCTCTCACATTCGCTGCTTCCACTAACCATGATTCAGGCAACGAGGATATGATGGTAAGGGCAAGATTCAGTGAGCGCGCAAAGGCGTGCAGTGTGCATAATTAAAAGAGCTAGTGCTGCCGAGTGAGAACAAAGAACGGAGGTAATTTCGGCGGGGAGTCTTGGGGAGGGGTTTATTGACGTCAGCACACCCTTGCAGCACTGGTAATGTGCGTGAACTGTTCGTGTAGCAGTGATGAGGTGGGCAGAAGTTGGCTCTCATCGGGCACGAATTGTCATGGAGTGGACATATTCTGGGAGTGGTCAGAGAGCTGGTGATCTGCAAAATCACTAGCCGATGCAGAAGGAGCTCAAAGCCCGCAACACCCAGTTTGTGATCCAATGCAACGATAAACTCCAGCTCCAATTCTTCAATTTGCACGGGGTTGAACAACAGGCTCATCCTTGCCCAGTCGTGACTCGTCGTCAAATTACCATGGCCCAGATGCTGTGAGATGAAAGTATCGTTCAAGTCTAGCAGACATGTGAAAGTTGGGAAGACGTACTTTCAAGGCTAAGATAAGAGCTCCTATGAACAAGCGTTCATAAACTGCTTCCTTATAGTTTGTAAGCAATTCCTCCTGCTTCAGGCGGTCGATATAGACCAGGGCAACTGCGATCCCATGGACAGAGACACCGGATTTCTTTATCATCCTCGTCACAAACTGTTTGAAGAGCGCGAACTCTGGTAGTTGGGAGGGGGGGCAGCAGCGACGAGGGGATAGATTTCCCTTCGAGAACTCCACCGCGTTGACTACACAATCCACAACGTAGTCTGTGAGAAGATGACGTGAATGAGATCATTTAAATCATTAGGTGACTAGATGAGGACACACCGTGTAGACGACTTTCGACGTCATGAGTGAGGTTGGGCAAATACTTCAGGCTGATAGTATTGGACATTGTGGTAGAAGATCAGGATACAATGGGAGACGAAGAGACTGGAGGGAACCCATTTTATAGACATAGTAAAGGGGAAGTTTGAGGGGGTAATTTGAAATGCTCGAGGGGAACTTGACTGCGTAGTAATTTGAAATGTACTCCTTAACTCGGCAAGTGCCGAATGGCGTCGGTGGCTGTCCTTGGGTACCGTAACGGAAGTAACTTACTGAAAAGTTTGTACAACAGACAGACGGGGACTGCAAGTAACAAGGAAGTGAGTCGCCGATGTGTTCATGCTCCCTGATAACGGAATCACGATCAAATATATACAGGCAACTTAGATTCAAGCGCTAACTACATAACAGACAGGCATAGTAAATGTAACGTCAAAGAAATGTGTACCAACAATGGATAACTACATCGGAAGCTTCCACTAGTGATGAGGGTAAGGTTATTTACACCTCACGGCCATCAAAATCGACTCGCCTAATCTTCAGAAGCAAAAGTGCGTCGCAACCAGCTCCGCAAAGCACACAAGCCCCTCTGCCGAAACGTGGCAAGAGTTTTGCCAATGGAGTTGTTACCCTCTGGTCCCACCAATGTTAACGAGCTACCACTGGACGCCGCGTAGTGGTGTGTGGGATAATACTGTGCTTTCATTGGGCGTGAAGGACTGTGATCTGGACAATACCACGGTGTTCGGATAGAGAGAATCTCGACAATTGGAAGTGAGTGCTCCAGCAGTTCATCATCAAAGACTTGTAGGTCGTATTCCAGAGCATCAAGAAATTCGAGTTCCATTTGGTTAATCTCCTTTCGGCTGAAGGGCAGACTGAAAGCAGTCCAGTCCTCATCGTCAAGAGGAACGTCACTCTGGTGCTGTTAAAGTAAACCATGAGTCACGTCAGTTAGATGTGGAACTGTTAGGCACACGCACTTTACTAGCCAACATAAGGGCTCCTAAAACTAGGCGCTCACGAATTGCATTATCAAGGACGAGGCGCTCTGTGAGTATCAAACGGTCAATATAGACCAAGGCAACCGCAATTGTGTAGACCGAAGGGTGCGACAGTGTGACGAGGAGGATAACAAACTTCCTGAGAAGGGCATATTCAGGCTGATTGGATGGAGGGCAACAGTAAGTCGAAGGGTATCCCCCCGCGAAATCAACTGCATCAACTACACAGTCGACGATGTAGTCTGGAATGAGAATGTGAGGAGCGATGAACAGTAGAGGATTGCGAGAAGACATACCGCAAAGACGATGACGTTGGTTGTTGGAAATGTCGACGAATTGTTTGAGGTCAACGGTGGTGGACATTGTAAACGTCACGATTTAAGAGGAATAATAGGGTAGCTCTGAGGGGGAGACCCATTTTGTAGGAGTATAGGGGAAATATCTCTTTTTGGTCAAAAGGGGTAGAAAGTGACTGCGTAATCTGCACAGCCACCGGACGGAGTGACTCGACGCAAGGTGAGCAGTCTCGAGAGATCCATAATAGCCAGCGCTAGTCGCAAGTAGTTTGGTGACCAACTAGACCGGCGTCGCAAGATTCCAAGGTATAACAGAGTATGGCCAAGAGGGCAAACACCCTGCATAGTACAACGCAAAGAGGTACTTACTTTGTAATACACTAGATATCAACGAATTGACGAAGGCAGACGGCGGGTGCATGCAAACGAACTACACTCACACTGATAACTCCAAGTGATGGGGGCTCGTTCTTGCACAAGCAGGCTACCAAGACCTTTCTCTTGTCTTTACCTCCACCACCTGACCTGTAATCCGAGCGCCCAGGATCCTTTGGGTTTGCTGTCTGATATCATGATGATGGGTCTGTCGACATGGCATGGTGGGGGGAGGAATGAAAGACACCGCGTGCTAGTTACATAGTGGACCCAGGTTATACTGACTTAGAGCTTGCACATCCTCTTGAGATTTGTCGCTCTTGAGTGGTCAGAACGTAGTTTGGCAGGACATGTGGCCAATGTCGGGTCGACGTTTCTATCCGGTGACCTGTTACTCCAATGTGTATAAATGACGTGTTTGCAGCCTTTCCGACATCAAGCAACAACCACGTAGGTGTACAGAAGATCGTTTCGTGCGACGTCATCGAACACGCCTTGGCTCGTCGACAGTCTTGGCCGCGACTTGCACACAAATATCGGACATGGCTTCGGTTCGGTTGTCCACACGACAAGTACTCAATGTGCTTCGACGACCCCGCACATGCCAAAATCTCGCGCCAACAGCCTTGTCAATCCAGCTTGGGCTCCGGAATATACATGTCTCCCCGACCCGTCTGACCGACCGGCCAACGACACTGACCAACATCCTCGCTTCCGACATACCCCCACCAGTTCAGGTCCTCTCCGTCTCAAAGACAGGCATTAAGCTCGCTGACGGACTCGTCCTGACCGGACCTGTTATATTCTTGGATGGAAAAGTGTTTTTGTGGGACGTTCCGAACGGCGGGTTCAGTTCTACTGTAAGTACAGGGGATGGGATCGGGTAATATGGAGAGGTGGGAAGGCTGGACGAGCGAGCATTGGTCCATGTTCGAGGTTGTCGTACCAAAGCCTGGTGTGTATGATTTGGAGTGTCGAGGTCATGTTACTCAATACATATGCCCAGAAATTCTCGTGTTTGGTACGGGTGCACGCGTGGAATTCGTCCCGCCCAGAGTAAGGTCATATATAACGGGACTGGGCATACAACTGGATGTAATGGATACCGTGAGCCATTCGTTGTCAGTCCCCCCCTGTCCCTATGTTGAAGTACACAACAGAGAAACGCATCGTCGACATATAATCTCCTAGCGGAAGAAGGAAGACGGGTCGCTGCGGCACTCCTCCCTTTGGAGCCCAAGTTATGGGAGAGAAAGAAAGGGTTTTGACCTGTCATCTATGACTCCCCCCCTCCGGTGTATAGTATCATAGTTTAATCTCGTGCGATTAGAAGTACAATATGCAGGCGTATGGATGGAAAGAGTCATGCCTTCAAAGTCATTCGGGTGGTGCTTTGCGCTTCCCCTTCCCTACGTGCGTCGTTGGCTGTGGAGGCGGGGGTGCGCGCCGAGCTTGTTCCTCTTCTTCCTCGTCCAGAAGCGAGGTCTGAGAAACTTGCACTGGCATAAGTTTGCCTGTATAGAACAATCAGAGGACGCGAAAAACGCGTAGAGGAAATCCCCTCAGTTACCATTTTCGTCTCTGAACTGCACGTAGAGTTCCTCCCAATTATTGAGCAATCCCCGTATCGGCGAATCAGCGTCGAGCACTTCATACGACGGCGATGCAGCAGCATTCTGTTTGCTGCTCCTGATCGCTCTACACAGTTCGAAATCGTCCGTCGATGTCACAGTTGGAATATCCTCGTTCGCACTCCCACCATTCCCACTCCCATCGACCGTCGGACATCTCCTCATCTTCGCCAGGTGCTGTTGGGATACGATCGAGTATGGGGTCTGAGTCGGTGGGTTCACGTAGGACTGGGGATGACAGTGCTGAGAGTGCCTCTGATTTGAGCGATGCGACGGTGCTGTCGTGCGGTGCGCTCAAGAAGATGGTCAGACGGTGTGTTTTCAGTGAGAGGATGTACGCTTTTGGGGGTACTCGTGGAGGCTGTTGGCTTCAGTTCGACTATGAAATCAAAGGAACTGATGGCACTGACCATCTTACTGGTATCCGTCCAACACCGACTCGACTGTGCTGTAGGAGAGCGAGTCCCCGTGGGAACAACCTTCCTATTTCATCTCCTACTCCCGACTCGTCCCACTGGTGTTGCAGTTGACTTGCAAACGACGATGAGCATCTTTCGCGACCCAGCGCGCACGGACCACCCGTACAAGGACCCAACACCGCTGCCAGAATCGGTACCAAAGGTTCAGGAGCTGGGTGTGTCGAGTGCACCTCTCAAGAGCGCGGCATTTTTCATCGGAGCGCATTGCAAGGAATTCAATGGTGGGCAGTTGGTGTATTCGTACATTTTTGTTTGGGAAGGCTGAAGGCTAGGCTTCTGGTGTGCATTATTCTCGGTGTTTCATTGTGGGTGGTTCACCGTCGCACTTGTTGTTGCGTGGACACAGAGGACTTTATGCTCTGCAAGAACGAGAGTGGGGGGGATCCCGGAGCTTGCTTGAAGGAGGGACGTCGGGTCACCCGGTGTGCGACTGACCTGTAAGTATTTCTATTCGTTGCGGTACACTTTCACCATGAACTATATAGTATACCCCCCACTCAGAGAAATAACCAGACGCTAACCCACACTTCCACATACAGGATCAACAAGATGCGGGAAAACTGCCTCGAACAGTTCGAAACACACTGGAACTGTCTCGAGTTGAACAACCAAGAGTATTATGCCTGCCGCAAACCGGAGCGTTCGCTGAACAAGTGCATGTTTGAGAAGCTCGTACGTTCTGTCTTTTTTTTCTTCTGCCCCGGGGTTTGGTCACCCATTATGTGTATACGTGGATGTAGGGTCTTGTCAAAACGATTCCTGGCAGTTCTCCGTCTCAGAAGCAGATCCACGAGGTCGAGAATCCGATATATACCACTATCCAGCGATAGAGTCGTATTTACTGTTCTCACACTACATATATACGACGCATGCATACGCTGGGACCATGTACCGTAGACTACATAGCGAATGCATGTTGCCGACAGTCGAGTAGTATGTGAGGGTCTGCGTGGCGGACGCGCTGAATGTTCGCTTCCTTCTGCCATGTCGCGTCTGTCAGCGCACCACTTGTTCGCACATTGGCGTCCCTCCCAAGGACAGCGCTGACGCCTCAGAGTGCCATCTACGTGTCGACGTCGTCTAATCCGTACTTTAATTTGACTTTGGAAGACTGGTATGTCCGTCTTTACTTTCATTTTCGCCTGCCTTAGATCCCGCCTTGGTTGCAGGCTCTTCCGACGCTATCCTGCACACGCCCCGTTACTCCTTTTGTATCGTAATAACCCCTGCGTCGTGATAGGACGGAACCAGAACCCATGGAAAGAGGTCAACCTACATGTTGCAAGAGAGAGAAACGTGCCATGGATTAGACGAAGAAGTGGAGGTGGAACTGTATTCCATGTAAGCCCTTCGAGACCACGACGACTGGCCGACGTATCCAAAGGTCTGTCTCTGTACAGGATCTCGAGAACACGAACTATTCTATACACGTTCCCCGAGCATCCTTCGACAGAGCTAAGACGGCAAACATTGTCGTAAGGGCTCTTCGTGCACTCGGCGTGGAGGGGTATGCAAATGAGCGCAATGATATATGCGTCGGAGGCAAGAAGATGGGTGTCTTTCTTCGTGAACGGAACTTCAGGTGCCGTACTTACCGGTGAATGTGATAGATACGTCTCAGGCTCGGCGTACAAGATCGTAAGCAGTCGGGCATACCACCACGGGACGATGCTCATCTCTACAAGATTGGATACGCTAGGAGAGTTGTTACGCGTGGACAAGGTGGGTCGGATAGATGGCGTCCACGTCCGCTCATTACATGTTATCTTACGACAGCCTATGATGAACACGAAAGGCGTTGAATCTGTTCGTTCGCCAGTGTGTAATCTCGTCGAGTCTAACCCACGCATCACGCACGAGGCATTTGTCGAAGCTGTTACCACTTCCTTTAGGAAGGAGTATGACGTTGGCGATGAGGTGCGTAAGATCATTGTCTTGGTGCACCTCGGTTATACTTAGGGTTCGCGGGATCAGCCATGTGTGGTGGGGGAGACGCCGGTGTATGCAGGCGATGAGTATTTTAAAGTTGGGATGGCCGAGCTACTTGTATGTGTTTCCCTGATTGACAGCTCGAATTTGCGTTCGATCGCGTTGCTGATCGGATCTAGGGCTGGGATTGGGCGTATGGCCAGACCCCTGAGTTCGAGTACGTCCTCGAGAAGAGGTTCAGATGGGGAGATGTGGTGAGTTTATTTACGTCCGTTTGCGGGAGCGGAGTGCGATGTGATGTGATGTGTCCCAAGACGTCCACGATTCGTTCCAAGCACGGTGTCATCCTCTCGTGCACGTTCATATCTTCTACCTCGACGAATATACAAGCCACGCTGGATGAGCTAGGGCGTCGGTTAGAGGGTAAGCGGTATGGATTCGTTCACGATGCGGAGATCTTCTCTGAGTTGGAGGAGTATGGATCGAGTGAGATGGCGGAGAGCGAAGCGGGCGAGTTGTGGAGATGGTTGCAGGCGGAGATGAAGGGATAAGGGGGTATATGACTGAGGGCGTTGGATACCATGCTCCTGGTTACCACGCACGAAGATCCTGACGACGGAGATGGCATTCTGGGTCTACGTACATCGATCGTACAATATTTTCTATCTACCGGAACCGTCACTGTCGCTCGTCGAAGTCGTCGAAGTCGTCGAAGACAGTCGGGGGTGGCGTGGTAAATGAGAGAAACGCGGTCGACCCAAAAAATGAGGCACGGCTGTGCTGCTCGAGGACGAGCGTCGTGCCTCACCGTATGAATCATGGGCACTCCCCGTCTGTCGTCGTCGTCGTCGTCGCTGTACACGGCCAAGGCGACATGTCTGTGTCTGCTGTTAATTCTGCTGCCCCTCGCAGTGTCTGCTCAGCCCGCGACGCTGCCTTTCAACGACTGCTTCAACGGTAACGTCTCCCAAAAGATGTCCGTCGACACCGTCTACTCCCAAATCGTGGATGGCCAGCGTCTCAACTTGACCGTGCTCGGACAGACAGCCCAGGAAATCATCGGAGACGCGAACACCACCAACCTCGGTGAGCACTTTCGTCCATTCTTATTCCAACTCACTTCACACAACTCGAACACAGCGACCCTCTTCACACAGGCGACGACGCTGACCATCAATACCTTTAGCAACAATTCTTATCTCTGCGATTTCATTCGCCAACCCTCGTCGCTCGCTAATTCTAGTTCCAACTCCACAGACTGTCCAATACCACAGGGCCCCTTCGCTCTCGCCGTTTCCATACCCTTCAATCCAAAGAATGCTCTCACCACTCTCAACACTGAACTTCGCGCTCTCGATCCTTTCGAAAACGAAATACTCTGTCTCACAGTTGCAACCACTGCACTTCAACCAGGCCCATTCGACTCTCCTTACGGCGACGCTCATAGCATATTTTGGGCGACCGTCGGTCTCGCAGCTGCATACTGGATCATCGTATGCGTTGCCCGTCTAGTCTCTGCGTGGAAACGCGGAACGAGTCGCCCGGGCTCGGGCATCTGGGCCCGCGTGGAGAGTGCGGGATTGATTCTTGTCAGCGCCATCAGCGGCGAACGTCTTGCTACTTCGCCTTCGTTGCTGAGATTTTGTACGTTATGCCATCATTCTGTTTCGGCCGAGCATGTCTTACCATAGCGGTCCAGGTTCCCCGTCTTTGCGCGATATTATGATTCATACGCAGTGGTGTGCCGCACTGGCTATGGTTGCCGTACAATGGCCGCCCTTTGTCTGTAAGTGGGACCCGGTTTTCTTGTTTTCTCCCGCAGTTTGTGTACGTTTCGTTAGATCCCCTGCTTTCCCAAACTGCGTGGGCAACTCTGACTTACAGTGAGCTCACATCTCAGTTTCATGCTGCGCTCCGAATATTTATATACATGACTTTTTAGATACCTCGCTCTCCGATGCAGCACAATGGAATCCTTTGCAGACTCAACCGTACAATCCTCCATCCGATTTTGCAGATCAACTTAGCGATTCCAATTCGCCTCTTTATGTCAACCCATCGATTTCTAACACGTTATTTTTACTTCCGAACGGAACTCATAATGGCATGGAAGCGTTTGCATGGAGTGTCGGCATTGGCCCCCGCGAATTATTCCGCACTTGTCTCATCTTATTCCTCGCCATCCTGGCTGGCACAATCATACTCAGCGTTTTGGTCTGGTCCATTGACTGGGTATTCTCCCGCAAGCCCATTTCCACCCTCCCAACCGGTGCCACCTTTTCTAGCTCAGCGACCAAGAGTCGGAGTCCACGGCAGTCAGGCGGGACGTCAGGAAGCAAGGACATGCTGGACGTCACCGGAGATGAAAGCCGTTCATTGAATGCTTACGGCCACTCATATCCCCTCTTTCGGCGGCGCTGGTGGCTCCGCTCTGATCTCAGCTCATTTCATACAAGTCTCCTAGAAGGAAACCTCGTTCGAGTGCTTTCACTCTTCCATCTCCCTGTCACGATATTCTCCGCATACCAGTTCGTGACTGTAAAAACTAGTGCCGCTATCGCGCTGGCCGCATTGTCTTTCGCATTTTTCTCTGTTCTTCTTCCTGGGTTTTTGGTGCTTCGCCTTGCTAGAACCTCAACGACAAAGCTGTATGATGAGACTCGCACGCTCCTCGCTCTCGGACCTTTGTACAATCATTTTCGTCCAGACTCGCAAATGTTTTCGGGCTTACTTTTCCTTTCGAACTTAGTTAATGGTCTGGCCATTGGATGCGGTCAGCGAAGCGGGACCGCACAGGCGATCGTGATTCTCGTATCCGAGGTCGCTAGTGCCCTCATCACAAGTGTCTGGTTGCCATGGGGAACGGGAGCGAGCATGGGATTATTGAGCTTCTTGTTTTGTGTCGCCAGGATAGTGACTGCAGTATTACTCGTCATCCTAACCCCGACGGTGAGACTTGGATACCGACCACCTGCGTTATTTCCAGAAGCATTGATTAACGTGTTATTTCATTTTTCATTGACATTGTAGATATCCATCGGAGCCGCTGCAAGTGGATGGGTAGCCTACGGCATCCTCGTAGTGCTACTCCTCGTCTACACTGCATTTACGATCATCCTCATCGTCAAGCTTATCGAAGCAACCGTACGCATCTTTGGACGCGTCGGTTTCGACAGGTCAGGCCACGCCATAGACAGCGGGCTTGTCGGCGTGCTCGGATTGCTCGGCTGCTGTGGAGGAGGCAGCAACCGGCGCGGACGAGACCGTCGCCAATACCGTGCAACAGAAGTCCGGCATTCCGGTGGTTCCTATTCTGTTGCTGTTGGGGACTCGACGAGCTTGTATGCGCCTCCGAACGCGTCCTTTGCGCGGCAGGCCAAGAGCTCTGCTGCCTCGCACAATTCCGACGGTCCCCCACCGTCAGTTCTTCGCCCTGAACATGCGCTGCAGCCGTACAGGGAGGACAGCGATGATGATGACGAGAGCACGCACATCATGGCCGCATGGCAGCCCTTCCCGAGCCCGGAAAGCAGGCTCTCGTATGAGCGCAAGGAATCGACGCAGTCCTCCGCACCGCAGCCCTCTACCTCCGGATTCTCACGCGTCGGCGGAGGCAGAGCACACTACAACTCACCCTACGCAATTGCAGGGACCAGCAAGGGCGCCGGCGGGTCGACGCTCACGTTCCCCAGCGTGGAGAAGCGGGGTTCGGCGTTGGGTCCGAGTGGGGGTAGCTCGCCAAGAGTGGCGACGGTTACCCAGGACGTGGAGGGTGAAGCGGCCGCGCCGATGACGTCGGTCGCTAGTGTGGCAAAGCTACCTGTGCTGTCGAATTCGGGGCTTCCTGTAGGTGCCATGATGCCGCATATGAGGACGAAAAGCCAGACGGCGATTATCATCGAGGAGTTGGCTGGGATGGCAAACACGTCGTCGGCTGCGCAGGAGTCCCTCCCGATCTTTGAGCTTGAAGAACAAGAACGATCCGCTCCGCCCAATAGTTTGTCAAATGCAAGTGCTGGAGGGAGTTCGGAAGGAGGGGAACAACGTCAACAGCAACAGCAACATACACAGCCTCCGAGGAAGAAGGGCTGGTTCAATATCCGACGAAATCGGAGGCACAGTGACGGGCAAATCCTCGAAGATGCCACGGCAGAAGCAGAAGAAGACAGTAATGCTTCTTTTGCGAAGCAGCCCGAGACTGGCAGATCCTTTGTCGTGATAAGGGACAAGAAGCCTTTATCGGCTCAACCACATCCTAATCCTTTAGGCCGCAAACCAAGTCATTCCCTAGACGAGTCTAGCGCCAAACCCCCGACGTCTTTTGCTGTCGTACGAGGTTCCACGTCGACTGATACGCAGCGTAGTCAATGAGATGAGATGACACCGTGGCGGGAGGTCGCGGGACAGTACCCCTCATAGTTGTTCTATTACCTGCTAACATATGATATCCTTGTTGCATCTTACTCTCACCTGGACACTTTACACAACCCGCCTACATTCCCACATATGTAATACCTACTCTCCTTACTTTTTTGTCATTGGGCTTCTCTCTGTCTGTGTCAGTACAGTAATACAGGTTTCCAGAGCATTGAGTATCGACTTGTGCATGATATATGATTAGAGCAGAGAAGAAAAAATGAAAAACTGCCCGAAGACTACATCATACAAGCACACCATCCTCGTCTTCGTTCTCGTCATGCTCACCCACGTTCTCGGCATCTCCACCGACCCAGAACACCCTCCAGTCTTCCACGTCCTTACGCAGCGAACAATACAAGCCCGCTGCACCTCTCAATCGCAATAGTATCTCTTCGCTTTCCATGCTCCCATAGGAGCTCGTGGATGTTGCTGAGTCAGTCCGCTCGAGGTGCGGCGCTACTACGGAGTCGGATTGGTGCCAATGTCCCCCTGTAGCCAGAAAGCTGGTCTCGCCGATAAACGACTGAACGTGGGTTGCCTCGATAGAAGTCCCCTCCTTGTCCTTCCCCTTACGATTGGACAAAGCGGCAAGGGGTATCTCATGCACTTCAATGCCATGCTCGCCCAATCCCAAGAGTTGTAGGAAAGACGGAGTCTCTGCCGATTTGATGGACCTGCGCGGAGACGGCAGGCACAGGCGACAAGTAATACTGGAAGGAGGCGAATTCCAGGTTATCGAGCACAACGGAGGCGTCGTCTGAATTGTCTTGGGAAGTGGGCCAGAGATAACGTGCGTCTGCTTGCCGCGTGAGAGGATGTATATGCTGTGTGGGGCCCCACTTGGGGCATGGGCTGGCGGTATGTCAATTAAACTAGGCAAGATCCATGTCCCCTTCCCTTCCCTGAGAGCCATGAAGTCAATGGAAGCCCGGGAACGGCGTGTAGCAATAGAACTTCCGATGCTGAGCTGGTCTTTCCCGCCAGCAGGGTTGTTGCAGCTACCATCAAACATTTCCACCTCCGTTACTGCAGCGTCTGCAATGCGGATGATACTGGCCTTCTTATCGAAGATAACAAATATTGCCATGTGTGCACTGTACGTGAAGGTGGCGGGCGTAACCATGGATTGACGATGGTTGTGTAAGGAGAATGGTCCTTCCGATGATGAGGGTACACGTGCATGTCCACTGCCCGATCCGCCAATCCGCAGGGAGCTTGTATCTGATTGTGATCTGGATATGTCCTGAACTGAACTGGTGCACGAAGGTTAGGTTTCGAGCTTGAATTGGGGTATAAAATTCCTGTACGTTACATGTCACAATTGATTAGCACACAGTTCAGTGGCCCAGAAAACGGCAGATCAATCAGCCAATTACCTTGACGAAATGAAATGCTCGCTCTCCCTTGGGGGTTTCATACAGAAATATATTGTATTTTGTTGCAACTGCAAGTAAGGTTCGACGCCCATGCCGTCCACCGCCTGGGCCCGGTCCGCCTTCTTGCCAAAGAGCGTATGCAATTGCACTCATGCTTGCCAAACGCGACGTGGGTGAGGCAAGCGGAACAAAATCAGTTGCCCAACGCAACGGCAGGTCTTCGACAACGTCCCAAGAAGAATCCGCTGGAGTAGCGGTGCTGCTCTGCCGTTTCGGACTCTGGGCCGAAAGATACGATTCGTACGACGTGGTAGTAGCGACTACTTGCTGTGTACGGGGCGGAGATTCAATGATTAGGTTTTTCAAACCCCTGGTGATGCTGCTCGCAGAGCGGTGCTTTTTTACAGGCGTTTGTTGGACGTTCCAGTCAGAAGCACGACGTAGATCGACAGCGTTCGGAGTCTGCGTGGAGGGGGATCGAATCAGAGATCAGATTATCATGACCCGAATCGACATGATACCACGCACTTGTTGAGTAATTATCCATCTTGCTAGTGACATCAGGCTGGCTAGGTTATACATTCTCAAACTGCGCAAGGATTCTTGATGACCATTGGATGCAGAAGGAGCATCAGGGTCCGGTCCAACGAGCGCCAGCACCACCCCTTGAGGCGTGCCCTCTCCGATATCTTCGTACTCTAGAATGGAGAGCTGGTACACCCTGGATGAATGGCTATGTCAATCACGTTGGCAAATGTAGAGTAATGCAGGGCGTACGCCTCCCCTGTCCAGAGTGCACGTGCCTGTGCCTCGTTTGGTCCCTTCTGCACGATTCCAATGTTACTATCAATCCCATTCCCCCATTCGACGGGGTACATGTCCATGACAGAGAGACCCTTGTCCGTCCCGATAAGTAACAAACGGTCCCGCTGGAGGGGAAGGACGCAGTGTATGGGCGAGGTCGTGTGTGGTAGAAATCGAGATCCGAACTGGTGCACCTGTAAATGAGTGGGGAGCAACGTCTCCCTGGCTGTAGTCTGGCATTGAGAATGTGTGACAAAACTAGCTGCAGTGGGCGTGTAGGCCAGAGACTCCTGGATGCTAGCCGATGTTTCCTTATCATGGGCTATGGAAGGCGATGCTGAGAATACATCATCGTCCACTCGTATCCGCAAGGGCGGCTGCAAGGGATGGAGTTGACTCCGGGATTGACTGGCAGAAGGCTCTTCCACTGGAGTATGGAGCTGACCACATCGTTCAGCGGTAAGAGCGCACACACACGCAAGTGCAATGGAGTCTTACCTGCTCAGGTTGTTGTTCCAAGCCGTCCCCCCATCCTCTGCTCCGCCTGCGCTCATGTTCTTCTACGCTGACATCTGCATAGCGCTCTGCTGCCCTAAGTCGATGCTATGAGCAGGCTGTATACCTCGAAGTCTTGAAGACATGGTAACTCGCCTTTTCTCAATCCAACCCCTCCATCGTCCAAACCGAGAATTCGGACTCTGAGCTACGACATCATCGTACGTTGGTAATTCCCCTGGCGTGCCACGTTCATCTTGCTCTGGGTCTTGGATACAGGTCTCGAACGAATCGAGCGAATGGCACGACATGGTGGACGGTCGCTTAATAGGAAGGGTTGCAGTACATGAATGTACCTAAGTAGAATCCAGGCCCCCTCCCTACATACCATAGTAGTACGGTGCCCTTGGCAATGCAAAACGTGGCCGAGTGGGAAATCAGTGCACCGCTTGATCAACTTTCAACTCGGTACGGACATATCACGGATTGCTTTGCACTTCTGATCTTCCCTCAACTCTGCGTTGCACAGACACAGAGGTCGGGAAAACATGCTGGAAAATCTTGGAAAACGGCACTCTGTCTCTCGTGCAGAAAAAAACAACAACCTCTCGCTCAGGTGAGTCTCCTTGAGGACCCATGGAAAGCCTGTCGTTCGCACTCAAGCTGTTCGAGATATTACTAGCTATTTGTGAGTCTGTTGGCCAGTCTGAACGTGTAACAATCCCTCTCCACCAGTCCAAGTATAACTACGCCCTGTCCGTATGTTAGGTGGCTTGATGTTTCGACTTCGATGCCATGCCTTCCCCACCAGGGAAGTTCTTCATGTATCAATGGGTGATAAATTAACTTAACCCGAGGCGGGTCTTCTATATCTCCCTTTACCCCCAAGGAATAGTAGCATCCATGCTACATTGAGGTAGGCCCCCATTCAATTTTTAGGATGATCGCAGCTTGATCTCTACTGTTATCTCCTGTTTTATTTTCGAAATCCGCCCACGTCTTCCGCACGTGTGGATTGGCAGCTCGGTCCATTTGAGAGACCGGGGCGCATGATGTAACTACTAGCGTTCCTTATCCCAGACGAAGCAAGGCCGAAAAAGTTCACAACAATCTTTTGGAGTGTCACCAAACCGTCCACCGACCAACTGACTACGATTCCGCAGATCTCGTTGATACGTAAAGCACGCTGCATACCCAAATTGGCACATCCTGTTCCGTTTCAACTGGATAGGCGCCTCTTGTGACATACGCGTGTGCTTTCTGCTTGGCGTGGCCTACTTGGTTGGTTAGATCCTTAATGCCTCGTTGTCACACAGCCTGTGGTCCTCGCCCCAATTATAAAAAGGTAGAGTATTCACCAACATCTTGCAAACTGTATATTACCCAAGTGACTCCAACAGACTAATGACTACATTCCCGCCCATCATCGACGCATTTCTCTACCAGGCCCAATGTCCAGCAAGACTCTGGAGACGAATATATCTCCGACCCTTCGCTCCGAGCGAACGATGTTTTTGCCTTCGTTCGTCTCTTTTTCGTTGTCATGTCTAACATTCGCTCATGATAGATTCCAGAGGGTCCTTCAAGTTATACCCAACAACCAGTACCTCAGGTGTTCAGTTTCTCAGGGAGGGCACGATGGATTGTCCAAGTAATTTCACTCACCTTTCACTTGATTTCGTTCACCGATCGGTGGTTATCTTGTTTTCAGTGTGGCAGTCGTTGACCAAATGTATAATGCATTTGCGCCCAGTGCCGCGGGTACGGGTAGGTTTCCGGACCAACACGAGATTCAATATGAGCCCGGAGCGCCACCAGTTCCCAACCCATTTTTCGCTCAGGCACAAAGCCCTCAATATGAATATGGCCCCTGGTCTATGCGATATCATACGATCAACCCGATATCGGCTGACAGTCACACTATGCAGGAGCCGCCCACATATGCACAGCAACCACTGGGTTATACACTGTCTTCCGGTTCCGTAGTGCCAGACGTTCTTCCGGCCCAAGAAGGGTTGGCCTCTTCGCTCTGTCGCAAGCGCAGCCGCCGCAAAGAGAGGATTACGTGCTCCGTTGACGGATGCGGTCGCGAAATGTCCAGAGACAGTCTTGGGCGCCACATGAAAGAAATTCATCGTGGACAGAAGAGAAAGAAGCCAAGGCGGGATGAGCAGGATCCCTGAAGCCCGATGCTTGCCTCCTACCCGTACGTCAGCGACTGTTCTGTCTGCTGATGTTGAGATTGTACCCACATGTTGTCTTTCATGTTACTAGTACGATCAGTACGTACCAAATTTATTAATTAGTGAGACTCTCGTAATGAAATGACTGGTTGACACGAAACATGGATGCATACTAGTCGCAGCTGCAGCAGAGCTATCGTGCACCTCAACCTAAAATTCTACAGTTGGCCGACAACGTTGCGGTCTGAGAAAGCAAGTTATTTGGTGTGCGTGACCCCGTCGCTGTAGATGACTTGCTGTGGGTAAGTTGCACAGCCTAGTTGGATCTCCCGATCCAGCTCATGCAGTGGTCACCAATCTATGGGGTCGCAACCCAGACCAGTAGAACAGCATTGATTTTTTGAATGGTGACAGGTGCATCACATTACTGATACATGGACGCTTGCAATCAATGTGACGGAATGTGCAGAAAGCGAGTCACCCACATGACCTCACCAGTTCCGACACAAAAATTGCTAACATGATACCGAAAAACGGGACGTGAAGTCTGCCGAAACCTGGCTGCAGGTTGTAGTATCGCTTGGTCATAAGGCAGATCTAGATGCACCAATACTAAAGGGTCGTTCCTCCGTGATATCGGTAGCGGGGACCAGCACATACATGTCACTCGTGGCAGCATTGGCATGGCATCAAATGGGGCTCAGTACAGCTAGTGGAGCGTAAAGAAAATCTCACTAGTTGTGGTAGATCTTCTCCCTGTCTCCCTAACGTTGCATCCCCAGCACTTGGTTAACTGCCCAAATAGGACCGACTCGTCACTGTTTCAGCCAACCGCTAGTCATTACTGGCGCCTCAGGGCAGTCGGAGCGTTACCATTACCAGTGACCGGTGGAGCCGATTCTTGACTTGCATCGATGTTTCCGATTGGTTTCCAAGGATAGGTGAGACCCTGGTAAGGTAAGAGGATCATAAAGTTTGTCCTGTGATCGGAAACCTTGCACTCCTTAGAAAAACCTAATCAATCTCCGCCCTGCGATATTTACCGTGTCAAAGGGAGGGCGGGCGTGTTACAGGGTTGCTCCAACTCGGAAGAGTTATGTTTTGATGACCAAAGGGGATCGCTGAATCTAACGAGAAGCAAATTAATCCGTGTCAACTAATGTGCCTGCCGAAGCCACGCGCACAGCCCGGGAAAAATTAACTTTGAAATTCCAATAACGCAGAATGTCACAGTCTCGGTCCGGAGGTAGTCCAAAGTTCATGATACAGGAGTCTTACAGTGCGCTAGGTACTAATGCATTTGGGTCGTGAGCAATTTACAGTACGCAAGGAGGGTAATACCCACAGGGATTAGGAAAATGCGAGGCCGGTCCAGGTCGCCACGGCGCCCAAGAGCGCCCCCCCTGCGACGGCTTTAAGTTTTCCTCCACATTGCGCATTCGTTCTCTTCCGATCTTCCTCATCGAACCTCTTCTCCAGCAAATCCATAGCATGGGAGTCCGTGCCCAATATCATCCACCTTTGACCATCTTGCCTACCGCTAGAGAGTTCCCGGACAATAAATCCAAGTCTTCTCTGCGTCCTGACGGACGCTCACCACTTCATCATTTGAGATGGATACCAAGGTGGCGGGCGCGCTCTCAGAGGAGCGACTAAGACGCTCCAAAAAGAGTGAGCGTTGCTCGATGCTCATAGTGCGCTGCAAAGCTTTGGGCTTCTTAATATCCGGATCCGGGAGCAAAAATAAGGTGTCGTCCATGTTGATCGATCCTCCAATGTTGCCATCAGATAATGGCTCGGTCGACGTGAGGCTCGCAGTTGGGGTGAATAGAGTGCCCGGCATCTCACGCGACAGTAGTTTCCCAGTAACCTGTATCGGTTTTTTCTCCTCGTCCACAGCAGTAACAACACGTGCGGCTAGTGCACGCGAGGCAGGCTCCGCGTGGATGAGCGACCTCTTCCACTGTAGCCCCCCCTCATAATCATCACTATCGCACGTGTCACCCATCATTCCTGGCGTCAATAGCTTCTCCACGAGTTCGGAACTTGAGGAGGACAGCGAGGCCAGTGTTTCTGCAGGAACAAGCGCAAATCGGACTGAGAGGCGACGTTTGAGACGTTTTGTCCGATCTACTACTAATCCTGTTTCTTCGGTGGGAGTGACGAGGCGCAACGACGACAAGTCGTCCGCTATGTCATCTTCTGGATGAGGTGCTGTGGTTTCAGAGACTGGTTTCGATTTGTTGGAAGGAGAAGGTGGATTCGACTGCGCAACATAAGGGCAACCAGAACGAGGATGGCCCGCACGAGGACGACCACACTTGGTGCAATGGGGAGCGCGACGAGGTGTACTTCCGGGGGTATGTAACCCGCTTGAGCCTGTGCTTACGGACGGCTTAGAAGGCGTGGTAGGAGAGCTAATGGCACCGCTAGCAGACCGAGTCCTTGGTGCCATGAGTTCGATACTTAGTTATCTCTGCCAGGGAAGTCGCGTTGCACGAGCGCGTCATATTTATGTGACATGCATGTCTGGTTCTCATGCCTTTGCGCGGGCTTCCCATTGTCTAGTTCTTTGACGAAAAGAAACGACTATTAGTTGCCTTCACAATTACAATCGTGTCCAGGCAACACTCTTGTCAACGAAAATGCGCACGGTCGTAATGCCATTCCAACAAAGAGAGACAATAAAATGTCCGCTAGAATTCAGGAGATGACCCCTATGATTACCACACCAAGGAGAATAAAGGTCTCATGACTTGGTGGAAAGTGGAGTCCCTCTACCTTACGCTTTCCATTTACCAATTGTATGGGATCCTTGAACGGCCCGTATCGATTCATTCACCTTGCTCGAGTCCGAAACACAGAAATAGTATGAAAACTCGTGCTTAACTTGGTTTGATTCACAAACAGCTCCTCCTCCCCCTTCACTAGGCTCGAGGGTCAGTCCAGGCTGTGTTGTGATATAAACCTGCAGTCAGTCACATTTTGGTTCACAGTCATTGCTGATGAATCGTTCCGGTCCTATACTCCGAGGGACATAGAGTGGCAGCGACAAACAAGAAACCAAGAACCAAACCCGGTTGGCGGTTGATACAGGATAATGGCAGTCCAATCCCACATTGGAAGGATCCGAGAAAGACTTCCATCCCGGAGACCAAAAAAAGACAGATACTTACCTGCATGTACCGTCATGGATTGATAATTTCTTTATATCGAACCCTTCTCAAAATCACAATTCTGACGGGTGTCGGGAGGATTAAATGTCAATCAAACGTTGTTGAGTAGGGGGCACGTGGCGGCAGGCCGTATGGCATTCCTTCAGGAACAAAGCCGTTCCGGAAGTTCACAAGGTCACTTCTTTGAAAAGAGGTACCGAGAGGTTAGAAGTGATCGGAATGGCCCCAATCCCAGATGTCACAGCACCCTAGATTTTGTCCCTTGTCATCGTAAACGGAGCTGCGGGAACCCTCATATCCTTCTCCGTAGTTGTAGTGGCGTTCTGACGGACCAGGATGTCGCGTGTCGCGCTTTTGGGACCGGCTCCTCATATCGACGTCTCGGGGATCCCTCGCAGGTGGAGGGCTACGTGAATAGTCCCTCCTTCGCTTGTAAGGTGGAGAAGAAGAACGCCTTCGGTCAATCTCCTGTGACCTGTCTCGATAGTAGTGATCTTCTTCCTCAACATTACGATTGGAAGGTCGGCGTCCATCTCTGCCTCCCAGATTCTTGAGCAACTCCTCTACCCCTTTGATACCTTCTGATTTCTTCTGCCATTTCCGTAACTTCTTCTCGCGTTTCCTTTCTTTCCGCGCCTTACGCTCCTCGTGCGTCTCGTCCTTATGCTTGCCCTTCTTAGATTTTTTCGACTTTTGCAATGCCTTCATCTCTCTGCGCTTCTCTAACAAATAGTCCCGCATTGGGTCTTCCGGGTCGATAGAGAAGGCCGATGAGGCGTCTGAGTCGGTCTCGGGTGCGTCGTCTGAGCAGGTGTCAGGGACATATACATCTCCATGAGGTCAGCATGATAACTGCTCACCTTTGATCATCTGGGGCTTTGCGCTAACGCTTGGCCCCTCTGCATCAACCCATTCGCCATCTTCATTTTGGACTTTGGGTTGTTTGTAATTCTTCACGTGGTCAACTCGCAATGTCCGGTTTAGAACATCGGCGCCGTTGAGATTATCTACTGCCAGTACCGTGGACCTCTGATCTTCGTACATGAGGAAGCCAAACCCCTTTGTTTTCCCTGTGTTTTTGTCACGGGGTAAGTTCACGTCTATGACCTCGCCATACCTGTACGGAGTACAGTCAACTTGGAGTGCATGAAGGAACAAGCCAAAACGCACTGGGAGAAGATGGTAATGACATCTCCCTCCGTGAGGTCGTAATGAAGCCCTCCGATGAAAATGTAAGCAGAATCTAGCCATGTCTGAGCGTGCGGGGGTGAACAGAGCATGCCGTGCGCTTACCCTTGTATTCATCGTGCCACGATGCACTGACGCCGAGAGCAAGTTCCCTCTCGTTGATCTTGTTAATTTCACGGACGACGCTGTCGAGAAATTGTTAGCTGCAAACTACCGATTGCAAAGGCTGCCCCACCTACTTCATGGGTAATGCAGGCCAAGTTCAAGTTGGTTTTCCCACGTGTTATCATCCTCCGCGTACACCTTCAAAATTTCTTATCGACCGCAAGGGAATGGCATCGTTTTCATTACCACCCTATTCACGACAACCCAGATGGCGGATGGGGTCCTTCATCGTCCAATATCCCAGAACAGTTCAAGTTCAAGGACATTCCCTATGCGCCATTCTCAAAATCAGACAAACTCGGCCGATTCGCGGACTGGAACGATCCAATGAGTGACAATCGTCAAGCGACCACTGGTGCCTCCGCTACTCGCGATTCGCGGGGTGTTTCCAGTCGTTCTAGGCGAGAAGGTGCTCAAGCCTTCGGTAGCGGCACGGCCAGTGCCTTTGCGTACTTCCACGTTGATGACGAATCCAGTTTTTCGCTGGTCGACAACAAAGCCGCACCGCCCCGTCGGGGGAACGCTTTCACAAGGGGACGAGCCACTGGGCGAGGTTCTGCTTCGTTTGCTAACAGGGGCGCTCAGAGGCCCCGTGGTGGCTTCACCCCCGGTAGGGGTGGTTTTCAGCGCGGAGGTCGCAGAGGGTGGAGGGACTGGGACAAAGTGCTGATACTTATTCTTCATTTTCTCTGATTTCCTGACTTCTGGTTACAGGGAAATCGTGCCCGCGAGTCATCCGTTACTATTTCACCGCATTGGAGTATGTTGGAAGAGATCGAATTCCATCGCCTCACTAAACTCAAGCTCGATGTTGATGAGGTAGAGGACATGTACGTGAATTGTACGGTGACCACTAGAACGGTGCTCAAGTGTCTTCTGTTGTAGTGGTACCTACGGTCGGATTTTTGCGTATGACAAGGTTTACGATCGGATCACCACCAAAACCGAGAAGCCTCTGCAACCCTCTGATCGCATTAAATACAATACAACCACGTCGGACGATCCCGTTATTCAGCAGGTAATACGGGTGCTAATTCTTTCGTCCCGGCGGGTCTCATCTTTTTTTTTTTTTTTTCCCAGCTTGCTGCCAAGGACACTGCGACAGTCTACACGACCGACGTCATCCTTTCCGTTCTCATGTGCGCTCCAAGGTCTGTGTACCCTTGGGACATTGTCATCGTGCGCGAGGGCAATCACCTTTTCCTCGATAAACGCGACGGTGGTCCATTCGACACCGTCACGGTCAACGAAAACGCATCGGATCCCCCACAAGATCCTGCTCCACCGAACCCTAACAACCCATCTGAAAAATCCACTCAGGAAACGCCGTCGATCAATTCAGCTACTTCTCTCTCTCTCGAAGCCACGTATATAAACCAGAATTTTGGCTTCCAAGCAGTGATCGAGAGCACTGCCGTAAACTTTGCTCATCCAAACCCCTTTTACGGTCCAGGAGAGACAGAACCTTTGGCCTCTTGCGGCTACCGTTATCGTGTCTTTGATCTCAGCGCAACAGAAGATGAAGATATCAAGCTTTGTGTCCGCACTGAGGTCGATGCCTTCCTGCCTGGCCATGGCAATCCACAGGATGGCCATGGTCTTGCAACGATTCGCGCCTTGAACGAGTTCGATCCCAGGGCTCCGGGGGCCGGTGGTGCCCAAGACTGGCGGTCGAAACTGGACTCTCAGCGAGGTGCTGTTGTGGCGACTGAGATGAAGAACAACAGCTGTAAACTAGCGAAGTGGACTGTACAGAGCATTCTGGCTGGTGCTGACCTCATGAAAATAGGGTATAAGTTGCTCTGCACATTTGATTCCCAATATTCGACTAATCACGATCGCCGTAGGTACATTTCACGAGTGAATCCTAAAGACAACAGCCGCCATGTAATTCTCAGTACTGCCTCTATGCGACCAGCCGACTTTGCAGCTCAGCTTAATGTCACCCTTGCCAATGGTTGGGGCATCGTCAGGACGATCGCTGACCTCTGTATGAAGATGCCGGAGGGCAAGTATGTGCTAATTAAGGATCCTAACAAAGTAAGACTACCAGCGAATGCTGTTCTTTACCTACTAATCGGTTTCCATGACAGCCCGTTATCCGTTTATACTCCGTGCCAATGACAGCATTCACAACCGAGGAAGAAGAGGGTGAAACATTCGAGGCGGAAGAACACGAGTCAACCGCTTAACGGTCCGCGGAAAATATGGGTGTACAATTTTATTTCAGCTATATACAGCTTTGTGTGCACGAAAAACTGATTTTGACGAACGCGGCGCGATGTTTCGATATCCTGGCCATTAACAGGTATGCAACACAGGAAAACATGTTACGAAAGTGCTGGACAGCATCCCTTCCAAAAAATTGTTTTTATCACCCTTGATGTTCCCAAGTCGCGGCCCTCGTCACTGGCTTAATAATCCTCTTCGCGGCGGGTGTGCTACAGGGTTTATCTCGCCACCCATCTGTCTTTGGATTGATATGAGAGAATGCAGCCCACGCTACTTAGGGGGGAATGCACATCCCGATTTGCAGCAACGCTCACCCGATTCACAGTGATTGTTGTGTCCACTTTTGGCCATGGATCAATAATACGTGGACACGCTGCACCCTCAAGCCGTGGGCGCAGGTACGGCACGACATTGCCGGCGCATTTTGCGCCTACTTATCTGGTCCATGGGAAGATGTCGATGCGGGCCGTATGCTCCAAGCCACACAGACCCATAGTAGCGGATTTTGACTGAAGCGGGACGCTCTGTCACCCAAGAGATTTTCCGCAGCCGCCTACCTTCGTCCTTTATCCACGGAGCACCTCAGCCAGCTTCTCAGGCTTCGTGATGATTCCAACGTGAGGTTTTGACAAGTACCGCCTCGTGAACAAGGCGCCACTTGGTCAGCCGGTAAACCCCTCCCCTCGGGTCATCGCTTGGGTCGAGGTTTTAATTTGCAACTGAGTGACCCTCGAACCTAGGCCCCAAGACGCGGAGAGATCATAGTTGCTGAGTGATAGAAACAGGGAATATATTGTCACGGGTTATTCGGATTTGCTTTTTCTGGCTGATGCTGTATACGCGAGTCCCGGAGTGGTCACGGACGCCCCTAGCGACTTCTCCGATTAATATGCGTCTTCAAATACCAACAATCAATGATTGGTGTGCTAACCATCACGCGATGGCCAACATCAGAATTTGATGTACCTTGGCTGGACATTTATCAAAGTCTAACCTTTTTATCACGCAGTTTCCACGCACGTAACATTCTACTTAAGGTCTTCATGTGGAGCCCGATCGTCTTGGATCATGTGAACGCATTCGGTTTGGCCAAGGGTAGATGAAGTCTGGGTCGTGATAAGTACTTGTGGCCACCACGGATTCCGCCAACAGCATCGTGATAATCACGCAGCATCTCCGAGGAGTAACGCATACGTGACGTCGAGTGATACTATGGGCGGGGCACTAGACGGTCCATATTCCGATAATACAATGCTTTTGGACTGGCTGTCTGTTTCATCCGGTGCAATGCGCTTCGTGCATGCCGTCACAGTGCATCACTGACCTATCCGTAATTTCGGAATGCCTTCACGATTTCATAAGACCCTTGGAGGGCTCGCGGCGGAAGTAGATCTCGCGTCGAATTAATTGCTGCATACATTCCATGGCAAGGCCTCGTGGAATTCATAGACTACGAATACGATGGCGTGTTAACCAGCAATCTGACCCTGCATGGCTCACCACGCGCAGTAGCTGGTGGTGTCCTTGTGTCAACCGCACAATAAAATGTCAACAGCGCGAATTCACTTCACTTTCCAGGGTAACACGAACGAAACTTGAGAATTCGGGAGGTCGAAATCACATGTATAAGCGAATTTTCCACCAGCGTGATCGATAAGGTCCGTGAGTACCTCAAGCCATCAACAACGCGTTAATATCCGAGTTTCTCGCGATCTTTCCGTGAAGCTGGCTGCTGCATGTTTACAGAACTGTAATGTTGACTTACCCACGGTCTTTGCACTGCACTAGAGGACTCGCAAGGCGCATCGTAAGGCCGTCGTGACACCAATCACTCAGAAGTCGAAGGCAAATCCATAGCCCATGGATATATTGTATTGGATGGGGGTTTCGCTCAGAAAACTCCCGTCGCCAGAATGAACTCTCACAGCATTGAGTAACTGATACATGCGTACGGCCTGGACTCATAATAAATCGGGAATTGCACATGTGAAAAGTACGCCGGAAGTCGGACATCTAATGGTAGTGTGGTTGGTCCTATCGAGATGTCACGAGGAGCATCTCCACGGCGGACTCGATATTAGGGACTAAACAAGCAAAATTCAGAGTGTGGTCCAAGTACACAAAATAAATCACCCTACCTCTGCTGAAGTGTTGCGACTATCACATCTCGTGATGTATCCGGGAACATGCTCGTCAAGCTGTGTGATCTCCACTTCACTAGGCGTACGTATACGTGTCGCTAGCCTCCTCCGTCCTTCCTGTCAGTTCGTTCACCCATTCACGTACCACAGAACTCCCTTCAGCAACGTCGCTACTGGGGCGTCCATTCCTCTGTGCTGAGGCGGGGGCCGTGGTAATTACCTCTTCATCCCCAAGTTCTGTTGTGGTGTCCACCTGCTCGGGGCGAGCACGATTGAATCGACGCGGTGGGCGAGTCGAGCCAATGAGGGGCAATAGAAAGCGGGAAGACAGATTGATTACAGTTGGTGATACTCGCCATGTTTTAATGTTGATGAGTTCCGAGCGGTAGATGCACCCAACGAGAAGTCCTACACACGAGGATACGAGTGAACCGGGTATGTGGCCCAACGCAAGCTGGAAAACAAATGTCCTGAGTTCGGCGAGAGAAAGCAGGGAACAGGCCTACTTGTAATGCAAGTACATAGGTAAATGCCTTGTTGCTCAACGGCATGCCGAATATCTTGAAGTGATAGGCTGTTGGGACCAGTCTGTACCACTGGTATAACATGCTGAAGACGATCGCGGATGGTCCACCTGGTATATGGTTCACGCCTACGCGATGCAGTAATAGGAGTGCCATGAACTCTAGCAGCGTCGATGCCAGCCCCGAGACGATGGTGAATGACTGCAAAGCACCATCGTCAGGCCACAAGATCAGGAAAGTACTGGTGAAAACAGTGTAACTCACCGCAAACTTGACGCTGCCGAACTGTCGCTCAGTATTTACACCGACCCCGTAGAGGAGTAGCTCCGCAAGTAAGAGGTCGCTCGAATTCGAGAATGCAAGGTGGTGCGTTAAAAGACGCCAGTACTAAGATAAAAGCAAAAAAAAAAAAAAGATAACGACTGTTTCAGGATCAGTCATATTCGAGTCCCGAACGGAATCACTGCAATACCTGGTGATGACGGGAGAGGTGTGGTACTAACTAGAAACAGGAGACTCGCGCGTCAGTCGTCATATTGGCGTGTAATGCAGGGCTCAACGAACCTGGAGATGGAGATAATGCTTCACATCGAAAACACCCGCCGTAATGGAGGTAAGTGCACAAGCCATCATGATCCCTGTGAAGAGTATGCATAAGGACTTGTTCATGTCGAACGGCGACTGCACTGCAGACCCTTTGTAACGGAAGCGTGCTCGAACGACATGGCTTTCCGATTCAAGGGGAGTCCAAGTCTAGTTGGGCTTGCACTTTCGGTGGGCCTAGGGCAACACAGAGACTGCAGGAAGCGGCGTGTGAGGGTTGGTGGCTGTACGGTTCTCAGTCATTGTAAAATGGAGTGATAGTGCACAATACAAGTTGTTCCCCGGCCTTGCAGTCCGTTTCTTTGTGGGATGTGCCTTGGTTAATCGAGGACGGTGCGACTTGCTGGCAGCTCTCGATCGAAATGGACAGTTTGTCAGCATTGTCATACTAACGCCATCGTCACCAAAGCCAGCGATCGGGCTGATAGCACAGATGGTATATAATCATATCTGTCGTTCTCATTATTCCAGTCTCCTGCCCATTGAGTTCTAAATGTCTGAGCCAACATTCGAGAAACCACTGCAGCCCCCGTTTTCGGCCGAGAAACTCGCCACAGTCAATGCCCACCTCCGCTCTCTAGACCCCCAACAGATTCTTGCATGGGCTCTCGAATATCTTCCGGGACTGCACCAGACCACCGCGTTCGGTCTCACTGGCCTTGTTGCAATCGATATGCTCTCCAAGCTCGCACAACCCGAGTCGAGACCACCGCTTATATTTATCGACACTTTGTATCACTTTCCAGAGACGTACGAGTTGATTGTTGAAGTGGAAGAGCGGTATGGGGTGAAAGTGCATGTGTTTAAGCCCGAGGGCTTGCGAGACAGTGGAAGATTTTGAGGAGAAGTGGGGAGAGAAGCTATGGGAACAAAATGAGGATACCTATGACTACGTCGTCAAGGCACGTCCTTTCTACCTGATTGCCAAAGATATCATGAACTGACGTGGAGCTAGGTTGAATCGGGACGACGTGCATATGAGCAACTCAAGGTCCAATCTGTCATAACAGGTCGAAGAGCATCCCAGGGGGCACAGCGTGCTTCGCTGCAGCCCCTGGAGGTGGACAGTACGGGATTGCTGAAGCTGAATCCACTGTTTGCATGGTCATTCGCACAAGTAGAACAATACATCAAAGAGAACAACGTGCCAAGGAACAAATTAATAGATCAGGGATACAGAAGCGTCGGAGACTGGCATAGTACATCGAAGAGTGGTGAGGGTGATGCCGGCGAGCGGGCGGGCCGATGGGCAGGAAAGCAAGGTAAGACAGAATGCGGGTTACATAGAGACTACTTCGAAATGAAAAGAAAAGCGGGGGTGAGTTCATCTTCTTACAGGATCATGGAAAGTCGTCATCGTTCCTCACAGCAGCTCGAGGCCACGAAGCTAGATGGGGATTCGACTTGCATGTAGATCCAAATTCCCAGACGGAATCTGCATAAACACTCCAGCTTACGCTGTCCAGATAAGATTCAACTTGCTATACTTGTACTGTTACCCGTGCACAACAGAGAATGGTGGAAAGTGACGTACTCATCTTCCCGCGCACAGGCCCTATATGGCCTCACGGACCACGGACCGGGAACGGGGAACAACACTTTTTGCCGCAACTTGGAAAACTCGGCCAGCGTCAGAAACATACGACTGTCTTCGTTGTCCATCAACGGGGCTTCGCTGTATATCTCCGTTATACTGTCTCCTTGAGGGCCGAGAAGCGAGACCAATAACGTCCTATCGATTGAATACCCGCATTGAACGTAGAGCGTGCGTAAATGGGGGATCTTTTGGAGCGCAGTGGTAATATCCTTGGAAGATAGACTTGGAAACCGGTCATAGGGGTATCTCAGCGTTGTCTGCAACTGATCCATCAAAGGATTAACTGAGAAAATGAGACGTCCACGTACCAATTTCGTCCAGGTCGGGATGTATTGACACAGCTCCGCGATGAGAGGTGAGATGCGCCGATTGTAGCGGGGCATAGAGCGTTGAATCAAAACGATTTTTGATGGATTGATAGCCTGCAATCCAGCTCCAAGACCTATTGTGTGCTCTTCCTTCTCCCAAACCAACTCAACGACGAACTGTGCTATGTTCGGTGCAAAATGCAATATCTTGTTGACTGGTACACCCAACCCACATTCTACCCTGAGTTTTCGGATATTTTGGCCAAGGGTGTAATCGCTGAGCAATGTGCGGGCAAGACAGACGACTTGGGGCCGTGTACGAAGGAAAACGGTTTCGTAGAGCAGAGGAGTGCTCACGTTAAGCCATCGTTTACACACGAGTGGAACAGCCGTTCGAGTAATGTCGTCGTGGTGCTGCGTTTCTTGGGTGTTGCTCCCGTCCTCTGTAGCTTTGGACACCGCCCAGAGGGACGACATGGGTTTCGGGCATGCAAATACATCCTCGTCTACCCAAAAGACATGGGCCAGGATGTCGTGCAAAATTTCGTCTGGGAAGTCGGAAAAGGATTTCATCCTGGTCCGAAATCGATCATTGGGGTCGCGATAACTTGTTCCAGCCTATAAAGCGCTCGCGAAAGAGGAGCGCTAGTACAGCATGGACAGGTGCTGTTTAACTAAACCCTTCCGTCTGAAACACATCCAGATTTGAATTCAAATGTCGACTTGTTGATAGTGCACCGACCTTGTGGAATCAAGCTACATACGTACAACATTCGGTGTATATCGTACGCAGTGTCGAAGCATGTAATCGACAATAAACGCAAAGTCAGTATGGTGATAGGTAGACAACAGAACGAAATGCGGATATCTCTGAAGCCTCCAAGCAACTGGCAGCCAGAGAAACGTATGCGTTGGGGAAGTTATATCACAGGGGTCAGCTGCGAGATAAGTCGTTGACGTGAGTGCGGCGCTTCAGATCTTCGGATCGTTCAAACTAACGACAAATTGTATCAAGCCCCGGTATCGCCAGTTTAGTGAATTGCTACTAGCAGTCCCTGTCTGTCTTGCTTGTGCGGTCACTACGAAACCTTGGCTGTCTATTGGATATGCTTGGAAAAAATCCTTCATAAATCCACGCCTCTGGACAAGTCTTTCCAATAGTATGGCATGTCAGAAGTCCAGGAAGAAGGTGGTGAGGGAGAAGAGCTGTTATTTTTCCTCAATTTGTCTGTGCTAAAGGTCGTTAGCTACACTGGTGTTGGAAATATCCTAATAGTTCTGATGTCTAGACATGTCTAGACATACACATGTATCAACACATTGTATATCACATGACTTGCCTTAGCAATCAGCTCCACAATGATGTCACTTATGACATCATACTATATGTCATATTCCATAGCATTCTGCACTATTCTTTACTATACATAGTAGTAGTTTCCTTTTACACTACTGGTCTGTGCATACCTACTCATGTATATAAACTTGGGACTTTCTCCCTTAGTCCCACAGTTAAGTTTGAATCTCATATTTGTTCTTCTATTGTCTACACGACAACTGAGCCCCTACTCAGAATTACTGTTGCTTACTCAAACACTACAACCATTCTAACAAGGCAAGTGTTCTTGTCTATATTGCTCTTCGTTTCTCCCATTCCTCTGTGCAATAGGTTATGAGCCCCACCTTCTAGGTGTGTGAGCTATTTATGCATTTGCATTGAGTGATCACTGCTGATGGGCAAATCATGATGGATGTCATAGGCCTAGATGTGCTAGGAATGGTTGTAGTTGTCTTTGCTGTGTCGCTTGTGGCTGGTCTCAACCAGTCTGTACTTTTACTTCATTATGCAGGCTTGGATATGTTGACCCTCCAGGAGCTGTTTATATGCTCTATGGCTTTTTGGTTTACTCTATTAGGTCTTTCTGCCTGGTGGCAATGATGACAGCACCTCCTTGAGGAAGCAGTCATTTGTCAAGCTCTTATTCAAGCACTCATTTGCTGTCCACCGACTCTGCCACCTCATTATTTACATTTTCATCTTCCTGACGTCAATTTTGAAGCTGACCTAGATCCCATACCTCCATATGACAAGTTTGAGGCAGCTGATGCTCCTCTTCCTCGACATGCACTGACTCCTCTTCCCGAGGAAGTCGTTGCAGTGAATGAATTGCTCAATCCTGAGCTTGTTCTCGCTGTTGTCCCCGATGACAATGCTGAGTTCGATTTACTTCACTAAATTCGTTCATGACTTTCTGTCATCATTATGGGAACTAATCTACAGTCACTACAAGATGTCTTTGGTCGTTGCCAAGAAAACTGAGCTTCATATCGCTGAACAATGTGATGGGATGCATGAAGGGGTGAACTGGCAGAAATATGCAGTAAAAGAGATCATAGAGTATACTGAGATGTTATATGTATGGGACTGTTCATCTTGGAGAGAGGCTGTTCCTTTGTCGGTTGTGTACTTCAAGAAGCCAAACCCGGCTACATACCTCGTTCTGCTTCAAACCATGGAAACAGTGTGGCAGACAATGCCCCACTTTCCTGGTTTCGAATCTCCATTTTTCTATCCTGGGCTTCATTTAGCGTTTTATGGATATCTAACCAACTTCTTCCCTAAACTTACCCATACATCAACTCTGCACACCATTGCGAACTTTAATGGCTGTGATCTTCTTTCAGTCTACTATGAAGATCCTGCCCTCAACACTGTTCTGGCCTTCTCAGTCACCCACGATACGTTCGTCTATATCTACTTCAACGTCCACCCACTCTATGACCCATGCTTCAATGGCATCATCCCTCCTCTCCACCTTTGGAACCAACATCTTGAGTTCCATTTCTGAGGAGTTTGGGTTGACAGAAGCACTGACATTTGGTGTGTACCAAGATGGTTCCAAGAATGTCGATGCAGAGGAGACTGCTTTGATAGCAGTCTCTTTAGGTTTATTCGACAGTACTGGGATGAAGCCAATATGGGAGATAGCCTGTGATATACACCTTCTAACCAGCATCTTTCATGGGGTACAGACCCCATTAATGCTAACTTCACTTACTGGCCTGGCACAGCAGAGATTATTGCTGATCTCGAATGTGCCATGGAGAAAGATACTTTTGATTATCTCCCAGAACCCCGACCTCAAGGAATATGCACTATGGCTCTTAGCCAAGCTCGTGAGGCTCGAGCCATATGTCAAAAGTTATCCTCTTCCAAGTACAATGGATGTACTGTACATATCAGGAGGGTGATACCACATGGGAACTGACACTTGTATAATTGACGAATCCTACAATTGTCTTGAAGTTTTTTGTAGAGATACTCATTTTCGTCATTCTCCTGCTATAAATGTACCATATTCTTGCACGGATCCATATCTTGGATTTCGTTCAGATGGAATACCATTGCATGATTGCAACTGGAGCTTTTTAAGCTACCATTATTTTTGTCCACTAGACTTTGAAAGTCTAGAGTGCAACAACTCTCGCATCTCTGCAAGGAGATTCGCTGAGAGAGGTACATCAGTCGGGAAAATATGGCAAAATCCTTGTCCTCATGTTCCCAAATGCAAGTATCGCCATCCATCTCAATCTGCTAGAGCATCTGCTCGCAGACCAAAGGGCAACAAAATCCATCATTTAAATCCTCCATCCATTAAAATCCATCCGACTCACTCGCTCTTATATGAACATCTGCTTATGGACTTTTGACACTAGATGTCCAAAGGTCTTTCAAAGCAGATCCCAAAACTGAACGGCTTGAACTATGCCTCTTGGTCAGTTCTTATGAAGGCTTACATGCAAACATTTGGTATTATGGGAATTGTTGGTGGCACCATTGCCAGACCTGGTGCTGGCACTGCTCAAGCTGACATCGATGCTTGGGATACCTCTGATGCTCGTGCTCAAGGAATTTTGACATTATACTGCGATCCTATGATTGCAATGTCAATTGATGGGCTAGCCACTTCAAATGAAAAATGGCTTGCTTTAAATACTAGTTATGGCACTACATCAGCAATGACTACATTCATGGAGTTTCAACGCCTAATTCATATCCAAATCAAACCAAAGGATGATATTATGGTCAAGATCTCAGAGATCACTATGCTCCTTACGGCCATAGCAGCTCAGGGTATAACCCTAAACAATAAAATGAAAGCTCTCATCCTGGTTCATGCTATGTCTCAAGCATGGGAACAAGCACCCATCAATATTCTCTCATCTATTCCTACCAACCAACTTTCTCCTGATACTGTTATACCTCGCATGAAAGAAGTTTGGGCCCACAAATTGGGCAAATCTATGCTTCCCCAAACCGAAAAGGCTGGGTCTTCCTCACAGACCCATATTAAACAAGAATCAAATTCTCTTCTGGCATGCATGAATAAACCTCCACTCTGTAATATTTGCAGAGGTGGCCATAATACACAAGATCACATTGGTGGATCAGGTTCTGGATCTAACCAAGGCTGGAGTGGCTGAGGTAGAGGTCATGGAAATCGTGGTCATGGACATGGAGGCTATCAAACTCCTTACCCACAACAGCAGCAAGGTTCTGGTTCTCGTGGTCGAGGCCAAAACTGTCGCCATGGCAAGGGCAAGGCCTGCACCAATAATCTTGAAATTGAAGGAGCCAAAACTTTAAATTTGGCTTACATTGAAGAACTCCCTGAGGGTTCTTATGATCCTAATTCCAGATCTTGGGATGTTTACCCAGATCAGGAACAATTCAAGAATGCTGCTGAGGAATTTGACATTACTGCTCTCGATATTCCTATCCATGAAGATTCCCCTGAATATTCTCTCCTGGATCAAACTCTGGTTGAATGAGTCTATTCTAATGACCTCAATACCTATCTCGGATCTCATGTTATTACTGAGACCGAAGCATATGATCCAGATCTGTCATGACAAGATCTTAATATGGCTATGGAAGTTGTAGGACACACTCCACATAATCCTGTGTCTCCTTCCACTGGTCAACTTGTGCCGTGGTGTATTGAAGAAATTTCAAATTACCAACCAGACCAAGTTGAGTCAGTCAAGATTCATGTAAAACTTCTGATATCTAATTCTCCCTGTACATGTTCTATTTGCTGCCGCACAGCCCTCGCTTGCCAGTGAGTGGACTCATCCCTATGGGAACACTGGAAATGGATGAACTCGGACTCTTATCAGAGGACAATTTCCGTTCCCACTACTCAGCCAAACAGGATATGTTTGAGTAGTTCCAGTGAACCCACAATATGAGTGGGAGCTTCCCTTTTGGCTGGTGAGAACATGGTGGAGAATCAGAATGTTGAGGATTATGGCGGTTCAGCTTCACCAACAGTACGGAATAATGATCAGTCTGTCTCTTGACTTTGAGGACATGATTGTAACAACTGAGGATCTCTCTGAAAATCTGTACTTGTAAAAAGTTTTAAAAAGAAAAACTGTCCTATGTCCTTGTCTCAATTTCACGAATCAGTGCCAGAACCGATTGTAAATAAACCTTTTCGCATAAAGCATAATCCAAACATTGAGTATGATCCAAATGAATCTGTGTCGGGATATCTCCCTTCTGCATTTGATGGACATGCCTTCGATTCTTATGACTGTTACCCTTTGGGTGTACATGTCAGTTTAAAGAACCTACCAAAGGGTGAGTCATTATGGATGTTGGATTCTGGAGCATCACATCATGTGACTCCTTTTAAAACTGATTTCCTCACTTTTCGAGAATTTAAAAATCCTCCTCTTGCCTCTACTGCTGGCCTGAGTTGAGTTCAACTTCTCGGTGAAGGAACAGTGGTTATTCACCTTGAAAATGGCAGTAACCTGCCCTTGCATAATGTTGTTTATAGTCCACTCTTTTCAAAGAGGTTATGTTCATGAAATATGCTCCTAAATAACAGATACTGGAGCACTGCGACACTCACTGGTGAGACAATCAGAGCACCAGATGGCTGGATTGTCCTTGAAGCAAAAGTAGCTTCTCCGACTTCACCTCTTCATTGGTTTGTGGGTGTACTGCTTCCACCTACCACTGCCTATGGGGTCCTTTGCCCTCTGGTTAAGGAATCTCAAGAGTCTATCTGGCATAATCGCATGTGTCACCCTGCACAAGCAGTTCTCAGACATATTCACTGATTAGGCCTTAAACAAGATATACAAATACAAGGAGACACTTCCTCCTGTAAAGGTTGCACACAGGGCAAACTTTCTTCCAAAGCATTTAAACCCTCATGGAAACAAGCAACTAAACCTCTCACGTTGGTCCATGCTGACCTTCTTGAGTTACCTGTCAAATCCTACTTTCGGTCCAAATATATTCTTACCCTCTTGGATGATTATTCATCTTATGGTTTTTGTCTCTACCTTTGAAACAAATCCAACACTTATACTGCTTTTGCCAATTGGATGGTCTCTATGCAAAACACTACTGGACATCATCTTCTTGCACTCCATTCAGATCGAGGGGGAGAGTTTATGGGTTCTACTTTCAAGGTGCTCCTTTCTTCACATGGAATTACCCATTACTTATTAATTGCCGATCAGCCTCAACAAAATGGTTGTGCTGAACAATTTAACCAGACCATACAAGAAAAAGCTGGAACTATTCGACACCATGCTTGTGTTCCAAAACACTTCTGGAATTTTGCCTTTGATTGTGCACTTCATGTGTACAATAGAACTCCTCTCAAGAGGATTCTATTCAAAACTCCAGTTGAGCTTTTCTTAGGAAAGGTTCCTGATATTTCCTATTTCTGCACCTTTGGCTGCAAAGTCTTTGTATGGGTTCCTAAAGAACAACGAAAAGACAAACTGGAACCTCATGCAGTCGAAATGGTTTTCCTAGGCTACAAGCCTAACACAAAAGGATACCGCTTTTTACATGGTCAAAAGATCATTTTATCTCGAACTGCAAAATTCATAGAAGACTCTTTTCCTTTCTGTTCTGATCATTCTTCAAAATCCAAAACCTTTGACCCCAGTTCCGATGATGACCAAGAATCATCTACTTCCGACTCTGAAAGCCTACATTCACTTCCAGATCCTGATCAGATCCAACTGGTGCCTCATCACCGCCAACCACCTTGTCCATTAACTCCTCCACAACCACCAAACCCACAGCAGAGAGCTGTGGACCAGCCTAGAGCTCATCAACAACAAAGAAGAGCACCTGCTGCTGCACCACCAGTCAACCCTCATCATCTTAGGCATCCTCATCAACCAGAATTTGTTCAAGGAGACTCACGCAATGTTCACAGAGCTCAACCTGCCGATGACAGAGAACCTCATCCAAAGCATCATTTTATACCAGTATCTCATCCTGGAAACATATATGGAGATAGACCTCCAGTCCAAATTGAACAAGATATACAACAAAATCAGGATCAAGCACAACAGTGGATTCATAATGCTGAGCAACATGCTCGCAACTCCAGAGAAGATATTCGGAGGCATGCAGAAGAAAGGAGACCTCCTTCTCCGAGGTTACCTCCTGCAATGATTCCTCCTGAAGTTCCTCATCAGTGGACTGAACATCCACAAGGAACAACACATCCATCTCCTGGATCTCCACTCACTCCTATTCTGGATACTCCTAATTCACCAAAAGGAATGCCCAACCAACAAGTGGAAATGCATCCTTTTGAGTTTGCACTCGCTGCACAAATAAAGGAATCACCAGAGCATTATAAAGATGTGCTAAAATTATCTCCCGATTTACAAAAGAAATGGTTTGATGCCATGAAGGATGAATTAAAGTCTATTGAAGAAAGACAAGTATGGACCTTGGTGGATCCTCCTAGAGATCGGAAACCTGTAAAGTGTCAATGGGTTTTCGCTATCAAAAGCGATGGTCATTACAAAGCTCGTCTTGTGGCAAAAGGCTTCACACAAGAATTTGGTACCAACTTTGAAGATACCTTCTCTCCAGTGGCTAGATTCAAAACAGTGTGAATCTTACTCACATTCACTGCCCAGAAAAATTGGGAAATGGAAGCCCTGGATGTCAAAACTGCCTTCTTATATGGCAATTTAGATGAAGAAATTTATATGGAGCAACCAGAAGGTTTCAAAGTTTTGGGTCAAGAACACAAGGTTTATCAGTTGCTTAGGGCTCTTTATGGCCTAAAGCAAGCTGCACTTGCATGGAATAAAGCCCTTCATCAATCACTTCTTTGAATGGGCTACATATGTTCAAAAGTGGATGCTGGAATCTATATTCACACCTCAAAAGCTGGCATCATCATTTTTCTCGTCTATGTCGACGATGGACTCTTTCTAGGATTGGACAAATGTCTTCTAAAAGCCAAGAAAGAACAATTCATGAAGAAATGGGAATCCCGAGACCTTGGGGAAGTCAAGGAATACCTTGGCATTCAAATTCATCGAAATTGATCCAAAAAGGAACTTTACTTGGATCAAATTCCCTATGTCAAAAAGGTCATCAAAAGGTTTAATATGGAGACTGCTCGAAATGTTCGCACTCCATTACCTTCGGGATATCAACCAGAAAAAGCACCATCAGATTACCAAGCCACGTCATCACTCTGAAGCCAGTACCAGTCTATTATAGGGTCTTTACTCTATATGGCACTTGGCACCAGACCAGACATTGCATTTGCTGTCATTTGCATGTCACAATATATGGCAAATCCTACTGAGGATCATCACAACAAGGCCTTGCATATAGTTTGCTATATTGCATCTACTCCAAAACTGGCCTTATACTATTCTGGACTCGAATCTCAGATCTATGGCTTTGTGGATTCTGATTGGGCTTCAAATAAAGACACATGTCATTCTACCACCGGTTTTGCAATGTTCCTCAGAACATCCCTTATTTCTTGGCACTCTCAAAAACAGAAGACAATCGCACTTTCCTCTACAGAAGCCGAATATATGGCTCTCTGTGATGCTGCATGTCAAATCAAATGGCTTCATATGCTATTTGATGAACTCAAATTGAAGACTGAGAAAACAATTCTCTACTGCAATAATATGGGAACTCGCTTTATAGTGGAAAATCCTGTATCAGATGGTCAATCTAAACATATTGACGTCCAATGGCACTTCGTTCATGAATGTGTTCAAGATGGTTTGTTCGGTATTGAATATGTTCAAACTGACAAACAAAAAGCAGATGGTCTTACAAAATCTCTGATGTGGCAAAAATTCGAGACAAATCGCTCATCAATGGGATTGGTAAACCTCCCATTTTAGAGCAAGGGGGAATGTTGGAAATATCCTAATAGTTCCGACGTCTAGACATGTCTAGACATACATGTGTATCAACACATTGTATATCACATGACTTGCCTTAGCAATCAGCTCCACAATGATGTCACTTATGACATCATACTATACATCATATTCCATAGCATTCTGCACTATTCTTTACTATACATAGTAGTAGTTTCCTTTTACACTACTGGTCTGTGCATACCTACTCATGTATATAAACTCGGGACTTTCTCCCTTAGTCCCACAGTTAAGTTCGAATCTCATATTCATTCTTCTATTGTCTACATGACAACTGAGCCCCTACTCAGAATTACTGTTGCTTACTCAAGCGCTACAACCATTCTAACAAGGCAAGTGTTCTTGTCTATATTGCTCTTCGTTTCTCCCGTTCCTCTGCACAATAACCGGGCCCGGAAATACTATGTACCTTGCCTAGTAATACCATGGTCATCTGCAGCCCACGACGCGGGTTACACGAGACAACGCTGGTTCGTTGGTTCGTTGATAAGCTGTCCTGGCCGCGCGGTGGGAGCGTTAGAGACACGAATGGAGACGTTAACAACGCAGTGGGGTGGTGCAAGCCGCAAAAAAGGTGGGAGCAAACATCAAGGGTGACATGCACGACAAAGGCTCTTCACCTGCAAACTGCCCTCTACTCGAACTGCCGATGAGTTCGTCATGCGCGAATGTTGGCGAAGAAATGTGGTATTTGTGACAGATATCCGTCGGGACACCATCAAGTCATCAATCGGGCGTTCGGATTTGGCGTGGCCCACGGATTCACGACCCTCACCCTGCGCCTCCCAAGTCCGGGCTGAGGCTGAGTCGAGTCAATCGCTGCCGCAGTGTAGTAGTCTCGGAGCAAGTATTCGCTACAGTGGAGCCATTTACCAGGTAGCATCCTCACCAGTCAGAACATCATGTAAGGAACATGCACGCACCCCAAACTCAACTTTCATGAGTCCAAGCCAGTAGACGGGAGGTCACATGAAGACGTAAGAAGATATAAACAACTGCGTTGGAATTAAATACAGGCATACCTCCGTTGTATGGAGTACCTTTAACCGGAGTAACTGCAAATGAATCTATCACTTGTCATCTCTGCCCTTCGGAATTTCGCAGACTGTCATTCAATTGACCGATGTTATCAACTGGCGGTGCACCCCATACCAAAGTTTTTCGTGTTGGATCGAGGAGCCGGGGGAAAGCACGATCGAGAACAGGCGCGAGAATACCTCGTTGGTCGGCTTGACGAGTCACCAGTTCTACGCTCCTCAACGACGGCGCTGGAAACGGAACTAGAGCTTCTGCTCCGGAAGCAGCACGGTACTCAGTGGGAATGACCGCAACGTCTGCGGATGTACTAGCACCAACATTTTCGGCAGCCCGGCCACGCATCATCTCCCTTGCTTCTTCATCAACATCCGAGAAGTCCTCTTGTTTCACTGCACGGATGGAATACGCCCAGACGCCAACCCCCAAGCCACCAAGTATGAGGCCCGTGATGGCATTCTTGACGCGAAAGGGCTCGCGAGCGCGGAGAAGGCCGGGAGACATTTGCTACGGCGCAGGGTTACACTGTCGAAAGGACCTGCACCAACAGAGAAACTCACATAGCTGCGAGGCCGATAGGATTCCCTGACGGCCTCCTGGGATATGTACGGCTCGTTTGACATGATTGTTGTGTGCAGCTCGGCGGGTCGAAGGCTGCGAGAGTGGGCGGCGGCCTACGACAAGTCACGTGCGCCTTCCGCGAGATTTGTACCGGCAAATCCATCGTGCACGAAAGTTATTCGCCAACAGCCATGGCCGGATCACAGTTGACCCAACTCAAGGATTCACTCTCCCACATAGGTCTTAACGACTTCTCGCGAAATAACAAGAAGAAGAAGACCTCGTCACGCGCTGCCGAGCGCGATAAGGTCAAGAAAGCAGCAAAACTTCGGGACATTCAGCAAAAGTTGAACCCGTTCGACGTCAAGGTTACCAAGTTAAAGCATCATGTTGGTGGTCGAAAGATTAAGGGTACCATGGGAAGACCAGCACAAAGCAAGCAGGCTGGCATACAGCAAGTATTTGTCCCATTGTGTGTCCTGCAGGGGCTTGCTTATAACTGTTTGCTTGTAGCGAGAGAAAACGCTCCTGAAGGAGTTGGAAGAAAGAGGACGTGTCGGAGGAGTAGTTGATAAGCGATTTGGTGAAAATGACCCGAGCATGTCACTTGAGGAACGCATGCTGGAACGATTCACGAGGGAGAGACAGCGGACGTCTAAGGCGGACGTGTTTAACCTCGAAGACGAACAAGAACTAACACACTATGGCCAGAGTTTATCGAAAATCGATGACTTCGACGATTTCGGCATTCCTATGGATGAAGACGACGACGAAGGTACCTTCAATTTATATTATGGGTTTTCGTTGCTCACACATGTGTATGCAAGATCAACTTGACCGTGAAACTGTTCATAAAGCTCATTTTGGAGGCTTCGATGAGGATCACGGTGCCGAAAATGTGGAGCCCAACAGCAAAAAATCGAAAAAGGAGGTCATGGCCGAAGTCATTGCTAAAAGCAAAGAGCACAAGGTAACGCTCCATTATATGCCGGTGTTCGATTCTCAACGTATGAGCCGCATAGTTACGACGGCAAATGGAGAAAGAAAAGGATGAAAACATTCGACATCAACTGGATCAGGATTTTGATTCCCTCAAATCCTTACTTTATGCATCTAATCCATCGCCTCCAGAGGGTGCACCAAGTGGTACTCTGGACACCTCGGCAGCTGAGGAAAAAGATGATTCCTTAGATTATGACAAACAAGTTCGGGAACTAGCCTTCGACAAGCGCGCCAAACCGAAGGATAGGACAAAGACGGACGAAGAACTGGCATTGGAACAGAAGGAGGCACTTGAGAAAGCTGAGCGTCGAAGACAGAGGCGAATGCTCGGTGAAGATTCTGACGAGAGCGATGTCGATGTGGGAGACATTCGAAAGCGGAAACGTGCTCCAGTTGGAGATGACTTAGAGGACGATTTTGTGGAGGGTGATTCAGGTGTTGTGGGGGCAGGCTTGGGTGAGGAAGGCTTAGCACCTTCTAGTAGTGAGGCGGAAGATGAAGAAGCAGACAGTGACGCGACGGAAGACATGGGCGAAGATGATAGCGAAGATGACGAAGATGACAACTCGGTTTCGGCGGAGAGTACGAATGAGGAGCTCGGGTCAGAACAAGAAGACTTCACAGAAACTATGACTGCACAGCAAGCCTTGCGTCCGCAGAAAACTTCAAGGGCTCCGAAGGAGCTTCCGTACACTTTCCCTGCTCCAGAATCACATGAAGAGTTCCTTGAAATCATCGAGGATGTTCAAGATGAGGATGCTCCCGTAGTTGTTGAGCGGATGCGAGTGATCTACCACCCCAGTTTCGCTCCAGATAACAAGCCGAAGCTGCAGGTATGTCCTTCGCTCACCTTTGGTTCGTTCATTGAGAATGTCTGCAGACCCTTGCTCGTGTCCTCGTGGATCATATCCTATACGTTACGTCTCCTCCGAAACCCCGTATTAAGCTTGTATCGTCCTTGATTCCTCACTTGTTCTCCCTCAGCCGATCGTACCCCTCCGAAGTTGCCGAGTGTTTCGTAGGGAAGTTATCTCTGATGTACAAGAACCTTAGGCGGGGTTTGGCATCCGGAGCTCTTGAAGCAAACTCCAGAACTTGGCCAGGCTTTTCTGAGCTCACGTTCCTACGAGTTACTGGCATTATCTGGCCAACCAGTGATATGAAACATATCGTAGTGTCACCCGCGCGGTTGTTGATGGGTGCCTACCTCAGTCTGTGTCGTGTGCGATCTTTCGCAGACGTTGCTAGTGGGCTTTTCTTGTCTTCACTGTTCCTCCAGTATGAAGCACTCTCAAAGCGGCTGGTGCCCGAGGCGGTGAATTTCGCTGTGAACGCCGTCTTATTCCTTGCACCGAACTCCTACACTTCCTCCGACGCTCTGCCTGGTACCTTCCCTTCCCCCGACTTTCGCTCGGACCTTTGTGCGCCGTTAAAGATCAATCCCAAGGTTGCCAAAAATCTTGTTTTCTGCAAACCGGATTTGTGGCAACTGTTGTCAGGTGATGCCACCGAACAATCCAAACTCGACGCGCTTGGATTGGCTATCGACCTTCTTGACCGGTTTGCGGAATTGTACAAACCCCTTGATGGATTCATCGAACTCTATGATCCCATTTGCTCGATCATATCGAACTTGGAGTGCGGACGACTCTCCGAGGACGTTCAGGTGACCATGACCATCTTTCAATACGGCACTTTATCTGATAATGGCTTCATAGTCTTCTTTAGCGTCAGTACGAGATAAAATTGGGCGTCTGCTCAAGTTTGCACGGCAGTCTCGCAGGCCGCTCCACCTTCAAGCACATAAACCTATACCCATCCCGACTTATGTCCCTAAGTTTGAGCAGAACTCTTCGTCATACCTCCGCCGACAGGACCCAGATCGCGAGCGGAACGAGGCCTCAAAACTGCGATACCAGCTTAAGCAGGAGAATAAAGGTGCTATTCGGGAGCTGCGCAAGGACGCAAGATTCATCGCGGCGGTCGAGCACAAAAAGCAGATGGAAAAGGATCGAGCTTACAATGAGCGTATGAAGAAGGCATTCGGTTCTTTGGAAGGGGAGAGGGCAGAGCAGAAGGCTATGGAGCGCCAAAAAATGAAAGAGAAACGACGCGCTGGACACAAGTAGATTATGTTTGTATGAAGTACTGTCCGTACCTGTCTGGATATCGGTCACGTGGGCAAATCATGAGGGAATGCTTTGATCTTGTCGCCAACTTCCTTCCTGCCGCAGTTCACGGCGGAGTGATCCAATTGAAGCCCACTAACACTAGCGTATGGATGCGCCTTGGTCTAGTGGTGTCGTTCCTGCGACCTTCCAGACTCCGCATAACAAGAATGCGATATCTCCGAAAGAGTTCCTAGAGTTCCTGCATTCTATCCAGGCGTCCCTCCACCAGGATGGCGTGGCTACCCGAAACAAGGATGGATGGGTTATAATGATCTCCGGCCTTTCTGACTTTTGGGGTTCTTTTCCATTCCTTACCTCCGCGTCGCGAGGAACTAGTAACGAACGCATCACCCTCACCCATTATGGCTTAGGCATACTTCAGTATCTCTCAGGAGAATTCGAACGCGTCTTCTCCGGGGAGGATGAGTTGCTAAGAAAGTTATCTGTGTCCCTACTTGGGCTCTGCGTAGCAACAGAGGCGTGGCTGGAAGTAGAGGAGAACGGTCCTGAAGACAGCAAGAACCCATCCACCTTGTACAAGAAAGCTTCCAGCATCTTAGTCAATCTCCTTCGGGAATGGCTCGAGTATTTCCCTCAAAATACGGAATATACTGCAGTGCCCTCAGTGGCTTTGGGGTTTCTGTCTGAAACGCTTGACGTGACTCATGGTGTGTAAGCTCCATCTGCGTCGTATTGGGCGCCGCTCACCCATACAGATGTCTTGAGCGGAGCAGAAGGTGAACAACATCCATTGAACCTTTGCTTTTTCTCGAGACCACGGCTCGCGCGAGGGACTCCTTGTAAGGAGGACATTCCGGTAGGTGCCTGCCGTTCTTTGCGTATGCACGGTTTTTGACTACGACAGATCCCACCAGGTAGCTCGAATATGATCCGGCTACCCAGCGCATCGTACATTTCTGTTTTCTGCAGTATTGTTGTTGACTTACTCAGCCAAACGTTGCCACTTGCGAAGAGTTCGTATTTCATGACCGTCGACCTAACCCGTCGTGTGGTCCAGCTGACCCGCGAAATTTTCGATCTTTGCTTGAGTGCGCCAATGAATGTGTCGGCGCGAACACGCTGCCTTATCCGTGTTGTGGAGAGTTCTCGTTCTCTGCACTCGAGATTTGATCTTGAAGCTGTTGCGATTGAGGACCTGCCAGCACGTCTATTGGCCCGGCAACTTGTGAAAGAAGCAAACGCCCAGTCGAATCCCTCACTGAGACACCTCGCGTCGTTATTCTCCGATGAAGCGGAACCCTTTGTATTGACTCCTACCCATGCGTCCGCTATACTCGAGGTTATTTCGAAAGATGACGTTTCTGTCAACGCGGAGCTTAAAGTCAGTTCCTCACTGTGTATATTATTTGTACTCGAACTCATCGTTCGTAGGCCCTTTCCGCTCCTTACCTCCGCAAGTGCGTGGATCGAATGACCAGTCACGTCACGCTGGGCGCGCAGAGAACCACCCTCGCAGGGATTCTTCATCAGCACGGGCTCTCAGTTGAACGGGACGTTAACGATTCGCATCAAAGTCAACCGAACCAGGTAGTTGGGAATGCCGAGTCGCATTCATCTGAATGGCGATCTCTGGCCTCGCAGGAGTTACGTACCATGATTGATGACGGGAACGGTGTCTGGATGGATGTTGATGACGGACTTTCGGACACACTATATGCAAGCCGAGGTTTTGAGATCATCTCACAGATGCTGAACAGGTATGGGACGAGAATGTCAACGCAGCTCTTCTTGACATCTTCAAGGCCTTTGGAACAGGTTCCTCTTGCCACTAGGATTGCAGTGGTTAATTTCATCACTCTTGTCTTCACCCAAACAGCTCGGGTTCCCACCGAAGAGGGTACCTCCGTGGAGGTCTGCGTGTTACTGGCCAAGGTTTTGGTCGGACCCTCTTCCGAAGTGAATTCCCTGCTCCGTCGGAAAAGTTACAAGATTCTGTCCAAGGTCATCAAGTACGGTATCAAGGAGTTCGCAGTCAACGATTACAACATGGTGACCGAAGGTCTACAACGTGGGTTACTCGACCGGAATAGGACCACAAGGCTGAGCGCAGGGTATGTGCCATGTGATCGCTCAAAAGTTTTGGTTATGATTCCCACAGAAATGCCGTCGCAGAATTGATCAAGGTTTACATGATTATCCCAGAAGAACAAGCAAAAGTCCACTCCTTGTTCTTTCACTTTAATAGAATACTTGAGTCAAACATCTGGGATGGAGTCAAGGAGACGATGTTGATTACGATCGGTTTGATTGGCAAGTGAGTTCTTTCTGCTTGCGTACAGTTCCATCCTCCGACACAGTCCAGACACGCGAATGGTGATATTCTACGAGAGGTTGTATTTTCCCTAATATTGCAACTTGGAGAGCCCAATCCTTCAATAAAAGCAGTCGCGTACACACAGGTCAGCATCTCTCTCTACGCTTTTCTGAACTCATTTTTCCCCTTAGCTATCTAAACTGGCGAGGCATCACAAAAAGCCACCGTACGCACTGGTTTTACCCTTCTTCCCGCGCGTTGCCCCGCATATTGTTCTGCGGAAGTGCACCAGACCGACTCTGCTTGCGGAAACATGTCAATTTCTCTCCGTGCGTCCTAGGGATTTCCTATCTGTGACACTTCCTTGGACCCTCCCTTTTGTTTTTGCCAATTGCGACAACAGAGTCCTTGAAGAGATCTCCACTGAACTTGAGAAAACACCAGCATCTTTTTTCATCAGTCACTCGCATGATATTCTCTCTTTTGTCTTTAGGCTCCAGGGTCCGGGGGAAACCAGGAAGGCCCTAACCTTCATCGTGAATGTCGTCGCTCCTGAAAGTACCATGGTTGACATTAAATCCATTGTCGGGAGTTGTCTAGTAGCTCTTCTTGCAGAACTCGTTGTGGTTTTGGGTGACGAGAATGAAGAACACGCGGTTAGCCTTTTCGTCTCTAGTTCTTTCATTCCTGTTGACGAAACACCTCTTGATGAAGGCCTCCGATGCGCTGAGAAAGGTTGCGCGTATTTTGAGCACGGAAGGCAAATCCGATTCTGATCCAGCACCACTCCTCAAGAAGCATATGCTCGGTATTGTGTGTTACATTAACGATAAGTTGCAAGATGTACGTGGAAAGCAGCCGATGATGTCCAAAACCCGAATTATTCGTGGGATGGCGGCCTTCATTAGGCGCATAGGGGACGGTGTGCATAGTGTTGCCCCACAGGTGGTCTACATGGTTACGTTCTCATCTGTGTCCACTAAAATCGATCCAGATAATGGCGACTCTGCAAACAATGTTCACAATTCCAGAGCTCTCCGAAGTCGCGCTGTCTACGTGGTATACATTTTTAACGACGATAGCCCCCCAAGATCTTGGTCCGCATGTCGGAGCCACTAGTGCATCCTTGGTATCTTCATGGGAGCGGCTCTCTTCAACAAGCCGTGAACTTGCAAAACGGTGCCTTGACTACATAGTTTTTGAGGCCGAGCACATATCCGAGGATTACTTAGACGAGATAGCGGATTTGAGTGACCTACCGGAGTTGCATGACACAGATCTCGAGATCAAGCGGCGTCGCGCTAATCGTAACCCTCGGCAACAGCTCTTGATTATACTCGAACGCTCAAGCAGTGACAATCACGCGGTCGCTCTACGTTCCCTTGCAGAGCTCAGGACCTTCATGTTTTCTACTTACCCAGACTTCACCCGCGGCCTAGCATCCGGAGATGCATTCGATCCACTAGTAGGGACGATTCAGTCGACGCTGCTGCACATTGCTTCACGAGATGGGGATAGCAACGAAGATCTTCGACTGCTGACTTATGAATGTATTGGTATCCTAGGTGCAGTCGATCCAGATCGCTGCGAAATTGATCAGCACGATTCGAGAATGGTCGTGCGCAGCAATTTCACTGACGAGGCGGAGTCCGTGTTATTCGCAATGCACCTCATCAAGGACGTTCTGGTTGGCGCGTTCAGGTCTACTAGCGATATCAAGTATCAAGCAAATCTCGCGTACACCATCCAGGAACTCTTGCGATTCTGCAACTTTACTCCTGCCCTCGTAACTTCCAGGAACACGACTTCCGTCCCTGTCAAAGTGAGAAATAGATGGAATAACCTTCCAAAGCACGTTTTAGAGACTATCACACCTCTTCTTGAAGGTCGATTCACCGCCCCAAGCAAGATACCCGTAGTTACGCAACACCCCATCTATCCTGAGCAGGATACGTATCGAGAGTGGCTCCAATTGTGGACGACGCATCTTATCACGCGAGCTTCTGGAGATACTGCCCGACGGATTTTCGGCGTATTTCGGACGGCAATACGATACAAAGATGTTGAAGTGGCTCATCACCTCTTGCCCCATGTCGTTCTCAATATTCTTTTGTCGGGCGACGGGAAAGACGCCCAAGATATCCGTGCTGAACTTTTGGTTGTGCTTGAAGACCAAGTCAACAGTGGGAGTTCGAGCAGCGCCGACAAGAAGCTGCTTAGTGCTCAGGTAAGTACTCCGACCACACTTGGCCTCAGGACTACTTCGAATCTTTTCAGGTTGTATTCATGCTCCTCGACCATTTGAGCAAATATGTCCGGATTCTCCGGCAAGATATTAGTTCTAGGAAAGCAGAGAGTAGCAAACGTTCTAGAACTCATCATGCGCTAGCAGAAAGTGAAGAACAACTCGTTCGAGTGGATTCCCTTCTTTCTAGCATCAACCACGATCTCATGGCCAAAGCTGCACTGCAGTGTAAAGCATACGCGAGGTCACTCATGAACTTCGAGAAACAGATTATTACCCTCCAGGAGCGAGATCGACCTGCCTCGCAGAGAGATTTAACGCCTTTTTACGAGCGGCTACACGAGATATATGCCTATCTTGATGAACCCGACGGTATGGAAGGCATATCTACGCTCATCCTCTCACCCTCCCTCGAGCATCAAATCCGGCAGCACGAAAGCACTGGACGGTGGACAGCCGCTCAGAGTTGCTGGGAAGTCAGGCTACAGCAGTCTCCCGACAACTTGGATTTTCATTTGGGACTGTTACGCTGCTTGCGTAATCTCGGACACTATGGTGAGCAATTGCTTCCTCTTGACTCCTGACTTTGGATATCATATGGAATAGACACTCTTAGAACACATGTCCGTGGGGTGTTAGTCCGAAACCCCAGCTGGGAATCTGCTCTAGCGAGTTTCCAAGCGGAAAGTGCATGGATGATAGGTGCCTGGGACGACCTACAGCGGATCACGGAAACGAACGAGCTAAACTCACCGTCCGTCATGAAAGCGCGTGTGCTATTAGCAATGCATTCAGGAGAGCATTCGCAGATTGCCACGGCACTCTCAAGGGCACGGAGTGTTTTGGGCTCTCCGATTTCCGCTTCTGGCACTAAAGGTTACCGACGTTCATACGATGCAGTGCTAGACCTCCATGCAATCCACGAATTGGAGATGATCTATCGAACAGTTTCGGGAAACTCCACGGAGGCAAAAGCACTCCGAATGACTCTAAGTGCTCGTTTAGATCTCACACTCCCCAATTTCCGGGTCCGAGAGTCTGTTCTCAGCATGCGCCGCGTTGCATTCTGTTTGAGGTAAAGTCCCTTGCTATCTCAATGTGCGAAGAATATCTGATAGTGTGCAAACAGGGCTGGTTCCAACGCATCTATAAGCAAAGAAATAGGACGTACATGGCTCACAAGTGCCAAAATTGCCCGGACAGCCAAGCAATGGCAAACGGCTTACAGTGCAACGCTGCAGGCCCAGCAAGGAGGCGCACCTTTCTATTTTATGGAAAGCGCCAAGTTATTGAAAGCCACTGGGGAGCCATTACGCGCTCTTCAAGAACTGGAGAACTCGATGCATCTCAGTGGTATGGGCGTGGGCCAGCTGGATACCATAGACTTGACCGAGGAAGATAATGATGAGTTTAAGTGCTTGCGGGCTAAGGTACGCTTCTAATTTTTGAACGTATTGTAGGCATCGCTAACATCCCTGCAGGCGCACATTCTTCTAGCACGATGGATGAATGAATCCGGAAGATATGATAGTGGCCACTTGCTTAAAGCCTTTTCGACCGCCGCAAATCAAGGTGCCATGTTGGAAAGCGCCTACTTCCATCTCGGCCACTTCCACGATCAATGGTTCAAGCAGCTTCCATCTTCCGATGATGAACGGTAAGTTGTACAGGCTTCAGCTCAAGGATTTCAATGACCTTCACTCTTCATGCAGAGGTGTCCGCATGAACTTGCACACAGTCAGAGAATATTCGAAGGCGATGATGCATGGCTCGAAATATGTCTATCAAGCAATTCCTCGAATACTCACTCTTTGGTTGGACGGCGGTGAAAACTCAAAGATAACTGCCCATGCGTTCTATGCAAAAATCAATGGCTGCGTTGCCACAGCGATTGACTCAATTCCGGTGTATAAGGCGAGTCCATACGACTGGGAAAGGAAGGATGTGCTTAAATTGCTACAGTGGTTTGCTGCCTTCCCACAGATCGTTTCGCGGGTCGGACACTCCAATCCAAGGGTTTACGTGATTTTATCTAAACTCATATGCAAGGTCATTAGGGAGTACCCGCACCAAGCATTATGGCTCTTTGCATCTGTTGTGAAGTCCACCAAGGCTAACCGCGAAGCTCGTGGGCGGACCATTCTCGATGCCCTGAAGGTACGTGAGCTCTTGGCTTTCCAAGGAAGCCAAATATCAGACAACATTATCAGAACGATCCGGCCAATGCAGAAACCCAGCTTCCAAAACTCATCACGTTGATCCATGTCATGACAGACGAACTGTTGAGGTTATGTAACTACCCCATCGATGACGACCGCAAAACTCTGAGTATGAGACGCGACTTCCCGAAGCTTGCTGCACTCGGGCGGTCATCGTTACTCATCCCACTTCAGGAGTCGCTTACTGTGAATCTTCCACCCACATCTTCCACCGAGAATTCTGTTCATGTGCCTTTCCCGACCTCTGCACCCACTTTTGAAGGTTCGCTGTTTTGCTCCCGTGATGGCTACGGTTAACCCATTATTCAGAATTTTCTGATGAGATTGAGGTGATGCGGTCGCTGGCGCGCCCTCGAAAAATCACTATCAGAGGATCAAATGGGCAGACGTACATGTTCCTCGGCAAGCCGAAGGATGATCTTCGAAAAGACGCACGACTCATGGACTTCAACGCGATCATCAACAAGCTGCTCAAAGCTAACTCAGAATCGCGAAAGAGGCAACTTCGTACGTCTGGGTTTGAGCAAAGAATTTCCCGACCTTTTAACTCAGCATCACAGATATCCGAACTTATGGTGTCGTGACGCTCAACGAAGAATGCGGCTTTATTCAATGGGTTCCAAACACCATACCAATTCGCCCTGTGCTACTCAAATACTACGAAGCGAAACGAATACGTAGCTGGGTATGCAACCACTGCTCTTACTCTGGAATGCGCGATAATCGAGGACTTCGCTTCAGTCCAGCGAACTGGGTGACACCTTCAGGAAAATTAAGGACGCACAGGACAAGGAAGCAGCTGAACTTTTTGTCACTAAAGTTCTCCCCTCGTAAGCTACATTCACTCCGTTTAATATATTTGTTGGTCAACTCGCTGCCCAAGGTTCCCCCCTGTGTTCCACGAATGGTTTGTCGAGACATTTCCAGAACCGACGGCGTGGCTCGCGAGCCGCCTTTCCTATGGAAGGACTGCCGCTGTCATGTCAATGGTTGGCTTCATCTTGGGGTGATTCAACCTCCCGATCGTACAAGGAATAGACTGATTGTCTCGAACTCTACAGGCTCGGTGACAGGCATTGTGAAAACATTCTCCTTGACACGAACACTGGAGATCTAGTCCACGTGGACTTCAACTGTCTATTTGAGAAGGTGCGTCTTTTGCATGCGGAGTCCTCAGTAACTGAAACCATGGTAGGGCAAAACTCTCGAAACGCCGGAACGGGTACCCTTCCGACTTACACAAAACATGATTGACGGTCTTGGCGTTACTGGAGCCGAGGGAGTGTTTCGCATTGCCTGCGAGATAACCATGCAGCTTCTCAAAAATAATAGGGATTCACTCATGAGCGTGTTGGACGCCTTTATCCACGACCCCCTTGTCGAGTGGGAAGACGAGAAAAGGAAAATGGTTGGTGGCGACTTGTGCAACGGAAATGTTACTCAACCGAGTCATTACAGGATCGCGACCGGCGGAACGCAGTTAGGTCTTCTACGGACCTGCGGCACTTGGCCAAGAACGCCCTACGTCCGATTGAACGTAAGCTGAAGGGAGTTTATTCCCCGTGGAATGTCAAGTCAAGGGCGTTCGGAGGCACCGGAGACGAAAAGGAGATTTCGACCGGTAACTTGGTGCAAATGTTGATACAGGAAGCCGTTGACGATGCGAACTTAGTGAGTATCCTTTTGGTCAATTACTGGCCTAAGAGCGCCAACCTCCACTGCAGGCGAAGATGTATCCAGGATGGGCTGCATGGCACTAAGTAGATACCGCACAGAATATGTTTGAAATGCAACTGGGCACCCAGCCTCATTGGCGATTAAATGGGAGAGCATGCACGTCTCAATGCATTGATGGAATGTCTAATCTACAAGGCTCCACGTTACTCTTTCTTGCCAGGCTTGGTCTACAAATGGATACGCATGTCAATAGTCTAAGTCAACCACATAAGCTGAGTTACGCACGAACACCAGCGCATACATCCCTCCTAGTGTCGTGGCCACACCTGCAATCATCGAGACAGCGTAGAGATCTGGAACATGCATTAATCATGGTGGTGCAGACCGGTAAGGTCAGTAATCACTTAGGAGAATGTTGGAGTATTTTCCACGGCGATATACGGGTAGATGGCTTAGTGCCTGGCAAACAGGTGAATTACTGCAGTTGGAAAAATATAGGGAATTTACCTGGAAAGTCCGCTGCCTCTCGGGAATGCGGTTGGGGCCTAAAAGATTGCTGAATAGAATGGTAAGTTAGAAAAGAAGGTGGCTTACGGTTGACCAGCGAATCGAGAAACATGTTTTGACAGAAGGTGGTTGGTCGAGGTAGGAAGTGTTCAAGCACGGACGGCATTTGCCGGACTGTTCCGAGAGTGCCAACAGCATGGCAGAGGCCCGCGTCCGCGTCAGGGTAAGTACGTCTTTCATACATACGCATCGGCACCTGGGTGTTGATTCCTGGTCACCGCAGGGCGTCACGATACACCGGCCGATTATCTATGGGAACACAGCGACGGTGCTCACCGCAGCGGAAAGGGAAACATGCGGTTTTCCCGACCACACGCACAGGTGGACCGTAGCAGTACGGAGCGCTGCCAACGCACCAGATTCTGATACGGTTGGCGGAGCAGATGACCTCAGCTACTTCATAAAACGCGTGACATTCAAGCTGCACGACACATATTCCAATCCGACAAGAAGTAGGCTCGATTGAAGAACCCTCGCCTTAGTTTCTCCTGACACCGCATCCACAGATGTTGACAAACCACCTTTTGAGCTTTCCGAAACTGGGTTTGTCTCTCTTTCTCTCGTTTCATTTTTACCCATCGTTGACGTCCCTCCAGCTGGGGCGAGTTTGAAATTCATATCCGAATCCATTTCGTCGCCGAATCAGGAGAGAAGCCCATTACCCTCTACCACCATCTCAAACTTCATCCGTGGTCCCTCACGTTTCAGGCGCTAGGAACGGAACCAGAAATTCCGTCCCCTGAAAGCGCAGCCAAGTTCGGCCCAGTCCACTCTTGGCAGTATGACGAGATTGTCTTTACGGATCCCTTCCAGTCGTTCCTTACCTTGCTGACCGCCCACCCTCCCACACCTCTCCCAAGGACGAGTAAAAATCCTACACCTTTTCATACTTCATACCCTGCGTCTCTTGAAGAGACTAGGAAACCCGGCGTGCCTGAGTTCACTGGTGCAATGGAGAGAGATGAGGGCGAGAGGCTGGAAGAGGCCAAAGAGAAAATTATCAAGGAACAGGAAAAGTGGAAAGGCATCCTGTTGGAGCGGGAAAAGGAACTGGAGAGATTACAGAAACTCCTCGCTGCCAAGGACTGAGAAATCAATTATTGTAGCATAGCGGTTTGTACTATCTTACTCTGCCCCGCTGGCTGTCGCGCCCAGTACAGTCTGAATTGCATGCCTTCTGATGGCCAACTAGAAAGGAGAAACTCCTGTCTGCGCAACTTCAATCCTAGCACGTGGCACCGACTCGAGGGTCTAGTCACAATTCATCCACTCACTGGCACCGATATGCCTAGTACTTAGTGCGAGAAATCGCCGACTACTTTCTAGTCTTGAAATTTCGCCTATTGTAAATCCTCCCATGAAACGCCTAATAGTAACTGCGTGGTTTATCCTTTATATAATCCTCGTTCACAAACATCCTGAAGAACGAACCTAATAATCGCGTTCTGGTAGTGCCTGCAAGCGGTGCTGTGCGTTCTTCGCAGTCATTGAAGGATGTCCAGGTGGGCACTAGTTGTGAAGTTCTTTTGGCTCTCGCTATAGGGAGCAAGAAATATTGGAGCCCCTGCACGTCTGAGTTAACTACAAACCATGCTTGCACTTCGCACGTAATCCATATAAAAATACACCTACGACACGGCGGAACAAGCGTAGTCCTACATGCTTGCTTCAGGAGTACACAGTTCCGGTCCGCCCTAACCTCGGAGTTCCACCACCCAGTGTTGGCATGTATGTATTGGAAACTGTACTTCATAGCTATGACCTAGTCATCGGCGCTGGAATGCCCTGAATGGAAGAAATTGTATTCGGTTGTTCAAATCTCCCGCAGGCCTTCCATGTTTTCACCGAGGTCTCGATCCTTCGCATCGATCCGGGCTCATCGCAGTGAAGAATACTGCATGTCCAACGAATATGGAGACTTCTGTATTATGTCGACACTAGATTCCGGACCGGACAATGTACGATCTCTTGCTAAAGCACCCTCAGGACGGAGCGATCTACAATCGATCTATGTACCTGATTGGTATGTAGGCATAGCGAAGTGGAAGTTGGATGACGACAGTTTGCTCACCTTTTGCCGTAGATTTGGGCTACCGACTCAACAGTGCTAATCGTGATCAACTATGGGGATTTCGCATGTACGATGAATATTTGAAGCTTCGTGTCGTTTTTTGGGCGTCTTGGTGATTCAACACCGTAACTCGGCAAAATGTCGGACCACGATGGATTTCCTCTCTTCCCGCGGAACGCAGCGTGCATAGGGGTGATACATAGTCGATTGCCATGCTCGGATGAATGTGAAGAATTAATGAATTAATCGTCACTACTGGGGGACATTCAGTCAACGCCGACCAATGAACTAATGGAGTCTCATCAAGCGTTGACGTGTCTCTCTGATCTCTGGCAATCGCTGTTTCTGCCAATGTCTATAATACATATCAGGTTACTACACGTGAAGTGCTGGACACATACTTATGCTTCTGTGCGAGTGATGCGCTGTACTGGAAAATGTCAGATGAGGTTGAGATACTATGCTGAGAAGGGGAAGTGCGCTGCAGGTCAGCGGGGGGAAAGGAACGACATATCCCTTACACCTCGTTACCTGCCCCACGAAACAAGCCTCCATCCATTCGTTGAGTAGCGATGACAGGGTTCAGGTGCGTAGACAGTATCTACGATATTAGTCCAAAGCAGGATTAACACATTCGGGGAGTTGATGAAAAGAAATTCCAACTGTGCCCACCTGAGTAATTGTCGTGTAGACCCGCTTCCACGAAACAATTATCCGTCGAACTCGCACGGAGTCTCATGGTGTTCTGCAAGTCAACGTGTCCGTGCCAGAAGGCTGAATATATTAAGTCTTCTGAGAAGCATCCCCTTCGATTTAGTATGTACACTGTTCCGAAGTGTGGATCCGAATTTCGACCAGTACCATGATGGATCTTGACTCTTCAGTTAGGGGTTAACCAGCCCAACAGAACCACATAGGTCGTCATGAGGGGAGATCCCATTCCAACACTTCTCTCGACTCAGCAAGTCTGTAATGTTGCTCAGGAGTGAAGCTGTTGTCAGAGAGGCCAACACTTGCATAAGGACATACCTTGCTTCATCGTCCAGAGCCAGGTATCTACCAATAATCACGCAGATACGTTGATCGGCAGTGGTGATCCGTGTCAGGTAAGTAGAAACCAGTAACTCAAACCGATAGCAGATGAACGTACAGCCACAGGGTAGGTCATTGATGTTGAGCTGTTGCTCAATTGTTTGATGGGGGTAGATCCTTGTTTCCGATAAGTACCTACTGCTCCCTGCGGGATGGTTCATTGTGTAATAGGTTGGCTGCCGTGCAGTAGGGCTGTGGCAGCAACTTAACTTGTGGCAGTTACAAATTTAGGTTCTGAAACCTCGTCTAGTGTTAGCATGTTTCAGGCGAAGCGAGAGGAAAAAAAAATGCACGGACGTTTGCGGGTACTAGCCTAGTTGTTTACAAGGTCCGCAGTGGTTCTCAAGAGTCAAGCTTCGACACGAGGGTGTTCGACCCTGGATGATGGGATGCAATTGAATAGTGACGACCGACACCAGCACGTACGGATCAACAAGACTTGCCGTGAGCGAGGCATTCGGTAACATTTTGTACTCCAGAGCTACCCTGATATGAGGTGGAGGGGCACCCTCGTCTCGTCTACAGTTGTTCCGTCGCCCGGCCTTACTACTTCCAGCAATATTGCGAGTAACATCCTCTTGGGAGTTGTTGCGCTGGATTCACGCCAACTGAAGGAACTGCTAAATTATACACAGGTCTATCAAGTGTCACATCCGTGGACCAGCTTAACACCTTTTTTTTCCGCGTCCGCTCCCTGGTGACTGGTATAGTTTCACGTGAAAAGGTCCCTCCCGGCGGCAAACCCTACGTCTCCGTTGCCTTGGATAGGGCCGCCCCAGGCTTTTGATGCGTATCTAATGTTCCGCCGATCTGAAATTCGGGCCTAGTGTCTCGCCGACATACGTCAGTACTATCTTGTGGCCACTATCTAGAAACTTAGAGCTCAAACCTGCCTGGAAGGCGTACCGACAATCGGGGGAACGCCGGGCCAGCCTCTATTCGCCCTCTCCGGTACACGGTAAGTACATATGGACAACCTCACACACTGCTTACTGCTAATAGATATGTCTCTCTCTGGCCTGGCGCTCCGCAAAGTCACCTAAGCATCTCCGAATTTCCTCCGCATGCTCTGACTCTTGCTAAGCCCTCCTGGAAGCTGAACCCTACTGGCAAGTCCCCACGTGAGAGTGAGTAAGCAGCCCCCCCTCCACCTTAAGACCGACAAGGGCGGGCGACGTGGCACGCCACGACGACTCTGAAGTTAAGTTCTCGCTTTGTTCTCGCTTTACATGTCCTCATGATATTTAATACACTCGTTCCTCGGTAATATTTGTCAAGCGCCGAGGGGGAGGAGAAGCGGGGCCCGTGTTGCCGGTACGTAGGAACATAATGCTCTGATTCGTGCTGTCACGATACTAGTACTTTTGTTAAGAACGCACCCTGACACATCTTCCCAGTGTCATACGCATCCTGTAGTGAGTTCCTGTGGCAGACTGAGAAGGTGAAGTCTTCTTTCCAAGTGCAGTATCCTCTGTCAAACTTTCCTCTTCTGGGTCGCAAATACAGCGAGCCGCCTGCATACGTACAGCTGAGAGTATTCCCGTCCTGTACTAAGCAAGATGTTGTACAGGGTGCCATTAACTCCCTACCTTCCAAAAGCGGGTGGCTTCTAGTGCAGGTTCGGCGAAGGACAAAGTTGCCTCGTTCATTCAACTCCCCTGAAGTACTACTAGCCGCTAGACGACTGCAGGTTAATATATCTTCATGGCAACGTTTGCAAAGGATTTTCAATGGCTTTTGTGGGTCGACTTTCCTCCGAATGCCATCATCTCTGGACTGCGGATTCATCCCCTCCTCTACTAACCCATGTACGCTACGCGCTGGCTGACTTCAAAAAGTACAATCTAAAATCGCAGGAACCAATCAAAACGAAACAGAGAAGCACCGTATTATTATGCAAGATGCTCCCTCGTTACAGCTTGGTTCAGTGTTATGCCGTCAACTGGCAATAATGACGAACCCATTTTTGGACAAAGTCCAATTACATCAGGGCCGAGCACAGTTTGCGGCACAGGAACAGTTTAGACGCTGCAGTTACTTACGGCGATTGCAATTAGGTCCTAATATGTACCCTCCCTGCCCCCGGCCCTTTGTGTGACCACAGCTAGCCAAATGGGAATGAGGTCACAGCATCCTCCAATCCGCTGCGCCCGCCCCTGCGTATTACATCCGCGATAGGGGTGCCACTGTGACCGTGGAGGTCCACAGCAGTTCCGCTGGGCACTCTCAGATGCAGAACAAAGGAGCGAGCCCAGAACAGGAGTCCATAAAGATGCCAAATATTATAACCACGCGTGCTGCAAGGTAGCGGAACGCTGCGGTTATCGTTATAGGCTTGATACAGCGAACCAGCGCACGCTCGTGCATCCGGTTCCACGTCCCCTCACGCATTTAAGACTCCGCGGACGTCGGTTCGATTAACCCAACCGTTGTGGGTGACCAAGGTCCAAACACGAGGCGGGAGCTGAAGCTAAGCTTAGAGTGATGTGTAATACGCCCATTACTTACTGACCACGAGGCACCACCACACACCATTAGCGCCCCCTTCCACCGCTGGATGAATAAAGAAGAAAGTTCCCAACGGCAGCTTTATATACACACACATTCATACGGGGTGAGTGTCCTGACACAGAAGACTCTGCCGGGTCACGGGGCGCGAAAGGGAGAGGGATAAACCGTTCAAGCTGACACTTCCCGATGAGCCCGAGAATTTGCTGGGTCCATCCTTTCGCCAGGAACGAAGAAAATTCGTGTTGCAGTGTTACAATTACAGTAAATAATAATGGTGTGCGACGGGGGGAGAATTTTTATCATTATTGGCGTGTGGAGCACTGCTGGTGTCGAACTTAGCATCGGCAAAGGATTAAGGGCCAGGAAACGCACGGACACACGCTAGCACAGGTTGATGCCATTCACTGCACGTGTGAGAATAGAACAAGGGAGGGCAAGAAAAAAAGTTCATTCGATACTGAATGTTTGCTGCACGTCAGCTGAGGGAACCCTGTTTGGAAGAGCTGGCGGCATAATTGTTGCTCGAGTTGGAAGGTCGGGGTCGAGGACTTGGATCGGAATAGCCGCCAAGGAGCCAAAACACGCAAACACACACAAAGCAAGCACATAATTTACGGTAAACGAAGAAAAAGACTAGAATTCCATTCCATAGCTAAATAATTCCTATAGGATTTAGTTCATACAAGTACACAAGGATTCTCTTGTTTTGTATAGGGAGGTATGGAAGACAAAAGCAGCCCATGATTCGTGCCTTACACTCTCCCGGCGTCGTCATGGTCATCGTGCGTGAAAGTGAAAGTGAATAGAAAGACAAAAAAGCGGCAGCATTAAAACAGGGCAGCGATGTGAGCGCGCGGGAGGAGAGGGGGTATTATCTAAATCACCGCACTAGAAGTGAACAATGAGCCGAGCAGAAAGGCGGCGAGGAAGAGAGGGGGGTATGCTGGGCGGGATGTGGAGGGTAGATTGCAAGATAATGGCAGGGGGTTATGTTTATGAGCAGTATGGACACAAGACGCCCGACACGTGTTCGCGTGCTGAGGGATACGATACATGTCAAGGCCGCTACCGATCGCAGTGGCCATAAATACCCAGGGACGGATTTTGGGTGGTCCCCTTCTGCCGCTCCCAAGTCGGATCGAACAAGATGAGTCGATTGCGGTGTGCACGAGGATGATAAATATGTGAGCCCCAACGAAGGATGATAGTTGGTCGAAAATGAAGCATCCCAAGGCAAAGTCGAAAAGCAATAAATAAAGCCAAGAAAGCATCATGATCGGAGATACTCAAGTCCAACGTTGGGCGTGTTTATGAACTCGGTACGGGAACGTCTGCAGGAAGGGTCGGAGAAGACGTCATCGGTGGGGACAGGAGCTCCGTCTTCGGTGAGACTTGGAGAAGAGCGGGAGAATCGGATGTGAAAGCAACGTTGCGCTGCGCATGGCTTTGATATGCCACCGGCTGGGAGAAGTAACCGGGGGAGGTGGCAGCCTTTCTCGGTGTGGGGTGGGGCTGCTGTTGCTGGAAAGACTGCAATGTCCGAGAGAGGAGCATTTGGCAAGCGAATGGGGGCTTGCACCCCAGCGTCAGCCGGAGGACTTTGAGAAGAGCGAGGAATGGGGAACGTTGTGACAGCAGGGGAAGAGAAGGCAGACAACTGGCCGGAAGCCGATCCGGGGGTGGGGGGTTGGGAGGAGTAAACGGACACTGCGATGGGTAAGAAAGAGGGGCAAACGTTGGATGGGGCGCCTTACCATTGTCGTCCCAATCACTTATAGCACCACTGCTGGACACACTGCTAGAGACCGATGCGCGACGTATGAGACCAAACTCTCTTTGCTCTTTCTTGATCTGTGGAGAGGAAGTGACAGCAGCAGCGGGTGTTTTTGGACCCTTTTTGTCAGGCTGGGCCACACCGGTGGATTTGCGCGTCTTTCCACCTGCACGGAGTTCATCAAACCGGAGGGGGCGTGGTCTGAGGTGGGTGCGTTCATAGAGGCCACATTTGTTGCAAACGATCTTCCCTGGGTTGAGGGTGGAGCGACGCCATGAGGGAGGCTCGGTGGTGTGACAGTTGAAACAGCGACGACGCAGGTACTGCGTTTCTTTGCTAGCTGCGTCGTCTGTGTGCTGTATGGCGACTGTTCCGCCGGTTGCAGGGGAGAGGTAGGAAGGGGCGTTGTTATGGTGGGAGTGGATGGCGTGAGTGGAGTACCCGAGCTGGGAGGGGACAATCAGGGGGGTATCTTCGAGTTTGATAGCTTGGTGGGCAGGCTCAGGCTCATGATACACAGGGGGACAGAGGTCATAGAGATGGGGGGAGGGGTATTGCTGGAGCTGGTCGTGTCTGACATAGGGGAAAGTGGCGCGACGGACGACGGTGCCGGAGTGGTCGTGGGCACGGAAGTGGAGGTGCTGCTGGTGCTGGTGCCATTCGTTGTAGTGGGCCTGGTCGTCGATGAAGTGGTCGTTTGGCTGGTCGTACAGCTCCTGGAGGAGAGACGGGGACTGTGCATAGCTGGACTGGGGGTAGACGGCGACGTCGTTGAACATCAGCGACTCGGAATCATGGAAGAGGGAGGATTCGGTGATCGGGTGATGTTTGAGGCTGATGAACATGTCCGAGGCTGAGTGTGGCGAGGGTGTCCTCGGGGTCGACGACGTGTCTGAGAACGAGGCGGGCGATGCGAACGACGACGCCTCAAAGTCCATACTTTATTTTTTAACAAAAAACAAAAAGGAAAAAGGAAAAAGAAAAGGAAAAAGAAAAAAAACAACACCCGTCAGCAGAGGACTGGTCGACGACGACGACGACACCAGTTAGTTATAAGAAACGAGTCCGCGTCACCAGATATGGCAATCCCTTATATGGCATAGCCCAATCTCACTCCACCAGATCCCGGCTACTCTTTCTTTCAGCCCGTACCATTATCTCGGGTCGATCGGAACATCCCGCATACCTCCGGACTCCGCCAGATCTCCGATTCTGCCTTATCGCATGTACAAACAACCAAACACGCGCATATAAACAAACACCCGCAATTTACGTATGTTCTCACACACAGCTTGCCCGATGGCTGTGTCTCTCTCAGCATGGCCCCACGTGTCATTTCAGGTTGCAATCTACCCCCTTCTGTTTGAAACACACATCCTCCCTCCACTCGAGCTTCTTGATGACGAGTACTACTTGACTCTCCTCCTCAGTTCCCACGACGTCCCCGTCGGTCACCTCTCAGGATTCCCCATCGCATCGCCACCGTGGAAGCCAACCCCAGTACTGATATTCCCCCTTCTTCCTCTCGTCCTACATAGCATTGACCTACATCTTGCGATCCGCGCCGTCGCACTGTTCTTGGTAACACTGGCGGTCTTCACAGCACTTGTTGCGCGTCTCACGCCCCCCGCCTCGCCTTTCGCACAGGCAAAAAGTGATCGTGATGAGCGCCGTGTCGTAGTCCATCATATTTCCACTCTTTCTTCTTCTCCCGTGCCCCCTTCTTTCCTTCTATTCTGCGTCCTTTGTTCCCTCGCGTACTTTGAAACACCGTGCTGTTCAATCAGTACTACAGATGTTTGCTTCAGCTGTCCTGGGCATGAAAACCGAGCACCCGCAATTGGAAATGTGTGCCCTTGATATGCGTCTCACGAGGCATGAAAGTACCTGGACTGATGGCAATACTGCAGTGCTATTTGAGGCATGGAGCACAAGGTTCGACCATGTAAAGTATGTAGAATTCCTTCATTGGGGAACAGCTCTCCGAACCATAAAACGATCTCCCCCGCACCTGACGAGCACGATACGGCACTACCCTCTGCCATGGAACGCCACGAATCTAGCGACCGGATGACCTTTCAACGTTCAAGTATTCTGCTTCCCACAGTAGTATGTGGCTTGATATCAGTTTTGCGATGCCAACTACAGAGCCACCGAATGTGGGAATGAAAAAAGACCTCGGAGATGGCAAACCGCTCTCAATGTATTAGTAGAACAATTCAGCAAGTCATTGAAACCGTCCCTGCACACGTCATATTTTTGGTACTCACAGCCGAGGGAAACAAGTTAATGCATCGAGCTTGCGTGCATGTGGGTGGTGCGTGCGCAGCCCCCCTCGAGTTGTCGAGTTGACAGACGCATAGCCATGAGAATGAATACTTTCTCCCTAGGGCAACATTCGGGTTAATACATCGTTAGCCTTCTCCGTCAACCCTACAATGTATATAAAACACCCGATGCAGAACCCACCATCGCCCCCGGCGATTCTATTTCAAGTACTTCTCTAATACCATCATCATGGTTGCAGACGCTCATATCAACACCTTTAGGGGCGCTGTAGCAAGTGCCGCAGCTACACGTCGCGATGAACAAGGATCAACCAACCTGTCAGCCCAGACTTCTTTCTGGAACCAAGTCAAACTTGCAAGTACGATGGGGTGAAGAGTTTCAGGCAGTGAGGATGACAATATGGTTTAAATCTGTTTTCATTTTTTGGCTAAGCGATCATCGTAGTCTCAAGACGTGTTTTGGACTTGACGTACGCTGCGATGATGAGCATTAGACTTGCGACTCCATCCAAACACCATCGATAATCATGTTCGAGCTTCGTCAATTCTGCTTTGCGTTCAAAGTCCCCCCCCCAACATGAAATGATATCCGTATCTCACGGTAAGTCTGTGGATTCCCGGACACGCGTCACATAGATAAGAAGTTCAATGAAGCACACACATCATCAACACGGCTCCGAGCGCTTCCAGCTACATTCTATTTGTACTTCCTAGACAGGTTGTGTTGGTTCTCATAGTCTCCTGAATCCTATGCAAGGTTTGAAATTGTAAAAAAATTATTACAGCTAGTTCGACGTCCATTAAACCATCGCTGCTTACTACGACGAATTTTAGTGTGCGTGGCGCAGACCCACTGTACTCGTGCACTGATCGGCGAGCTGTGAATGTCAAAGGTGACAGTAAGCTGGAGAGTTCAACAGTGCCTCGGGAGAGAATAAAGTCCGAAAGGTTACCCATACTAAAGCCCCTCCGAAGGAACGGTCGTCAGCGAGACACTGTAAAGGTAGTTTTCCCCTCCTATTTCACTGGATGAAGAATCAACGGCGACTTAAACGTAGATGATAATGCCCGCGTGTACTATACAAACGAGTAAGAGCATCAATCCAAACCTTCAAACCTGTACCGCCGCTACATGTGGTCCTAAATTGCGGAGCGGCAGAGCCCTGGTGGATATTTTAATTCGGTCAACCAAGGGAGCACAGGTGCGGCTTGATCACCTTTCAGAGGTTACTATATGGGCCCCAAGACAGAGGGTCCCAATGAGTACCTGAAAGTCATAGTTGCGAGCTTCGGCTGGATCCTGGGAGTGTGGTGCAGTGCGTCGGAGCAAAGTTACTACTGCGGAGCTGTGCGGTTGCGTCCTGGTCTGGTGGATAAGAGTCACAGGAACTACGCTGTATTGGGTTTGGGTACGCAGCGGCTAGACCGCAATGGAGCGCATTACACAGTTGCATTCCTCCGCCTTCGCTGGGGAAAGAGACCGATGACGAATGATTGGGGTTACGGGTCCTTCAGCATTCAGCGTTCAATTGGTGCCCTGAGGAGGTATCGGTATATGTGAAGCCGGGAATACTATGTAGCCACCTCTGATCTAGTAGCTTGTCTGTCTCCGCACGGGGGGAGCACTCAACCGACGACGAGCTGCCACAACACTAACTAGATGAACTTTTTTATATGTAACGTTATTACAATGTCTGTCATAGATGACGAGAAGTTCAGCCTAGCCAGGGGGGTCTGGGTCATGGGATAGATATTGTAGATCGAGACAATGTCACACTGGCAGGGGGGAAAAGTTCTTTGGAGCCCGTTCATAGCTGGTATCTTTCAAGTTGTCGGACAAGTGATATATGTACGTGGTCCAGCTGACACATATTAGAATCCAACGCCGCGAGACGTTTGAACCCACATACATGGGTGGATCCAAGGTCACCCATAATAGCTGCGATCGGCGGATAATCGGTTTGTGCGGCCTTGCGCAGTGCGTGGACAGAGGTGTACAGCCACAAACAAATCCAATTGGCCCGGACGCATGGTGTATGTCGGTGTGTACGCATGCATACGTGTAACCCACTTTCTAAAAGCTGCAGATGCTGTCAAGCTACAGTAGTTAACATGTCATGTCGATGTCAATAAAATGACGAGCACCCAATGAAAATGAGTTCGCGTTTATCGAAGTTCAAATTCCAAACTTAACTCATACATAATTGCGATCGTGCCGCGTTCGGTGTCATTGACAGGCGTGGGTGTCGTTGACGTCGGGATGCCATGTGGAGGAGTACGGAGTCAGAGAGTGCTTACATATTTACATCTCGAAGCCGATGCTTCTCTGGACCGCCTGGTCTGCTTGGGTCACTGCATATATGTCTTTTGTGCGTCAGTGCAGACGTAGAATGGACCCCGCGTCGAAAAAAAGGAAGGCCTTGCAAGTCAAACGACGTACAGAGTGGCGAGCCAGCCAAAAATTATCGATAATGATGGACTGGGCATTCGGGTTCTCGGAGAGGTGCGCCCCTTCTCCTGGGAAGTTCTTCACGTCATATTTACTGGCGACATCGAAACCTTCAGTCACCCATCCCACGCCAGTCGATCTACATGGGTGTGGAGGTGACTAGGGGTGACTGCCTCTTGGTATTTCGTAAGTCTTCATTCCGTTTTATTCCATGACTCCCTTTTTCCGACACTGCCACTCGCTGGACATCCCCCACCTTACTTCCCCCAAAGTCGACAAAGCTGGGTTTGGTTTCTTATTGTTATTGGCAATCCTGTAGTTTCCAAAGAATGCTTAGACGACAACAAAAATGAATCATCAAGTGTCGGCATTAGTTCAGTACGCGCGCAATCTCCGAATGTCCGCTTTTCCTTAGCTTCGCGCGCAGGTAAAGGGGCTCAGTCCTACAAAACAGTCAGACATTTGAGTGGCAGAGTGTAAGAAAAGGATCCTGACAAAATTACGGCGGCCGCCTGATCATTCTCCACGCACGGTGTAAGCACTGGACACGGCCCCTCACCTTCAACTTGCCAATCAGTAGTCTGGGTGAGTGGGTACCTGCAGCTATGTTTGTTCTTGATGAACAATCTACTTCTTCCGGCCCTTGCGACCGGGTGCAGAAGTGGCACCCATCCCCCGTTTGGTGCATTCTGCGCAGTACCATCGTTCCGGCAACGGTTGCTTTAAATTCACGCACGGCAAGTGGAACTGGCGCCAAGATTAGCGGAGTATGGTGGAGAGGTACGATGCTTACCCATTGGTAGGGGCAACCTGCATTGTCGCACGCGATCATCTCGCCGTAGCTCAGTTTCTGGCAGAAGCAATACAACTCCTTGTCTTCCCCATCATCTCCTTCCTCCCCATCCACCTCTTCGCCCTCTGCATCCTCCGTGCCTTGTGTCTCCTCTGCGAACTCCATCTCGAAATCATCCGCCTCAGATGATACCCCCCGCTTCTTGCGACGCCCGCGCCCAGCGGATGCTACATGCGATGGTGCGGGGGACGGCATCTTTATGGAGTCCTGCGCAGTTAGCTTGCGCTCTGACCAGTACGTCATGTCCAGACCATGCCGCGTCATCCTAAAGAAAACAAGCACTCACTCTTATATGCAGACTCTTCCACCCCACTTCTCGTACTAACTGAAACTAGACCTCCACCTGCCGACAACGGCACTGGCATACCCCCCGCGAACGCGTTCCGTAAACTTTCATTGATCTGAGCAGCAGGGTTCCGGCCACCAAGAATATACCCTGAGCCAGTAGCACTAATGCTCGTGCCAGACGACAAAATTGGCTGTGCCGCACCGGCGACAATAGCAGCTGGATCGGGTTCTCCTTGCAACGCGAGCACGCGTGCGAGGTCGTAGTCCAAACGTGACCGTTTCCGCGTGAGCATGTTTACGATCCGTTCCGCGATGGCAACTTTCTCGTCCGCAAGTTTTTCAAGTGTCTTTTGAGCTGATTTGATTTTCTCAGTGGGAGGTGTGAGTGCCTTGTCTTTGGAGGAGCTATCCGAATCAGAACGAAGGACATGTCGAATGTATTTGTGACTGTCGCGAGTAATTTCTTGTTGGAGTTCTTGTCGCCGTACAGTTAAAAAGGGTAGTTTGATGGATAACGAAATGTGACATACCTTGAGATTGCGTCTCCTTGGCACGAAGTTCCTGGAGAAGGAACTGAATTTCACCGGGTATGTTCTCGAGCGCTGTGAGACGACGGATGTAACTATGCCACTTGGTAAGATGCGGTGACACACTCACTTGATATATACTCGGATGCAATCGTAGCCGCCTCTTCCAGGTTCTGAACTGTTGGTGTGCTCATGGTCGTCCTTGAACAAGCAGGGTCGCTGCTGACTAAGGCCCGCTTCCTATTCTGTTTACCAACAAATTACGCCTGTGAAACGTCATTTAAGGTGGGCTCAATGGACTACTACAAACGATCTGAACAAGCCCCTCCTCCCATCCAGACAGCCCTCACCACCAACACAGGCGCACAGTTGGCGGTGCCAGCACCTTCCACACCAGCTCCGTCGTCCGCAGCATCATTAGGGAACCCCCCGCCACCTCATACTGCCTCGTCGACAGGACCAGTAAATGTCACGGCAGCTAACTGTGCCTACAGCAACACCAACGAGTGCGACAACAGCACTTCCAGCCCTGACGGCAGCGCAACAAATAGCCAAAAAATCCGATGGACAGAGGGATTACAAATACATACAGGAGATATCTCAGATGGTATGTGCATTCCGTAGTCGTATCAAGTTAATTATCGATGCATGCATGGTAGATGTTCGTCTTTGGTGAGATTCAGGACCCCAATCACGAGACCGTCAATCTCGTAGAGGACATCATTCGTAGCCAGCTTATCGAACTAGTACGTCCACTCCTCGTCTTGTGCTCTCAAAACGGCTACTACTCATCACAAGATCCTTCAAGCCCGTGCTCTTGCCAACCGTCGTAACGCAAAATTCATAACCGCTGAGGACCTCATCTTTCTCATTCGACATGACCGTGGAAAGGTAAACCGGCTTCGCACGTACCTCTCGTGGAAAGATGTGCGGAAGCATGCCAAGGACTCAGGGGGAGATGGGGGCGGTGGAATGGAGGTAGAAGCGCTAGAAGACGGTGATGGTGAGCTTTTTGTTTAATTTGTTTGGCAGAACTGTATTGCAGGCTGTTCATAACTTACACCTATCTACGAAGACAAGCTGGCGGCCAAGGCCCAGAAAATAACCATCAAACTCCCCTGGGAAATCTCGACGATCTATTCTGAGGTACTCCGGCAGGCGGGCCACCAATCTGACGACGAGGAAGACGAGGATGACATTGAGGCACACGAGGCCAGCATCCAGAGATTGAAGGAGGCAGACGACGCAACAAGACAGATGACGAGAGAGGAATATCAGCATTATTCAGATTGTAGGCAAGCAAGTTTCACGTATCGAAAAGGTGTGCATGGTCGTTCTTTGCGAGATGGGTGTGTGGATAAAAGTCAACGTTTATTGTACTAATTCACACATCTTAGCTAAACGGTTTCGTGACTTCCTCAACCTCCCTCCCCACTTGGACTTGAGGCCTAACGACGATACTATTGATATCGTCGGTTTCCTCGCCTTCGAGATGGTTCGATCACTGACTCTCGCGGGCCTGGAGGTGAAAAAGTCTTTGGAAGAATCCTACCTTCGCGACGATTATGCGCCTTCTTCGACTTCCCCCCTTCTTGGGAAGCGCAAAGCGAACTCTCAAACTGAGGCTGCAAAGCGAGCGAGAAGGGAACGAATAGATGGCGAGGATGATGACGACGATGATACGCCGCTTCCAACTAGCTCGTTGTTCTTGCCGCCTCCGGAGGCGCGAACAGCGCTGAGACCTGAGCATATACAAGACGCTTTCGCGAGAATGCAGGCTGATTCGTCGCACCACCGAAGTGCAGGAATGAGAAACTGGAGAGGTGGTTTAGTAAGGACAAGAGTTAGCTTGATCTGATGGGGTTGCAGAGATTCCATAAGCTGTATTCCTAGTGTTTCATCCATGTATACCTAAATACACTCCTCCCCTCTGTACAGCATTCCTTTTAGATATCCGCACTATTCAGCAACGAAGACCACCTTCCCAGTTATTCATCAACCATGCTCGCAGCAGAAAATAAAACCTTATCAACACAATTCATCATATATCTTTTCGGAAGGCGATTTCATATCCTTGAATACGGAGAACACCCCTTTCAAGGTCAATGCAAGCGCGGTGGGCTTTAAGCAGGTCGAGGCCAATTTGCATATCAACTCTGGGGTCCTTGGAGATGTACAACGACCGTAAGTTCCTGGTTCAAAGGTAACACGTAATATGCGTCCCTACCTCCACGACTGTGACCGACCAGTTTAGAGACAAGTTGCCGAATTTCAATTGTGCACTGTACACCCTACCGACAACCTGGGGTGTGGCAGAGCCTTGCACAGTGCCCTCAAAGCGCTTGTCAACAAGTTGTGTTATACTGACATGTACTGAGCGCCGGTACCAGAACGACATGCATGAGTTCAGAGGCTTACCCGCAAGCTTCCGCGCATCCTAGACTTACTGAATGCAAACAAGGACGGGTGTCAGAGGTGGAGGATCGGACGGTGGAGTGGCGTACTGAGAGTATGTTGTGCATAGGTGTTTACCAAAGCTTTGACAGGACGACCATTGACTTCGGCGGGAACGCTGGCATTTCAGCAGTGAGTACGCATGGGGAAGACAGATGACAAGAGACTCGTCCCACCAGAGCATTGTAACACTTTCGAATGACTTGGGGATATGTTCGGATGCATGCTCCATGTTCTCCATGATCGTTCGTTGTCGAGACACTACTTCGATTTGCCCCTGCAACCCATCATCGGCGAACTGCCTAACGCGACACAGAACATGAAGTGTAAGCAACTTCCAGACAAGATCACAAACAAGCATCTACCCTTTGACTGGGGTATTTCGTTGTCTCCGGAGCAGCAACATGGACTTATCAGCCACACCAAATTCTCGCAATGTTTTTGAACCAGCAAGTGGGACCCCATTGAACACGATAGCTTGCTCTTGGACAGGGATGCCTGACTACTTGGATTCATCCATGATATAGGAAAAAATCAATTCCGCCAACGGAAGTGAAACCCATAGTACATCATCAGTTTACGAAATGAGAAAGAGACCGTTCAGTCATAGCATACGCCAACACCAGGTGGGGCGAAAAGCAACTCACCTCCTCTTCGAGATGCGCCATGATACTGTCGAGCCCGTAACCTGGGTCCGCCTCCACAACATGCGTATCCCCCAAGTCATCGACAAACGTTAATTCCATGGTAATAGCCTTGCTGCAAGATTAGTACTCGACGTTCGATGCTAGTGGGTTCGGCGACGAACCAGTTAGCAGGTTTGGGCAGGTTTATTGTGGGGCTGGACCTTGGTTGGACTCCACTGATGCCAAATGAGATGACATCCGAATCGGTGGGGTCTCTGATACTTCTCTTCCCTTTTCAGACCTTACAACTCGACGTCACTGCGGGGCACGAAGTTGGTTCGTTTCATGCATACCCTGGGACCCATCCGGCCGTTAAGCCCGGGAAGTGATGCTGGGGACTCAACTTACCAAGATCATTTATCAGTCTTGACACCGGATTCCTCACCGGCATAGTCTGCTGAATTCACAGGCTCTGTATTTCATGTTTCACAATCCATTCCCCCTTCTCTGGCCACTGATTGCCAATGGGTCATCTGCCAGGTGGTGATCTTACTTGTGTAACTTGGTCAGTGTCTGAATATGCAACATGGTAGGTCCTTGGGTTAACCTCTCATTTGGTTTTTTTGTCTTAAAAACCAAAGCCATGATTAGGGAAACAACCATTTATTACTGCACTGACTAGCCTTATGCCTGCTGACCTGCATGCAACAGTCATCATTGTCTTCCAGAAGTTTTAGGGTTTCAGGGAAACCAGCTGTATGTATCCTAGGAGGCTGTAAAGGAGTCTTATCAGTGTTGCAGCTATGTGAGTTTCTACTTGGGTGAAAGACCTGGCAATGTAATCCTGTGCCATGGTCATGGCTGATATCTGCCCTGCCTTCTCTGCAGCTATGAGACCTTCTGAGAATCAGTAACTTGGCTAGTTGACCAGTGAGGTACCTCTTCTTGACCATGTTTCCATCAACTCAATTTGAAAACCTTTGGTAGGGTGTGTGGTGCACTACCAGTTGTTGATTGGGTTTGAAATACTTTTTAGAAGGCCAAAGATGACCAATGATACAGGACAATGATTGAAAGCACTCCCTGCAGCCTGTGGAGGAACCCCTGTATTTAATTTTAAAAGTTTAGTTCCTCATATCTTCAAATCTGCATATGCTGGCTGAGGTGTCAATTGCAGTTATAAACCCTGAGGGGCACAAGAAAAACATAGATTTTGACAGGAGGACTATGTAAGATCAGTGGTAGACAGGAAAAACTACAGTGTACTTAATGTGTTAAACATAACAGCAAAACAATGACAGCAGATTCAGAGGAACAGTATCAGAAATCATAATGGCAAATGCATAGACAAGGCAAGGGTATATGTGAGGGTATACAAGATACAAATCCCACCTCCATTATCTCTTCAAACTCCCAACAAGCTGAGGGTTTCCATGATGTTCTGGGACCTACTTGAAACCCTCTGCCAGTAAGGGTCTGAATAGAGAATGCAGATGGGATTTGTCTTGTATGTCAAACAAACTAGTACCTATGCCAAATATGAGTCTCAGGAAGGAAAAAAAGGCAGGGTATGTTACTCACCTTGGCCAACCTACTATACCACATCTACATGTCCATCCCCAACTTCATTAGTCCCTTCTTTGCAGCCTCATTTCTGGCAGCCTTCTTTGTCCTCCCCTTACCCTTCCCATACACCTCTCCATTAACTTCAGCTCTGACACTCCAAATTGGAGTTGTGACATTTTTATCTCCCACCTCACTAGTGGTATATACCCATTCCACATCCAACTGTTTCTTGTGCATTAGTTGATTGAAGAGGGCCAGATGACCACGAGTTAAGCCACTACTTTCATCATCAATTATTGCACCAGTCTTCCTGCTCATGTCCCCAAAAGCTGTCAAGCTGTCATCTGGAAGTGAAGCTGGAGGCAGGCCATGCTGAGTTCTGACATGATCATAGGCTGCCTTTATATATGGTATGAAAAGGGCCCTCAGCCAGGTCTCAACAGCAGGCAGTCCCTGGTCACAGTAGAGCCCACCAATATAGGACTAAGTCAATGGTGACACCCTGATCAGTATGCCAAGTGTTATTGATCAAAGGGGGTAAGCTTACCTCAAATACATCAGCTGTTCAAACCCAAAAAATTAAACATCCAGGTCCCAAGAATTAATGTCATCAGTTACTCACCTTGAATGTTCAGGCTTGCTCTAAGTGTAACTTCCTGTGCAGTATGAAGCCTCAGGTGATGGTGAAGCCCATACTGACAAGAGATATTTGCAAGGGTGGCATTACCCACTACCAGGGCACGAAGTTTCTGGTGGATGAAGAGGAACAACAATCAACTACCAATGCTTTTGGAATGCCAGCAACCAAGGAAAACATACTGTTGAGGGGCCCACATGAAGCAATGGGTAGTCATCAAAAAGGATCTTGGTTACAACAAGGCTGAGGACAGTATCCCCTAAATGCTCATATCTGCAATGATCAATAAATCAATCTGCCCACATACACCAATGGAAATATACCCAGGTCCAAGACATAATCAACAAAGTAACTCACTTTTCATTGTCAGGACTGGGATCCCCTAGATGATCTTCAAAAACATGGTTTGGCCGGCCATGGTAGCTCCGATGGGTGAATACTCGACGCTCGATGTCTTTCGAGTGGATGGGTGGTAGTGCAGGGAAGGGGTTGGAGACACTGTCGAAAACAGGCTGAAGCACAGGTGCAGGACTTTGTTCAGCATCATCCAACACAGTTTCCAGATTCACAACCAGTTTTGGAGGTCCCGTAATCAAATGGGCCGTTGGTCGTTGCAACAATGCAGTTACGGGAGGGCGCGAGACATGTGGCAACGATCGCACGGTCGGGATAGGGCGAGCCGCGAAGTGCGTCGCCGATGATAACAAAGTGCGTGCGCACACCCAGACGGGACCCCCGATGGAGTAGATCATGCGAAAGGAGCGAAGTGATGAGTGTATCAGGATCCTGGAACAGACAATGGTCGTTGAAGAAAGAACATACTTCACGCCCATGGTCGCAACTGACTCCGCTGTGACAAATACTCGCTCTGAGATGACTGCACTACTGCGATGCGGTAACGATTGGTTCGACTCAGCCTCAGGCCGGGCTTGGGAGGCGCAAGGTGAAGGTTGTGAACCCGTGGGCCAGGTCCACACGCTCGATCGGTGACTTGATGGTGTCCCGGCGGATATCCGGCACGGACGCTCCATTTCTTCACCATACGTATTCCACAACGCCCACGTTCGCGCACGGCGAAACGGCGCGAGATCTCAGCAACATGAGTAGAGGGCAGCTTCCAGGTGGAGTCTTGTCGTGGATGTTAACCTTGACGTTTGCTTCCGCCTTTTTTGGGGCCGCTTGCAGCACCCCACTGCGTCGCCAACTCCCCCATCTGTGTCTCTGACGCTCTCACCATGTGGCCAGGTCAGTCTATGAACTAACCAACGAATCGACGTTGTCTCAGGTAACCCGCGTCCTGGGTTGCAGATGACCATTACCGAGCATGGTACTACTGGGTGAGGTACTTAACGTTTCCGGGCCTCGTGTAGCTAATAACCTCTAGCTTAGTCAAAATTCATAACAGCCTTTCTTCCTCTCCATGTTCTCCATGGATTTCTAACATGCAGTGTCATTGGAAAGTCTTGGCCAAAGGTGTGGATTTATCAAGGATTTTTTTCCAGACGAGGCTACCCCAATATAAGCGTCCAAGGTTGTACAGTAACCGCACAAGCTTTAAGGCAGAGAGGTATCGGGTCCCAGCCAGCCAAAGAAACACATAGGTTGGGTAAGTTGTATCGCAGAGGTTAGCATTGCGCAACTTGTCGCGGACTTGCGTGCGCCATTTCAGACCTTCGGAACATATTCATGCAGATTGCGTCCCAACAAAAGGCTTCGGTACCGCCAGTTTTTAAGGTAAATTACCGCTAACGGTCTCACCATTTGCCCACCATACACTTGCACATGTCACAGATACCGTATCCGCATTTCGTTGTGGTGCCTCGTTATACTGGACTTCGTGGTGGAATCCCCGCATATTGACGTCAATCGTGTGCTACGGCGGTACATGTCGATTTTGTATGGTTGTATGTTGATTGCACAAGGTCGGTGCACCGTACACGGGTGTATTCCTTTCCATAGTCGACCATTTCATTTAAATCCGAACGTTTGAGAATGTCTTGCATTGAGGAGAACACTAGATGTCTGTGCAAGGTCAGGGGTGGTATTCCTAGTGTTACATGGTCATGCATCTATGGGTAAAAATTGTTTTCATCCCTTAGCACCTGTGGCTCCATCCCGCACGTGAGAACAATGAGTTGACTACAATCCAAAGTTTTATAGCTCGTTCTTCGGGGCGACCTTTTCGTTCCCGCCGGATATTGCTTTTCGAGCCGTCTTTCATAGGAACAACATACTTGCAGCAACGTCAACGCTGCCACCCGCAGCCTCTAGCAACCTAACCGCCTCCTCCCTCACTACCCCAAGATCCATAAGCGTTTGGATAGAGTTCTCGGGAAATCTCGAGGTCTCCGATTGGCCTGCCCTCGGATGGCTTCCTTGTGAGTCAGAAGCCGCTGGCATGGAACCCAGTCGCTGTCCGCCTCCTGGGAAGGAGTGTGATCCCGATCCCGATGAGTCCCGTAGGTGTCCGGGCACGGAAGGCCCATCTACCCCTGCACGACCCATCCCTGCTCCTGCCGCAGATGTAATTAGCAACAGGTGAAGGAGGAATCTCACCGGCCATTTCCATGGCGCGCGCTTTCTCGGGAAGTTCGTGTTCAGCTAGGAAGGCGACTTCACAGCCTTGGATACGTAGAACATTCTTCTCGAGGTCAATGCAAGCTTGATGAGCCTTAAGCATATCAAGGCCGAGGAGGAGGTCAACCTCGCGGCCCTGGAGAGTCGGAAATCGTCTGAGTTTACGCAAGCGAGACTGCATGACAGAAGAAACGCACCTCGATAATAGTAAATGAACAGTGCAGGAACACGTTGCCCACTTTAAGTTGCGCACTGTGCACTCTGCCGAGGATCTTGGCTGTACCTACACCACGCGCGATACCCGCAAATCGCTTGTCTAAAAGTCGCATGACACTGCCGTGACCTTCGTGTAAGTATCAGAATGAAGCAGCTAACTTTCTAAAGGACTTGCTTGCAAGCTTCGGCACACTCTGGGCTCACTGTATTATAGATAGTGAAATGGAGCGGCGGAAACGAAGGAAGGAAATGGCATACTGATGGTTTGTTGCGCACCGCTGTCTACAAATGCCTTGACGGGGCGGCCATTGACTTCGACGGGAACACTGTTATGGAAAAAGTCAGTACTCGTTACGCCGAAATAAGCCACACCAGAAAGAAACAGTGTTGTCGTGTAGGAGATTTGCTTACTACAACATGGTCACCCTTCCGAAGGATTCAGGGCTATACTCCAGCGCATGCTCCATATTTTCCATGATTGCTTGTTGTTGGATCGCTTCCTCAATGCGTCTCTGCGCTTCGACGTTGTACGGGTCGGAATGAAGCAATTCCATGGCCCGCTGACGCTCAGTTTCAACTGCAGCCAAACGTTCGGACAGTTGATGATAAAGTTGAGCGAATCTGGCAGGGTCATGTTTGGCAGCTTCGAATAACTCTGGTCGCGTCTAAAACAGGGGGAAACCATTTTTCACTCACGACGTCAAAGAGTGAAGCAATCAAATTCGTACCGCCTGCAGTCGTGCCATTAATTCCGGATTACCCAACAACTGTAGCCGTGCCGTTTCTGCATCTTGGATGCCAGTCTGTCTATGCATTTTTGCACAGACGCACGTTGACCAAACGTCACCATTATGGACGATGTAACATAAATGCCTGATACTGATGACTGCGTGTGAACCTACCTCCCTACCGATACACTTGACGGCCTCCTGATATACAACATCGAATCCTCCACGAGCCCCAATTGTGACATCGTTGCGTGGGGATTGCTAAGAAGTCTCCCCTCGAAGTAGATGGTTTGGTCAGAAACAGGGATATCCGACTGCCGGCAGTTGCATGAGATCGATTCAGCCAGCAAAGGGACGCCGGATGCACGCGCAATATTTTGGGTGATACTGTGTCAGTCCGTTTTTCAAGGGTCATGGGTAAAGGCGCGCGGCTCACCTCCGCCTCGAGGAGAACCATAACATCGTGAAGTTGCATGCTTGGGTCTATCTCGAGAAAGTATGCATCTCCATCTTGATTGACAAAAGTCAGCCGCATTTTGATTGCACTGAGGTGTTCGAGGTTGTGTGGTTCTTGGTAGCGACAACTGGCCAGTACTTGTCAAGCGACAACTACTGTCCCCTACTTGCTAGATAGATGATAGGTAGATGATGATGCCAGCAGGTCGGAGCACAAAGCTCAATAGCCACCAAGGAAGGAAGCACCTGGGGACATATTCTAGGTCGGCTAATTCCGGTACATGAATAGGGAGAATTCCTTTTTTGGTCGCAATGATAACCAAGATCTCGTCTACATACAAAGAGAAAAACATTTTCACTGGCGCGTACCTCTTCCACCTAATCTGCTCCTCGCAATGGTCGACCTAGGATGCGCATCCATGAGTAATTCCGTACAAAAAATCCGCGAGTACCTACATCTTTGACCCTCCTGTACGAAAATTAGACATAAGTGCACTCTCCAGTGCAGACGGCTGAAACGCTGGCATCTGTGTGTGCAAGAAATTGGATATATGTCCAAGGAAAGTATGGACACAACCTTACCACTCAGATCGCTGAAGCTACTCGCTGTACTCCCTTGTGTGCTTTCCCCTTCACTGACAACTGCTGCGCCATACAGAGGGCCTGTTCCTTGCCCAATGGTACGCAGATGTGCATGGCCTCTTGCGTTTTGCGCAGAGATGACTGGAGGAGAGCTTGATTTGGAGGACGGGATATGACGTGCCATCGGTGAAGTCGAAAGTGAGGGCGCTTGGGAATGTGGATGGAGATGTGTATGAGTATAACCATGTGTTTGAAAGTGCGCTTGGCCATGAGGAGTTTGAGAAGACGGAATTATCACGGGTCCAGGTGAGGGCGGGGACGTAGGTGATGGAATGGATGGTACTGATCCCTGTGGGGAGGAAACACTCGAAACACTCGCACTATGGTCCCTATTTCTAGGTGCAAAGCCCATTCCTTCTTGTCTAAAACCAAAGCCAATGTCCTCACTAAACCGTGGTTTGGCTGGGGAACCTGTTGCAATGACCCCAGACAAGCCAGCGGTAGTAGTGCTAATAATCGGCATTGGAAAAGGTGTTCGACCCCGTATGGCCTCTTTCTCCTTGCCTTTGTTCTGGGAAGGAGGATTTCGCACTAGTCCAACCATCTCAGTCGTCATCATTTTTTGCAGTTGTGCTAGCTTCTTATCCAACGCTTCCCTCTCCTCCGCGTTTCTTTCTTCTTCTTCCTCCTTCCTCCCCATTACCTCGGAAGTATCACTGGAGTCGCTAGGTTCCCCTTCGGAAAATGGAGATGGAGATCGGAGCGACGCAGTAGAACGCCTTAAAACAATTTCCTGGAGAGTAGCCGTAGGAGAAGAAATCCTGGCTTGCCCCTGCCGTTGCGCATGCGGAAATCGGGTCTTGGATGGGGACTTGTGCGTAAGCGAGTTCAATCGCAAACGAACACCAAGTGGGGTAGCGGACATCGCAGACCCTGTAAGCGTCCGCGCGCTGGCTGCGCCACCACTTATCTTTCTGGTGGGTATGCGGATAGAGAGTGACTGGCCCCGATCTACGGTTGGTGCCGTAGCCGCTGGCGCACCTAAATGAGGTAATGCGCCCGCTGACGACGAAGGGCGACGTGAAGAGGATGGCACTCCACTTGTAGGTTGCTGAGAGGTTGGATGCGAAAGAACTCCAGGGATGTCCTTGAGACCGCGAAGGTCCTCCTCGTAACGGGCCTGGGCACGATACAGGAGGTACGGCAGTGGTACTTCAAGGTGTGCTGCAAGGCCCTTCCCTGTCGTTATTCTCAACGCTTTAAACGTGAGGAGAGATGCGGGGACGGATGATACGTACAGTCGGTCCCGCCGTTATCACTCGTCCGAGAAAGCGCGATTACTTCCCAGAGAATGTTAGCCTTTTCGGCGTTCCATTCTATCTGTTCCATCAACGGTGCTAAACATCTTTCCGAGGCCAGACTGCGAAGTGACGTACATGGGGAGGGTCTTGTAGAGGGTTCTCTGGCCTGTCATAGGGGAGTTGGACGACAACGCGGATGCGCGGTGTGGTGGACATCGTACTGAGCAGTACTAGCGTGGATGGTCCTTGCAGTTACCTACCAGTGATGATGTTGTCGTGATCGACTCCAGCCGTTGGAATGGCGTTCAAGTAGGTCTGAGCACGACCAAACCCGCTAAGCTAATTACGATCGTTACGCAAGTCTCCTATTTCTTAGTCTACCAAAAACCCGACAGAAAGCAATCGTTCCCAAAGTCTCAGCTTCGATTTCTCAGTCCATCATGTCCAAGGCAAAATCTAGCACCGTACTAGAAGTGGAAGACGAGGAACAACGGCAGGATCGGATTCGTTCGTCGCTGCGTGCTATCTTGGTTGGCCCCACGGACCCTTGATCACCTGCTTCTCAGGTACTCTCCTCGAGAGGTTGAACGAAACGTCGAAGGCCAACGCAGCCAGGGATACCGCTTCTGGCCCCAGGATTCCTGGGATTTTGGACTGCAAAACCCATCCAATAGAGCCACCCACGGAACGTGTGTATCCTTGTCGCTCGGGGGAAAGTCTTATTGACCTATCGCCGACAGTCCTCTCTCGCGTCCAGGCCTTTCTCCCGGCCCTTCGTGAGTCTAACGAGGCTCTCGCTCAACAAAACCCAGAGGACCTGGACATCGAAAACATAGGAAAGGACGAAGAACAATATATCGAGATGGTCGGTAATTTGCTCGCACCTTTACCCGGATACTCATATTGTTATAAAAGAATCTAGGTCTAGGGGTGTTCGAAGCGAAACGTAGAAGGAGGAACGTGTCCAATGATGACTCGGGTGAGGATGACAGCGACTCAGAATCGTTTTCGCACTCATCATCTGAATCAAACACATCCGAGGCATCCTCTGAGTCTTCAGATAGATCGCGCCCGCCTTCCTCTCCTTAATCATCTTGAGGCATGTCGCCTCTGTACCTACAAAATCACTTCCCACTACATAAGTTCCTCTACACTCCCATCCCCCACCTGTACATACGATGATCAAGGCCACCTGTTTGCTGGAGGTTATCACATCATTTTTTGGGAGAAAGTGGCCTTGGTATAATTACATTCGCACTAGGGGCACAAGGGTAATAGTAAGAGTTGTAAATGTCCATGCTACACGCCTACAGGTCATTATATCACGGACAACAGAAAAGATTATTTGCTATCTTCCTATATACATACCATTTTCCTCTGATAGGTTGGCCATAAACAATGACCAAAATTCGTTGTCGAAGAAAATTTCAGAGTTGAAGTAATTTGGGTCATTGATCGAGAACGACTGCGGTGGGGGCGGGAGGTTCACCGCGTGATCATGAGGAACCGCAGAATGCGGCGTCGTTGCGTTACCTTCGTCAGCGTATCCACGGCTGGTGGAGATATTCGAATATCCAGCACTCCCGTTCACCTCTGCATAACCCTGAGCCGGCGCATTGGGATGCTGTTGCCACGTCGTCCGAGAGGCTTCCCGGGGGAAGCGGCTGGCAAGTTTCTCCCGAACGGATAATAGTCCTTCCTCGATGGTGCGGGAGCACTTGGCTGCACTGTGGTCTGCCGAACAGGATATTCGAGACAATAGCTCTATCGTCCGGGAGAGGAGCAGGTCGGACGACCCAGGAAGCTGTTCACCGCCCCTCTCTGCCGCTGACCACTTGCAAAGAATGATATACAACGTCGCAAGCATTACCATTGCGAAGAAGTGGTCCGGTGCAGCACTCAGAAGTCGGTCTTCGCGCCGCGAAAGTATGGTTATCAGAGCACTATCTGCAATCGCCATTGCCTGGGACCCCCAGCTCACAACGAGCTTAACTCCGTTATGTTCCACGCTTTCGAACCAAGGCTCTTCCAGCTTGTCGTGTTCATATACCCGCTTTAACTCCATCACCACGTGCAGGATGACCATCAGCCGGTGCGTCTGGTAATAAAATTGCAGCATGCTGAAATAGAAGACTTCGTGTCCTGCTAGAACTATGCGTCAGCGTTAATAATGTATGGGCAAATCGCCGGATGAGCAAGGGTCACCACGTACCAGTAAATGGGGCAATCAAATGTTCGAGGTTGTCCATACGCGCAAGGAAATCAATCACATCCCTGTAAAACACACCGAGGTCGTTTTTAGACTGAAGTCGTAACGAAAGGCCGTGGGCAGTGAGGGCAAGTAGGCGAGAGGTAAGCATTAGTCGCATGTCTCGGGCCAATGGCACAGTGGCCACCGAGGTCGTTGCAATGGCATCATGCACCAATTTGCTGCAATCTGATATCGGGTCACGACCTGTACCATGACACAGCCTTCAAGGACGAGGACATTAGAAGCGCAACCGAGTAACGACGAAGGAGTCATACATGGTCTCAACATTGTTGAGGGAGAACCACTGCATGAAGAAGTCATTTCTCAGATGACTGTTAGGGATGTCAAAATAAACGCACAAGTCGCGCTTTATCAAGTGCTTCTACGAGTTCCGAACTTGGAGGTTCATTGGGCTTCTTTTGCTTGCCAAGGGTCAACGCATAGGTCATAGCTTCGCTCAAGCGGAGGTTCATGGCCATGCTGACAGCTGCCGTGGCGAGCAAGCGACCATCGCGCGTCTCTCTGGATGCTGAGTCACCGACAGGCACCCAAAGAGAATGGATATTGGTGGCAAGGATTGCGTCAGTAGATGGCAAGGGACTGAAGACTTGTTTGAACATTGCCTCGTCTGCTAGCCGATACAGTTGTGGGGTGACGATTGATCGGATTGGTGGGTCAAGATGGCGGGATGCGACACAGCACTGGGCAAGTTGAACAAAAGGGCTGTCGCTGTGATGATTTGGTTGTAGGTTAAGCCAGGGATTATAACATTCTTCGAAACTAGCAGTAGATAACCGAACGTTAATAAGAGCCCAAGCAAGAGGGACTTGGCGTACATGTCTGTGAGATATTGCATTCGCTCCCTACCGAGGATATGGAATAGCGATTGTTGGATTTTGCTCTTGAGAACATCCTCCCCGTTGATGCCTGAACGAATGAGAGCTTGCATCGCGAGCATTGGTACGGTAGTGCCGTCGAAGCCACCAGGGAGTTTCAATAACCCCCACGGACGTTGTTGCTCAGGCAAGAGACGTTTTGGGTCTGAAAGGTCGACCTCGACCTTATCTGGGGGTTGGTCCCTGAATGAGGACGGGGAGTCGGGAGCGGGACTCTCCCATGCCTTCAGGACGCCTTTTGGCGGGTCGAAGGAGCTGTCCAGAACCACCTCCGACACTTTGCTTGAAGAGGCTGGTAGGGATGCACGTCGGTCGACCTTCGGTACGTCAGCGGCATGTGCCTGGACACGCGTGCTGGAGGCGCCAGAGGGACATTTGGTATCCTCGAATGAGCAGGTCAAGTTTAGTACATTGCAGCGATGACACTGCACTCCGGACTCTCCATCCAGCACCTCGCATCGAGTCTTGTGTTTTCTACATGAAAAACAAGCTTGGGCAGCTTTCGCTCGTTTAGCCGGAGGCGGTCGGGGGCTATGGGCACGTTTCGAGCCGAGTATAGGTTCGGGAGTGCCCTGCATAGTAGGTAATACAGCGAGCTTGAATGGGTGCAGCGGACTAATAGGTCGGCTCAACGAGCCTGGCCAATTTAGTATTGGGCGCTGCCGAGTCAGACGATTACCCTCGGCGAGAGGGCCGCACTGCCACAGTTGTCAACTCGGATGTGCAACGAGTTCTTGTCACCGCACGGGCGCCGCAATGTAGGGTATGGTACATACACTCGTGGAAGTTTTCGGAAGAGAAAGGTTGCTGTCAAAAAGATTAGCACGACACTTCGACGTCGAGGCTAGGGTTGCGCAGCCGATGGCCGCATGCCTCAGGGGGTCCTGATTTGGGATGGATGCTCACCACAGGTTTTTCCTGTGGATGTGAGTCAAGCACTGTCAAGGGGGACCAGTCCCTATAATGGTAATTTCTGACTGGGTTGTATGTTCAATGTATGTTAGTTTGCCAGTTATCAGGTGTTCATGCTGTCTGCCAGGCACGAACTAAGCTTTTGATTCTGTAAACTTCCGCCTCATTCCTGATGGACGCCCCGAACGACCCAGGGACGGAAATACAAGAAGTGATTGGGAAGCTTATGGCAGATCCTAGCACCGAACAGGTGGCTTCAGAGATGATGGGTGCGCCTCGAGCCCTTTCTTTGCCCGTGTCAGCCTTGTCCGAGCCTCCCCGGCACATCTTGTTCAGTGCTACAGTCCATCTATGGTGATGATGCCATCCAGCCATGGAAGTCTCCCGCCAATGGAAAACCCGTCAACGGAGACTCGGCGACCATTCGCTATGTGCTCTCTCTCAAGTATGTTCACCCATCACCGTCTCCGCCAGTAGATTATTCAGAGTTCTATCTAGTCTTCTAGCTCACGAGGATATATCCATCCGAGTCCTCGTTTCCATCCCTTGTTCATACCCTGCATCTAGTCCCCCTCAGCTCCAGCTCCTCTCTCGTTATATTGGCGCATTCGGAGTAGATTCTTCGCTGTTTGGGTCAGTTTTACGAACGTTTATGTCTACCTCTGCAGTGCAGTGGTCCCCGGGCACCGTCTGTGTATTCGACGGACTACAAAATGTACTAGAACGATGTGAGAATTGGTACCAAGAGCGCTTGCACAAAGACAAGGCCGATGAAGTGGTCCGCGCAGATGTTCTTCCAATGGATCCTCCCCTTGATGAGTCGGAGGAGGGGCCCGTCCCAGTCGAGGCCCCGGGAAATACTGTCCTACCAGAAGGGATCCAAATAATAGCAGCCGAACCGATCGTAGACAGAAAAAGTGTCTTTGTGGGACGAGCATGTCGGATATCTCATCCGTCACAGGTCAGGCTCTTGTCTCCTAGCGAGGGCGTGCCGTTATACCAAGGTATGGTCTTGACAGGTACCACCGATACTTGATCACCTCATGTCTGATCGGCAAATCGCTCGTGCTGCCCATCCTATTATCCATGCATGGAGGTGCAAAGTGGGCAACATTCTTCATCAAGGTGAGTATGGCCGTCGCTCTTAGATTACCGGGTTTATCTGACGGCACCCCGTCGAAGACAACGACGACGATGGCGAGAACGCCGCAGGAAATCGCCTGGCGCACTTATTGTCTATTCTCGTATGTTTCCTGTTCCGTCCACACCTTGGTACTCTAACTCGGTGCAGGAAATTGATGGCGTGTTGGTCGTCGTAACAAGATGGTTTGGAGGCGTACATCTCGGACCTGATCGTTTCAAACATATCAACCATGCTGCGCGGAATGCACTAGAGGCAGCTGGATTCCTTGACCAAAGCGAGGACTCTGGGAAAGGCGGCAAAGCATTGCAGAAAGGTCGCAAACGGTGACCTTGCAAGACCTTTCTAGATGTGTGTACATACATACCGTAGAACACATAATATCAATTCATGAGCAATGGAAGCTTTTGAGCGTGATGAGGTCATACGCTGGCAATCGCTCAGACGCACACTTCCCACCGGTTGCATTCTCGCCTGGTCATGATGCTCCTCCGGTGCCCGCCACTAGCAACCTCGCTATCTTTAAGGGCGTTGGCATCCTCACCGGTTGCACACCGTTCTAGCCGTTCCCCTTCGATCTTGCTGTACAGAATGGCCAGTACCAGTGTGGTAAGTCGCACGGTAAAGTGAGGTAGTCCAGCATACAAACCACGCCGTGTTATCCCTCAGTGGGGACTCAAAGACGCTGGTTTGATCAAAACTCAAGGATATATCGATGGCAAGTGGGTAGATGCTCGGAGCGGCGAGACGGTACTGGTCACGAGTGCGTATTGCAATATCGTGCTGCTCCAGGTTTTATCCAGGCATCTTATGTTACGCAGACCCGGCCACAGAAGAAGAACTCGGTACTGTTCCAGAGATGGGACTTGAAGAGACCCAGGCAGCTATTGCTGCAGCGGACCGAGCCTTCAAATCCTGGGGGAAGACAACCGCAAAGGTTAGATCGACAGATTATCTCCTTCCGTGCACGTCTGAAAATTCCATCATGTAGTATCGCCATGACATCCTGAAGCACCTGTATGCACTCATGCAAGAACATCATGATGACCTTGGCAAAATCATCGTGAGTGCCGGACACCTCCTAAGTATTACCCATCACTCATCATGCAAACTCAAGACTCTCGAAAATGGGAAGACTTTGGCTGAGGGAAAGGTGGCTAATTCGCATCTCGTTGGGTCGGCTGTTTGCTCAAATAGATCCAGGGAGAGAACACGTACAGTGCTTCATTCGTTGAGGTGAGCATGCGCATTATCCCTGTTCTCTGCTCGTCTCATTCGAATTTAATGTTCATTGCAGTGGTACGGTACGTTGATCCTGCGAGTCGTCGTTTCCACGTACCTTATAAGCTCTTGTAGCGGAGGAAGCCGTTCGCACTTACGGAGGTATGATGAGCTGTGAGTCACCAACGCGGGCCGTCATTGACTTGTACAATAGAGCATATTCCTTCACCATTTCCGAACATACGCAATCTTGTGATCAAGCAGCCCGTTGGTTAGTTGATTCTCACTTCGTTGTCAGGGGACAAAACTAATTTGTGACATCTCAGGTGTCGTGTGGGTGTTCATGTACACTACGTGACAGAACTTTACGTTCTAAAGCTGTGGCAGTTCCATTTTGACTCCTTGGAATTTTCCGTCTGCAATGATAACCCGGAAACTTGGTGCAGCACTAGCTGCGGGGTGCACCACTATCATCAAGCCGTCACCGGAGACTCCCTTTTCCGCGCTTGCGATAGCAGAGGTCCATTCATTTTTCTCAAGTGTGCCTCCACAAAGAGACTAATGTCAACTAGTTGGCTCGACGAGCCGGCGTACCCGATGGTGTCATCAACGTCGTGACAACGCAGAGGAATGTGGACGCAGTCGGTCGCGAGCTGTGCCAGAATAAAATCGTGAAGAAAATGTCCTTCACCGGGTCTACCCCGGTTGCGAAATTGCTTTACGGATTGGCGTCCTCCACCCTGAAGAAGTGCGTTCGCCTGCTGTCAATCAAAAGGTTTACATCTGACTTTCTGCGTGACAGGGTATCTATAGAAGCTGGAGGGAATGCTCCATTTATTGTTTTCGACGATGCGGATGTAGAGAAAGCTGTTGAAGGTCACCGTCTCCACTATCTGGCTGCTAATTGAGACCTGACGCGATTGAAGGTGTCATCGCATGCAAGTTTCGCAGTTCTGGCCAGACATGTGTTTGTGCCAACCGAATATATGTCCAGTCATCCGTCTACGCCGACTTCGCCTCTAAGCTCTCCGAGAAGGTTGCTGCTTTCCGAGTTGGAAATGGCCTGGACGAGGCAACGTACGTCATTTTATAACGCACGCACGCACAAAAAGTAGAAAGGAGACCCATTTTGCAACAGGACTCATGGTCCACTTATCCACGAAAAGGCAATTGACAAGGTCAAGAGGCATATTGACGATGCTGTCTCACGCGGCGCCCAGGTTCTTGTTGGCGGGCAGCGAGTTCCCGGTGTTGGTTCATTCTTTTCTCCAACAGTCCTCTCGGACGTTCCCCTGGATGCTGCCATAAATACTGAGGAAACCTTCGGACCTGTTGCTGCGTTAATCAAGTTCAAAACGGAGGAAGAAGTGATCACGTTGGCAAATGATACGGACGTCGGGCTTGCAGGATACTTCTTCAGCAGAGACGTTGGAAGGGTATGGCGGGTGGCTGAGGCGCTTGAGGTTGGCATGGTTGGTGCGAATACTGGACTAATCAGCCATGCGACCATTCCGTTTGGAGGCGTGAAAGAAAGTGGTCTTGGTGAGTCTGCCCCGTCGTCAGTTGTTCGCAGCCATGCCAGTTGTTAACCATCATCAATTCAGGTCGAGAAGGTGGCCACGGTATCGAAGAGTATTTGAATCAAAAACTCATCGCATTCGGAAGTATATAAATATGGCTGGAGCTACCGCTTTCTTTCGAACGGCACAAATAAAACAAAGGACTTCGCGAGGCAAGTATTACTGATCCATGCGTTTGGTGGCGTTCGGTAAGATGTCTGATACCGATGTATATTTTATATATGTAGTTAACTTGTAGTTCTTGTCTCTAGTACAAGCATGCAAGGGAGTACAAAAGTAAATCCAGGAGAGACGGCTGAAACGATGGTATTTCCGATGATCCCTCGCGTTATTTTTCTTTCGACGGTAAGCTGATGCAGCGGAGGGCCGAACAATAGCATTTTTGGTGAGGCTGAGTCAGAGGGTGTAAAGGAGTGCTGAAATCGAGTCTAAGCTCCACGATGAAACGGAGATTAAGGGGTCTACTGACAGAAGGTTGGCCACCGTCTTGGCCTTCGCTTCTCACCATCCGGCTCATGAACTAATTACAGTGAGTCATCTTTCTAGAAGAAGTACTGACGTTATCGCATGGGGCTATACAGGAGTATGCATTGGTAAGTGGTGAGGGTTTGAATGAACTTGGGACCAATTGGACTTTACTCAGCACAAGCAACGCGTACATTATCCGGCAAACAGACACTGCCTCACGAAAAAGACAGTAGAGGGCAGTGTGACTCAGTCATGCAGTAGCCATAATCGACCCTGACACAGTCTGCATCCAGCTGCATTGATTAGTGATGCATGTGGGTAACACACATGGTTCTTACTGACGGACCGTGGCACTGGTCTGAACCGATCATAACAGTTTCCGCGACAATCGTCAAAGATACCCCTGAAAGTCGAGTAGCTGATAGCGAAAGTACACGCACCCTTGCTCACAACGGAGGTTCACAACGGTACCTCTGCCCAAGCTAAGCTAGTACGTTGCGACCGTTTTTGAAAACCACCTGACTCTGGCAAGCGTTTCCGTCAAATTACTGAGCCAGGTTCACAGGTAGTAGCCTGTGAAAGGGAGGCGGCTGTTTTGTGAAGGTAACTTGTAAGTAAAAGCAGTGGGCCATACGCATGCGACGTCGATTTCCTTGGGACGCGGACCGTTTTGAGGAATCGTTCCATTGAGTTTACAAGTGAAAGACATCGCTTGATTAAAGATGAAGGACAATTTCATTCACGGAGACGATAACAGGTGCGGAATGGCACAGGATTGACTGACCAAAGAGTCCTTGAAGAAAGGTCCCGCTGAGACATTGTCATTTGTATCCTCAAACGAAATTTGCCTGGGAATCGACTGTGACAGGGCCCACCATTGCAACTGTGCGCCGCGTATGAATGTGTCCCTGGCATCAGGTTCCAAAGTATTTTAGTCGCTTTGTCGATCATGAAGGATCCTGTGGAGCAAAAACACCCGGAAGGCATGTCTGAATGGCACAGGGTGGACTGATCAACATTCCTGAAAAAGCCTCTCTATCTGCACAGGGACACATCATTGCAACCGTGCACATACCGCGTGCACATACCGCGTGCACAGTCCAGGGCAATAACTTCGGAGCTTCAGCATCGGAAGTATTTTTAGTTAGTTTTCAATCAGAGTCATCAGCTCGATTTCAAACTGTGGGAAGTGGGATGCGCTAAGAACTGCGAAGTCCCGGTACCGTACATTTAAGTCTATCGTCGTCCACACACCAGTTTGACCACTCAGGTGCTTCAGGCTCTTACACGACATAAGCGCGTCAAAAAAATTGGTGGGTGTAGTGATTAGAGTATTCGAAGCAAAGGTGGTCCCGTCATGACCCCCTGTGCTTTGAACCCCAAAGCTGCACACAAAACTGCAGTAGAGACTAGTCCCCCTACCATCAAGATTGCGTTTCAGTCACGTGATACCGGATTCCTGCCATTTCGTATCACGTGACGGTAGATGGCCAAATAAAGTCAAACGTCAACCCCTCGTCGATGAGTGGACATCGCGCTGTTGTGATTGCTTGCGCTATTAGGTATATTCTTTCCCTCTCTCATGCATCCCAGAGACCCGCTTTCTTCCGTTTGTTTATTACTGTACATTCACTGCCTTTCGCCTACCTACGTCGAAGTATTACACACGTAGTTTAGATGACCAAATATAGTCAAACTCGTTCTTTGACGACACCCTATTAGCCATCATCAAGTTCGTCCACATTCATGGCGACTACTCGCCGACTTAATGAAAGCGACGATACAGGATGTCCTTGATGACGTGCGCCCATCGCTTACCTCTGGCGGGATTCCGCACTCAACGGTCTACATGTAGATCACATCCGTAAACACTCCGTCATCGCGACGAACACGTGGTCTGGCCGTCCTAGAACAACAACTCGCGTTAGCATGTGCACCCAACATAGAGGATGATACAATGAACGTGTTTCTAGAGCTCCAGGATACCTTTGAATGCAACGGTCGGCGTCACATTTTCCTCACCACCTCCACATCTAAATGTTCGAATTCCAGTTTCATCACGGGCGTTGTACTGGATACAAATTGTGATGCCCCAGATCGAGTCCTTGGGCTCAGGAAAAGGTCTGGCCAGTAGTGAGCTTGAACCTCGCCCGAGAGGATGTCATACCACAGCTAACGAGGGCGGCAGAGGATCGTGAAGCAGAGCTCCATACCATTTGTGCTCAGTTACATCAACTACTCTCGATCGTCCAAGGTGTCGTACTCCATCATGAGCCCAGCAAGGCTTTCCTTGGGCGACGATACTCTCTTGAGGTTTGTTCTTACGTGTAAGTGGATACCGCTGTGCTCAAGACCCAAAGATCCTCACAGCATTACTGACTACTTCACGGCATACACCAATGATCAATCACGAAGTTGGCGCAGAGAACCTCGTCAAATCCTTATCGCCCGATAAATCCTTATCCATCGCTCACCTCTCTTCTGCTGTTCTAGACAGTCTCCTCTGTATCCTTGTTGACTCTTCACCTGCCCTCCGCATGTTCGAAGAAGTCAATGGTGTGCAAGCTGTTGTTAAGATCTTGAAAAGAGCTGGAACGCCGCGTGAAGTTAGGTTAGTTGCCCCTTGCATTTTTATCACCGATTCCAAACTAGTTCTCAGGATGAAATGTTTGGAATTCCTTTACTTCTATCTGATGGACGAGACTGGGTCCCTTGGCTCTCTTTCTACGGGATCAGCTTCTCAATCAACACCGTCTTCAGTCCCCATCTACGCAACCGAACACCCCCGGACCTACACGCCCGAGACCAAAAATCTTTCCTCGCCAACCTTCGGGTCTTTCCAACTTATCATTCTCCTCCGTTTCATCTTCCACGTCTTCGTCACCATCCAGGTTAATTACGTCATCTTCGTCTTTCACATCTATGTCTTCTCTTGCCAACCACAGGAGCAACGACAGTATCCAAGTCCCCTCTCCCATTAAAAAATCTTACTCGACATCGGCAGTTCCAAATGATCCACACACACCTCCCAACTCCCCACCGCCTGTTACGAAAATCCCCGAAGGGACGCACCGAGGCGTGAAGTCCTGCTCGATGCTCATGTTGCAGAAGGACGTCGAGTATGAGCCCCAAAGCCCGAAAAAGGTACAAGTATCACGCCTTGGCGTTGCCCACGGGCGCTCAGCGCCGCGCCTCCGTGATCGGACTACTGGGAGCTCCGATCATAGCGGTGAGATATCATCTTCGTTCCATCACGAGGAATCAGCCAGCAACTCAGAAGCGCATAACAAGGAAATTGGTGGCCATAAAGGGGTACGGACGACCGACGAGAAGAAAGAGATACTGGGTACTATGCTAGGAAACGTTGATGCTCTTGTCGAAGGTGTCCGCAAGGCTGGAATATGGGGCCTGAGTTAGTAATCTTGGTTGGCACGGTTTTGTATCCCGTAGTGCTAGTTTCCCAGCCGGTACCGTGTGTTGTCATGGTTGCTGGATGAGACCCACTCGGAGCTTCGTACTCGTGAAAAGGTGCACCGCATCAAGAGGGTGGTGGGCCGGCGCCAGCGGACTGAGGTGATCGGAAACCACACGCATAACATGAGTTTCAGAGTAATTTTCCGCTTCATTAGGTACCTTGCACTGGTAAGGTAGTAGTTCGCCCCAAACCCGCTCAGCCAGGCCGCCACGAGCAAGGTCACGCACTAAAAAGGTCCGACTCGGAAGGCTCTTGAGAAATCGGCAAGGCACTTGCGCATCATGAACGGCTTATAAATTCCGGGCCGTTGAATTTGAGATAGGTTGACGTCCAGCGAGATAAGCATCGATCTTCTTGAGGTTAGGGCGTTGTGCACGCTGGAATGTGCACGTCCCTGCGCAACGCAAAGGGCCTGCTGAATAGTGATCCATTGGTCATCGTAAGTCTCGATTGCTCCGCAATGCGAATGGCCGTTTTTTTTTACAGTTCCAGCTCTAATTGACGAGTGCACTTCTTTCTCTTCTTATCAGATAAGTGATGGTTTCAATCTGACAGGGGCACTACAAAGAAGCCACGAGGACACTGCGTGTATGGTTAGCGAGAAAACAAAGGGGTCACTGACCAGAACAATGGCGCGACCTATGGTCTCACTTACTCAGAACACAATTCGAACAATTGCTACAGCTAACCGCTGGTATAGAAAATCCTGCACTGGGCAAGCAGTCACGGTTATCTGATCCGACGGCTGTCCATTGCAATGAATCTTCGAAGATTTGATACATATATATCGTAAAAATATTGTGCCATGTTTGGTACGACGTCACAAATAGGCTTAGTCAGACGGGTACGACGCACACAGCCGGTCTGTCTAAGTGGCTTAGTGGTTAGTCATATTTATGTAGCCGTCCCAACAACTTGCTTGTCGTCCGCTCTCCATCATTTGTCCACCCAGTCATAAGCAAGACCTGACGGACCACCCGGGGATGTTTCGAGTGTCGAATGCTCGCAAATTCTTGACTAGGTTCGTTCGCATTACATGTTTGAACTGGAGTGGAGCCATGCCCCTCTTGGAACTTCCACGGGGTCCGTTGAATATCGTCTCTGCTACCATTTGTTGCTTGTTCTAAACTCGCCGGAATTCATGTGTCTAAAATCTACATCTGTCGCCGCAGGTCATCTCTAGTTGTTGCCACATTTCTAGGTGCCAATTTTAACTTCCTGCTCGCAATCCACATCTTCAGAGCATGGCGGTCACTGTCTTGGGAGCCAGCAAGTGAATGGGAGGGTCCAGGATTCTCCTTGGACCGAAATGGAGCACGCCTTATTTGCGGCCTTTTCTCTGCCTACTTCGCTGCGGCATCAGCAATTTGCGTGTTTGGCATCGCAGGCATCATCAAAGTATGCTTTTTGCCCTTTCGCAAGCGCGAGATTGCCAACGTAACTGACGATCTAGAACATTCCTCGTTTTCTTCGCATCTACCGCAATTACATGATAGGCGACTTCGCGTTCTTCACGCTCTTTGCTTCCTTGGCATCTTCGGCTGTCATTGACCCCTCGTCTCGTTCAAATGTGTGTGATAATATATCTCGGCAGCAAGACTTCCTCCGTGATGCAGTAGACCTTGGCCTGAACGCCGAGAATTGCGAACAGTGGTTCGAGCGTGGTGTGATAGTTTTTATGGCTGTTCTTTTGTTTGTGATCGTAGTCAGGGTACGGTGTCTTTCTGTTGCGCCGAAGCGTATTTATAACTGATTAAACGTTTTCTATCATAGCTTCACTTCATCTTCGCAATATCGCGGTACTACACTCATCTTGTCCGAAGCCAGGGATTCGGGTTGATGTATGAAGATGCCGTATCTACGGATCCTGAGCGGCATCACGACGACTTTGCTATGCATCGCGTCTATCTCTTACCTACCCAAACCAGTGCAAGCAAGCAGCTGGACATTATGGATGCACCGTTGTACGCGCCAGTCCCACTTTCTCAGTTGTCATCACAGGTGGCACAGGAACTCCGCGCTAACGCCGAGGAAGTTTGGGTCAGTCGTGGGCGGTCATCTTGGGATGGTGTTCGTGCGGCACATTTACTACAGGTTGGGCAACAGGAAGCCGCTTCTAGCGGGCCCATCTACCTGACAGAAGAAAAGTGCTAGGCGTGCACCCCACTTAGCCGTATCTTTACTGATTGGAGGGATAAGCAATTGCATCCGGATCTATGCCATTGTTTCACTTTCTTCTGCTCGCACAATTATTGTCCAAGATGTTTTATTACATTGCTACGCTTCTTGTGTTATTAGTTACTGCAAGTTAATGTATGGCACGACAGATTCTTTGACCTTTTGGGATCCCAGACAACAGAATATCAGTCACGTGGTATCGAGTAGCCTGTTGGTGGATATACTCCACACCACGTAGATGGCCCTGGTGTTACAGTAAATGACCATCACTTTTTGGACCAAAGATGCGATCACCGTTTGTGAGAAAATCGAGATCCGGCGTCCTGCGATGGGTAGTGGTATTCCTAACTGTTAGTACTCGAGTTGACCGGAAACGCTGTTACATAACCATAGTAAGCGTGTTTCCCTAGTAGGGCTGAAGTAGCTCACAACAATAATTGCCATTCAGACGAGCGCATCGGACATCCACCGCCCTCAGGCATGGCCAAAGTCCAGGCGCGATCCCCGCCTCCAATATCCGATACCGATTGCGGTCGACAAAAACGTCTGAAGACTAGCCATTCTTCGTCGACACCAAGCGCGGACAACTCCTCGCGCTTTTACGCAGGACTGCTAGAGGAGAACAGCGTCGAGTTCCTACGAACAAAATATACCAATGGCGAACCATTCAAATTCGCCGTAATCGAAAAACTTCTCCAGGACAACCTGTTACGAGGCGTCAAAGAAGAATGTCTGAACGAGCTATCTTTTTCGGAGAAGGAAACAGACATATATAAGGTACAGTTGCAGAGATTGAAGTCGTTGGACCTGCGAGACTTACAGAAACACGAGTTAGGTCAACCAAACAGGCGATCTTGCATCGCTTTCCTATCTCTCAGAGGCTCAACTCGAGTTATTCCCTAATCTTCTCTCTTTGCGCGATGCGCTTTACTCGCAAGAGTTCCGCGAGTTCATTCAAGCTGTCACTGGCTGTGGCCCCCTTTCAGGATCAAAGCAGGACATGTCTGTCAATTCATACACGAAGGGTTGTCATCTCCTCAACCATGACGACGTCATTGGCACGCGACGAGTATCCTACATCCTTTACATGCCTATCCCTTATGGTCAGGAGTGGAAGAAGGAATATGGCGGTGCACTTGAACTTTATCCCGTCCGTTTGGACGACGACGGCATTCCGGAGCCTGAAACAATACCCTCGAAAGCTGTCCCTCCCAGCTGGAATCAATTTGTCTTTTTCGAAGTGCAACCTGGGAAAAGTTTTCACTCCGTGGAGGAGGTTGTCATTGGCGATGGAGGCTACGCAAGGCTGAGTATCAGCGGTTGGTTCCATGCAGCCCAGGAGGGCGAAGAGGGATACGTCGCTGGGTCTGCACCTCCTGAACATAAAAGCTCACGCGAGCAACTTGTATGTCTATCTGCTTCGTGCATCGGATGGCTAGGCTCAATACAACGATGGCTAGACCTCATGCTCAACTATCTTTACACAATACCCTGAGACATCGGAGACACCACACCCTGATTCATCGTTGTCTCCGGAACACACTGCCTTTCTTCTAAAGTTTCTCAACCCAGTATACCTTCAACTGAGGACGATGAAAGCACTTATGGCACGATTTGTTGCCGAGTCAAGTTTAGAGCTTCACTACTTTCTTTCCGATACTCTCATCAGTGAGCTCGAACCCCAGTTACTTGAGGCAGACGCAGCCGATGGTCTAGGTGGTGTCACTCGGAATGGTCGTATTCCACCTCACAGCGCTGGTACATCAGGGTCGTGGAATATTCGAGGTCCTCCACACAAATGGCGGTACTGCATTCTCAGAAACACTCAAGAGTCAGATTCATCTGAAACAACTCTTGTGCCCGCTGAGAAGATACTTCGCAAACTGCAGGACGAGCTTCTCCCCAGTACGGCGTTCAGGGCATGGCTCAGCGCGTTAACAAGGCTAATCATATTGAGCTATTCGGTGGAGGCTCGAAGGTTCAGACCCGGTCTGGACTACACACTTGCAACAAGCGAAGCAACTGATGCGCGACTTGACGTCGTGTTGGGTTTAACCCCGCATGTCAAGAACGAGCAAAGTAGGAAAGGCAAGGGTAAAGCTAAACCAGAGGATGAAGAACCGTTTGGCTGGCAAACTGGCGAATGGGGTGGGTGGGAGGTAATGTTACCCAGTCATAGATCCAGAGTCACTAGTTGACTTCGTTTGCAGTGCTACATGGCACCTCACGGCGAGGAGGATGATCCTGCCGTTTACCGCTCAGGTTCAAGCAAGAAGGCGGAATCAAAAAATGCACCCAAGTCAATGGTTGCACAGAAGCAGCAGGATGAAGACATGGATGACGAAGAACAAGACGATGCCGACGTAGAGGAAAGTGGTGAAGATGGTACATTGTTGACCATCCAGCCGAACTTCAATTGTTTGTTGCTTGTACTTCGTGACGAAGGCGTTCTGCGTTTCGTCAAGTATGTTTCAGCTGCTGCCGCGGGTTCTAGGTGGGATGTCTGTGGTGAGTTTGAGATCGGTATGGTAGAGGGTGACGAGGATGAGGAACAGGAGGATTGAGGTGTACTCAAAAAGTAACATACATCTACTCTGGCCTGTTAGTTTTGCCCGCGCTTGCGACCATGAAACAATTCAGAACATGATTTTCTGGCCTTGGCTAGGTACGATTGCGGCGGACTGTCGAGGGGCCTGAGCAAGGGCAGCACCAGGTTTCGCACGTCTTCTATGTGCACGGTCCTCGCTTCCCCGCTTTCGAGGTTCATGAGAGATAGTTGCCAACTCCGTTATGTCTTCCGCAGTGGAAGCAGTGGTATCATCTCGATGTCCGAGTTTCAACGGGCGTTTATGGCGTTTCGTTGGCGAATTCTCTGTCTTTTGCTCGTCTTTACTATGGTTCTTATCCTTCTTACCCTGTTGTTCTGGTTTGGCTATTCTTGGACCGCCTCCACCTCGCCGCACAGCATCAGGGGATGCATATTCCACTACCAGATCTCGCCCCTTCAATCGGTGGTTCCGAGGATTGATGAGAGCATTGGTAGCCCGTTCGATACTTGTGAAGTCAACAAAAGCAAACCTTGCGGGAAAAAACTGAGTGATGTCAAAGGATAACCCGTTATGCGGACACACCCTTTGCATTTGCCACTGTCTTCGAAAGTTCCCATTCGTATCTTCCGTATACCCGTCTCATTCCCTTCGCACTCTGCACCGTTGGCGTCCTTGTCCTCGACCTTTTCCTTTGGATTTACGTGCCCAAAATTTCGATGTGACTCAAAGAGCTCCCGTATAGTGTCTTCCATTACCTCAAATCCCAGATTTCCGAGGAACAAGGTTGATGCAGGAGGTTGTTTCTGCATATGCAGAATTTTCTGAGTGGTCTTCGAGTGACCCGTCTGGGCGGACTTGGTACTACCATGAGCCTCGTTACCGTTGCCTTCAGAATTTTTAGCAGGGCGCCCAGTAAAGTCGCTCCCTGATCAACCATGAGTCTCTTAAGACAAGCTGCCACATTTACAGTTGAAGGAGGGGGGCCGTACCATCCTTAATGAGAAGGTTCCGGCCGTCCAATCGACCCTCTGAAAGCGTGATAGCAGTAATCTTCGCGTCGGATGTTGCAAAGTCCACATACGCGAACCTATCAGGACATTTTTTGTTTCGGGGTGAGGATGGATGTTCCAAGTCAACATTACTCACCCCAAGTTTTCTCCAGTCACGGGCCTCTTGGGCATATGTACTCGCGTGATCTCGCCGATGCCATCAAAGAAATGCTCCAACGCATCACGGGTGGTCTTGTACGACAAGTTACCCACCCAAACCGAGTTTTCACGTTTTGGTTTCGATTCGCTTGAAGGCGCGGTTTTGGTCGCTTTGATCGCTGAGCTGTCGTCAAGTTTGCGCTTTTTGGGGGCTGCTACTTCGACTGCCTTGGCAGCTTTTAATTCTCTCTTTTTTTGTCTTCTTCGTTCGGCATGCGATAGGACGTGTGCATCATCGTTGGGCTCGTCCGCCTCCGACGTGCTACCGGAGCTCTCATCGTCGTCTGAGGGGACCTCTTCAGTCGGTGGTGATTTTCGTTTCTTCGCTGGCCGGAGGCTTGTGGAAGAAGAGTTGGAAGACATGTACGTCACAGAAACTCGGGCGCCGCGCAGGCAATGCGTCCGGATTTGAAAGTCAAAGGGTACAGTATCAGGAAGGAAATATATAGATCCACAGGTATTACAGGGTATACACAAAATTAACATTCATCACTAGCACTATCGTACCGCGTGCACGATCCTGATATTTAATGTAGCACAAAACTTGTCATCCTCTGTTCTTTCTGCCAGTACCCTCCAGCACACTCTTCGGGCCGCGTTTCGCCATCGCCCAAACGAAGACGACGATAATAATCACGAACTGCAGCCAAAGCCACACTTCCAGCACGAAAGCAACAATCCCCCGGTGTTGCGCACGCTGAGCCGTCTGTGTCATCGTTCGCGAATGCGCGGATTCTTCTGCTGTGGCACGCGGCGCATCATCCGGCGACGCACCACTGCTCTGGCTGCTGCTCCGGCCGATAGTACCAACGACAGCGTCAAACGCGCTGGAAAGCCGTTCAGGAACTGGCGTCGACGGTGGGCTGAGCTCTGCGCCCTGGCGATTCGCAGAGGGGAGAAGAGTACCTCCAAATCGGCTTTGGTTCCAATGATACGTGCGCATGCGAATGGACTCTAGCTGCCTACGCTTCCTTTCTGCGGCTGTCTCGGACTTGGTCTGGTAACCCCGCCAGGTGCTCGGGCGGAGTCTAGTACTTCCCGGGGATGACTGGATCGCAGACGTGAAGACTGCGAGTGGCCTCGCTGCGAGTCCAGGTGCTGCATGGGGGATGTCGGATGACATGCTGATAACGGACAAGGACCCGAGGCAATGTGGAGTCAAGCATTGAGAGTGGAGCGTCCCGAAACCAATGAGACTCGGCGTCATAAAGTGATGGCTGTCTTGGTTACCGTCCCAGTTATCATGGCGAGCTGCCCCGAGCTCGCAATCAAGGGTAGGATGGTTCGGCACATCCCCATAAGCAGGGGACGTGGCGCCAGACAAGCTGTCGATCCGAATTGGCGAAGGTGATCGGGATGACGTCCTCGAGGGTTGGGGAACAAATGGAACCGGGGGAAGGCCAGGAATTGTGAGTGAATGGACAGAAGGCGTATTATGATGAGTGGGCGTGGAGACCGAACTTGCAGAGGCGGACGAATCAAAGAGACCAACGACTGATTTACGAGTTCGAGTATTAAAATCCCCCCGGTCAGTATAAACCGGGTCGGAAGCGAGAGATAAATCACTCTGAAAGTTGGGTTCAATGTCGTCGACGGAGTCGCTGGGGGAACCCGTGGAAAGGGAACGACGTAGGCTCGAAAACCGCACCGTCTCGTCTGCTTCCTCCGGTTCGGGACGCTCGTCGCATTCTTCACTCTCAGTAATCCACTGGACGCTCTCGGCATCACTCAAGCTCTCGTATGCAAGACGAATACTGTCAGCGTCCTTCTGTACTGACTGGAGCTGAACAGTTGTCTTGGCCTGCTGGTCTATTATCTGGGCGTTGGTCTCCTCAAGTTCCCTTATCTTCGAAAGTAGCTGGGAGATCAGAGCGTGTTCTGTAGGAGCCTCCACATCATTGTATATGTCTGGGAGGCCAAGCAGACCTGGGTTGGGAAGCTGATCGTCTGACGACCCCCCGCAATGAAAGCTTCCGCGAAAGTCCAGACACAGTGTCTTCTTCTGAGCGCAATGGCCGAAAGACAGCTTCAGAGAGGTGTCTGCGAGGCACGAGGTGTGGCTTCGAGTGGCGTCCCAGGCCGAGAGGGTTGCCGGGGGCAAAGTCGGGGACATCGTCTGATTCATGCACTGATTTTTCACGTAGGGCGCGGACCCTCTCCTCCCTTTCACGTCTCTTCTTCAACGACTCCTCGTCCCGCTGTACACTAGCAGCTCTCGCCTTGGCCTCGAGTTCATCACTCTTTGCGCGTGTCCTTTCGAGCTCCTCTCGGAGGCCCTGTATCTCCTTTTCCAAACCCCGGAGCTTCTTCCGCCCGGCTTGATCGGCCTGGATAGATTCTGCTTCCAGTTTCTCGAGCTTGGCCAAAAGTTGTGCATTCTCTTCGGACAGAAGCTCCAGGTCGGAGGGGGATACCGAGATATGACGGCGATGCAAGGGTAAAGACGCACGGAAGCTAGTTCTAGATGACGAGCGCGACGTGTCGCTGTAATAATGGGGAGACTGTGGGAGCTGAGTGTCAGGGAACGTTGGCGAAGGCGACGATGGCTTTCTCGTTGATAATGAGGCGGCCGGTGACAAAGGTAGCCTAGCTAGGAGTGCTCTATGCCTGTTCTTCAATTCAAGATTATGCCCGTAAAGAGTTTTGCATGCGGTACTCGTAGCGTTTAACTCTGTCCATGTATGAATGTTTCAACATGTTTTCATGCATCTGCCATAACAGACAGCGTACCCTGTTCCCGGTCCCTGATGAGCTCATCAGCCTTGGTGAGCAGATTGGACAACCCTTCACGCGATCGGTGGTCCCATTGATCCGACTGGGCCGAGAGAGCAAGCTTGTCGCAGTCCTTGCTCCTGGACTCGGCCGTGAATACCTCACTCCGGCAAGTCCCCTCGTCAGACGGAGGCTGCGCACGGTAGGGGGGAGGAGGGGACGACTTTGCAGCGATGCGTCTCGACCTTGCGGGAGGACGAGGACGCGGAGAGTGGGATACTGAGCCTGCCAGCATCAAGGAAGGTAGGGTAAATTTTACAGGGTCAGCAGAACCGTTACCAGCTCCACAACGGGGTCGTGAGCACGGGGTGTGTTCGATGGGTGGGGTTAGTTACTGCAACTGCCTGGATTCAAAATAATTGTAGAAAGAAAGACGGTCTGGATGTCAGACGTGGACAGAGACCATCAGTCTACGACTACAGAGAAGTTGGAAGCCGGAATGTCTGATCGGACAGTAGCATTTGATATCTTCCACCCGCTGAAAAAGACGTCTCTTGGTTCTCACGATTGCAAAGACAGCAACGGCCGCCTGGCGAAATGGCATCGCGTCTGACTACGAATCAGGAGATTGCAGGTTCGACCCCTGCGGTGGTCATTTCTTTTGCTCTCCTTTTTGTTTTTTTTCTCTCTCTTCTTAGACTCGGCACTTCGCTAGATCGCCGGCCAGATCAACTTCAGCACCTGCATTACGTTGTCCAACATGTCCGTCTTGTTTGAAACGTCTCTCGGCGACATCGTCATCGACCTGGAAGTCGATTCATGTCCCAAGACGTGCGAGAATTTCCTCAAGCTATGCAAGGCTTACTACTACAACCTTAACGCGTTCTTTAACGGTGAGCCCTCCGCTCACGAATGGTGACAGATTCTGACGTCTCGCAGTTTCGAAGGACTTTCTAGCGCAGACAGGTGACCCGACAGCTACTGGTACTGGAGGAGAATCTATATGGTCCTACATCGCCTCACAGTCAGAAGGGACATCTGTGCCTCGCTACTTCACGCCAGAACTCGTTCCCAAACTCAAGCACACACACAGGGGGACAGTCTCCATGGCTGTCGCCCCCTCCGTGAATGGAAACACAGGAGGCTGTGGCAGTCAGTTCTTCATAACTCTTGCAGACAATATCGAATACTTGGATGGGAAACATGCTGCCTTTGGGCACGTAGTGGAGGGCCTAGACACGCTAGATAAGTTAAACGAGGTCTTTACAGATCAGGACGGTAGGCCATTCAAAGATGTTCGCATTCGTCACGTTGTCATTCTGGGTATGCGATCACCATTTTCATCAGTACTCCATACTGACGAGTGACATCGTGTCATAGATGATCCGTTCCCCGATCCAGAGGGACTGGTAAAACCACCTTCGTCACCTACACGGCCTCCGGACAATTCTACCCGGATTGCAGAGGATGAAGATCCACTTGCTACGTTACCGGAAGAGGAGGAGGAGCGAGAACGTCGAAAGAGGGCCGCTGAGGCGTCTGCCTTGACACTCGAAATGGTTGGCGACCTGCCGTTTGCCAACGTGCGCCCGCCAGAGAACGTTCTTTTTGTCTGCAAGCTCAATCCAGTCACCCGAGACGAAGACCTCGAGTTAATATTCTCGAGATTTGGGACAATTATGAGTTGCCAGGTTATCCGTGACAAAAAGACGGGGGATTCCCTCCAATATGCATTTATAGAATTTGACAAACGTGAGGATGCAGAGCAGGTGAGGACGTGCACAGCTAGTGCAACTATTTTTTTCTTACGAAAGCAGGCATACTTCAAAATGCAGAATGTCCTAATTGATGACCGCCGGATTTGGGTTGACTTGTAAGTCTTGTTTGGGTGCAGCTGTTGCCATACGGAGTGCTGAATGCGTCGGATACAGCTCGCAGTCTGTGGCGCGGCTCAACACCACATGGTCCAACGATCCCAAAATGGGACTCCGCCGGCAGAGGGACAATGGTGGGTATGGGGGGAGAGAAGATCTCGAAGAAACACGGCGGTACAGAGGGGAAGACAGAAGAAGGGGTGGCCGGGAGTATGACATGGTGTTCGATGTCCCCGGTGGTGGCTCCGCTGCACAGCGCCGGAAGAGGAGCCGAGAAAGGGAAGGGGAGCGGTCCACTGACTCCAGGGAGCGCCGGCACCGCCGCTCGCGCTCACCCCGCAATCGGCGATCGCGCTCCCCGCACCGGCGATAGGGTGTTTGTACGTGTTTGGTACGCAAGGCGAATCACTACCCCCCTCTGACTCCGAGCTGGCTGAGTGAGACACGTATATATACACAGAGCGCGCCACCCTTTTGACCCATTCAACCATGACTGTCGCACACACAGAGATCTACTCCAGAGCCACTGACATCGTCCTCGAGTCGTGCGACGGAGTCAAGTTCTATGCTCACAAGTCCATCCTCGCTGAAGCCTCTCCTTTCTTTGAGCATATGTTCACATTACCACAGCCGCCTGGAGAGAAAGACCGTCCTGTTATACCACTGTCAGAACACAGCGCTACTCTTGGCGCACTTCTGCAGTTCATACACCCAGAACCAGACCCCGAAATAGAAACTCTCGACCAACTCAGCTCTCTCCTCGCTTCAGCAATCAAGTATGACTTCGTTGGAGCCATAGCTACTCTGCGGAAAGAGTTGGTGTCGCCGAAGTTTTTGGCAGAGAGCCCTCTGAGGGTATATGCTAGCGCAAGTCGCTTTGAACTGGATGATGAGGCCAAAATTGCATCAAAGCACACGCTTTCTTGTCAGATTCTCGATTGTCCTTTGTCTGAAGATCTCAAATTCATCTCTGCATACGCATACCATCGTCTCCTCGTTCTCCACCGAACACGTGCGGAGGCTGCACAGCGACTTCTAGAGATTAGCGATAATGTCAAGTGCATACAATGCTCTAGCCTGTACTACGGGAACTTCGTTCCTCCAAAGTGGTGGAAAGTGTTCCAGCGGTGTGCAAAGGAGGAGCTGGCAATTCGGCCCACGACAGAGGTCATATTCAGCCTGCCGTTCTTGGCCCAAGTTGCACGCGAAAGTGGATGCGTGAGATGTTCTGGAAGCATTCTCGACAACCATGACTTCTTCGCGAACTTGAAGAGGCGGATCGATGAACTACCTTCGACGGTTTAAAGTAGCTTGGCTCGGAAGGGGGACATTACTCTTGATATCCTTTTGTTAGCCCCCTTACAATTGTTTTCTTTACGATCAACGCGGATGTTTCACTACCTGGTACTCTTGCCGATATACTACGATATCCTCTTGCAGGCGCATGTTTTATCTCGTTTTGGACTGCAATACTGTAATCTAATCTGATACGTACGGACCTACTCACGAATCCCAACGCGTGGGTACCGGCAGTAAGATCCGCTCCTTGCCAGCCATTGTTCTACCCACCATCAACTGGACGACTAACGATATCGAACATGGCTAGTGCGCAGTTGGGATCGTTCAAAGTACCCCTGGTCGATAACGAGCCCCTAGTAGGTCTCTGGGTAGGTCTAACCCTGCATCCTGTCTCACATTCCACAGAAAGGCTATGCGCCGGGGTCTCCAGAGCGAAGAGCTCTAGAAGCAGCATTGGTCGAAATGGAACAGCAGCTTCCATTCGAAATACCTTGTATTGTGAACGGGCAAGAGGTAGGTGTTAACTGATACCGAAACTCCAGACCCAATTACTGGACTTCGATTAATCCTAATAGATCAGAACTGGGAAGCTAGCGAAACAACCAATTCCTTCGGATCACGCCAGACATCTCTGTTCGTACCATGAAGCCGACACCACTACAGTTGCGGCTGCTATCGAGGGCGCGCTCGCCGCCAAAGCTCAATGGGAGGCTATGCCGTGGAATGACAGAGCTGCCATTTTCTTGCGTGCGGCTGAGCTTGTCAGCGGCAAGTACCGCTACAAATTAATGGCAGCGACCATGCTTGGACAGGGGAAGAATGCCTGGCAGGCTGAGATCGATGCCGCTGCCGAGGTGCGCGGTCAGTCATGAACACTTCATACAGGTCACTTAATGTCCGAGGTTGTAGTTGACCGATTTCTTCCGTTTTGGGGTGAAGTATATGGAAGAACTTTACTCCCAGCAACCCCCTAAGAATACAGCAGGGTCGTGGAAGTGAGTCTGTGCCATAGATGTTTATGGCCGCATCTTATCGGTGCGATTGCAGTCGTGTCGAGTACCGCCCCCTCGAAGGCTTTGTATTGGCTGTTTCACCATTCAATTTCACCGCTATCGGCGGAAACCTCCCCGGAGGCACGTAGCCAACAAATCAGAGATCGTCACAGCTCATATCCAGTTAACAGCACCCGCTCTGGTTGGGAATGTGGTGGTGTGGAAGCCCTCCCCCGCTGCTACGTATTCTAACTACTTGGTCTACCGGATCCTCGCGGAGGCTGGTGTCCCTCCCGGTGTTATTCAGTTCGTTCCAGGTCCACCCCCTGAGGTCGTTGCCCAGTGCATCAACCACCCTAACTTTGCTGCGCTACACTTCACGGGCAGCACTTTCGTTTTTAAAAAGTTATGGAAGGATATCGCTGCCAACGTAGACAAGTATAAGGGATACCCTAGGATTGTTGGAGAAACAGGGGGAAAGAACTTCCATCTCATCCATCGGTCGGCGGAGATCCGCAATGCAGTGTTACAAAGCGTGAGAGGTGCATTCGAATATCAAGGTGACAGTAACTCGTGGGCGTTGTATGGAGTACTGACAGTGGGCGGTTCGACTGTTAGGCCAGAAATGTTCTGCTCTTTCCAGGCTGTATGTTTCATCCTCTGTATGGGAGGGTGGTTTCAAGGATCAGTTCCTTTCCGAAATTGCGAGGATCAAGGTGGGGCCACCACAGGATTTCCGTAGTTTTATGGGACCTGTTATGTAAGTGCGCGGAGATCGAGAGGCTTGCCTGTTATAGTTGACAATCAATTCCAGTGGGCGGCCCGCCTTTGATAGGATCTTGAGCTATATCCAGAAAGCCAAGGACGCAGGTGGGGAGATCTTGATAGGGGGCACAGGTAGGCCTTGCATGGCTGGCACAACTTCGGGACCCTAGTCATTTACTCCAATCAGGCGATGACTCAAAGGGCTACTTCATTCAGCCAACGGTGATCCTGACCAAGGACCCTCGATCAGTGACTATGCAGGAGGAAGTATTTGGTCCAGTAGTTACGGTGAGATAAGCATGGCTGGTTTCATTTCTGTCTCCCGAACTTCTTCCACCCTTTGCTAGGTTTATGTTTATCAGGATGACGAATTCGAAGATCTTCTGCAACTTATCGACAACACATCCGCATATGCGCTCACGGGTTCCATGTGCGTTCCGAGTGGGTATTTTCGAGTGACGTGATTGCTGAAGTTCGCGTGTTTTTTTTTTTTTTTTGTTTTCAGCTTCGCCACGGATCGTAGTGCACTCATCACCGCGACCAGCAAGCTGCGTCATGCAGCCGGAAATGTGTACTACAATGAGAAGTGCACTGGCGCCGTCGTCGGTCAACAGCCTTTCGGAGGTTCCCGTGCAAGTGGGACAAACGATAAGGCTGGGAGTGTCAGCCTCTTTTACCGTTTCGTGTCGGCGAGAAGCATCAAGGAGAATTTCGTCGGTCTGGAGGATTTCCAATATCCTTCAAACCTTGTCTGAGCAAATGGAGTCCCTACTTTGTGTTGGTACTTAGTAGTGTGTGTATAATACTTGTAAGGTGGAGGAAAGGACACTAGACACATAAACAGGCTACAACAGGCCTCCCTTTGCCTCCGCTCCCATGGGGCCCATGTGTGTCCGATCACTCTCATCGAGAGCAGCAGACGATTGGGCTCACGGTAGGTGCCGCTCTCATCTCCAGCGTTATAACTGGTGCATACGCTGCAACTCTACTGTTCATCAGCAAGGCCAAAGTACTAGTGCTAAGCTTTCTCAGGATGCTGCCCGAGAGGAGGCTGAGGCAGAAATGCATGCTTCTGAGGTGCGGGGCAGTAAAAGCAAACTTTCGCTATTGGAGCAACAGCATGAGAACTGGTCTGGAGAAGAATCAGTACAGGATACCGTCCTGCGCATGCTGATCGACGAATATAAACCTCTTCGGACTGGGATTATCAGGACTGCTGATGAAAAGTTGAAGGATGCACCTCCACAGATCATATCAGAAATAACGCATCCTGCCAGAATACGTACGTGGAAGGAGATAGCGAACGAGCCGCTTCTTCCTGCCATCGAAGGTCACAAGCCGTGGCAAACGACCTTCAAAGCACCGTCTCATGTTTCTGCATCCATTAAGTTTGGAAACATCAAACCCCCGTCAGCTTCTACTAAGACCGGTTCTATACCGACTGATGACCGGACAAGGCGAACCGAAAAGGGAGTTGTTGAAACGCAAGGTGCAAGCCAGCCGGCTGACTCGCGCCCGCGAGTCAACTCTCGATTATCGGCTGGGACTTCGTGATGGAAGCAACAGACGGCCAGCTCAAGTGAACCCTGTCACGCTTAAAGGCTGGCAAAGTCTTGTAGAAGATCGGATAGAGGTAAGAGAGTCGTGCATATCGCCTTTCTTGTTACTGAAATATGTGGGTTGATGCGGCAGAAAGCTCGGATGGCAGGAGCCTTTGACAGGATCAGAGGTAGAAGCCAGCCTATTACTCAGACGAGCGAAGAACGTAACCCGTTTATCGCTCGCGAGGAGTTTCTTATGAACCGCATTGTCCAGCGGAATGGCGCAGCTCCTCTATGGGTGGGAGTACAGATAGGTGTGTCAATTTTTACATTATTTATATGACTCTTTTCACCATGACTTGGAACAGAGCTAGAGTCAGCCGTGAATTCTTTTCGAGAAACACTCAGGCAATCTTGGACGAGGCATGCAGTTCGCATGCTGACTCTCTCCCAGCCCGCCGCTACGTTTCCCGATTTGTCATTAACTATGGTAACGACCATGCGTGATCGTGAATGGGAGAACCGAGAGTGTTCGTATCACAACACAGCGATTGCAGAGCTTAACTCGCTCGTTCGTAAATATAATGCCGTGGCGCCATACGCTGTTCAGCGTCCGTACTATGCGCGAGAGGTGGAACTGAAAAAAGCATACGAGGATTGCGGAGAAGAGATTCTGCGTGCGATCAAAGAGAGAAGGGAGGAAACGTCTGGATACTTGTTTAATTCCATGGCGAAACCGGTTTCCGGTGTCGATGATCATGCTGATCCTGGTTCTTCCTTTGGGTTCCGCGCCCTCATTTTGCAATGGATAGAGCACCTACTACGGAAGTTTACGGGGTCCCGGCAGCCATAACTTTGGTTGCCTCACTCATGGCAATCCGTGAGCACCTATTTTCATCCTGTATTTTGAGAGTTGTAGCCCTAAACGATACCACCTTGTATTTTTGCCACGGGCCGGGCATGTGGGTAGCCTGACGAGTCGATGCCTTTTTCTGGCTGTTGTCGTCGCAAGGCACGTCGGGATGTAATCCTAGCGCGACAGGTGTTATGCGAAATTGATCGCCTTGTCGTCGTGTCCAACATGTAATTGGAGACCTTTCACTGTGCTAGACAATGACAAACCCGTAGGACAACAACGAGGCCAGGCAGTCGAGCCCGCTCTGTTGACGTACAGGCGGTTTGGGCGAATACGTAGGGCCGCGAGGTGAACAATGGATTTGCTTTTTTCCACGATATGCTGCCTCGTGTCTGCCTCGCCTTTTGTGGGTGGCGGGCACCTAATCTAAATAATATAAATTGGCCCTTTTGTCTCCCTTCATTTTCCCATCCTCACTACTTTTTTTATTTTTCTTCCACTCTACTTCCTTCTACTGCGAAGCCCCCGCCCATGGCTACCTACGAGAGAATTGAGGAGTTCAAAACCATCCCTGCGCCGTCCGGGGAAATCACAGTGAGCCTCTTAACTCTCTTGTGAACGTGGATCCCATCAAATTCATCACCCATTCTAGCCTGGTGACATCGTTGCTGTCAACCACGACCGCTATGGTCGCAAGGAGGGTCTCGTCGTCGGTTCTTTCACAGACAGCCTTGTACGCAATATCGTCCTCGTCGTCGTTTGTCAACTCACTTGCACTGCAGGGCCGTCAAATTCTCGAAGTCCAACTCGAGGCTGGCGAGATGTACCGAGCATGGTGCGTCCCTTTAGTGTCTGTCGTGTAGATGTGTTACCCATGCCGGTCCGTAGGTATCCCACCGTCACCCGCGTGAAGCGCACTATCACATATTCAAGACCTGTCACGAAGCAGCGCACCGTCGAGCGGCAAATCTACTGGTGATCCCCACCACCATCGTTCCCTGTCTTCTCCCCGCTTCTTTGGACTGTCGATTTTGTATTATTAGACACGTATCAGGTTCCTCAAGCACACTGCTACGTCCAGCTCTGTCAGGGAGCGACGCACGCTACGTAGTAATCATAGCCTCCGTTTTTGGCCGGCTGCGGGTAGACATAATGCAGGACACGTTGGAGGCTTCATCTGTGGCTTCTCTTAGCTTGGACGAAAACGATTAGAATGTGTTATTATCGGGACTCTAGGTCAACGTAGTTCTTACGACAAGAAATGCAGTGGTCACCGGGTTCCCGTTTTCTTGGTCATTTCTTTGCTTCGTCCCGTGTGGGTAAATCAAACCAACTGCTTGCATATATATAAGTAACGAAATGGGATGTGTGACTCAAGGTGCAAGTACTACAGATACATGGCGACGAATAAACAGGTAAACAATAGTATCATGGATTATAGGTAAGCGTGGGCCATCATGCTTTGAGGTCCACCACAGAAGGTTTATGGTGATGCGATGTAGAAGAGACGAATGAATGCGATGAGGAACCCGAAGTGGTTCGATGAAGGTGAAGGTCTGGGGCCGACGCAGAGAGATTAGACGCTTGAAATTCACTGCTTGGCATACTTGGAAGCGAGACCTGCGACCGAGACGTTTTCAAGGGTGGCGACGAACAAGCAGCATTCCCATTTTCGGAGATAGCAGCAGAACCATTCGGGATACTTGATTCTGACTTGCTCGACTGCTCTGAGGGTGTAACTGACGCACTTCGTCCTCTTCTGGCCGCCACACTCCTCACGATCCTAGCACCCCGCGTACCCCTCTCCCTCTCTTCCGAGAATGACATACTTGTTAACGATGCCGTAGACGCATTGACCGTGGTGGAGGTAGATAGACGCGGTTTGAGGGTTTCCTCTGAACTCCGAGGTGAGACGTGCAGCGGGTAAATACCAGGGCGTGACTGTACCACGCGCTCGTAGTAGAGCATAAACGCCCCGCATCCCTCCTGCAGTACGGACTCAATCCCAACCTCCTTGACAGAGTCGTCGCTGATACGCAGCCACCCATGGCCTGGAAGATACATGGAATCGATGGCATCGTCGTCGTCTCTAATATTGCCATATCGCAGACACTTCTCGCAATCGCATTCTATCGGGTCCGCGAACCGTGGAGGGGCAAACCGCCATGCGCCACACGAAGGTGGACGGGGTTTGCGGCGATAACAAATATAGTGCCCAAAGGAATGCTGACCGTAGTGGCAAACGACAGCAGAAAGGCGGTAAATAGTCCGCGGCGTAGAATACATGGCTTGGGTGGGTGTCGCGGATCGAGGTAAAGTTGGAGGTGGTGAGCAGATAGGGACAGAAGGGACGATCGACAGGTTACCCGAGGTAGTGAAAGGGGTAAGGTCGAGTATCTCCGGAAATACAACGCGCACGCTGTTCTTCATCACAAGGTGACCGTAACTCAGCGAGCGGTTGAGGTGAAGCGCAAGCACGAGGGGTGGCTAGATTGGCAAGTCAGATCTGACGAGACAGAATGGATAAGCTTGATCTACCCTCGCGATCATTGCCTGTTTCGTGGAGGCTTTGCTAAAAACTTTCTCTAGTTTCAACCCCCTGATATCTTCCTCCAGTCGACCGCTTTCCAGGGCTGCTTTCACCCTTAGCTCCAATTTCCGGGTATCTTTTGCTTTTCTCTTCCTGGAAATTGTCGCATTTGGGTCAGCATTGACAACCTTCTCCAAGTGATCTGCCTCTCGCTGCAGGCGCCGATGGGTCGCAGTCATTGAACACTTGCGGCAGATACAATCCGTGAGTAGCTCGAGTTTAGTATACTCTGCAAGACAGTCTTCCAGTCGATAATACTCCTGAAAAAAGTGAATTTCCAGCGACGCGACCTGAGGGAGAACCTACTGCGTATCTGGGGAGAGCGAGCTGCCAGCTGTCGAACGCGAAGTGCATAACAGCTTCGGTATATCCGCAATCCACGCAACTTCTTCTATTCGCTGTCAGGCCATCGAACACGCTCTTTCCTATTTCCTTATTTGCCTCTGGATTGACCAGAGAAAGTCCGCCCAAACCGTGGTCGCGTTGACCTTCCCTGTCGACTGCACCAATCTCTCTCTTTATGCATTCGGAGACCAGCTGGAATAATTCCTGGGCGTCTTGGTGCTCTCTAGAGGAGAAGAGTGAATTGTGTTTGCCACGGGAATGGGATGATAGCGCATCTATGATCCCAATGGGGCGTATGGAATGGTATGAAAAGCGTGGTGTGTTGAGCTCTGGATTCAAGTGAATAAAGATGGAATTCGCGAGCGTTGTGCACGTACCATTCAATAAATCAAGGAGCGCATCTACGACAGGCGATGGCACGTCAAGTCTGACAGCTTTTTCGTGAATGGCGGCCAGAAAGGGTTGTAGGTAAGACAAGGAAGCCATCGACTGTAAATTTTCGTGATAGATGAACGACTCCTGTAAAATGGTGCCCACCTGCAAAGTAGCATTCATGAAGCAATATGTACCTGAAATATTGACGAGGCCAGGGTAATAACCCTCGAACGGTCCCGTTCTAGCTTCTGCATCGAAAGGGCGATGAAGGTCGTCGGCGGAGTATGGAGGTCGGAGGAGAGTACCGTACCTGGTCTGGCATAACCATTCAGCTCGAGTTGTTCACCCCGAGAGCGGACGTGTTTCTTTCTGAGTTTCTTTGCCTCGTGGGATGTGCCAATGTTTGATTGAATCGCCCCCCAAGACCAACCGAAATTAAAGCCAAAGCTCTCGAGTACCATGAGGACAGCCCAGAGTCTTGATGGAATCCGGTGAAAGGATTGAGTGAAGAGGAGGGCTAGTAGCGGACAGAGAAGCAAAGCGACGTAATAAGGTGCTAATTGCGGGGAAGACCTGTCTTGTACGAGGTTTGTTAAGCAATTCCTGGCTTCCTCTGGTGGTTGCATGTGGAAATGGATGCTTCACGCTGTCAATGACATCGGAGAGTAGGTTGCTACAGTGTGGTACTTTGCCATGTCAGAGGCCCTGTCGTATGCCCCAACCAGCTTGACATCAACATGTAGTCATCTGGATTAACAAGTTGTACGGCTACCTAGCGCAATGGTAGCGCGTTTGGCTTCGATCGCCGACGGCACCAAAAGGTTGCAGGTTCGAGTCCTGCGGTGGTCATCTTTTTCATTATTTATTTTAAAACATCCGGGTATTATCCAAATCATCTTCCACGTGACCACCACACATACGCGACCATCTGTCGCGTTCGACGCGGAACAGCACATATTCGTTTGTTCGCCATTTCCCAGCTACCACAGTCTGTTCTCCGTGGCCGCCCTTCTTGACTCCCGGACGCAAGATGACGACTTTGCTATTCTCTCAACATTCGTCTAATCCTTTGGAGGTTGCGTCCTCTGACCCACGCAACAGGTCATATCACAAAGAATATCACGCTGCTAGGAAAGTAAATGGCCCTCGAAATTTCACCTCAGAGGATGCTGGAGATGGTTCCGCCCACAAAGACTTGGAGGATTATCGCGACCACCTTGCCAAGCTGTACCAATCATCGGCGATGAAGCCAAAGCCAGAGGAGGTACCTATCATGATCGACTTAGACGAAGGAATGGAAAGGGAAGAAGACATCAACTCCATGGATTGTCCACAGGATATGTGTGATTTTGACGGAGAGGAAGCCGACGAAGACGAGGTCGAGGACGCAGACATAGACGCACAGGGGGAGACAGACGAAGAAATGACCATACATCTTAAACCTCCAGAAGAACAGCAGGAAATACAACTTGAGATCGCTAACCTCGTGGCCGCTGTCCCACAACTTTCCAAGGACTACAAGTTCGTGGACAGGCTGGGGACAGGAACGTTCTCATCTGTTTACAAAGCTATCGACCTTTGGTATCACACGAAGTGGGACAACACGCCTTGGCACGGGCATCACCCACCACACTCCTCTGCACACCACCAGTCTGTACCCTATCCGGAAGGGAGCAAGGTATTCGTCGCCATCAAACGCATTTACGTAACTAGTAATCCTGAACGAATACGCAACGAAATCTCCATCATGCAAGACTGTCGGGGAACCCGTCACACATGTCAACTCATAACAGCATTCCGACACAAAGACCAAGTCGTCGCTGTTATGCCATACCACCACAATGCTGACTTCCGGGTAAGTGACACCGTGGACGACTGGGCTGCAGTCATTATGCTCTTAAAGGAATTTTACAGAGATCTCCCAATTGCGGGTATAAAGGCTTACTTCCGATGTATGTTTCGCGCCCTGCGAGACGTTCACTCCAGAGATATCATACATCGCGATGTCAAACCTGCCAATTTCCTTTTCGATCCACGAACAGGCGTCGGCATTCTATGTGACTTCGGCCTTGCTAGTGTCAGTTTCCCGGGCAGCATTGCACTTGGTCCGCTCCTCACGCTTTAGCTGCAGCGCATAGAAACATCCACCCCAACTCACGCTGCCTGCTTCCATACACCACCTTCACGAAGATACCCACATGGCAAACCGCGATCCCGGAATGAGTATGACTCTGAACTCCTCAAGAAAATGCAAAAAGAGGCCAGACAGAAAAGCTCATGGCCCAGTGACAGGGTGGGGTACCCTGACAAGGACACTCGGTATGCCATGTTCTCCTTTACATTGCCGAGCTAAGTTTGCAGTAGACCACATTCAAAGGCTAACCGGGCAGGGACACGTGGCTTTCGTGCACCAGAAGTTCTTCTCAAGTGTGGTCAGCAGTCAGGGGGTGAGCTTCATCTGGCTACGAGGAGGTATATACTGACCGGTCTATGAAGCCGTTGATGTCTGGTCCGCTGGCATGATCCTTCTTTTCTTTCTAACGGGAAAGTTTCCTCTCTTCCAGTCTAGCGACGACATCGAGGCCCTCATGGAAATTGCGACCATTATTGGCCGACAAAAAATGGAGAGGACTGCGCTTCTGCACAGTCAGTACGGCTGGTCAATCGAGTGCTAAGTTCTGAACATTATTCCCAGGCCGTACTTTCGCAACGAATGTACCCTCGATAACGAACGAGGGCATAAGCTGGAGTGACTTCGTCGAAAAACAGAACCCTTGTTTACGGGAGGTCCGGCGCCCGGATGACCAATATTATCCTCACAACGTTGCCCATAGCTCTTTGCACCATTCACAACCGCCCCCCTCATCATCACCCACTTCCGACAAGTTGTCAGGATCAAGCTCTCCTGCCCCTGTTGCGTTTCCAACACAGGAATCCCACACCCGGGATGTTGAGAATGCATTGAATCTTCTCGAGTCACTAATGGAGCCAGATGCAACTCGCCGGATAACTCCACGCGACGCACTATACCACCCCTTCCTGGCCGATCCATCAGAACCTGAAGACGATGATCTGTTTCCTCACCCCTTCGGCGAAGGTGTATGTGGAAAATACCACTATATCGATAAGGTTACAAAGGACCCTTATGTCCTTGTGAATGTTGATGGGAAGGAGAGTGTGCGGAGACTGGTGGCAGGAGAAGGCATTGCTATCGGAAAGGACCCGTGTGAGTTTCACAGCAAGGAAATTGGTCTACAACAGTAGTTTGGTGGCACTAGATGCATGTATTTTTTGTATTCGGAATCGTACGCCTTTCAAGCGGGAAGAAAAAAAAGATGACCACCGCAGGACTCGAACCTGCAACCTTTTGGTGCCGTCGGCGATCGAAGCCAAACGCGCTACCATTGCGCTAGGTAGCCATGTTTTTCTTGGCACAGCGGTCATGTCGAGGGGCATTGCCCATTCTGGGTCTCTGCAGGGGAAGGAGGGACCTTGGCATCCTTTTGTATGGTCCACTCACTGACAGATACATTACAGATAAACTCATGGCCCTGAACTGGGTGATACTGGACGCAATCCGCAATCCTGTTCCTATACAGGACGAGACGATTATAACAACTGTAGACGTCGAATGCACACTTCTCATCCCTGATGGGGCTCCACCGTCCACTTCTTCGGCTTCTATGGCGGCTGGTGATCACCCAAAGATGAAAGAGAGTGGGAAAATGCACTTGACAGATAAACGAGTAAGCTTGTCCAAGCATCTCTATGGATGGAGCCAGGCCACTCATCATGGTCTTCGGGCACCCTATCTGTAGCTAATATTTACAAGTCATTCCGGCAGGAGTGCTAAACTCCCGTTCGAATCGTTGACTATACCCCTGGAGTCAATCCTATCGTCTAAGTTCGAGCAGCCTTTCTTCGGCTCTAACTATCTCGTGCTCGGCGTCAGGCCGTCTGTCGGTGGCGGGCTTACCCATGGTACGATGCTCGAGATACGGTCTCTCGATACTGGTCTCTTTGCATTCGTCAGCATCCTTGAGAAGACGAGGGAGAAGGCCATTTATATGAAGAGACGGTCGTTAGATGATGAAGAGAACCTGCGTACGTTATTTCGTCTTGTCACCCGGGTTCCCGTCGCTTGATAGCGTACTTACTCACCCTGATAGCTGCGTATTCATCTAGTACGGTGGCCGGTTCATCCCACTATGATGACCTGCCCCCAGGTTATGACTCGTGAAGGTGTAGCAGTAGGTAGTCTAAGGAACTTGTACGGAACATTTCGTTGTGTAAATCCTTAAAATTGTGCCAGTAACGAATGACCAGCGCCATGGACTCATCAGCGTCAAACTGCTTCGAGTCCTTGTTCATCAACGGTAGTGTCAGGGGCTAACTTCCAAATGGGCCGTTTGCGGTCATGCTTCTTCGCCTGATCAACAACCACGTCCGCTTAACCGTTGTACCAAAAGTACCTCGGGGAGTACATATGTCGATTGTCTGAAACCCAGGTAAGCCAGCGTGCTTAAAACTTGGCAGGTCACCTAAAGTGTATTCGACTGGTGAAGAACCACGGTTAGTGACTTCAGGCTCACTTTTACCCTCACAACCTGTTTGATATGACACCGGTGAAGTGCAAGATTCCATATTTATCCGCCATTTTAAATTTGACTCTCTTAGTGAAGCCTATCGTCACCAGCTTTAGTGATGGTCGGGCCATACTGTAGCAGCGGAGTGGATTAGTCGTGCCCCAATCACCGCTTCCCAATTTTTTCGCTGCTTTCTCCACATGACATCACCGATGACAGCAACGCAATCTACCCAGTGAATATATGAGGGAAAGGATGGAGGTACTCGCCTTTGGATGTATCCCTCTTTCTTGAGAACAGGTCTCAGATATTCTTGCAAACGCAGCGCCGCAGGACTCGCTCGACTGTCTCCGTTTACTTCAAGCTCGTTGTACTCTCATAGCTCTAGCTCCCATTCCATGACTACTGAAAACGCCAAGTTTGCCGCTCAAAACCTTTTCGATGTTGATGGCTGGGTCTGCGTAGTCACCGGTGGAGGTACTGGCATCGGTCTCATGATCGCCCAAGCTTTCGCCAACAACGGGGCGAAGGTTTACATTACATCTCGCCGACAAGACGTTCTCGAGAAAACGACCAAACACTGGGGCTCCGCCCTCATTCATCCAAGAGGCAAACTTATCCCAGCAGTTTGCGATGTTACTTCCAAAGACTCTATTCGTCGATTAGTCGACGAGATTGAGAGGAGTGAAAGCCAGGTTGATCTGCTTGTCAACAATGCTGGTATCAGCAAGACGACGAGCGACGTAGAGAAGGGGGAACAAAGTGTTAATGCGCTTGCTGAAGAACTCTTCAATGAAGACCCCAATCACTGGGGGGACATCTACAGAACAAATGTCATAGGTCCCTTCTTCGTTTCTGCTGCCTTTCTGCCCCTCCTCCATGCCGCCTCCAAGAAGTCTCACCTTACTGGCTCTGTCATTAACGTCTCTTCCATCTCCGGCATCACTCGCAACACACAACACCACATCAATTATAACGTGTCAAAAGCTGCTACTATCCATCTAACGACCTTGCTCGCACAAGAATTTCGGAGGAAGGCGGTTCGGGTCAGGGTAAATAGCATTGCACCAGGTATTTTTCCCTCAGAAATGACAGGTCAGTTTTCAGTTCATAGCAGCCGTCGGATTATTCTGATGTTTTTTGGCCATAAGCGGGCGGATCGGACGAATACAATAAATCTCAGCTTCCCCATGGGGAGGAGTTCGGGAAGAAAAAAGGTATCCCTGCCGATCGGCCGGGCCGGGAAGAAGATGTAGCTCAAGCAGCTTTAATGTTGGCGTGTAACCAATACGCCTATGGTCAGGTGTGCACCCTCAGAACTACTAATTTGTTTAGTGCTCATTTGGGTTAGACTTTGGCCATCGATGGTGGGTATCTTTTGGTAAACGGCTGAGCTACCTCGGTTCAGCTCGAGACACGCTCGAATGCAACATATTAGGCTTTCGCAATAGATTCCGTAGCAAGTCATAGCCGTAGTTCCGTACACATGTCCATTGTTAAATGTCACTGTCTAAGGTGGATATCCGTTCATGAGTGAGCGCCCGAGTTATAAATACAAATGAGAGTTGGATAGTGGGTTCGAGGGAGAGATCAATCAGAATAAATCGTAGCTGCAACATAAGATAGATGTACTGCGGAGAATGAACTCCTAATACCGTGTAGTCGGTCATATATCCCGTCCTTGGGATTCGCGTCCGAGGTGTCGATGTATGACTGGTTCTTCGCGAAGACTGCTGCCGAACATGGTGGACTTGTGAAGGCTAGGTGGCTCCAGTGTAGTTCTAGCTGTTGCCCAGGACGTGAGTCTGGGGGCGAGTGATGAGGAGGGGGTACTCGATCGCGGAGGACGCGACCTTGATGTATCTTCACTAAAACTTGGGGCCTTCCCGGAGGAGCTTGTGAAAGAGGACGCCAGTGACGATGTCGCAGCAGTGCTTGCGACTCCCGAGATGGTGTGTGCAGCCGCTTGTTTGAAGCCCAGGACGGTCCGACTTATGGTCCGCAGAACAGAGGGCTGCTCATGCATTGGCTGGCGTTGAACGGAAGCTCCAGAGTCATCAACCTGCTTCGTAAACTTCGAATGGATCGATGAGTCTGAGGCGCCACGTCGATGGAGTTTGTGTTCAGGCGGTAAGGGCCCCGGGATGTCATTCCCTTCCGAATCATGCCTACGAATAATCTCCGCATCGAGCACGGCGTCCACGTCTCTTGACATCTGCGACGTATGTCGTTTCCTCAGTGTGGATCTACCGATAGTAGCCGGTCCGCTGTCCGGTGCTACAGATCCGAAACACGTAGACTGCACACGTCGAGGCACACGAGGGAGGACAACCCAAGGCTCTGATGGTTCCTCTACACGTGGTGCACCAACAAAGATGCCCATAACATTGGGGACACTGGTCGTCGTTGAGGTCTGACTGTGCAATTTCAAATCTAGAAACTTGTCCCCCACACCATCTCCCTCGCCAGTTGGACTATGTGACGAGAACATTGTCGCAACGGATCGACCTGCCCCAGCGCCAGAAAATTCTACGTTCACGGTAGTGGTGGAAGCAGCGAGCGCAGGTCCAATCTTGGGCACAGGTCGAGGGTGCCGGAGTTCCGCCCTTCCTCGGCTAATCTGCCGAGAAGGGGAGATTGTGAGCGGGGCGCCGCTCAGATCGTATAACGACGTTCCAAACAGTTTGGTGAAGGGCGACATCCAACTCAACCCGACGGCAGAGCCTGACGACTTTCGCTCCCTTTCCATTGCCTCCGCTTTGACAGGGTCGAGGGCCATTTCGCTGACTTTACTAGCAATAGACGGTTCCAGTATAATGTCGTTCAGCGTGACACGCATTTGGCCCATCTCGTCGAACGCATCTTTGACTAATTTGAACAAGGCACGTAGGTCTCTTCGCGTGCACAAAAGGGCCATTTTCTCATCTTCAAGGAATACTCTGTACTGCGAACGCAATTGCGGAACTTCTGTTAGGATGTTACTGACTGTCGTGCGGGAGAGGTGCTTGACATCTGCACCTAGAAGATGCTGTCTTTTGAGCCGATTCGTGAGCGTGAGAGCATCGGCTTGAGACATCCGATGCAGAAGAGACAGCATGCGTTCCAAGAGGCCGGACATATGCGAACCTTGACCATCGAAAAGGGAAGAGGACTCTGATCGTCCATCGTGGAGGGTCGATGAGGGTTGGTCGATGCAACATGGCATGGGGCTCATAGTGAGCCATCGATCCGTCTGTACGGCTTTCGTGGCCTGAGTAACAGGAGATGATCCCTGAGCGTAGTCAAAACCATCGGTCTCCAAGTTAGTTGAAAAGGACGAGCAGACTGCGTATGGATGGGTGAGACTGGGGTCCTTTTGTGCAGAAAATAGGAAGGATTCCGTTGGAGAGAGTGGCCGGCAACTTGTCTCAGGTGTTAGTGGCTCCTACATTTCTAATAAGTGGGAATAGATAAAATGTAACAAGTCAGCGACTCACGTAGTCACGTCGGCACCTAGGCTCCACACTAGCAGGGCGCTTCGCGGAACTTAGTAACAGCTATTTATGCGTCAGTAATCGTGAATCAGCGGAATGCTGCTCGAGCTCACGGAGTCTTTTCCAAGTGGGGAAGGTCCGTCAGTGAAGGTGCACTTTGACGGGGGGTCGACTACTGCCAGGTACGTTAATCGACTTACATGAAAGTCCTAAATCTTACCTCGGATGGGTGGAATGATGTTATACTCTTCCGTTCGTGTCCGCAGTGCCTGTAGATCTTCCTGTGATTCTGTTAAAAGCGCGTGTAGCTCTTGGTTGTCAGCCCTCAGGGCCTCATTGTCCATAACCAAGGATTCCAGAGCGTTCGATATTTCAGAACTCTCTTGGATTGCTGCATAATTCATATGCTAAAGTCCTGTAATGTCAGGCCGATATCAGCGGGAACGAAGTTCAACCCTACACGATTCTGCAGCTCTTCCAAGCGCATGCGAACCTCTTGTAAGAATGATTCCGATGATTCCAATCTTTGAACTCGTTTCGTTTCGAGATTGCTTTGGAGGCGACGGACTTCTGCCTGGAGCTTATCTGTGTAATGCGTAAGCTACGTTGCCAATTTGGCCTGTATGAGAGAATCAAGTCACCGGCACGATCAGAAAGAGCAGTCAAACGCGCTTCTGCTTGTTTAGCTCTCTGGACTTGACATTCACATTCCTGCCGGATGTCATCTTTCTCTCGGAGAGCCGTGGCTAGCTTGGCATCGAGCGCCACAGAACGTGCATGATGCGCTGCCAACTTCGACACTGTGCTACGCGCTTCCTCCAGCTCTTGTAAAACATCCTTGTTGGATGCCTCAGAAACTTCATTGTTCAGTAGAGCTTGGGTAAGGCGCTATTTGAGGCGTTACGATTTCATCATAATCGTAATCGAAAGGGAGCCGACCTTCTGAAGAACCGCGTTCTCTTGGATGAGCTCGGTAATTTGGAAATCCACATCTGTATCCCGCCTGGAAGCTTCGCCATGCGTCTCGTCCGCTGAAACCTCGTGAGGAGTAGCGTCACCCGGCTGCACGTGAATTAATGAGGAAGCACTGCAGCAAGCAGCCCAGAACCAACCTCGTGTTGTCGCACGTATGCCTCATGTCTCCGCAACAAGGCAGAACCAACTTCTGAATGACAAGTTTTACGACCCAGTGACAGCTCGCGGTTTCTGACTTACCGGCACTTAAAATGAGCCTACTCTCGAGCCTGGTCTTCAACGCTAACCAATTCTTTGTAACTTCGCAATCTTCCTCCCCGCAGCAGCAAAGCACATTCTGCTGAGGCTCTGGAGACAGTAAGCGGGAAAAGTTATTTAAAGCGAGCGTGAGGTCGTCAACGGAGCTAGTGGTGCCGTGTAGGGTGCTTGCTAAGACAGAGTCTGGGGTAGTTGCATGAGCCGTATCTAACACACTTTGCATTGAATAACGACTTTGTGTAGGAGCAACGACCCTTTGAACTTGATAGCGTTATGATGATGTGGTATTCGTTCAAGAGAAGTGTTGTTATTAGGGATACTGACGGAATCGGCAGGTGCTCTATCGAAAGACGCCGTGGGAATACTTCTCGCTTGATCCGTATGACGTATTACATAAAGCTGTATTATGGACTACGTATGAGGACAGGGAGTGGGGAAGAAATATAAGTGCTGAATAAACTACATAACACCATTGCAATCCATAAAATATGTCCCGCCTACTCTAGCCCGACAATCTTGAGAACCAGATCAGAAATCCAGGCTGCAATTTTGGCCCATTGTCCCCTGTTAGGGGTGAGAAATTGGAAGCTTGTGGTGAGTCCATCCATCCCCAAGTCCTCCAGCCGCTTCTTCAGTCCATGCATTGAACTATCATCATCCGTAGTGCTGAGAGTAGACCTTGAGCTACCTTTCAAGGAAGATATAAAGATGTTGTCTTGAGACGCTCGGAAAATGCCCGATACAGTCTTGATTATAGCGGCGTTCCTGGTTTTTGCGAAGGCATCCTCGATTCTATCTTGCAATGTCTCGTATCTGTGGGGACAATTTTGAGTCAAGCCGAAGGGAAAATTAAACACAAGAACTTACACCATGAATGGAAGATTTGGATGAGCACTGCCAACATCCAATAGCAAGTTGTACAACATCTCGGTCTCAGCATTATCCCTCTGAGCCGTTGTGAGCATGGTCGTTGCAAACGTGACCGTCAATAGCGCAGCCGTGCTGTCCGTGACAGGAAGCATATTGATAGGCACTCGTGGAACAAAGTCATTCTCGCCCCGTACGGCGGTCGCACCCTGCAAGAGCTCCTCTGCATGGCAGTCTCGCAGGAGTCTGACATAAGAATCGCGGGTGGTGGAGAACGGGATAAGTGCGACAAAGTAGCCAAGGGCATCCTGGCAAAGCATAGACTGGGAACCAGAACTGTTGCACCGAACGGTGACCTGTGAGCAAACTCCTTAGCACCATTTCTGCGGACGATTTCAGTTGGTTAAGGCGAACGCCCTTGAAGATGATGGCCGCAAGAGAGAAGGAGAAACTAGACTCGAATGATAGACACAACAGGCGATCTAGTTGGCTGACAGTGTCTTCTAGCTGAGCCCGTCCGTCGAGTAGAACCTTGGGAATGGTAGTGCCGTCAAATGCACCGTGTTTCTCCAAAGTTTCGACCGCCGCGCGGAGTAGATCAGCAGCTTCTGCGTAAAAGGCGATATAACTGGACTGAAGGAGGGCAACGGCTAGCCAGAACAGCTGACATAGATAACTCGACCCTTCATCCAAGGCAGGGACGATTTTGCATATACACCTCAGCATGGAGGCAACAGTTATTGTGTCCGTTTCTGTGGACTGCCCAAGAGCTTGCTTGAAAGCAACCAACATTTGATACACGAGATCGTCGTCAACGTCAGAAGTTGCTAGGGTTCCGAGGACAAGGAACGCCCGGGACTGTATGACAGCGGGAAGCTGAAAAGCAGTAGACGTTGCCAAACTCATCCACCGTGCTCGCCATACATTCAAGAGACCTGGAAGCGAGTGAGGTATAGTCATAGTGAACCAAGTTTACCCTTACCTCTCGAGCCCGAGGCAACTTCCATGATCTTGGCAAGTAGTAGTGTCAACTCCTCATGTGAATCGATGGCTGCCCTGTCATTCGAGGGGTCGTAATTACAGTAATCACTTGTGCGTGATTGCCGGGTGAGGCCAAAGAGCTGAAGCTTTTCAGCTGTCATCATCTCGTCAACGAGAGCACGAAGATTAGGTCCGCTAGGGTCATCAGCCCTCGCAAGAAGTAGGGACTGAAGGAAGTTCATAACAAGCCCGTAGATCGACTTGCGTACCAGAGTCTGCCCAGTTCCAGCCACAAGAGTGACGACATGGCAGATGTCTGGGAAGTATAGTTGGTCATGGAAAGCTTGCTTGGAGTAGTTACTAGCCACATGAGCAAAGCGTGCCAAGGTGGCTATTTCGTTCCAATGAATATTTTCCGGCAGAGTTTTTGAAGGCTTAAGGGATGTCTTTCCAAGAACTTTGCGAAGCTTCACGAAGATCTTTCCTCGCATATTGATAGAGGAGAGGCCAGCTGCCGTCCGCGTTATAGTTTCGCATCTGCGTGAGCCTACACCACCGTCTGCTGCAGCACGGACCAGCTCGTCCAGCACAATGTTCAGTATTGACGAATCCTGTTTCCCGATCTCTGCCCAGATATGTTTATGGACCATTGATGATATCTGAAAATTCGTCAGCACCGGGGTGGGCTTGGACAAATAAACAATTACCTCGAGATCAGAGACAGTCAAGTCGATCAGCGAGCGAACGCAATCCCGTAAACGGGCACCCGAATGTTCGTACAATGGACCAGAGGGCATACAAAAGAATGCCAGATTCCTTACCCATGGACTCATGTACTGTAAACAATTGATGCGTTGCGCGACCTTCGCCTTGTCCATCCCTGAGGCCATCACGTTCAAGAAATCTAAGGTGATCTTTGGCGCAAAGCTCGCAAGGCGCTCGCTTAGGCCTATGACAAAGGTAGGGATATCACCAGGTAAGATGCCAGCTTTTGGACGGTTCGCCGGTTAGTGAATTTACGCTACGTTGAATGCAACAGCATACCTTTAGAAGTGATTACTGGATTTTTGTCGTAGTTCAGATACGAGCAAATAGCACCTAATAGATCGTAAGCTGCGCTACGGAGTTCCTCTTCTTCCGAGTCAATGTTGAGCATCCCAACATGGAGGAGGGTGGCGGATACATTCGAAAACCTAGGAAATCTTTCCGAACTGAAGGTATGATTGTCGCGAAGTTGACTCTTCGCAGCCCTGATAGACTGTAAACAAAGTCAGTTTGATGCGTGTTACTAATAGTGCTGGCTGACCTTCACAATAGCGTCACGAGACTGCGAAGAAAAGTAGGATGTAGAACTCGGTTTACTCAAGCGTATGATAAATTCGTTCGGGTCTAAGCCGGTCGAGACGTTGTAGACGTCACTAACATCCGCGAGAGGGATGATCTCTGTACATTTGCAAGACAAAGAAGGTGATATTACGACAGCTCGTATCTGCTGAGTGGTTAGTTCAGCCAGGATGCCTGATAAAGTCTCCTGACCGATGTTATACGGATGTGTGTGACCGCAACCTCCATTTTAACGGGCATGCGAATGTCCTGAGCCTGTCTCATAGTCACGTCGGCAAAAGGTGAATTGTTTTCATCTTCCAAGGAGGCTATTGAAAAAAAGGAGGGAAAACAACAAAAATCAGAAGCAAAGCATCAATCATACTGGTACATACCAGGATATTCGAGTACAGAGCGACACCCCCGAGGGACATGTTGCATTAATTCCCGGACCGACGGACATATTTTCACACCAGATGAGAGAACCGTTCCTAGACAACTTGTTATTGAATATCGGAGGTGGCACGTGGCAGCATACCTGCTGATATATTGTACAGTCGCCTTAAGTACCGTTGCGTCAGTGAGTTGGCGTTGAGTACATAGATATTAGTAAATCGTTGCCGGACGTCGGAGGGGATTAGCTGTGAACATGTATTCATCCACTGGACGGGGATTTCGGACGTCGAGGTGAAGGAAGTGCAATCCAGAATGATCTCATAATATCTATGATTGTACTCTGCGCCGGTTAGGGTCTGATTTGTGGATCAACTTAGGTCTACATCTGAGGGTAATGAGCCTTACCTTCAAGATGTGATATATCAACAACTCGACTATCGAGGGCTTCTACATCTATTCTGCGGACGCGCAGGACAAAGATTGCAGGATGGTCCTAGAAAACGCACAGACATAATTAAGGGTTAGAAATTAGACTGCTCGCAGTACGCACCGTGGGAACGTCTGCCGGAACAAAAACTTCTCGTACTGACTCGATGCTTCGGTGAGCACATCGATTCATCAAACCGATGAAGTCCCGATGTTCGCGGCTGGGAAGCTGCGAGAAGCGAGGGACCTCGGGAGCTTCCTGGAGTTCCACCAAGAGGCTGCAAAGCTGGTCCCACGCACGCTTGGCGCCAACAGTCGAGGTTTCCTCGTTGGGTTTCACATAGCTCAACAATTCCTTGCCAATTTTGTCGGCATGTTTGTCCAGAAAGCGATGTAGAACGATAGTATCCGTGTCATCAGCCGATGTACCCAACCATTCACTTGACTGCTCCTCCGCGGCTGCAGCAGAGTATTTCTGAATGAAAATTCGCGTGGCTTAGCCCAGCAAGCAACATTAACATTTCACTCACGTTAACTTCGCTGAGATATCTTGTGACATTCGTGATGTTTGCTTTCAGAAACTCGTTCAAACCAACCATGTGCGCCTCCTTAGCGAAGAAGATGTTGTTCGCTAAATTTTGAACCACTTTCGCTATTACCATCAAGCCTCGACGGATGACAGCGTCGTCTTTAGGTACTTCCACGTCAACGATCTCGGGTGCGACAATAGCTGGCGAAATAAACCTGTGACGACGTCAGCTGGCAATATATACTGACCAAGTATGACGTACCGCAGGAATATAAAAGCTCCAAGTGCAGCAAATTTCGACTCGGGCCATACTTGATACACAGACCGGGCCAGATGAGCGCAAACCTCTCGAAACATTCTAAGGGGATGGCGTTCAAAAGCGGATCGAATCAACACCTTGCGATCACTTACGGCGGAAGGGCAGGCACCGACGCGCTAATGATGTCCAGGAAGCTGGACGCGATGAATTCCACGTCCTTCTTATTTTGTTCCAGCTTGTCGGGACTAACTCTGACAGGATCAAGGTCGTAAGCGTGACCAGGGGGCATCGCTGTCATGGCATTAATTAGAGGTGAGATCAAGCTGCGCAAGTAGTTGTAGCCATGGATTCTCGCAAACGCAGACAGGAACCGTGTACAGGTGGAGTTACTTCGAAAGAGGGCCGCGTCACTCTCTAAGCCACGCTGTCAGCGAGTGCGTTCCAAGGAACAGACAACTTCACCTGTGTGGGCAATTTCCCGATCAATCATGGTCTTCAAAAGAGCCATCAAGGAGGCACGAGTATCGAAGATGTTCATCAGCACCGAAATCATCATGTCGACTTCATTAGGAGGACAACACTCGCATATCACCATTGGAAGTACCATCTAGAAATTGGTCAGTAATGGTGGAAGAGCAGGCAGGATAAAGCTACAACAGATCCTTTCACGAGCTAAGTCACAAATCATGATGAGCTGGAGAAATAACACTGACACTAGCAGCTCACGTACCTCACGCAACTGGTTTCGTCGAGCTTGTAGTTCGAGGTTCCCTTGAGGTTCAAACTTGGTGCCTTTGCCCAATACGCGTGCGAAGACATGTACAAAGATCACACGCTTCCTAACATCATCATCGTATGCGGAAGCTATACAATGCTTCACACCGCTCTCCGAATTAGCGACCACCAGGTGGGACAACCCCGTTATGGCGAGATCTCGCAAGTCAGCCTCTTTGTGAGAGATTTGTGACTTCTAATCATAACATCAGCTAAGATCATCTTGTTCCACGATGTCTCCTTCACCTTTTGCAAGGAAGGAACATCCGAGCAGCTGTCCGAACTCTAACGTGAGTGTGAGCCATAGCCAACCAAACGTAAGCCAAACAAGTCTCACTAGCTTGTCTGGCTGACAAATCTCAAGAGCCCTCAGAAGCACCTGTGAATACCGAATAAAAAGCCGAGAGATCGCATGTCCCAAATCATCACCGTCGTGTGTCACATTGGTATCAATAGGTTGCAACTTGAGCCGGTCGAGAAGTTTGACAATCGTCTTCAGACAAGCCAAGTTGATGTCATACTGAAGCAGCTTTGCGTCAGCATCCCGATGCTGTTACGATCATCAGAGGTTCATTCGACTTTTTACAAAGGAAAAACTAACCATGGCAGGGTCTTGGAACCATTCCATAAGAATGTCCACTATACGGTTACGGGACATATCATCTTTCCGCAGAGTTAAGGTATCGTTACGTTCACAAACGCTGTCACAAAGGGTACAGAACTTCACACGCATGCGGTACGCTCCAAGATCGTCGAACCGGGAGATAAACTCAGCCAGAAGGTAAAGAATGGACCCCAGGTCGATGCTGAGAGCTTCGTCAGGTGGAGACTGAGCATTATCGACGAGCATTTTCAGGGCAGTTAGCAGCTTTAGGTGGCTGTAAGATACGAGTAACTGCGAAGGTAGGATAAGCAAACCTGTTCGAGGAACAATGCATACTCTTCCTTATAATCCATTCCTGCGCCCTCAGTGATATTACGAGTGATCCTGCGTAATTGAAGGTCACCGTAAATACGTTAATAAAAGAGGTTACTTACTCATCAAGATGCTTGAAAAGTTTCGATAGCAGACGGGGGTTTAGCTCCGACCCAATGGCCTCCTTCGCCGTTTCGCGAACGCGAGCGTTTTCGTCGACGAGGGCAGCAGTTAGGAACTCGATGAAAGTATTGACTAATTCTTCTGGGTCACGCAACGCCCGCATCTCGTCGGGAAGATATTCCCCCATAATAACGGTAGTTAGGGCAGTGGGAACGTGCCGCTCTTGAACTGTAGCACCGCCAAACGAGGCCAAGAACAACGTCAGATGTTTCCATTGGGTAAATTTTTCCTGAAAGCGATCATCAGTACAAGCCAAAGGCCGTTTAATGACTAAAGGGCTGACATCAAGCGATCGCAACTGTTCCTGTGAGGTCAGGTGATATTCATCAAACGCGGCGGGAACAGCCAATGGGTGAGAAATAATAAACTCTGACAGCGCACTCCATCTCCAAAAGCACTCCTCCCAGACAGCAATATATATGGGAGAAGAGTATGCTATTAAGCGCAAAAGCTTTCTGACGCGCTTCTGCTCTCGGACACGACCTAGGATATCTCAGCATAAAGGACTTCATCTAGTCACCTGACCTACCAACGATGACAACACTGGGATCTCCGAGCTGTTCATATATTGGATTTCGTTTCGATCGTTCCTCTTCGGTAAGTCCTGTGTTAATCGGAGCTTTGGGGTGGCGTTCCGCCTGCGCAATAGAACGAAGTCCCTGGGCAGCAAGTTGCGAAACCTCGCTGTTTGCGGACGTAAGCGACACCAGGAACGCAATCTCCGTCAATGCAAATGCGGGTAAACGTTTCGCACTGAACTGCACTTTTGCAGCCCGGTCGCCCTAAAGGAGACTATGAGAGGTGATGGGATTTTCCGTACCAACCCACAAACCTCGCTCTTCCTGTAGTAGGCCTCGAGGACCTGAGAAGCGACGCTTATCCACATCCTCTGACTGTCTGGCTCCATCCTACTCATGAGAAGTTTCTTTGAAACACAGATCAAGGTGACAGACCTGTAACATTGGGTTCATGTCAACAAGAAATGAGGGAGGCTAAAACTTACAATAACCCTTCCATCCAAGATTCCAGCCTGTCATGAGAGGGATCCTCGGGATCCATGCGGAAGTATATATCCGTGAGCTGCTGAATAGTCATGGCCGCTCCGATCTTCACCGCTGTGTCTGCCTCAGAGTCCCAAATCCGGGCAGCAGTGGCAAGCCAGTCATCGAAATGAGAGCTGTCGATCTGCGAGATATAATAATCTGGAGAAGCTCTCCATAGTGTAAGAACGGCAATAAGCAACAAATCGGTATCAGGAAGAGTCTCGGATGTGAAACGCTTCGCCTTGGGTCGATCTGCCGCTCTCCTCAGAATACCGCTGCTATCAATTTCACTACCGCGAATAGAGGCCACCTGAGGAAAAATGAGTTATCGTATTCCTCCGACGTGTTTCAATTTACCCCGTAAATAGCCCGCAGTCTAGGACCGACAATAGATCTGAGTTTATCCAGTGAGCCTTGCCACGGAAGACGAGAGGCCTGATGCACTATATTTATCCTCTATTACGGTTCTATGTTTGCTATACATACCTCAGCGGCGAGCGTCGTACAAGCCTTGATAGCACAGATCTTGACGGCGTCAGACCGTTCAGGTTCCAAGCACGACGCAAATATCGGAAGCGACTCTTCTTCAGGCAAAAACCTAAAGGTGGTGACGAGCGCTTCAGCCCACGTTGCAACATCAACCTCTTCATAGGATTCCCAGAACGGACGCTGCTTAGCCGAGCATAGAATAACTCCCTACAATACAAAAGTTAAGCAGTCCTAGGACGAACAGGGGTTGGAACACCCACCTTAACCTCATGCGCTATATCCGCAGCAATATGCCTCACAGGCATCTCCCCCTCCGGAGATATCCTAAATCCTGCACGACACATGTCGATGGCGCAAACGATCGCCACGTCCGTTAACTTTGTATTCGAGTTGAAGTGTCTAAGAAGTTCTTCCACGAAACGTATGTCCTTATGGGGGTGTTAATTGACACTGATAATATTTAACTGGGAACCATACTTTGCGCTGGGTAGATGTCTTTTGCAGCACATTGAAACTTGAAGTATGAGAATGACTAGGAGTTTGATATTCCAAGCTGACACGATCCGGTGATAGACAAGCAAGGATTGTCAGCGTCGGCCACAGGGCACGCTCTCGTCCAGGTTCGTTGGCCATATATAGCAAATCAAACACTCGTTCTGGTGCACCCTCCAATCTACCCCTCGATCTAACCGCCTCGTTAAACTCTTGCGGATACAGGTCAATCCAGTTCCACAACGCCATACGGAGTGGAATAGCAACGGCGGCCTGCGCTTGCTTCTTCATGTTCACGAGTAAAGAGGATAGCTCATGAAGAACCTGAGTGAGGCGTGTCCTATCCATGGCACTGTGCGTCATGAGCTGCAGGTCAACGGTATCCGGGTTGTCATCTTGAGTACTGGCCAAATGACGAATCCTCTGACGGATTCTGCTAAAGACGATAGGCCAATTCAATGCCGACAGATGAAACACGATTCGGCCAGCGAACTTGCTTATGAGGAGGTTGAGGGCCAATGTTGACTTCACTAATGCCATATGCGTCTTTTCGAAATGGAAAGAGCGAGTAAGATACAAATGACCCGAGCTAGCGGCGGACTGGAACGACGTAGACGAATTCTTGAACCTCAAAGCAGGTTTGGATGTTTCGGACATCGGGAACGGGACAGGGGGTCCGTTGACATTGGAAAATTCTTCGAATTCCGGAGAAGAGATAGGTAGATCGACAGACTCGAAATCACGTAATGAGGCATCAGGGGCCAAGTTGGACGAAGACATCAAACGACTGTCTGGAGGAGCAGTTTGACGTAAATACATCACCATAACACTCAGAATGTACCGGGCGCAGTTGTCATCCAGAGGAAATGGTTCTGGTCCAGCAGGTGCAGTGGAAGATAATTCTGATGGGACTTTTCCGCTGTGTAGAGTGGATCCCGAGTATTTGGGGGCACTGGCATTATCGGATGTGCAAAGGGAGGGTGATCCTCCTTGACTTGCATGCAAACTTGACCTTGCAATCTCGTCCTGGCGAGAGCTCCACCTTGACGCCATTGTGACAGACAATATCTTCAGGATAAAAAGTTGTGACTGAAGTGCTTCAGTTGTCATATGCCCATCCTCGTCAATTTGCTTCTCTATGGTTAGTGGGTGGGAAGTTATCACACAAACCACGTACTTTCGTGAGACGCTCAAGAAGCTCGCAGAGAGAATATGCGATGATATCTAAGGAATCATGTGCGAGATCGACCAGGGCGTCGACGGCACTTTGTGTTGCGGTGTCCGCTTCGATAATGTCGAGGGCATGCCCAGAATGCGACGGAAGCTAAATGGGCAAGTCAACCCGTCGTCAACTTGGATCGACATGAAACCAAAAACCTTGTCCTTTATCCTATTTATCAATGCCTGTACGATTCTTTGCTGCGGAGTTGCTGACGCAGCTGTGTAGGCTATGGACGGAAGTTGAGGAAGACAAGCAACAGTGAGCGTATGGTGGGAATCGTTGCTTTTGTGAACTCTGGAGATGCTTGGAACGGGATTGGAGTGACCCGCCGAGGCGGATGGTCGGCGAATAGGCATGGCCTCCGTGAAAGCCAGTACTGAACAAACGAAGCACCAACGGGTGAGACAGCTACACGCCCAACTGACACTATTATATAAGCACATGACCGCGTTTAATAGCAATTCCTATCACACCGGTACAATACAGGACTGCATCTAGTTGGACTAGGTCGTCAGGCGACGTTGCAACGTTAAGTGCTTGAGCGATTATCATCAGTACGATATGTCCCAAAGCTACTAACGGCGCACGAGAGACTCGAGAGCTTATACAACTGATTTGTTGAGAACGTGAGGGAACGAGGCAGAGGCAACGCGTTCCTTCCCTGATATTTCCACACTCGTGATGGTAGTGAAGGCACCGTTTACATGGGTTCAGATACAGTAACGAGATCACACAGCCACGGAGCCATGGATGATCGACAGGATGCAACACTGATACCTGCGCAGAGGATCATTGTTCGATATTTTGAGCAACAACTTATGGTGCTATTAAAGGTGACCGTAGTCAGTTCATCCGAATCTCTCGTAGGGGAACTGATCCAACTGGATGTCCACAACGCTGACTACTTCTTGGGGTTGGACAAGCTGGTGGTGGCTAACAGTAAAAACATATACCTGAGATTTCATTAATAGGAGGCAGTATACAGGAGACCCTAGGCTACGAACTAGAAACAGAGAGATACAAGTAACAAAGGGCTGCATGTCAAGTAAAGGGAGGATACATATAACAGTAACCAGGAACATCCAAACAACGCTAAAGCGTTTGAAATCGGTCACAGCTTAAACATGTTCTACACTCGCTAAGAGACCAGCACGGCCAGCAGCACCGATACCTTCCCCGGTTTCGTCACGGAGGGTGCCTGAGCCAGAGGCAATCTGATTTGACCCCCCTCCCAGCTGGCCCATGATGTCACTCTGGAGTTGCATGGGAACAAACACGACCTTCGAATTAGCGCTCCGCGCCATCTGCTGGAGGGCTTCAAGTTGACGAATTTGCATAGCAGCTGGTGAGGCGAGAATATCGGCAGCTTGACGCATGAGACGAGCCGCATCGACTTCGGCACGAGCAGCAATGACCTTGGATTCACCAATGCGCTTCTGTTGGGCGGCAGAAGAAAGAGAGGTAGCGACCTCTGGGCTAAAGAGGATATCCTTGATGAGAATGCCTTCGATGGCGACACCCCACTTGTCGGCAACATCGCCCACGATCTCTGCTATTTCAAATGCGATTGCGTCCCGTTCCGTGACAATGCTCTGCACAGCACGGGCGCCTACAACGTGCCGCAAAGTAGTCTGAGCGCGTTCGATCAGCGCTTGACGGAGATCACTGATGCCAAAAGCAGCACGATACGGGTTCGTAATCTGAAAATATATGACGGAATCACTGTTGTGACGTCAGTGACCCGTTTAGACCGCCGTTCGAGCTGAAAGCTTACATCTCGACGTTAACGTTGTCACGAGTGATGACCGTTTGTCTTCCAATGGAAATTATTTGGATCTTGACGTCCACTACGCGCAGGCTCTCCGTACAAACATTGACCTGTACAAGGCCAGGATCGACGGACTTGTAGAATTGTCCAAAACGTGTGACCAAGCCCACCGAGCCTAATCATATTTTGAGAACGGGGTTGTAGAACGCATGCGGACTGGATAGATACCTTGCTGAACATTACGGAACGGGTTGGGGCATGGGCAACAAGGTATCGCTCCGAGAAATCCTACGACGGTGCCCAGCCCATTAAGGAGCGACCCGTATGCCCCATGCTTCACCTACATAAACGTGAATATCACAAAATCCGAAGTATCTGCACCTAAAATGATCTCACTTGACCAGTGCCAAGATCTTGAGCATACGAAGGCTAGAAGTGCGGTTGTCAAGACACCATTGAATTTGAGCTACCACGCCTGCATACCTGCAACTCGCTGGCCCTCAAAGGCTGCACAGTTATCAGGTGTGCGTCCCCATGCATGCCCGCACGCTTGGCTGGTACATCGTCTGTCACTATACATGTTTCCTGGATGCATCTACGGGAGTGGCGGAGATGACTTACCATGTGGCGCATTGTGGTCTACGACGTTCCCATGAGATGATCCAGAGCCACCGGGAGAGGGCACACGGTCCTTGCGGTCGATGTCTTGAAGTCCGCTGGCTGACATGTTACGAATATGCACTAAGGAGAGGGGAAGGACGCTCAGGTTATATAAGAGGCGGAGAGCAATGAGCCTGGGTCAGCGTGACCTCCTTATGACCACTCGTCACGCGTCACGATCGTCAATGCGCAGCAACCATTGAATGGGGTTGTACAAGGCTGCACACAGGTTCACCGCCATTAATAGTAGTCGCACCGTTCGAAAAGAACTGAGAGAGTGCCTCGTTATTTTAGCCGTAGGTTCGTTGGGTGACGGAGACCGTCCTATTTCACCCGGGCGTCCACAGCAAACGTCAACGGGGACTTATCATATCGGATATGTACCGTATGCGACATGGCAGTGCTTTTCCACTGGAAATTCGACGCAGTCAGTGTTGAGCGTTGAACGTTGTCAACATATGACAGCTGGTTTCGGTTTGATGTTGTGTTGTTGAGCTTAACCGACACACCTCTTTGTGAAAGACGGCGCCTAGAAACACCAATCACCTTCATTCTTTCGGCTGCATGCAAAATGAGGTACTGGCTCATGAAAGCGGAGCCTGATTCACGCATCGTCAAGGGAAAGGACGTCAAGGTATGTGTGATGTTCTTTCAGTGCAATCGAATACAACCCGTTCCGTCTACCAGTTCAGTGTTGATGACTTTGAGGCTGTGGGGACGACAGCATGGGAAGGGGTCCGCAATTTCGAAGCAAGAAATCTGATGAAAGAAATGTCAATTGGAGACAAGGTCGGTCTGTAAGGTTCATCGCTCGACTCGGAACGTCTAGCAGGCATAGGTGTTGTTCTATCACTCAAACTGTAAGAATCCTGGTGAGGGTGCTTATCCTGACCAACAACTACCGTTTCTGATCGTAAGGTTTGGTGGCACACTATGGGTCAGGCGTTGCAGGTTTTGCGGAGGTATGCTGCGCATTTCATTTCTCTCCATCAGCGCTGATTTCCAAGTGCCGTTGCGCAGGTGTGCAAAGAAGCGTATCCAGACTGTGAGCACCTTAATCTACCTGGGCATTCCACTGACCAGTCCCGGCATCATGGCAGACACTGCGTGGGACAGGTTCGTTTATTTTTATGTGCGTCCTCCTGTATCTGAAATAGTGGGCGCACAGTTCCCACCCTTACTACGATCCAGTGAGGGGTTTTTCTTTTCAAATGTTTTCGGAGTTGTTTAAGAGTAACAGAAAACGAACAAGGAGGTACCAAAGTGGTTCATGGTAGATGTGAAGCTCCTTTCGCGCGCTCCGCACTTTGTGTCCTTATCCTTGTTGCGTCGCGTCGCTGGTGTATCGTCACATGATGCTCTGGAAGAAATTGCGTATGTGGGATCAGATGGGCTAAGAGCCATTAAAGGTCTGTTGACGAGTCTACGAGTTCGGCGATGGTGGTTTCTCAAGTGATATCCCTGCAGAAATGGCACTTCTGAATCGTGGCCGTCTGAGCGTCCAGAGGGTATCTGAAGCATGTTGGAGCGTCATTGAAGAGATGGCCAAAAGAGGTGGTTGGGAAGATGTGTCCTCTTCTCACAAGGCCAAGGCAAAGTTTACTAAAAGTGACCACACCAGGAAAACGGCGGAAAAGGACGCACGAGAAGATGTTAAGGATGGAATTAGGGGGAGTACTGAATCAAATGTGCCTGGATTGGGAAGCCCTGGTGTAACGAGTGGGAGGAGAGGACGCAAAAGGAAAGAATCGGATGGAGATGCGATCAACGCTCGTCGCAAATCCGCGAGAACGAAGTAGGACGGTGTTCACGCCCTATTTGCAAAATCACCAACTTATTGGTAGTCATGTGTTGTCCTTGTGACCGTTTCTGTTCCACCTTCGACGGTCGGCTCTTCTGGAATGAATTCCACGAAATGGTTATGTAAAGGTCCCTGGATCATATGATAGAATCCGTGCATTCGAAGTCATTGGGGAGGACGATCGTCGTCTTGAGCCTTCAATGCCACCAGAAATTCTGGCTCTTACTACATATACTTCAGCATGTGTTGGGGCAGTTCACCTTGAGGAACAAAGAGTGAACAACATCCCTTTTCCCACCTCTCGGGCTTTCAGCCGAACAGCCATTCTCTTCCGCGACTCACCTGGCTGCGCGTTCGCTGGTGTGAGCGTGGAGACCCTCTTGGTTGGACCAAATTTTCTGTTAATCGTTGTCATCAGCTTATAGATCGCAATGTGCAATTTCGCATGTATCGTGAAACCTCTGGCTTACATATCACTTCCATTCATCATCCTCCGATCCATTGCTTCCAACTCTCCGACTGGTCGTTATTACTGGAGGCTGACCGTTTTTCTCGGAACGTTGGTGGTGGCATCCACATGGGGCGTCGTAGTTGCCGTTGGCATGACCTTGATCGGTCGCCGAAACGATGTCAACTACATCGTCGCGCGCACTTTCTATGCCGTTGCTAGCTATGCACTTGACATCACCGTGGAGGTAGAAGGGGAGGAACATTTGCAAACCCGGCCTGCCGTTATGGTGGCCAACCACCAGAGCATGCTTGATATTTTATATTTGGGAAGGTCAGTATCTTTAGTCCATCTTCTATCTGGTCTGCTTGGCGCCTAATTTACTTTCATACAGGATGTTTCCCCAGAAAGCAGCCATCATGGCAAAGAGGGAGCTACAATGGACTCCACTGGGTCCTTGGATGTTCATGTCCGGTGCTGTATTTATCGACCGTGGCAATAGCTCCAAGGCTCGTGCGTCGCTGGAGGCTGCAGGGGAGAAGATCAAGTCCAAGCGCATTTCACTCATGATGTACCCCGAAGGTACACGACATTGTCAAGAAGAGCCTTCCCTTCTTCCCTTCAAGAAGGGAGCATTTCACATGGCGGCCCAGGCTGGGATACCGATAATACCCGTTGTCTGCGAAAATTATTGGAGGATATACCATAAGGGTGTCTTCGATACAGGGACCATCAAGCTGAGAGGTATGTTATCGTTATGAATCCGCCTCTATTGCCGCTCAACGTTATCACCATCGCCTTTTGGAAACAGTTCTCCCACCAATATCAACCGTTGGTTTGACCGTGGCAGATGTTTCTGAACTTGCGGCTCGTGTACGGGATCAGATGCTGGATACTTTACGTGAAATCTCAGCTAAGGTGACGGTAGCACAAGAATCAGATGAGATCCAACAACCTACGCCGGAACTCAAGCCTTCCTTGGCAAAAGAAGAGGATATACCGATAGAAACCAACAAAGTTCTGCCATCCGTGTTGGAGACGCCGAGCGAGGGGACAAGCGAAACCAGTGAAGTTGTCAAAGTCGCAAGGAGTTTGAGATTGGATGGTAGCGTGAGCGAGTACGGGGGGGAAACGGACGATGAAGGCAATGTCCTAGTTGGGCGACGGGACAATTCGTAACGGGATTTTGATTATGTAGCGTACGGCGCGATTTAGCAATAGTATTATGTACATGCATGCCTGGAATGCTGTTAGACAGATACCCCTCTCCCCCGCAACCTTGGTTATTACGCTTGTATCCTCTTTTGGGAGGAAAATTTGTCGCTACGACTAATATCCCCGTTCACGTCGCACCTGCAAGTTATTGCAACCACTTCGGCTTCTCTTGAGTGTTTCTCCGTTTGACAATAATTCGCCAGCGAAGCAAGTTGGTAATTTTATGAACCATATTGACTGATTTGTTTTTTCGGGGTTCGGAACGCAGGATCCTTGAGGGGCATGCATCCTGTAAGAGGGTCAGCTACTTCCTAAATCCCCTCTCAGTGATACGGTTGCGTCAAAAGCCAGCAGTACTGAAGAAGATCTGCTCTCCAGCGCCTCGGGAAGCATAAACACTGATTATCGGAACTCAGGAAAGCCATCGTGTTTATATACTCCGGAGTCTGGAGCTGGAGGTCCGTAGGTCTCCTTGCTGTTACGCTTGTCTCGGCGGGTCGGCAGGACGGGGTTGATTTAAAAGATCTGTATCGCCTTCCACCGTGGGGGGTTTCTTTTTTTTGTTGTTGTTGCTTCCTCGCGCTCCGATTAACGGATTATTATATAGTCACTCGGCTAGGCTGGTATATAAGGCCTGTTCTCCTTCAACCCCTTGGCATCCCACCCCCACTCCGTCTCTTACATACCACCGACATTTAATCAATCCTAATTTTCACCCCTCATGGCTGCAAGAATCTTGCCAGGTAAGAATCGGATCTATTCCGTCGTTATTCCATGACTCACATCACCTCTGTCCTACAGAATGCTGGGGTCACCGAGGGGTACGTGCTGAGCGATTTCCATCATCGCAAACGCCACATGCTATCATTCAGGCCTCTGCAACATTTCCTGAGAATACGCTCGCTAGCTTTGAAGCCGCCATCCGCGATGGGGCCGAGGGCATCGAGAGCGGTACTTCATAACCTTACCCATGATCCTTCTCCGTAACCTGTATCTCAGACGTGCACGTCTCTTTGGATGACGTTGTTGTAATGTTTCACGATCCAGGTAGGCTCATTGGTGCATTCGGGTTTCCCAAATTGGTAACTAAACGAATGTGTGTGCTCCTCATTAGCTCTGGAAAGAACCACCGGTTGCAAAGGTAAGAGTAACCTCCTTTGGTCATGCACGTTCGTGCTCTAAAACGGTTTGTCGTCATTAGGTTTGATTAGGGAGCGGAAATGGTACGGCGATGATGGGATGGAGCGCCTCCTCACGATCAAGGAACCACGGCAGTCCATTCCCACTTTCGCAGAAACTGTCGCCCTGCTGATGAAGGTAAACACACTATGATTATCACTTGCACGTCCACCGATTGCCTTTGTCATTAGCCAGAGAACCAACACGTCAAATTCAATGTTGACGTCAAGGTTCAAAATGATCCGGACCGTTTGTTTTTACTTATGCATGATATTATCTCGGTGCAGCCCGACTGGGAAACTAAACTTGCCCCTCGTATCCTGCTTGGCCTTTGGCACCCGCGGTTTGTTGCCTTTGCGAAAGCGAGGCTGCCTTATTGTCGGCGGTCTCATATTGGCGTCAGCACTGCTCTTGCTCGCAAGTATTTCTGGAATGACGTGGAGGTTTTCTCCATGTCGTTTGCATCGCTAGCAAGTGCGGACGGCTCCGGGTACGTCTCCACATCTTTCCAGTGCCTTCCAGACTTCCAAATATATTCTGCATATCATATTCAGATTCCGCGAAGAATGTAAGGCCGCGGGCAAGCGACTTATGGTATGGACTGTCAACAAACCGGAGCACATGATGGAAGTGAGTGATTCTGCGGGACTTTGGGGACACTGATAGCTCATTGACTGTCAGGCTGTTCGATGGGGTGTTGATGTTGTTATTACTGATGTCACGCAGAAATGGCTGGAACTTCGAGGAGCGCTACAAGGTACGCGAACTTGACACCAGTTCCAGCAACATTGCTGACTGTGCTGCAGTCGACTACGATACCATGCTTTCTCGGTACGGCCGGCTTTTCCTCTGGACGACGTGGCAGTTCTACTTCCCAGTCACATCATCTTGGGAAAGACTCACGAGGATGTACCTCGAAAGTGCTGCAGGCCCTTTCGACCATTTTGTGCTCCCTGAGCCAACAACTATAACTTCGAGAATTGCGTAGACGGAAATTGGAAGGTATCTAGAAGGGTGGTGATGTCGAAGTTCTTCTCATGCCATCTTGACACGTTGGAAACTTGGGAAAGGAATACTAGTATTACTTTGGATATAGACTTTCACGTCTTGGTACAATGGTTGGCTCGCGTACATGAATAAGCCTTGCTGAATTGGATTGAAGTGTGCCTGTGAGTGGTTTCCTATCGTCGGTGAGCACCTTCTGCTTCAGTGGCTACCTGGAGGAAAATCTATGGAATCTCTCTCCACACCAATCTTGGAGGTGGCCGAAATCCTGTGACACTGCATTCGAAGATAATTTTATAGATATTACTGTACAGGTCCCGACAGTTCTAATACGTAACACGACATGATGATGCTTGCTTAGTCAGCCAGGCCGTGGATCAACCGGCTGCACGGTTCTCCATCCGACCATCAATCTCTCTTCTAAACGCTAGCCAGCATGTAAGTGACCACTGACTTGGCACGCAGTGGCACCCATCTCATCTGTCGCATTCTCGCGTTCTCTTCTCAGCTGCTGCTAACCTGGATGAACACCTACCACAACCCTCACCTACCACCCCGTAAATCGCACCGCAAGCGCTTTTCTGTCTCGAGATTGTCCTCCGAAACAGTCCAGACACTACCGGAATACTCCTCCCCGCCTCGTTGGGCTCTCCCAGTTAAGCCTTTCCTGTTAGAGGAGGAAGAATCCGACAGGCCACCGGATTATCCCAGTGCAATAGACGATGCAGACGCAGATACGGAGGAGGATTGCGACCATTCCAGCATGCCCTCGAAGCGTCGGTCACCATCACACATTCGCAGGCGAAAACGTGTCCTGCCACCACGTCCGCCGGCGGACCCTTTCCTCGACACTCTACTGGAGCGCAGCGTGCATGCGCTCGAGTTGTCCAACGCGTTACTGCAGAGTTCCATGTCCACGCAGACAAGCTTGTCCACACTCCTTTCCCCTGCGGAAACCGAGCCAGACCGTACCTTGGAAGTGCGTGCGCGAAACTTATCCACACGCATTAGAGTCAACAGCGGGTTACATGCAACGTGGATGGACCACCTGGAGGAAATATCTCAAGACGTAGATAAGCTATTGGACGATAGTGTCTCATCTGATGACGAAGGTGCGGTGAGCCGCAGTCTTCCGACATCCACAGCGTCACGATTACGCCATCGAAGTAAACCGTCGCTTTTGGAGCTCAATGGAGCATCTTCTAGTACTTCACAGCTACAGTATTCACTTCCGGCGCGCGATAGTCTTATTGCACCCGCACCAAGGGCGCTGACTCAGTACGTTGAGTCATCGACTGACCCCGAAGTTATAATACTTCCATCCACGCTTGGTGTTCGCTCTTTTCCATCCACGCACTCTGCTAACTTGCGAAACCATTTACCCGATTCCACCCCACACACAATTCCCTCCCAGTCTTCCAGCTCCCCCTCCGAAATATCAGGTACCGCGTTATCAGCTTACCGTCTCCTTACAAAATTTGTGAAACGGCCCGAAGTTCCCTCCGAAGCTTCCTCTCGACTATTTGGCTTGCCTTCGAGGCGCGGGTCCACCGGTACTTCAAGTACAGAAAGGGGATCAGCGGTATCTTCGCCATCCTCCGTGCGAACAATACGATCGTCTCCTGGTGGCCGCTGTCGGCCGAGAACCCGAGCATCTACTCTTCGATCTCGTTCCGTGACGCCAATACGACGAGCGCCGCTGGCCCTGCGATCCACAACACCCCCGGTAGAGGTGCTGTCGGTGTCGTCCTCGGAGTCTACCACGTCTTCCGATCATCCCACCGGATATCGTGCAATGCAATCTCTGCGCAAAATTCTGGAAAAGCAACCATCATCCGTTTCCGTGGATGACGACTGTCGAAAGAGGGGGAACCACCACCGTACACGGAGTTTCCAGCCTGTGACACCTCCCCCTCCGCCAGTCTCAGCCGCGTCAAATGCTACGGCGTCTGTGTCGCGTCTGTTCACGAAAGGTCGGCACTCTCTGTCCACACGGCCTCCATCCCCTCCCGCGCATTCTTCTCTGAAAGTGCACTCCGTTCCCCCAACACCAGCACCATCTCCGAGCTCCGTCAGCTTGGTGGACTTACTCGGAAATGGCGTAGCCAAAGCGTTTGGAAGTGGCCCATCGTCAGGTACAAATACGCCGAAGCGCATCAGCTTTGCAGAGCTTCCTGAGTCTTACTCTAGCTTGCGGCCCAGTAGCTCGAAACTTCGGGATAAGAAGGGCAAGAAGAAGTCCAAATTAGAACCCGGGAGGGTGACAGAGGGAGAAAGTTCTGGCTGGTTTCACACTTGGCTGGGTGTTGGACCGTCCCCTTGGAGATCTCAAGAAGAGAGGATCGAGGAGCGGATGACAAGGGGTTGGGGAGCCAGGCCCGGGTATGGAACGATAGACGACTGGGCCGTCTAGAGCTTTGGCGTTCAAGGACTTCTGATTGGATCACGTAAGTTATACGGATACATGTGGGCTGTACTGATTTATTTGGCATTCACGATATGCTCATGCTTGTCATTATGTTTTATACCTCACCTTCAAATACCTATCGCTAACCAGCTATGATGTATTCTGCAACCTGATTCTGCTTGTTGGATGTAGTGTATCGCTTAACGAAAGAACAGGCATAGTTTGCATAAGATGTGGTAAATACATGTGAGATGCATAGGGGCCATAATCGAGCATAGATTTTACAAACAATGTCCGTAACGCACATCCCGCTGAACGAGTGCTTCATGTGAATGCTTGTCTGAATCGCTACAGGTATTTGAATCCGAGAGCGACAACGAGGCCGCCCACGAGACTAGCAATCATAACTTCGAAAATCCCATTCCGCTTGGCCATTTGCTCGTCGAAAACCAGGGTCCCTGGCATGCCTCGTTGCTGGCAATCGAGAGCATACCTGAGGTCGTCCTCACGGTCACTAACGAGGACCCACACCGTGCCATTTGCTTTCTCCCGTGGAAGCTTGGCAGTACCCGGGTAGCTAGGCGGGGCATCGATGATGCACACGTGTTTGCCTTCCTCCTCGGCGGCACGCGCTACTTCGGATATGTCCCCGCGGCGAGTGCGGAAAACTTTGAACAGGGGAGTACTGGCACGAAGAACGCCAGAGAGGTTGTCACTGGAATCAGATTGCGACCACGGGCTCCAGGAACGAGGTGTATCCGTAGGCATGGGGGTGAACTCGCCGGAATATTCACTCTGCGTGGATCCCAAGTCGTCGTCATTGTTATTCCCAACGCCCCCTAGGTCCTCGCGGTCGTCAGTGAGCTCTTCCTTAATCTCTTGGAGAGTAACGCTGCCGGCGAAACGACCTCCCTGAATGCTGGCTTGGTATTCGGAGTTGAGCTCAGTTGGCGTGAGGGAAGCCCTTTCTAACCCGGCGAGGCCACTGAACGGAAGATCGGGCGGCGGAGACTTCCAGTTAGGATTTTTCCAATGCCAGCTGTCCCCAGGGGGAGGCTTGAACGTCGGTGTATAAGCAGGAGGGGGGACCGGACTTGGGGAAGGGGACGGAGACACGGGAGGAGAGGGGAGTGGAGTGGAACCTAAATGGCTCCGGGTCGACAGCGATTCGGCGACACTAACCTCAGACGCAGCGCGATCCTTGTCCATGCCAGTGGTGGAAGTAGAAGAATCAGGGCATATGAATTTGCCTCTTCCTTTCCGTGTATGACCTTGCATCATCGTCCCACACTGGTGGCACTGGGGACGTTTCCTGCCGCTAGACATTCCTATCTGGATAAAGAGTGTGCCGGAAGCTGATGATCGTTTGGTCTCCTGCTCAATGATAAGCATACGAACCTTAAGGTGAAGGAGGCATTGCCTCACTTACCTGCTGCAATCCTAAACTTGGATGTCAACGGGGCGTCTGTTCAGCTGCCTCCGGATTTATATCAGTGGAGACCATCAACACTCGGGGAAGTCAACATTATTCCCGAGCGATTAAAAAAAAAAACAAGACCGTCCTGTTTGCTATGAAGGTTGAAAGGACAAGGATGTACGAGAATCAGTCAACATTCACGAAGCAGGGATCGGAAGACAAGGAGGCCTTGTAGTGTGTATCCTCGATGCCTTGTCTTCATGCATTTGTTGCTAAGTAGGCTTGTGCTTGTTGGACTTACCAAATAAGCGCCGAGGCAACACCGGAGGACAAGGTATCACCATACACCAACCCCGTATACGTAAGGCACCCTCATATGCGTGCAGCGGGCTCAATTATGTACCTTCGCGCGGTCGCAACCTGGAGTACGGTCTTTCACTGGAATATACAGATAAAGAGAATAGTACAATACATCATATGCGAGACGCGATATTGCTGATTCCACCATCATACCAAAAAAGATGCGACTGTAGCAGTGGCACGTCAGTGAACTCACGGCGTTCGCACCCCCACCGGCCGGGTACAGCCCAAGTGCACCAAGGGAATAAGCAAGGGTGATATGATATGGCGGCATCTTAAGAGTCCGAGCTGCAACCCCGGCATCCTATAGTCAAAAGTCATGATTAGTGACGAACGTCCTTCCCAGCACGAAAAGTAGACGAACCACAGTGGGCACACTCCACAACAGTTCCGGGGCGAATCTGAGCCTTCGGAACACGACAAATGCACGTTGAACCTTGGTAGTTCATGTCCTAAACTCGATTCAGCACAACGCCCTCGGTTAACGTTATGCATGGCAACGCACTCTTGTCTGGATACACCGCAAGCAACACAACTTTTCGTAGCCTGTTTTCTTCCATTTGGCAATCAAGCTGAAATTTTTGTCAGCGGACGTTACAACTGCTGTGTGAATGCTACAAGGGCTCACTTTGCATCTGCGTAGCCTTCCTTCAACAACCAGTCGTAAAGTTCCTTTGAAACAGCTTCGCGTTTGTAGTAAAGCTCATATATATACCGCGAGCGCGAATGCGAAATGCGCATGATAGGCCATAGCGACTCCGCCTTGCGTTTACCTTCGTGGGACTCATTTTCAGCGTCTCTCATCTTCTTCGCATAGTCATCGAGAATCTGCAGAAATTGAATACAGGTGTACGAGGATCAGCGAAAAACTGACGCTCTCAATATCCTCGAAACCTTCTGGGGGTCTTTTTGTCCTGCTCGTTCGTATCTTGGGCATTGTAGCTACTAGCGAACCGCAGAATTGCTGTGAAGCTCGACCTTGCTGATGTAAGTTCTCAGATTCCTTTTTTGAGCTGTATCATTTCTTCTCAGCCTTGCTCTGATCAACTATCAGCCTATCAGCACTTTAGCTACCAGAAATCAACGGCCTTTTGATCCACCTTCACATGCTTTGTTCCCAGCTGGTTCATCCGTGAAAACAAACTCGGAATGCCTGCTAAATGTCCAGCGGTGCGTCTTCGTTTACGTTTGGATAAAATCAGTTCCGGACTATTCAAATACGATTGTCGATGGGCTGCCAATCACTGCGTGGCTACTACTGGGGCTCTTCTGGTCTATACTGACAATTCCCCAGTTAGGGCTAAGGCGATACAGTCTCGCAGGTGGCCGCTCGATAAGCCCTTTTTCTTCCATGATATTCTGACGTGATAGGTGATCGATAATCTCCCAAACACGCCAACGATGCAAAGGCCATGCGCACACTGCACAGCTGTATTCTAATTTGGAGAGTCAGTGAAGATGGCTATGTATTAGCCGTCACACCGGTTTTCCGTTAAGATTCCTTGGTCTGGCGTACGCCTGTGTCTTGTGAACATTACACCGGGTTGCCATACGCCATGAACAATGCTCCACCACATCTCCATGCTGGACGCGTGCTGGAACCGAACGTCACGGCCATGGCCTTTTCCAAGCGAGGTGCTTGCGGCTTGTGGACAGCGGTGGGCTCACCAAGACGGCGAACACTCTTGCTCCACCGATCAGGGGAAAGGCGGCTATTGGATAAAGTGAGGGCCTGAGGCCCTCGTCTTTGCCTCATGTTCTGTTCTCCGTGTCGGTAGTACTCGTTGCCTTTGACTGAGTGTATCCCAGGTCCTCTGCTTGAGCTTTTCAACAAACCGCAAGTCATTCTGAAACAGCATGAGGGGTAACTCAATTGTATTCTGCGATGGAAGGAACTTGGCGGTGCTACGTAGCTCTTCCCTGTATGTGAAATTCGTTCATTGGACTACATAGCTTATGTAATGAGGTGAAAACGCGCATCGATTCCACTCAACGTGCCCGTTGAAGTGACTGAACACGCTCTCCATCGTTACAACGCTACTCCTTTTCCTTTCTGACCACATCTTTGAATGATTGTTTGCTCCAAAACTTGAGTATGCCTCTGGTCGTACCCGCTCTACGCTTGTTTCTCGTCTTCTTGAACATATACGAGACATTCAAGACCCTCAAGTTTCCACCTCCCAGACGAGGTGGACAGCCCAGCGCTCGAGCGTTGTCTCAAAGGAAAAGGGACCTTAAAGGATGCCTAGCAATTTGGGTCGTTTGGGTAGGGGCACATATTGCAATACTCATTGGATTCATGCCTCATTCCAACTCCCTAGTGCTGTTATGCAGCATATGAGAGGACTTGTGACCGAGTTTTCGGTTTTCTTGTACCCTTCCACAGCGAGATGAAGTCGGTGTTGCTGCTCTTCCTTCTTGTTACCCGTGCCAAAGTGTGTGAGATCTAAGGTCGTCTGACATGTCCCAAGAAACTGACTACGACATAGGGAGCCGAGCCCCTGTATCTACATGTCATCCGACCTTTCATCAAACCCTACTCCATAATCGTGGATCCAGCTCTTGAAATTGTACGTGATGTAGGCGATTTCCTATTCGCCCTTTCACAAGTTCCCGTGGACTACGTCCGCTCAACATGGCCACTGGCATGGCCTATTGGAGAGTCCGACACTGGTCGTGACTGCCCGCCGGAAGAGTTAGCCAATTTTACTCTTACGAGTCGCACCGTTACTATTCCACTTCCTAAAACCTACGAAGCCGTGCAAGCGCCTCGAGATAAACACTCGACTTCAGTGCGTAGCGTATCCGATAGCAAGCGGCGTTCGAATAGTCGCCAGTCGATTTACGCTTCTCGCGGACGTCACGCTAAATCTACATCTACTGCAACTCTCCCTCAGTATAGTGCTCACCCTCCGTCGCATGAACCCCCTCAGTACTCACAGACTCTACCACGTGGGAGAAATCAAAATCACTACCCTCCCGTCTCTACACACGGCAATGACCTTTTAGGTGACCCGTCTACACCTGGATTTACGCGGTCTTTATCGTATCATCCTGTACGCGAATACCAGTCGGATGAGTGGAGGGTATACCCTGCGTTCCCGTCCGCATACCCGCCAACTCCCTTGCCTGTGCTGGCGTCGCTCCCTAGCCCAGTTGCTCGATCAAAATCCGACAGCCACCACCCTCCGATACCCGAGGACACACCGGATTTTCACATGCCGCTTGAACAGCACCCCAGCTCCGTACACGACTCAAACCAAGGACATGGTGGCAACTCTGGGGTGCAAAAGCGACGTGATCGTCTCGAACCTGATAACGAATCAGCCGACGATACCGGCGATGAAGGAAGCCAGACTGATCTGAGCGAGCATTCTCGCGCTGGTGACGACAGCGATTATGATTACAACGCAACGATGAGAACACCTTATCGCTATCTCTATTCGAATGGCGTCGATCCCAGTCCTGCAGTTTCCTCTGCGAGTGTGGCGAGTCAATCCACCACTCTGTCCACTGCGGATAATGCGTCATCCTATCACGGCAGGACTTCCATGGAGTCCCTTTACTCCTCCGACTCCTCCGCCCCTAGGGAAAGCCATGCATACGTTCTGCGCTCTCGAAATGCCACCCTACGTGGGAGGCCCGCGGGTGCTCGTTTGTCCCGTGATCCCCTACAATCAAGCGCGAGCGAAACTCCGGACGAAGACAGCGAAGATAGTGGTATAGGCGTGAAACCACAACCTGTGCTGCAACCGGTGAGACGTGCTAGTCATGTGCGACCTGTTGCGAGAGCAGCAGTCACTACTCGTAATAAGACAGCCGTCGCTACTACGGCCGTGCCTATCCGCGCGAAAACTGTGACAGCTGCGTCGCGGGGACGTGGCTCAGGACGACCTACTAGCTCTAGTGTTTCTACTATTCGTGCCACTCGCAGTAGTGGAGTTCCTTACCGGGGTCGAGGGGGGGTCACGGAATTTGGGGTAGGAAGAACCACTTCCAACTCGCGGACGGGAACTGTAAGAGAGGAAGGCAGGTTGACTTGCAAACCTCTCGGACTGAGTACAGTGTTGTTGATGTCGGACCCACCGTGCCGTAAGTGATTCTCACTGTACTATATCCATCGTGTAGCACCACAGTCGTGTTATGATCTGTCCAGAGCCACTCTGATTTGTAGTCTCGAGAGAAAATTCGTTTAATGCATGCCTCTCGTTGAAGTGAATCGACATCATGGGTTGGTATTGTCATCACTTGTGGGGTACCAGCCCCGCACATACGCTCATGCTCCCGAAGCTTCTGTGAAGCCACCTCAATTTGCTTCCGATATCAACTGTCGCGTGCCTTGTAATTTCATACGTAGTGCTGCCTTCGTTCCGCTTCGCTGGTTTCCCCCGAAGTATGCAGTGATCTCATAAGTAATTTCCAAAGGGATATATATATCGCGTGCCACGGTCAGGCTCTCAACTTGTACTTGACACTTGGCATCCAGCGCCATGCAGCCTGGCGTCAATCCTGACGAACCCCCGCCAGCGTACTCAGTTCGCATCCCGGGGCCATTGCCCTCTCGGCATTCACCACAAGAAGGGATGCCGGGACACTACCCCTACAGACACGTTGATGATCACTATTCTCAATTTGGACCATCCCCCCTCGTGCAATCCCAGCCGACGCTTGGGATGGTGCCATACCATGATCCCCAGTCGGCTTATTCGCTGCAGGCTGCGAACTCTCGAGCAAGGAGGAGGTTTTGGGGTGCGGCAGCGTGGGCGGTTGGGATATTGTTGGTATCCAGTGGGATTTGGATGCTGTCAAGTGAGTGGGTCGACGCATGGTGAGTTCGATCTGTCCGAGATGGATATAGCCTGCTGACATGTCTCAGACCACAACCAATTGCGCTCTTCCCAAATGATAATATGTGATCTTGTACTTGCTATGCCCCTGTAGTATACACACACAATATTATTGTCGTCGCGTCCGAGTCGGTGTCTCGGTCTGACATAATGCAAGCTGGTCGAATTATTGCAGGCGGGGGGTCGTGATGTGACCACCCTCCTTCGGTCTTTTCCTTTGTCTCGTCCACCCATCATCGACATTTTACGGAAAGCCGCCACACCACAATCCCATTAGATAGGTTTGCGTCTGCGTGCTCTGCATGGCGCGGAGAGGGCCAGAACTGATTCCACATGTTCATTCCATCAAGGATGCAGTGCTTGGCTGGGATGGGATGAGATGAGGGGTCGTGGGAAAGACACAGGGACGGGGTCCGTGCGTGGGAAGATGTGTGACATGTGTGACCCAAATAATGGCGGGGTTTGTTTTGAATTTTTCGGTTGATTTGTTGTCGGCCCCGCGCGCCTTGTTTTTGCACCTTCACACACTCGATCGCCCGTCGACCACCCCCCGTGGTCTACCAACTGAACACCGTCGCTCGCCGCCTGCCCCCAGTCCCGTCTCGCTGTTCTCCACGTCGCCCGGCGTATAATTCCCTTATTTATCTGCCGTCGCTGACCCCCTCGACCACCCCGTCGCGCATCGGCATCTCTCTCCGGCTGTATCCATATCTCTCCCTCCTCTGCGTTACCCCTCTTCTCCGGTGGATGTCCCCCATCCCTCTGTAATCAACCTGGCGTCCTCTTCGCAACCACAGGGTCTCGAGGAAGACCTCATCAACCGCTCTCTCCTAGACTCCCTCGAAGCCCAGGGAGACGCTGAACCCTCCCTCCTCTCCCCCTCACAGCAGTTCCCCATGGCCCAGCCCTCCTCCAAACAAGACCCAGAGGCTACCTCTCCCGATGCTGCGGAGGCCAGTCCCTTTCCTTCCCTGCCCTTCCGTCTTGCTCCTCACCCCAGTCCCCACTCACAGGCCAACGATTTCTTCCTGCGTGCATCCCACTTTCCTCACCATATCGACAGCAACAACCTTCACCCAAACCCAGAGTCGCTGTTCACGCAGAACGACCCTCACTCTCTGTACAACAGTGCCAACAATATCCATCTTACTCCTGACTATCCTTCCGACCCGGACAATACCCCTATCAAACAGCCCTCTTCCAAGTCCCCCAACGATCTTGGTGCCGGACCTTTCAGATCCTCCTTTGTCCCTTTCAGTGGCATCAATGGCGCACATTCCCCCAACAACAGCGTACCTAATGTACCACCCAGTTCTTTCCGCATGCGCCAACATGAGGGCCTTCTGAGTGGTTCACAATCCTTTGGAAACGCAACCGAGGTCTACGGTAGCCACCAACCTCTGGGGTTGAAGCACCAACTCTCTCAACAGGGCGTGTCTTCGTCATCAGCGTTCGAGACCCGCAGTGCCGACTATGGACCTAATGTGCCATTGAGCACCAAACCTTCGCAGCCATTCACAATGGACCCGTTCGTGCAGTCCCACTCTGCGAAGTTGCAGTCTCAGCCCCACGATTCTTTTCACCCCCTTTCCCACAACCCCTCTGCTCCCCAACCGCCTTACCTGAATGGGGTACATGTGCAAAGCCAGACTCCCTATGGCCCCCATCTTCAATCCAATGGTAATCCGAGGGGGGCAGGATCTGCGGGACAGCCAAACAGCGCCATCGACCCCCCTGGCAATCAGCAAGAGGAGATTTCCACCATCTTTGTTGTTGGGTTCCCTGACGATATGCAGGTGAGTATCTTAGGGCCAACGGAATATCTTTGTTTGGCTGAGTTTGCTCTAGGAACGCGAATTCCAAAACATGTTCACTTTCTCTTCGGGCTTTGAGGCTGCCACCCTGAAGATCCCAAACAAGGAATACACAGCCTACGGCACAGGCGGTACAGCTTCCAACTTACCTTTTCGTGGGGGCCAGTCCTATACTTCATACCTCAATTCCGGACAGAACGACCCCTATAACATCGTCACCGTTAACCAAGGTGGGGTTGTTGTCGATAACGGGAGGGACGGCCCTACAACGTCGTGGCCTCCCCTCGCTATGCAACTTCCAGATGATCCCGGTCATTTCCAGGGAGGTTCCGGTGGTCAGCCTTCTCGTAAGCAGATTATAGGGTTCGCCAAATTCCGCACTCGTCAAGAGGCTCTCGATGCGAGAGATGTTCTCCAGGGTCGCCGGATCGATGTCGAGAAAGGCGCGGTTTTGAAAGCCGAGATGGCAAAGAAAAACTTGCATACCAAACGTGGCGTTGGCATCGGGAACACGAACCCATCCGGCAACAATGGCATAAATACCCTTGGGAGCCTGGGTCCGAACATTGCTGGCCTCGCCAACTTGAATGGCATCAGCGTTACTCCCGACGCTTTGGCAGGGCTCACAGCAGGGCTTGGCCTCAATGCTAACCTGGGCCTGAATTCTTTAGGAGGCAGCGATCCTCATCCCGTTCGCGAAGCCACACTCAGTGCTATGGGCTACAGGAACCTCGGTGGCGGCTGGAGAGACGGGAGGCTTGGTGACAGTAGCGAGGAGGAAAGGGACCGCGATGAGCGGGAGAAAAGAAAGGAGGCACTTGCTATGGGTTTAAGTGCTACCCGCGGGGCTCGTGAACGCGCTCTGGCAGAGGAAGAATTCCGGAGAAAGGACGTGAAACCAACCCAGAATGATACTCTTCGGGTAACCCCGACGCATGCCTCGCCATACGATGCGTTCTATTCCGTCTCGTCCTCGAGGGGTTCGCAAACCGGTTTTCTCTCTCCTAATGCGAATGCCCTGAATGGTGATGGCCCGCAATCGAATCAAGCTGGCAGCCCCTTTCCCGGCAATGGCTACGGAACGATCATCGCCCAAACATCTTTGAAAGATGATAACATTCAAATTCCGACCACCCGCGATGTGTCTATTGGTCCTTGGGACGTCGCTTTCCCGCGCGAGCGCGAGTCTCTTGCATATTCGGGCCTGTCGTTGTATGCAACTCGCAAGGGTCCGGCTGTTCCCGCGAGGCCTCCGTCATCTCAGGACGAGTCCCCAATGTCCAATCTGATGTTAGATGATGAGGGCATGTTACCCGCACACCGCTCTAGCGTCTTTCGCTCTACCCAGTTCTTCGGATCGGCGGACGAACCAGCTCAGTCACAAGGCGCTCGCCCATCACTGTCTGTTTCCAGTGCTGCGTCCAGTGCGGGGGCCACCCCAGAAGGGGAGGGTCCGGTGCCACTAGTCGTCAGTACTAGCGCTAAGGTCAGCGTAGGCAGTACCTCTCCTCAGCTTCCATCCCCGGCCTCCAATTCTGAGTCGGGAGTAAGCTCAGGGGGACATGCAGGCAGTCCTTCAAGTGCTGGTGGCGCCAACGCCTCCGGCGGGCCCGGTCCACGAAGTGCCCTTGTTGACCAGAACCCCCCGATCAATACGCTTTACGTTGGTAACTTGCCAACGGGCTCAGTGGGCGCTTATCCTACCGGTGTTCTCGAAGAGAACCTCAGAGAGTTGTTCTCTCGCCGTCCAGGCTATCGCAAGTTGTGTTTTAGGCAAAAGAGTAACGGGCCGATGTGTTTCGTGGAGGTAAGCTAACGCTATTCTTGTACGTCACACGTTATCTCATTCGTGCGAACAGTTCGAAGATGTACACCATGCCACAAAAGCGTTGAATGAGCTTTATGGTCACCCCCTTGGCGGACTGGTGAAGAACGGTGGTATTCGCTTGTCTTACAGTAAGAATCCCCTCGGTGTGCGAACGCCGACCAGTGCTGGCGCTGGGTCGTCTCAGCAGCAACAGAACGTTCAGTTGGCGAAGACATCCGCACTCCCTGCCGAAGCCTTCCAACAACGCCAGGGCTTCGAGGTAGATTCAAGTGTCACCGTTAATAGACGCGAAACCCCAAATGCAGCTTCCTTCAGTTATTCCCGGTCGCCTCCTCCGAGGTTTTTTTCTCCACCTCCGTCGGGTAGCTTCGGCGCGGTAGCCTCAGCTGCGCCTTTGAATACGACCGCCTTCCCACGTGGTTCTCATTCATTTGGGCTTTCTCTCGGTGGCTCTGGAGGACCAACTAACTTCTCGCCGTTCTCTCTCCCTCCGTCGTCGCCTCCCGCTCGGTCGAACGCACCGTCTTCGCATTCTATTATACCCGATCACACGAGCACGGAGGCCACCCTTTCTCATGGTCACCCTCAGCATTTCCCCCTTCGCACTTTGTCACCTTCGTCTGCCACGCTAGAGGCCGCCAGGGCCGGTTAAAGGGACAACCTATTTAAGTCCCGCTATTTCACCACCACACACGCAAGCATCTACCACGAACATCTGCACGTTCCTATATATCTGTACTTACACTCGTGACATGTTTGACTTCCTTCTCCATAACTCGTTTCGATCGCATGCCTTGAACCAGCTCGCAAACACCGTTTCTTCTGGACTGTCCATTTCGTCGATTTCACATTATTTTTTTTTTCACCCTTGTTCCACGAATCATTAATCGCAATCCTCCCCTCCCATTGACATACTACTACAGTCTGTTTCATTTGCCATGCCGCCTCATGTCGCCATCTCTATTCCTATTGCTGATATCTACTATAGTACTTTACTTTTCCCCTCCTTGTTTTTCGTATGCTGCGTACTGTGGGACGTGCGTTCCGCTTTTTCCAACCAGAATCTTGCGTTTCGCATACCTTTGTTCGTTGCCAGCTTTTTCGATTTGGGTTGAGCCTGCTAACTCCCCCCGTCATATTATCTGTTCCTGGTCATTGGTACCCTTCTGTATAGTACACCTACAAGTGCTGAATGGTTTTATGTTTATTGGTTTTAAAGGTGGTGCTTGGACAGGTCCGAAAATTTCATGTAAAAGACTCGCGCTATTTCCATAGGTATGCACCGAACTAGGACGTAGCGCCGTCTCTGACGGCAGCCGCTTTGTTGACGGCTGCCCCAGAGATGCCCGACCACACCCATAGGAGTCACGAGCATAATTCTTTCTAGTAGGAACGGAATCTGACTTCCGCCCGTCCGACCCGGTAAGCACCGTACGTTTATCCAACACCCGTCCTGCTGTATCCCAGACTCACCCGACCACAACCGAAGTCTAGGCTGGCAATCATTATGACCATTTATTTTGTGGTCTTGATGGGAAAGATTCCGAGCCAATAGCAGAGTCTTTGCCACGACGTTGGCCATGAACAGCGAAACGATGATACACCGAGAACCCCCCTATCGGCAGAAGTATTCGTGGACGAGGCTCAATAACATACTTCTCAGATCGGAATACTTAAATTAAATGAAGGGGTGGGTTGCAGGGTAAGACACCGCCTAGTCAATCACTAATCATGGGTCTATCCTTTGTCGCTGCCCAGTCTCTCTCACTGGCCTTTATTGCCCTAGACCTCAAGTCAAGTTCATGGCGTGTCATCGCCTGCAGTCTCGTTATCGGACTCATCGCAGCAGACATGGCCATCCTTGACACTGGGGTAGGATATTTTGACTATAGCTTCGGTGGAACCATGGGTGTCAGCATGCTGGATGCCATCCGCTTCTCGCTATTGACACGGCCTCTGGAAGAGTATCGTCACGAATCGGATAAGGTTCCTGCGTATCAACTGCCCTTCATCCAGAGATACCTCTGGCTCACGAGCATCTCAGCAAGGGGGATCGGGTGGTCCTTCAAGGTGAGAGGAACTTACAATGGCACGTTGAAACGAAGCTCAAGTTCAAGCTTGATTGTGCGTGGTAGGCAAGCCACAGTATACCTGTGGTCGAGCCGCAACACCGCACTCGCAAAGCGTTCATTGCCTCGCGGTTGCGTCGCATTTTCATATATTACTTTCTCTTCGAGGCAGCACTCCTGTACATTCGTCATAATCCTGTCTTCACATCTACGATTTCCCTTACTTCTCAAGGGTACCTCCTGTGTTGCGTCAACGCCCTCGTGATGCCCTGTCGCTTCTATGCCGGCATGATGTGCATCCATTCCACAGCAGCTATATTTGCAGTAGCCGCTAACATCCACGAGCCACAGTCGTGGCCGCCCCCGTTTGGGAACTGGGGAGATGCATACACTATTCGAAGGTTTTGGGGGTACGTACGAGTCCCAATTTTCCCGGCGATTTTGCACTCACAGCGACCCGTCTTGGTACTCGTCAGGAGGACATGGCATCAAAATTTCAGATATGTGAGTATGCGTCTTTCGTGACTCTCATCTATCTGTAGATCGTTGTTTCTCAGCCAAGCTCGCAGACCCTTATCATGTTTGGCCCTAACAGATGGAAAGAACGACCATGGGAGGATCAGTCGCCTTCAGGGGGATCTTCGACCCAACAGCCAAATCGGCGCGATTCTTGGGCGACGTCGTACCACAGGCTCTGCAATGCTTTCTTGTGTTCTGCTCTTATTCACGTGTGTGGGGATATCGTGCTCCAAATTCGGATAAGAAAAAATGTTACGACCAGCCCAAACATAATTGGGCTTTCTCTTCCCTTTTTCCTTCTGCAACCCGTAGGCGTGCTGATTGAGGACGCTGCAATCGGAATGGGGAAACGCATGGGCATGAAGATAGGAAGATGGAGCAAAATACTCGGATATACATGGGTGTGGGTATGGTTGTGTTGGACTTTGTTTCTCTGGGTGGATGGTTTGAAGAACGCTATCGAAGCTGCGTACCCTACGCTGGAACCGGGGAAGACAAGATACTTCTGTGTGACGGTGACAGAGAGGATTGTTAAGAAAGTTTTCGGTGTAGACCTTGCGTCTACGATATCGTCGTTGTTCACAGACTTGTAGAATATAATGAACATAGGCAAATATTGATACAGGGCCAGTCGTCTGGTATGGAACCTATACTAATATGTCCCATTCATCTAGCAATGTGTGGTGCCATCGGGCACATAACATGGTATGCATCAGAAAACCACCAAATTGCAATCATCCGGCAGAGAAAGAGAAGATATCCATCAAAGTAGTTGCCCTTGGCTAGTCAGTATGGTCTCTCGCTGATAATGCTTTTCGACTGCACTACCCGCGGGTTTATACCACACTGCCATTGGACGATACCGCGGGTGGTATGGGTCAATGTCAACCCGTCCCCGCTGGGTATACGGTGTTGGCGGGTACCCTAGCGACAGCATGTGCCTGATACGTGGCCAGGACCTAATATGTACTTGTCCCATTGTAAGCCTGACGATGATACCTGGATCTGTAAAGCGGGAACTTTTCACGCCAAGTAGTGCTAGTACGTACCGTATGCTAGACTTGGAGTTGGTTCCTACTTTCTCGAAGTATATCTTAGAATTCGTTTTCGTAGGGTAATGCAATGGTCCAGTACGAATCACAGTGCTAGTTCCATCCGACCAACAAGTACCAATGGGCCTTACCACCGTATGCCACGGGCAGAACAACGGCGACCTGGAAACATCCATTTTGAAGAGGTCAACAGCTCGAAACATTGCGTAGAATTCAATTATACGGACGTTTGAATGTGACCTACCGGTCAAAACGTGCCATAGCTCCGTGCCAGCGACACGGGCTCAAAGATCACCCACGGATCCGCCGCAGGTTTATGCAACACTGGGTAAACCTGGAGGTGCAATCCCTGGTCAGATCATCTGAACGGCACAATAGCGATGCACGACCCGTATCATACATATCAAATTCCCCCCCATCTGGAGTCTTATCGTGGTAAAAGCACATAAATCCTGAATTTTGAGGTTGTGTAGCATCCTCGTTCATTGCCCCATACAAGTCGACTGTGACAGCCGATGGGCTTGCTTTTTATCATTGCCAGATGCCTTACATCGGCCGTTGCCGCCTTAAACTTCGAATCGACCTCGTACCGTATCCTTGGTTGCGGTCTCGTCGTTGCGCTCATCGCGGAAGACATGACAGTTTCTCACACTGGGACCGGCCATTTTGACTACCTCTTTGGCAGCACCCTGGGTATTGCTGTACTGGACACCATCCGGTTTTTGCTATTGGCGCGACCCCTGGAGGAGTATCGTCATGAAACAGACGAGGTCCCTGCGTATCAGTTGCCGTACATCCAGAGATTTTTCTGGCTCATGAGTATCTCACCCAGGGGTATCGGGTGGTCATTCAAGGTGACGGAGTTAATGCTAGGTCGACCTAGGCTGACCTAATGGCAGGCCGACCACAGTGTGCCCTCTGTTGAACCACATCATCTGACCCGAGGGGCATTCGTCACTTCGCGGTTGCGTCGCACATTCGCTTATTACCTTCTCTTTGAAACTGCCCATCTGTACATTCGTTGTAACCCAGTTTTCTCCTCTGAGGAACCTCTCTTTTCGCAAGGGTATTTTCTGGGTTGGCTTAACACCGTGGCGATACCTGGGAGCGTCTACGCAGGTCTCAATTGGACTTATTCCCTATCGGCTGTGATCTTGGTGGGATCTTCTCTCCATGAGCCACGTTCATGGCCAGTTCCTTTCGGGAAGTGGAAAGATGCGTATACCATTCGAAGGTTCTGGGGGTGCGTTGAGATCTGAATACCATCATGTTGATCGCTTACGCTACTGGGCCATCGTTGATGTCTCTTAGACGGACCTGGCATCAATTCCTTCGATCCGTGAGCATTTATTCTTCACCTGGGCTGCCAGCACACGTGTACTCGTATCTGACTTCACCCGCAGACCCTCACTCTCTTTGGTCCTCACCAGCAGAAACGTCGTCCTTGGGATCGTGATTCTTCATCGGATTCTTCGAACCCCAAGCTAAAGGAACGTGAGCCATGGGTAAAATTATATATCAGGCTCTGTAATGCTTTCCTTTGCTCCGCATTCATACACACGTGCGGGGATGTCGTGCTCCAGTTCAAAATATGGGAAAATCCCTTACCCAGTACCAGTCCTCTTCAGAGGGTGAGCCACCCCAACATTATAGGATTTTCCATTCGATTCTTTTTGCTGCAACCTCTTGGTGTGCTAGTGGAGGAAGCCATTATGGAAGCAGGGAAACGGCTAGGATTGAGGAAGGGGATGTGGGTGAAGGCGATCGGATACCTGTGGGTATCGCTATGGATAAGCTATTCCGCGCATTTCTTAATTCAGGATCTCAAAAACGCTATTCTTACCGCATATCCTGTGCCGGAAGGTAGAGGAGCGGGAGTTAGCGTAACTGTGCTTGAAAGAGTTGCTAACAAGCTATTTGGTATAGACCTTGCAGCCGCAATCAGGTCTTGGTTGGTGGAGTGACAAGTCAGGCCGAAGAGTAGAGGGAAAAAATGGGGTAGCACGACGTGGTTCCCTTCTCCAGGAAGTTGGCAAGAAAGATATTGGTTGCTGGCAGAACCTGCGAAAAGTCTGCAAGTAGCCACGCGTAGTCACCCTAGATTGTGCCATACAGAATATCCCTACGCACTTAAAGTTGAATCTGACCCAAGCCAACCAATCTTGCGTTCAAACTTCGGATTCAATGAGCGTCAACACGATTGCAGTCTTGAAAAATCAACTATATACCTGAAACGCCCGGGCCTTTTCGTTCTTGCACTGGCAGTTTGTGAGCCAAACCTCAAGGCAGATATATTGTGCTCTATCAATTTCGGTTGCTGCTTCCTTTAACTCCGTGGGTAATCCAATGCGGAAAATCAAAGAACGAGTCGTACCAATACCTGTCAACCTCATGGAGAACAAGATAGAAGCATTGCCACGGTACTGGACTGGAATTTGCTTGAGAACATGAGATCTGCCACGTGCCGAAATGTTACTGGATTGATAGAATTGTAGCAGGGTCATGTTTGGGCACAAGGTATGTGCTGAGCATCCGAGGGATACTAATCTTCACTGATTCGTTTGGCTGAGCTCCTGCTGCCGTACCCCGCAGCGTTGTTCCTCTGTCGCTTATAAATATTACTAGCATTGCATTAATGTGAAACCGTCGCCCCCCTTTCAGATCATCTGAGCGGAAGAGTAATGGTGTACGATTCTGGTACGATTCGCATCGAACACATCAAATTACCCCCCACCCGGGTTCTTACTGCGGCCGAAGGTACTTAACGCAGTCCTCGGACTGTGGAGTATTCTCGATAAATTTCTCCATACAAGTCGATCGTGTCAGCTGATGGGTGTACTTTTCATCGTTGCCCAATGCCTCACACTAGCCGTCGCCGCCTTAGACCTCAAGTCAACATTGTGGCGTATCCTTGGTTGTAGTTCCGTCGTTGCGCTCATTGCGATAGACATGGCAGTCTCTCACACCGGGACTGGATATTTTGACTATAGCTTCGGTGCTACCCTGGGCGCTGCTGTCCTGGACGTCATCCGGTTTTTGCTACTGATACACCCTCTGGAGGAGTATCGTCATGAAACAGATAGGGTTCCCGCACATCAGTTGTCATATATTCAGAGATTTTTCTGGATAATGAGCATTTCGCCAAGGGGTATCGGGTGGTCATTCAAAGTGAAGGGAGATAATATCAGGCTTCTCTAAGCTGACCTAACCACCGACAGGCCGACCACAGTGTTCCTCCTGTTGAACCACATCACCTGACTCGAAGGGCATTCATCGCTTCGCGGTTGCGTCGCATACTGGTTTATTACCCTCTCTTTGAAGCCGCCCAATTGTACATTCGTTGTAACCCAGTTTTCTCGTCCGGGGCGCCTCTCTTTTCCCAGGGGTATTTGTTGGGTTGGCTTAATACCATGGCGATGCCCTTCCGTTTCTACGCAGGCCTCAATTGGATCCACTCTTTAGCGGCCGTAATCGCGGTGGGAACTGCTCTCCATGAACCACAGCTGTGGCCGGTTCCTTTCGGGAAGTTGAAAGGCGCGTATACAATTCGGAGGTTCTGGGGGTGCGTCGAGGTCTGATATTAAATACTTGCATTGCTGACCATGTCTGTCAGGCGGACCTGGCATCAATTTTCTCGAAATGTGAGCACTTGTTTCCTGTCCTGGCTGTCAGTGAATATACGCCAATATCTGACCTCGCCTGTAGACCCTCACCCTCTTTGGTCCTCATCGGCACAAACGTAGTCCTTGGGATCGTGATCCTTCCTCGGATCCCAAGGAAAGGGAGCGTGAGCCATGGGTAAAATCATATACCAGGCTCTGTAATGCTTTCCTTTGTTCCGCATTTATGCACACGTGCGGTGATGTCGTGCTCCAATTCAAGATATGGGATAACACTTCACCCACTACTGGTTCTCTTCAGAGGGCGAACCACCCCTACATTATAGGCTTTTCCATTCCATTCTTTTTGTTGCAACCCGTTGGAGTGCTGGTGGAAGACGTCGTCATAGAAGCAGGGAAGCGGCTAGGATTGAGGAAGAGGGATGTGGGATGAAGTGCGATCGGATACCTGTGGGTATCGCTGTGGATAAGCTATTCCCACGCATTTCTTTTCTCAGGGGCTGAAGAACGCTATTCTTATCGCATATCCTGTTCTGGGAAGCGGAGGAGCAAGGGATGGGGTAACCGTTCTTGAAAGAGTCGCTGACAAGTCGTTCGGTATAGATCTTGCAGCCACAATCGGGTCTTGGTTTGTAGGCTGATTAAGCAACGAGTGCTAGCTCAAGAGCGGATGATGAGGCGGTGTGGCATAATATGGCGCCCTTGGACAAGGGTAGTGTCTGATAGTCTCGTGTATAGATCGTACAACATGAGCTATTATTATTACCCACTTCCGGAAGGGAGAGTTGATGAGTGCTTTAGAGATAGACAAGCAAACGTTAAGTACTGGGGCATATTTCTGTTGCATGGTGAACCTAACGCAATCCGTTAAATCCATGATCTGGGCTTGACGGCTATCAAAAGCATCGTGGTCTTCATGTACATATTTTTACAGAAGTCTAAATTAGACTGACTGTCAACGCCCGAAAAAGGGGTACACCTAAATATGGGAAATGCGGGTACACGGTTAACTGACCCCCCGTCGACGACATCCAAACGCCTCAGCGTGCGATCCATCGAGTCCCGCCATCGGGGAGGTCCATGAAGACAAGCTGCCACCGAGGACGACTCCGAAAAATATTACAGAAGTGAAAACGTTCCACAAATGTATCGTGTTCGTTCCACAAAGTACGTTTTCCATGTAATCACTAACAATTTAGAAACTGGCGCTAAGCAGATATATCCTGGGACGTTTTGCTATCACAGGGGAAAGAGGCCCTCCCGTGTAGGGGATACGGGCGAACCCGCAGCGCTTGAAAGTACTTCACGAAGCGGTGGTACGCAGTGCCTGAGAAGATCGACGTCTCCTCTGTCTCCTGTACCGGACGAGTTCGTGGAGGAAGCGCCCGCATCACGAGCAGCGAAGAAACGTGCGTGCGTGTTGTCCAATGAGTTATTGTCACATCTGTGCTATATCGTGACGTCGTTCTGTAGTTAAACGTGCTGAGACTCGCCCCTGTCCCGCTTGCAATGAGCAAATCCCGGTCCGCCTCCTTGAGGCGCACACAGTGCTTGAACTTCAGCGCGTAGACGAAATAGTCCGCCACATCGGTGATGCCGAGCCTCTGCCTGGAGCGGATGACCTCGAGCAGGTGTGAGTTGGCTTCGTTTCCTTGCGGATCTATGCTTATTGCTGCTTCACTTGTACTCCCATTGAATGGTAGACCAAGCAACAGAACCCGCCGATCCGCCCTCAAAGCGCGCCAGTCCCTGACAGCCCTCCAGCCAGCTCCGCGTCTTACCTCTACGCGTTCCTATCACAATGCTACAACCCCCGTCGCTGTCGAGCGCACGATCACACACATCATCCGCAGGCGCAGAGCTCGCCAAACACGCCTGCGCGAGCTTTCACGCGAGGAAGCTGCCTACCTCGCAGGGGATGGCGAGGGCACAGGTATAGGGTGTCCCATTTGCGGACAAAACGTAAGGGGTGATAGGGATGTTGTCGAGGCACATGTCGATGCCTGTCTTGCATATGAGAGTCGGCGCGCCGAGGTAGAGCGACAGAGGGAGATCATCCAGGGCACGCAGGTGAGTGAGGACCTGGAGGTAGACGTTGATGAAGGCGGTGGCGTGGGCAGTGATGGCAATGGAGACGGGAGCGTGCGCACCAGAGTCATTACGGCTGCAAGTCTCAGGGGAACGGGTATACAAATGCGCATACATACGCAGGATACGGAGGAGGATATCGACATCGACGGGACGGACGATGCTGTATTTGGAGGCGCTCAGTTTGGGGAAGCAGACATACTTGGTCTCACTGGGGACAGTTTCGATGCCGAGCGTTCCAATCATGACCGACAGGGCCTGCAGGAATCGACTCATGGTTCGACCTCCGTTGAAGGTCGAACGCCTCTACAGTCCGATTCACAGTCGGGAGATACCGCTCCGACCACCGAAAACTCTACGGACGAGCTTGACCTCACAATACTCGCTGCCCGTTCGAGGGGCGATCATCCTAGCGCTGATTACAGCGTTGGAGGCAAAGATAAACACCACCGTACGTTCCTGATTTTTTGTGCACTGAGGTATGTTGGATCGACATCATTTGCTAGCCTCCGGCTCCGACGTGTCGTGTATGCCTTTCACAGTACACCGACCCCACGGTGTCCACTGGTTGTTGGCACACCTGCTGTGCTACGTGCTGGCTGCGATGTTTGGGTGCTACCAAGTTGTGTCCCATGTGTTTGAGGATAACCAGTGCCTCCGAATTGAGGCGGATTTACTTGTAGGGTCGGGCTTTGGATGAGAAATTTGGACACCATGTGGCACAACAATACCCCTGACTATTATTGTAGCATACTCGCCGTACTGATTCCTTGCAAACAAGTATTATACGTGCCAATATAATTTCAGCGATAATCTAGTAATCTGCGTGAGTACTGCTTATAGGCAAGAACGATTAGGGACGGAAAAGAACGCTCATATCTGGCCTCAGACTGTCCACATGGCCAGGCACTCCAACCAGCACCCACAGGTACGGCTGAGCAGGGCAAGGCTTTCAGGGTCCCTGTCAGCACTCGTTCCGATTGAGGAACAAGGGAGGGACCACCACGTAGTTGGAATCATTGCAACAAGTAAGGAAAGAATATTTAAGCATGGGCCTCACCTTGTAACAGGATGATCGCAGGGTGTTCAACTCGTTCGTTGCAAGTCAATCTCTCTTAAGTTTTCGCGTGTCACAATACCATGAATGCCAATGACAGAGCTGGGAGAGCGCGTATAGTTTTAGTGTATTAGGGAGGTTATATGATACATGGGTGCATTGTCGATGGAAAAAGCATGTGCCTGGAATGGTAGGTCTGCCACCGTGTGTCGTCACGCGAGCGGACTTAGCAGTCTGTACAATAACAAGAGTTGAGAAAAAACGATTCATCGAAAAACAAAAACACAGGACGCACTTGATGACCGTCGGTTGAGGCGAGCTCCTCGTGTACCCAATGTATATGATGAGTGGTATCCAGCCATAGTGGAGTACCGTCTACGAGACCTAAGCTGTCAGTTTTGCGTCGAAAAGTGCACACAAAATACGCACACGAGCGACGTCTACGACCTTGGTAATGCGTTCCTGTCATTGTATTTTGTTCGCATCTGGTTCTTCTCCATGCATGAGGACAGGGCGCACCTTTGTTTCTTCAGAGGGCATTTTTCTCGGTGGTTGAGTCGAGTGAAAAAAGAACGGAGTTTCCAACTCCGACACAGGTTTTGCGATCGTCGCAGCTGATTTACACGACAACACCAAAAGCCAAGATGACGCTGGGACCGTCGAATTCAGCGATCTGCGTGCAAAACACGTCGCAGGCAAACCATTCCACTACGCCGTGGGTTCACCCCATCGTCCTAGAAATGTGTAACCAAGTATAGATTGTCTGCAGACCACGTCCAACATCGCTCACGATTCACCCGACCGCGCTCTTCTCCATCCTCGATCACTACCTCCGTCGTACGGACCGACAGCATCGTGTGATCGGAACACTCCTGGGCACGCGTCCGACGCCTTCGACCGTGAGCGTCACCCATGCATTTGCAGTCCTGCACTCCGAGACGGAGGAGCAGGTCGCTGTGGATATGGAGTACCATCGCTCCATGTTCGAAATGTTCGTCCGCGGGCGTGGAGATGCAAATAAAGAGCAGCTCAGTATCGTAGGTTGGTATGCTACCGGTGGTGCAGAGAAGCAGGCATTGCAGGGCCTTGCACAGGGCCAAGGTCAAAATGGGCTAGGCACGTATTCAGCCCTCATACAGAACTTTTACGAGCAAGAAACGGCGTCATATCCAGCCGTACATGTTGCTCTTGACACGGGCACGGAGGAAGGCGTTGGTGCTGGCGTGCGGGCATATGTCAGGTAAGTGCTCTGCCCCTGCAGATACCTAGTTAACTAAGAATCACACACGCCCGTAGCTCGCCAGTAGGTGTCACCCAAAAAGCAGAAAATTGCGTATTCGTACCCATCCCCTGTGAATTGTGCTTCCACGATACTGAACGAGCAGGGCGTGAGTCTCGGTCTGACCTTGGCCCTCAGACGTTTTTATACTAAATACTTTGATCTTCAGTCGATCTCCTCCTTTCCTCCTCATCCTCTCCAAATGGTACCGCAGCACCGACAACACCACTGTCGAATCTCCACGACGCTCTCGTTTCTACGTCCTCCGCACTTTCGCGCGTGCTTGCATATGTACAAGCGGTTCTGCGTGGCACCGTTGAGCCTGATCCTGCATTAGGCCGGTATCTATGGAGCGTTCTTGGTACGGTGCCTGATGAAGAAGGCGGGTGGGCTACGAGTCTACAGGATACCCTCATGGTAAGCTATCTTGCAAACCTCGTCCGCGGTGAGGCAGAGGTTGCGGCAAGACTTGCGCTGGCTGGGAGTACGTAGTGTCTATAATGCAGATGAAACTAGTGGCGAGGGAGAGTCGAGGGACAACTAGCTGTTGAATATCCGTGAATGCAGCAAATCATGTCTGATGGCGACGATTTCCCCCAGAGGCCATGTCGAAGCAGGGCCAGTTGCGTATGTCATTTCGTCGGGGTCAAGATTGGAGTCGATGTTTTCCTCTCCAGTCATAAGTAGACCTGATCGCAGATCGCAACATTCGGCAACCACGGCGTCGACGAGAGGTTTTACGTCTGAGAGTAAGATCTGTTGAGCGAGATAGGGACCGATCGTATTCATGCGTACTGCAGCAGATAGGATGGAACGGGCATGGAGGAACAGCGCCAGATGCTGCGTCCGAGCTGGATGATGATATTATTGATATTCATCTAGCGCATGGATTGCACATGCGGGACCGGTACTCACACAGAGAGAGGCCCAGTGCAGCAGTAAGAACGCCCCAACACACGGGAAGATGACCGTGGGTTTCCCCACGTCGGACAGCGAGTTTCAGGCTGTCGATCAGGGTCGGGATGACCTTTGAGGTGGATGACAGAGCGAAAGCCCTCGCATAGAGAGTCAACAAGGCTGTTCCCTGCGCCGTAGATGCCCGTCGTGTGACGTGATTGAGGGTCATGGATTCATAGGCTCGATCGAGAGTGGTCAATGCAGCGAGTGTCTGGTCAATCTGGGCCGATTCCGAGAGAACACATACGAGGGTGTGGGCGTCGGATGTGAACGGGAGTGCGCTGTGTGCGTGGTTGTGCAGATTGTCCTGTACGAATGCGAGGGCGCCGTCCGGACTTGGAGGGTGCGAGGGACAGGAGACCGTGTGTGGAGAATGATTCGAGGCCAGAGGACGCCACGAACGATCCCGGTGGGCAGATTTGAGTCTGTGAGGAGCAGCTGGATGTAAGTCTCGTCGTCCATGGTGTCAAGTTAACATGTGAATTCACTATTTTACCGCTTGTCTTTTGATGTCGATGAGGACAGTTCGCGCACACCGGCTTCGCTGGCCCCGTCGCTGGCCTGTTCATCTGGCCAGCCAGTCCACCGTCGCAGGGACACCGAGTGCGGCTCCGTCCATCCTCAATACAGCCAGTGCTCGTCTGACCTCCGCCAAGCTGACCGTTCCGGCTCATCAGGTCAGCCCACCGCTGCCACCCCTCCAGGAATACGACGCTCTTGTATCAGCCGGAACACTCAAGCCAGACCCACACCAACGGCGCATCGTGAAGCAGCATCTTCAGTCTTTTTATACCAGTCTACAGTCCTACAGTCCTCCCCCAGTTCCTCCCTCTCCACCGTCTACCTCCGCACCCACACTCTTCTCCCGCTTATTTGCTAGAAACACTGTTTCACTGCCAGAGGAGCCTCCAAAGAACGCTCCAAAGGGATTATACCTATATGGCGACGTCGGAACGGGCAAGACCATGCTTATGGACCTATTCTACCACTCTCTCCCACCGTCCATCACTCGTAAACGCCGCGTACATTTCCATGCCTTCATGATCGACGTGCACAAACGCATCCATGCCACTAAGGTGGCAATGGGTGTGCAGGACGGCGGCGATCCCATCGCGCCTGTCGCGAGGGACCTGGCGAGGGCGGCATATGTGCTTTGCTTCGACGAGTTCCAGGTAACCGATATTGTAGATGCCATGATCCTGAGGAGACTCTTCGAGAGCTTGCTGAGGTATGGTGTCGTCATGGTCATCACCAGCAAGTAAGTCCTTGATCTTCGTACACGGATATCGTCGTGCTTACAACGGTCCTCACTAGTCGACATCCGGACGACCTTTACAAAAACGGCATTCAACGTTCGAGCTTTATACCCGCCATAGAACTTCTCAAGTCTCAGTTTCAAGTCACTGACTTAGATTCCGGAACTGGTCCGCGTGTTTGCTGTTCTCATTTGTGTTACTCGACACTCACATACCTGTTCGCTATCAGACTATAGACGCATTCCACGTGCACTCTCGCATGTTTACTACTCCCCGCCCACTCCCGAGAATAAAGCCGAGTTTGATAAGATATTCCACTCCCTAACCACCTCGCCATGTCCGTCATCATCCAGTGCGGATCCTGTCATTGCCAATCGACCATTAACGACCTTCGGACGCACCATACACATCCCTCTCTCTACGTCGCGTGTCGCGAGGTTCACATTTGAAGAACTCTGTGCACGTCCACTGAGTGCAGCAGATTACCTCGAGATCACGCGTGCATTCGGCACAATTTTCATTACGGACATTCCGAAGCTGGATATTGGACGGAAGGATGTGGCGAGTACCCCCGCTATCATTTCATTAATCGTTTGACTCACGAACTTCTCCATAGGCCCGGCGTTTCATAACGTTCATCGACGCATGTTATGAATCCAAAGTGAAGCTATTCGTTTTATCCGAGGTACCCATTTTCCAGATCTTTTCGGACGACGGCACGTCAGCTAAAGGGCAAATTTCGGATCACATGCGGAGCGTCATGGATGACTTGGTCCGTACTTATGCTTTGACTATAAGTGGGCACGTGGTAGATCTAACGAACGACTGATTACGTAGGGTCTTCCGCCTGAAGTCGCCTGTACGAGCTCGATGTTTACCGGCGAGGAGGAGATTTTCGCTTTTGCACGCGCCTGCTCGAGGCTAGTACAGATGGGCAGCAAGGAATGGGCTGAAACTGCTGGCAGGCCGTGATACCACCTCCGCGATAGTGGAGGATACTAGCTAGATGAGATTGGGCTCATCGACGATCTAGTCATTAGCATCTAATTTGTCACGATATCTTCGACAAGGCACATCCGGAAACTACACGAGGATGATGGCCTGATGAATGAACGCCGTACAATTACTGCTACACGATAGAGTACAAATGCATTTCGAGAATGTTTGCCATGATTAGATGCCAGACGTTCCCTTGCCCTTGCAATCGATCACGGCATTCGTCCTGGCGATATTCGTGACACCCAGACCATTAGAAAAGCCGTTCACTGGTTGCTCCTTCCCGTTTTGCAGGATTGTTGTCAACACATCTACGTCCTTCGACGTCCCAAACACATTCTCGAGTTGCTGACGTGATGGACGAAGTAGGTGGCCTTGGCTAGAATGGTACACCTCAAACGCTGCAAACAAAGAAGAAAGATCAATGATGGGAATGCTCCACGCAGTGGAACTTAGAAGTGCCTACAGTCGACTACTTCTGTGAGCGGTATACTAGTGTCTGCGATGAATTAGAGTCAGGATGGCTGGGGATGCAGATCTCGTTGCCGGGAGGGGGCGCTGGCTAAACAACGCACCTCCATTCTTCCACCTCTTGAACTGTACGATGAACGAGATCAGCGCATCGATCCGAGCACCCATGATACTGGATCTTTACCTCTGCGGTGTTTACCATCGCAACGAACTCTTCCGTGGATTGCGTATCGGGCCTGTATATGACCTTGGTGACGGACTGGACCATCGTGTGTGAGATACTAAGATGCGATGGGTATGTATGGACAGTATTTGGAAAGAGAGGCGAAGTGCAAGAGACGATGTGAGTGGAGAGTGGCGCTTGGTCTCTGAGTCTTTTATACTCCAGAGTCCAAGATGACGTCACGTCGTGCAGTCACGCGATCACAAAGAACACGTAAAAATCAGTCTAGATCTGATGAACTTGCAAACGGAGCATTCCTTTGTCTAACGGATATGAGCGGACCATCGGGCAATCAAAACACAGTGCCAGCGAACATCAGAGGGACAGGGAATGACGGAATCGCGGTCACGACCAGTCAGTGACAGGTTTACAGCTGTTTGCAAAACTAGAATAAGGCCGTTTCGCACGGCAGGCACCTTGTTTACTGCGTTCGTGCTCGAGCTCAATATTCAAACCCACAATGCCGTAAAACACGCGTCTTCGCGGGTAGATGATTAGAGGCCCATGACACCACCCATGGTGCTACAACCCCATATAACATACATCTTTAGATGCAGAAGATTAGAGATCCAGATGGCAGATTACACAAGCTGTGCAGCCACAGTGCCTCCTCGATATGCATCCACACCAGTGTCAATAAGATCCCACCAAGCTTCAGTTGCACCATCCATCCTTTCCAGCCACTGATCCTTGTTGCACAAGTGCTCATGTCAACAATGCAGTACTTGATTGTCTGTGCTTGTGCATGGTAATCAGTGAAAGTGAATGCAGGTGTGATAGGGAGTTGGATCCATGTCACCATACACTTGCTGCCAGAAGTCATCATGATGGTGAAAGTTCTTAAAAGAGGCATGATGGGCAGTACTCCCAATGGCAGAACTGGGAGGGACCTTGCCTTGGTGCACCTCATTTCTAACAGGACAAAAGCAGGCAGATACTGCAACACAATCTGATGTGATGGAGAAGGTTGCACACATTCTCTGGGGTCGAAGACAATGTCCACAATATGGCCTTGTGCACCATTTGCCATGTCTAGGTCAGTTGAGATGTTAAAGGTGACCATCACCTCCATTCTGATGGCAAGCTTGATTTTGTCAGACAGCCCAGCACATTCCTGCCTGTTTTGTGTGCAACCAGTCTTCAGTTTAGTAGCCACAGCAAATTTCTCAGGCAATGACAGCAGACACCTGGCTATGGAATCCCATGCAGAGCAAACAACCAGATAGGACCCAAGGTCCCCTGACCGAGATTGAGCCCACATTGAATTCCAATGCATATGCACAGCATGTTGAGGTGTGACCAGCACAGCATTTCTCCAAGGTGCTCACAAGAAGTCAGTTGCCAGATAATGGGGGTCAGAGAGTACCAGCCCTTGCAGCATTGACAAGTGATGGTCCTTACAGTTACCATGATGCACATGATGCAAGAGATCCATCCATCTGGCATCAGTCACTTGCACTTGAGTCTTGAGTCATACGACAATGTCAAACTGTTCAAAGATCTGTCAACTGATTACCTGATCCTCTGTATCCTTTGCAAGATTGCAAGGCCAGTAAAGAGGTGCAGACATTTTGGAGGCCATGGGAGGAAATTGATGGAAATCCCCTACAAGGATGACATTCAACCTGCCAAACAGCTCCTCAGATGCAATGCCTGTACATGCTGACCTTGCCTGACAGATGATATTTGAAAGTTTGGCAAGGAACTCCCAGGAAACCATGGAGATTTCATCAATGATCAGATAGTGCTTATCCCACCAATACAACTCCAATGCCTTCAGAGTCTGCACCAATTGTTTACTGCCATTGAGCAGGACCATGCCTAAGGAGACAAAGACTGTTGGAAATATTTAATAGTTCCAACAGTCTAGACAACTCTAGACTTACATGTTTTGATACATGTGTACTGTCACATGACATGCTGAGTGATACAGCTCCATGGTGACATCAGAATGACATCACTTATTGCATCATATTCCATAGCATTCTCTGCTATTCTATACCATATATAGTAGTTACATTGTAGCACCTTCCTTTTATGCTACTGGTCCATGCATACTGCTACATGTGTATAAACTTGGGGATTTCTACCTTACTCCCTATCAAACAATCTACTGTTCAATTGTCTTCACAGACACTCAAGCCCCAAACTCAAGCTTACTTCAAATCTACTGTTCAACTCAAGTATAAGGCAAGTGCTCTTGTCTTTGCTCTTCATACTGTACCCATCCTCTGTGCAATAAAAACATCATCAGCAGAGAGCATAGTAGTGCAGACAAAAATGCCATGAACCTATGAAGTGTAATGTCTTGCCATTGATGACAGGTGCTGCTATGCCTGTGTAGGCAGCCTTCACTAGCATCCCTGCCATGCCTCATTGCATGAAGTTCTCAGTGATGGTCTGAATCGTTTTTGATTTACAAATGCCACCCTCTCCAGGTATGATCATTCACAGTTGATCTGGATTGCCTCCTGTCAAGAACTGTTCTAGGTGCCAGTTTACAATGTCATATGCATGGCATTGGTCTCACAATAGATCATCCAGGTCAGCTGGCTGCAGTGCTGTCAATTCTTCAATGAGTTGGGTGAGCAAGTACATACCTCCACTATCACTGAGAAGCATTCCATCATTGGCATCCACACTGCCAATGTCTCTCAGAGGATCAGATGGCAAGGTGAGTGATGTCATGCCAGGTTTGGCAACCATCACATTCATTTCCCTTTGCCACAGAATGAGCAGCTCCTGGTCTTGCACAGAAGCAATCTGAAATGAAGAGGAATGTTCACAAGAGAGAGACATGTTGATAGAGAACACTCCTTTGCATGTGCCAATGTTGATTGCCTCCATTGCATGTTTCTGTTCTCAAGCAGATGTTTGTTCTCTCTGGAAGTTCTCAAAGTCTTCCTCTGTCAGTGTAAGACTCTCATGACTATCCCATTTGCTGATGCAATCCAACTTGCTGGGCTGTTCAGCCTCTGGGAAGCCCTGTGATCTTGGCCCAGCATTGTGATCAGAGGGGGAGGATTTGCATGCAGTCTTCGACTCATAATAGTATTGTATCCCTGTGACCACACATCTGTGCCAAGGTTCCATTTCATCATCAAACTCCTCAAATGTGTCAGTCCATGATGCCAAATTGTTCTTGAGGTCGGAGGCCTGACACCATGGTTTCAACAATGCCAAAATACATGCCAGAAAATAATCATGAACACTGTTGTTGTCAGCACAGGGAAACCAGGGTCCAATCAGATAAGGCAATGTGTTGTGTTCACTGGCATGACAGACATGATGGTGTGACTTCCACTTCAGATGCTGCTCTGAATAGTATGAATGCAGATGCACAGGCCAGCCATGTTTGGGCACAGAAGGTGTGGGTGGGCAGGCCCAAGACTGTGTATAATGCTCCTCCCACATATCCATGACAAATGCCAAAAGACAGAAGTCCTCCAACTCTGGCTTGTGAAAGACATAGTCCTGCACTTGTGAGCAAGGAAACAAAACACTGGCAGGGGTTGAGCTGAGGGTAATGACATCATTGTCATCACTAGTGTCATCACTGGACCTATTGATGTTTTGACCAACTCTATGAATGTGGTCAGGATGGTGCCCAATGTCCAACAGCTCAATGAACTTACACACCAGAGCTTGATGTGTGAAGCTCAGGAAACATAGTTTTGACAGAGGAGAATAAAGCACCAGTGTACAAGGTGGCATAGTTGTGAGATGTGAAGGTGTCACTGAAGCCCATGAGATACAACATCACCTGTGGTCCTGGCAACTCTGTCTCTCGATTGATCACATTGATGCAGCAGTACAGTAGTAAGTGGTTGCATTCTCACACATCATCATATTGAAGAATTTTCATGGTGATATGGTAGTGTTGATGCCATCAATGCAGATAAGTTGTGCAACTTCCTTTGCTTTTTCATCACATAGGCAGTGATGTAAAACCTGACATCCTTTGTATCAGCACCATTGGTGTTGATTTTCAAGTCATTGTTGCAATGCATCACTGTTAACAATGATGGGCAATACACATTGATGTAACCATGCATCCACCTTGGACCCCAGTTTCCTCACTCATTGATGAAGTCCTGGGCATTTAAAGGTCAGGGTGCTCTTCTCTTGCAAAGGAGTTCACCATTGTGCATGCACAGACATGTTGCTCTAGAGCAAGAATGAAGTTGCTGGGATCTGACTAGCTGGCATTCAAATTGACAATTGATGACTGACCAGGCTGAAACACATGGGTCGGGGGGGTGAGAGTATGCAAGTTGAGGATCCCTGGGCATATTGATGATGTTGTTTGGTGTGAGGTCATCGAGGTGGGCACAGATATTGGTCAAGATGTATGAGTGAATCTGTTCACAAAAAGACTCCTGTTGCAACAAGGCCTGCATCTTGTTCGCATTTGGGGTGTGAGCCAGCCATAAGAGCATGTGGATATGAAGCAAACCTCTGCCCTGCACCTCTACCATGCCAAAATATGCACTGAGACATCCAAGGACACCCATGTGACTAGTTGTCTGACTACCCCTCTTCTGTATCCCAAACAGAGTATCCAACACTTGGTGGATAATGAAGTTGAAAAAAAGAGCTGCAGCATATGGATTTGAAGCAATGTTCTCCACACAGCAGTTACTGTTAGGCCCCAGAGAGGAGTTAAAGTTGTCCATATCAATCTCTTTGCCCACAAACACCTGGATGATGGGATCATGAATATCAATGGGGTTGATTGTTAGCCACAGCAATGGCCCACCAAACACAAGACACATTCCCCAAATCATGCCAAAGTATTGTGCATGAGTGTTGTCTGAGCCCTTGACATGGCCATTGGCAGCTGTCACATGATGGTGTAGTGCATGGACTCATGCATTTGTTATGCATTGATGTCTAGCCTCTTCAACTTCCACCTTTTTGGGGTCATTGACAGTGATCAAAGACAATGCCAATGCATCCTGTTCAAAGTCCTTTTGTTGCATCTGAAGGTGTGCCAAGTGCATCACATCCTGCTTTTGAATGAGAGTGAACATGACAAATGGGAA